GTGGGCCACACGACCCTTCCCCTTCCTGCTTTTTTGGGACCTGACCTGGCCAAGACCTGGCCGCGAACCCTTCGTGCCTACGCCCAGCCCTTCTTGTACCTTGCTTGCTGCCCTTTCTCCTCGTTTCTTTTTGGTTGTGTTCCCCTAGGTCGCCCGCTTTTATTAAGGGGAAAGTCTGGGCACATATGCTGGCCCGCCGCCCCTCGCGCGAAGCGAACAGTGAAGGCTGATGTATAGGTGTTGGATACCTGTAGTGTCTGTGAGGTTCCGCCACGCGTGCACCACCATTATCACCACCATTATCACCACCACCACCACCACCAGCATTTGTCCGCATCACCACCATCCGTGACCATCCCACCTTCCAGGAGCGAGGCCCCTCGCCAATGAACTCCTCTCCTCCTTTCCTTTCGGAATTCCGGGAGCAGGAAGGATTTCCAGAGTAGCGGTTCCCACTCCGTTCGAGGGCCGGCGTGCAGCAGAGGCGGGGGATACCACACACCTCTGCGTCCGTCAATTTCATGCTCGCCGGCGCAGCCACTTTCGGTCCCGACATGCCCAGACTGCGGAATTCCCTTTGACGGGGTCTTGACTAAATTGGAAAAAGAAAATAATTCGCTCCTCTCCTTCTGGCTCTGCGCCTCTCCATCAGCTGAGGTTTCTCACGGCTAGAACTTTTGCACTCCGTGTCGTCACATGTTTTCCGCCACCCGGGAAGGGTCGTATACCGGCTAGTAGACTCATCACTATCGCCTAACTGGTGCCTATTCCGTGTCTAGCTTTCTCCATTGCTTTCCTCGGGGAGAATCTGTTACCACTCTACGCTATCCTACTTGCTATCTATCTCCCATCGCACCCCTCTTGCCTCTCGAAGCTCCGCAGATACTCCGTGTTGCATGTCGCCTGTTGCGGGTTGCGTGTCGCGTGGGTGTGCCCAGTTTGAGGTGTCTGGCCCTCCTTCTCCCCGATTGAGAACACCCCACCCCATCCCATCCTCCATGGGATTCTCCCGTCGTACTACCCGAGTGAATTCTGCCGGTTCCCGGTCTTGGTGTTGGCGTTGGGTCGTTGGTATTCGTCCGCCACTCCGGGCCATCCAACGACCGTGCTCCCCGCCTTTTGTTCTCCCTTGTAGACCCATAATAGTAATCTATCATTATCCTGCTTCGTTACTCTTGACCCTCAAAATGCCTGCCGTTCATCGGATCCGGGCCCTGGGGCGAAGTCGTCGACGAGTGAGAGGCACTGCTATTTCCGTTTTATTACTCCTCCTCTCCTTGCGGGGAGCGGGGAGACGTTTCCTCGCTTCCTCACCTCTCTTTCGATACCCTTCATCCATCTTTTGTCGTTGGTTGTGTTGTAATATTCCAGACGTGTAGATCTGCCTGCGCTGCTCCCTCCCCTCTCCGTCCTGCCGAGTTCCGTCCGAGCTCCGTACCCAAGGGTCCCCACTACAAGGCATCCAACCTGCGCAGCAGATCTTTGACCGCGCTGCATACACTGGCAGCATCTATATAGATCCATGGATGAATGTATAAATGTGTAAATGTATGGATGGAGGGGTGGAAAGGGAGGGTAGGCCATGCAGCAGGCCAAGCACGCTCCCGTTCCTCCGGGTGAGGGACTGCCTTGGAGGCGGCGGGGTCTCGTGCGACCTCAAGCGCATTCAAACTTCACCTGTGAACAGTCTCTGAGACAGGGCACCCGATGCCAAAAGCTTGACACGTTTCTAGAGGTGATGGCGCCAATACCACAGCCCTGCCAAGCGGTAACGGCGTTATTGTCCTTGGCTAAGCGCGCGCGATCTCGGTCTGCCATAACTCGAGTCGATCGGTTGATCGGATAGATCGTCTTGCCTTTGGAAACAGGGAGTTTATTGTGGTGCCTCCCTGCGCTTGGCCATTTATCTAAGCTAGCCGCGGATGGTTTGCGAAAGGTGGATAGCCTTGGATCTTGGCTAGGCGCAGGGTCCTTGTTGTTAAGGGAGCTTGAAGCAAGCCAAGATAGCTTGGCTTTTATCATTCGACATGTGTGTTAATACCTCGAGCCAAGTGCCATGGCGGAGACTCCCATGACCCACAGATGAACGCGGGATAGAACACTTGGAATAGAATGGGGCACAAAAAGTGGATAGTGGCTGAAGTGGACGTTGGAGACATCGCCAAGGCAGATCGTCCACGTCTCGTTTTGAGTTTCTTTGCTGGTATTCATGGTAGGCGGAGAATCTAGCCTCGCGAGCCTGAGTCCAAGCTTTCATGATGTTAATCCCCTGGTCCTGGTCAAAGTGTGGGACCGGCTTGTTACACAATTCCCAGGCTTTCTTGTTGTCTAAATATCGCCCATACCTTCGTTCAGGTTCAGCGCCGGACGTTGTCTGTCGTGATATGAACTCAAGTCTCGAGCATAAGGTAGGTCAGAGGTAATCTTGAGGTGGGCAAAGCTTGTAAAACAGCAAACTCCTTTTGTCCGGGGTTGACTCCTTCCCTTTCTCCCTCCATCCCCATCCCTCAAAGCGTGGCCCTGTATCGATCATACTCCCACTGTAAGCTCCACAGCTACATGAGCTGTTGATGTGGCTCGAAAGAATTGTTGTAGTTGACGGGATGTTAGTTGGCAAGGAGCTACGAGCTTGCATACCTACACTTCAAAGTTTCGGGCACTTCTTTAGCCTGGCTCTCTGGAAAACTTCAACAGGGTTGGGGTTCGGGACAGCCGTGGCTGCTGCAGCATGGAGGGTAGAAACGATGACAACAGCTAGCCCATAGTTGACGACGATACCGGAGACTAGGGTTTTGGAATGGTGGGAAAGGAATGAAATGATGCTGTTAGCGAGGGTAGACTCAGAAGTTGCTGCTTAGACTAGCTTGTTATGCGCACTTATACTATTCTATCTAAGCCAAGCATCATCACGTAAAGCAGCTCAATATCCTACACTCTATTTCTGGAGTGTCTAGATTCTACCTCCACGAAAGAGGTGTGTTTAAACGTTGCTCGTGCTCCATACTGGCGTAGACTTAAGGGTAATGATACGGCATCATGGCTTGGAAGACCTCAACATAGTCAGATTAGCGTTGGTCTATGGTTATAGGCAAGATATCATGCCCCATATTAGAGCCTCTCCATTAGTGAATCCGCTCGAGGATGGTACGTCCCATCCCGCGCCCCATGCAACTATACAAAGGTGGACGTTAGGGATTGGTGGTAATTCACGCCGCGGAATCTGCGTTTAGCATTTCCAAAGGTCCGGTAAGCAGAAATGGGTAGCTTAACTCTCTATTCTTGTCGGATGGCAGGCTCCTTCAGCTCGTCCTTGGACAAGGGACTTGAGGTCAAGTCACCCACGTCTTGCGCTTCTGCTAGACCTCTATAGTACACGTGCTGGTGTTGCCAACTTAAAGTTATGCAATGAAGCGTTTACATCCGTCCATTCATAAGAGTCTAGTTGGCGGAAGGCAACTGGGAAAGCTCGGCAGTTGCGCCACAGCATGGTTAGATGCAACCCAGACTCCTCAGATCACGCAAGACAGTGCAGAGAAACCCGCTAATCGCGCTTCAAAGCCGGATAAAACACGATTGACGGATACCCTGTGCCTGATTAATATACAATCATACCTGGCGATCAATCACTTCGAAAGTCGGGGCTCTAACATAGGGGCCTAAAGGCCCCAAGGTCGACTTGGCGTGAAAGTAGGCGGGGTATCGGAACAATCCGCTCGTGAGGTTCAACGTCCAGCAAGGGAGCAAAAGCTACGAGAGATCGTCCATGGCTATGACCTAGGCGATAGCATATGATATTGCAAAGTTATGCAAGGGCATCGTCAGCGATCCAGATGATCGAAGATCCATTAGTATCGCTCGCCACAACTTCATTTGATTGGTTGGTTGGCTGGCGGGGTCTAAGTCGCTGGATTGAACCAACATCCGAAGCCCAACTATGCCTCCTAGAATTTCGACGAAAGTGCAAAAATAATAATGAAAACTGCACTTCATGCTGTTGGTTCTTCTCCTGGCTCATATACATTGACGCCAAGTTTCTATTTCGACCCGCGATGTAGGACTGCTCGGGGTAAAAGGGTGCAGTGCATGCGGGGAGCATCTCCTCGCTAATCTTCGGCTGCAGACAAAAAGCCCAGTTGGTCCTCGTTCCTTGGTAAATGATGGCACAGAGGAAAAATAAGGAAGTCGCGTCACTTATATTGGAGCCAGCTGAGGAATTTGATTTCGAAGCAAGCGCACGGCGGCTACATGGCTCTTCTGGAATGGTTTGAAAGGGCCGATGGCAGACTACATTCATGCGCGAGAGGTGGGAACAGCACGAAGCCTAGGCAGGGGATACTCTCCTAGTTTACCACACGTCGCATCTAATACTTACATGTAGATTTAGAGGCCCTCCTCACCATCGATACGTCCCTCTCCTCTCGCCTCAGCGTCCGCGAGATTTCCAGAACTTGGAGAGAATGGATCGTTGTCACGTGGAGCCAGGAACCGCTTCGCTCGAACCCTCGCATCATCTATGGCAAGCGGCCCCTTAAACCCCCATTGTTCCCTCCCCACTCAATTCAGACCCTCAATCAGGGGTACATTCGCATGCCACAGGGTGCCGCCTCCATGGCCTCAATGGCGAGGCGTTCCCCGGCTTTCCAAAGGCGGGGGATGGGTGCGGAGAAGGCGCGCTAATAAGAGCCTAGCGCGGACACTAGAACTCCCCTTGTCAAGCGCCATTGGAGCTATCGATATCGGCGGTCGCTGTAACTTCGGCCTCGCAGTCTACAATCTGAACAATTTCGCCCTGCTCCATTGAGCTAAGTAAAATCCTGGCGCAAAAGTTCGTCCGAATGAGCTCGGGAAAGGTAGCAGACTAGTTAGAAAGCTCCTCGTAAATACGTAGTCTCCCCGCCGTGAAAATATGTTGGAAACAGCTCAACTCGACGCATGTGAATCGCGCCCATACATGCCTTTTAAGTGGGTAGCTGTCGTGCAGTACATACACCTAAGAAAGGATGTCTTCAAAGCTAAACAGAGCGGCTCTCGCTCTCTCCAGGCGAGGGGGCCCAGCGACAGTTATCCACAGGTCTGTCGTACCGAGGGCACAGTATGGAGTTACTTTTCGCAGATTTGCGTCCTCCGCCAAGGTAAGTAGTTTTTCGAATCCTAAATACAAATCAATAGCGAGGATGTGTGTGCTAATTGAAGGCTGCGCGTGCTCAAGGCCGACCACACGGTAGATCTTATCGTCGTAGGCTCCGGATGCGCCGGTCTCACCGCCGCCCTCGTCGCCGCGAAGCAAGGTCTCCAGGTCCTCGTGGTAGAAAAGAGCAACTTCTTTGGCGGCACGACGGCCTACTCGGGCGGAGGCGCCTGGATCCCCACGAACAAGCACCAGCCCGCCGTGGGCGTGGTGGACGACTCGCGCGCCAAAGCCGAGACGTACCTCAAGAGCGTGCTCGGCGCCGATTTGTACGACCCCCAGCTCGTCGACGCCTTCCTCTCGAGCGGACCGCGCATGGTCGAGTGGATGGAGGAGAACACGGCCGTGCGCTTCAAGCCCGTGCTCCTGCCCGACTACCACGAGAAGAAGCCGGGCGCGTCCGCGGCGAGGACGATCCTGACCCGCGAGTTCGACGCGTCCGTCCTTGGGCGGCAGAGGTTGCGCGATCTACGGTATACCTTGCAGGGCTACCACGCCTTCGAGTCGATGCAGGCCGATCCCTCCGAGCTGGGGTTCCTGACGCATCCCTTTTCGACGGTGGGGAATTTCACCGCCACCACGCGCAAGTTCCTCCGTTATGTATGGGACCTCGTCCGCTACGGTAAGGGTTCCGTCACGGCCAACGGAAATGCCTTGATTGCGCGGATGATTTACAGTTGCACCCAAAACCCCCAGTCCATCACCCTCTGGAAGAATAGCCCGGCGGTCCGGACGATTTTCGACGCCGACAAGGGCCATGTTCTCGGCGCCGTCATCAAGGGGAAGGTGGTGCCGAACGCACCGTCTTGGCGCGCAAGGGAGTGGTCCTTGCGAGCGGTGGGTTCGGGCGTAGGCACGACGCGCATAAGATTATGAAGCACGACTGGTCGGCCCAGCCCAAGCACAACGTCGGCGACGGTATTCGCATGGCAACGGAGAGCGGTGGGCATCTACCGCCGCTGAACCCGGAGAATGGAATCTACGCACCCATCTCCGTGCTGCACGGCCCCGACGGGCAAGTGCGACGGTACCCCACTTTGCCATTGACAGGGCGAAGCCCGGGTCCATCATCGTGGGACCCGACGGGCGGCGATTCGAAAACGAGTCGTTGCCGTACCAAGAATTCATCAAAAAGATGCACGATATGTCGATGAAGCGGTGCTTCTTCATCGGCGACAAGACCTTTGTGCGCCGGTACGGCATGGGCATGGCGCTGGCCGGTCCCCTTCCCATCCGCCACCTCGTCAAGAGGGGCTACATTATCAAGGCGAACACGATCGAGGAGCTCGCGGCCAAGATTGAGGTACCTCCCGAGGTTCTCAGGGAGTCGGTGGCCGCAGCAAATGAGAGGGCGCGCACTGGTGTGGACAACGAGTACCACCGAGGTGAGACGGCCTACGACCAGTGCTACGGAGACGTGACCCGGGGTTTCAAGAACCCGAGCCTTGGGCCTTGCGAAACCGCGCCGTTTTATGCCCTTCCATTGCATCCCGGTAATGTGAGCACGATGCACGGAGTTTCCGTCAACGAAAATGCCCAGGTCCTGGATGAGGCGGGAAGCCGGTTCAGGGACTGTATGCCGTGGGACTCGATCAGAATTCGGTGATGAGGGGTACATATCCCGGAGGAGGGTCAAGCATCGGACCCGGAATGACGTTTGGTTACCGTGCGGGTTTGCATGCGGCCGGAAAAGCCGAGAAGGCTTGATTTAAACGGATTTTGCCATGTATCTAAGTTTCCTTCTGTAGAGGCCTTGTACCCAGGTCTTGTGTATATACGTGCAACTCATTAGCGAGGACAGCCATAATATCATCCATTGCATTATTCAAACTCTGAGGTTACTATATAGGTATTCATATTTCTTGAAAACATTGAGCTTTTGCATGCAACATCCAGTAACAGCTCGACCATGGTGAGGTGTCCACTAAACTCATTCCCAAGTAAACGGTCTAGCGTAAAAAAGATAAGAATGTGCTATCAGACTACCTCGTTTAGCGAAAGAAGGAATGACGCATAAGGGACAATTGGAAGATCTTTTTGGACGGGAACGGGAGACACATACAACTCCAAACACAAATTACACACATAAAAATACTGTTGGTTCCAAGTTTGACACTTTCTATTATCCTACAAGATATCTTGCTACCTTACGGGGAGGAACACCGAGCGTCATACCACCATCCACCGCCAACGTCTGGCCCGTGATCCACTGCGACTCAGGCAAGCACAGGAAAACGACGGCGCCCGCAATATCCTCGACCTTGCCGAGGCGAGGCCACGGGGTCGCCCTCTTCATGAGCTCGATGGTGTCCGCGCTCTCAAAGTTGGGGCGGGCCATGCCGGTGGCGACGACGCCGGGGGCCACGCAGTTGATGTTGATGCTGTCCTTGGCGTGGTCGAGGGCGCCGGCGAGCGTCATGTGGTTGACGGCGGCCTTGGTGGCCGAGTACGCCGTCTCGCCGGGGAAGCCCGTGACGGCGGCGCACGACGACACGTTGACGATGCGGCCGCGGCTGCCCCAGACCTCGTCGACGTCCTGCTTGAGGAACTGCCTGAGGGCGAGGCGGGCCACGCGCGCGGTGCCGAGGGTGTTAACGGCGGACATCTTGGCCCAGAGCTCGTCGTCTTCCTCGGCGAATTTGCGGAAGGGTGCCCAGTACCCCGCGCAGCTGACGACGATGTCTAACCTTCCAAAGGTCTAGAATTTCACGGTTAGCTTGATTCCTCCTTTTCACGATTTTACAGTGAATCTTTTACTTACGGACAAAGTCGTGTCGAAGGCAGCCTGGACCTGCTCCGCGTTGGAGATGTCCACCTGGCAAAGATGGCCTCGCCACCGCTCTGGATGATGAGGTCCGTCGTATCGGTGGCAAGGTCCTTTTCGAAACCCGCGGGGTTGGCCTTCTTCTGGAGGTCGCAGCAGACAACCTTTGCGCCATGCCTGGCGAGACCCAGGGAGGTGGCCCGTCCCACTGCAAGTTTTGGTTCGTTAGCCGAATCCGGCACGCTGGGGGGAACATACTTCCAGAGGAGGCCCCGGTGACAAGAGCCACCTTTCCTTGGAGCTTAGCTTCCATGGTAGGCTAGCGGTACAAAGATGTATTGGTGAATTGGTGGGGTCGGTATTAGATGCAAGCTTGCGGTCCGGACACTGATCAGGGTGTGTTCTTGGGTTGTTCTTTTGTTCGTTTTTGTCCCAGCTATTATTCGTCTACCTTTGCTTCAAATACAACACTTTCTCAGGATTGCTGCGTGAAAGGTGGTAGTTAAATGAAGAGGCGACGACGGGCGGGGTTGACCAGGCGCAACAACTTCGCGTCGATTTTCTTATTCGGGGCCTCCGAGGGGCTTTCTTCGGCGCCGGTCCGCGACCAGCCCGCTAGCTAGCCCGTGCGCTTCCCCACTAAGCCCCCAAATCCGTGTCCATTTGATGGCAAAGAGGGAAAAAGGGGGAGGATTTCAAGTCCGAGCCTGGTGAGTGGCCGGACTTGCAGACGGCATCTCCCAAATGGGCTTGGTGCCGTTCTTGCAGGCTTCGCAGGGTTTTGTGTTTCCCATTCTTTGGTTTTGGCAGGAGAAGCCAGTTAGATACGCCGCGTTGCTCAGCACTTGCACATGGCCCTTGCGATGATGCGGGAAACTGCGAAGAACAGAAATTCGCTAGTTCGACTTGGCAAATGCTTTCGTGAGGCGGGGGCGGTTCGCGAGGTTTCACGCCACGGTTGCTCTAAGGGTCCAAAGCCCGCAGCATCCTTTTCGCCATTCGTGAAATGCTCACTTGAATTGAACGCTGGAGCCCACGGACAACGACGCTTAGCAAAAGAATTGATTCGCGTGGAACTGAGAAGTTAGGTTGGATGGACCGCATGGAAGGTTCGAACCACGGACGGACAGTGTTAGCCACTTCGATCAATCGCAATTGCCGATACCCCGAACACAGCGCTAGTCTAGATAGAGCTATCACCTCCCAGCGAGGGCAACCCCTGACGGATGTGGGGTTGAAGTCCGGGGAATGATGGGGTGGGGTAGCTCCCCAACTCGAGCAATCCTGGGACGGTGACACCTCGTGGTGCTCCTTCAGGACACAGGGTGGGCAGTTCGGGGGAATTTGAGATGCTCCGATGACGTTGGAAGTTGCTCCGGCGATACGGGGAACAATGCGGGGAGGCACACCTAGCTGTGGAGGGAAATCCCGATTTATGGCACCAAGAAGATCGAAGGCCTTTCAATTTCTTTTTCCTTCTCCTTCTCGTTATCGAACAATCTTGAGTTGCGTATAATACCTACCTCGAGGCAGTCCCCTACGAGAAAGAAAGACCAAGAAACTAAACACACAAACGTATTACTTGACCATCGCCTTCTCCCTAGTCAAGAAGCTCGTTTCACCCAGAGACGATATCCGGGGACACCGCGGCCGTCGCCCTCCCGCTGAAACGCCAGCTCCCCTTCGACTTCGCATCTACACACTCTCTCCACGCCAATCCACCATGCCAGTACTTTCAATTGTGCAGGGACTACGGGAGTCCTCTCCCATAGCTCCCGTCCTCATCGCCGTTTCCTTTTCCATACTCGTTTACAAGCTGCTGCAAGTTGGCAAGAGGGACCCTCGCATGCCCAAGGGCCCGCCTACACTACCCATCATTGGAAATGCGCACCAAATTCCTGCGAGCGGACTTTACAGAAAGTACGGCACTCTTCTCTCCTTTCCTCTATTATTTTTCTCGTTCTACTTTGGGCGTATCAAGTCTGTTCACTAACGTCATTTTGTCCTACCTCTTTTCTAGATTCCTCGAGTGGGCAAAGGAATACGGCTCCGTCTTCAGTCTCAAGATTGGCCCTTCCAGCATCATCGTCCTGTGCGATAGGAAAGCCATCCATAAACTCCTCGTTGAGAAGGGCAGCATCTACTCCGACCGCCCGCCCAGCTATGTGGGCAATATCCTCACCCAGGGCGACCACCTGGCTCTCGAGCAGATGGACGTGACGTGGCGCGAGAAGCGCAAGGTTATTTCGCACAATTTCTCACCCAAGCAGCTTGATGAGAAGCATTTCCGCATCCAAGAATCCGAGTAAGTTTTCTTCCGTTTCGTGCGCAGAATAAAGCCTTTCTAACGGACTGTGGTCGCAAATCAATAGAGCAACAGTACTCATGACCAACTTACTGACCGACCCTGACAACTTTTACAACGACGTCCGCCGATACACCGCATCCGTGGTCACATCTATCACGTACGGCTTCAGGGCACCCACCTTTGAATCCTTCTGGGGCAGCGTACGTATTTAGCGCCTCTTGGTCTTTCTCTAGCCGAGACTCATTGTGTAGCCGCGTAGCTAACAAAATCGTCCAGGGCGTCTACAACGTCATGTCCAAGTGGACAGCAGCCATGGAACCCGGCGCGAACCCACCCGTCGACGAATTCCCCTTCCTCGGCCTCGTCCCCAGCTCCCTCGCCTTTTGGAAACGCCGCGCCATCGACGCCGGCAAGACCATGGACGCCACGTGGAGCGAGGCTCGGCGCCGAGCCGAGGAGCGCGCGCGCGCGGGGACAAGCGCAACTGCATCATCGACTCTTTGCTGGACGAGTACGAGAAGAAGGGGTGGCCGGCCGCGGTGACGCAGCACGGCTTCACCAACCTCATGGGCGAGACGGTGGAGGGCGGCGCGGACACGACGGCGGCGCAGCTCCTCACCCTCATCCTCGCGTTTGCGCTGCATCCAAAGGTGCAGAACAAGGCGCGCAAGGAGATTGATGCGGCGTGCGGCGTCGAGAGGTCGCCGCGGTGGTCCGACTTTTCCAAGATGCCGTACATGAACTGTATCGTGAAGGAGGGCATGAGGTGGCGGCCGGTGTAAGTCATTTGTCCTTTCTGAACGTTATTTCGCTTTTTCTTTTGGCTTTTCGCGGCAAAACTCGCCCTGACTAACGGATAAACGCAGCGCGGTGACGGCACTTCCCCACCGAGCGAGAGAAGGTACGTTCCGACGTGAAACCCCTACCATAATCTCTGCGAGAATCTGGCTCGTCAACTAACACACAAATCTTTCAAAACAGAGGACGAATACGAAGGCATGCTCATTCCCAAGGGCGCCACCGTGTTCATCCCTACCTGGGCCCTCCACCACAACGACGAGCTCTACGACGATCCCGACAGCTTCAACCCGGACCGGTACCTCGGGCACGAGAAGCTCGCCAACGACTACGCCGGCAGCCCCGACTTCACCCGGCGCGACCACTACAACTACGGCGCGGGCCGTCGGCTGTGCCCGGGCATCCACCTCGCCGAGCGCAACATGTGGCGCATCGCGTCCAAGCTGCTCTGGGCTTTCGAGTTCTCCGAGCCGTTGGACCCGGTCACGGGCAAGGTGCAGCCGCTCGACCCCAACGCGTACAACCCGGGCATTTTGCAGGCGCCGCTACCGTTCAAGGTGCGGATCAAGGTGCGGAGCGAGGCGCACAGGCGGATTATCGAGCAGGAGCATGGCGAGGCTCTCGAGTTTATGAAGCAGTACGACGAGTGTTAGAGAAGGGTGGTGCGATCATGGCGCTGCGTGGGGGTTTGGGAAGAAGTTGATGATTTCCTCCAATTGTGCGCATCGGTGCGAGATGTATAGATGGAGGTGTCGTGGTGGGAAATGGAATATTCTAGTCCCGTTTAGCGAGTCGTGACTGTGAGGGAAATAACTGATGGTTGGTGTGTGTCAGGATCTAGAACTTTTCCTTTCGTCCTCCCCTTGCCTTGGATTGTTTGTGTCAGCGATTAGTTGATTTTATTTAATCAAGCCAATTTTTGTTCTGCCTTATCAATAGCTTATTGATCGATTACCCTTGGAATAACATTTTGCCCGGCCGTGAAACGGGCCGCAAAGCCTCTGTCGATCGGCGACGAATTCCGTCATTCAGATCTGATCAATTGATTGACATTGATGCGCATGTGCTGAGGTACCCTTGACGTCAATCCTCCACTCGAGCGAGTCCCTTGATGTTCGGCTTGTTCCCGAAACCCACGCGGTCGCCCCACGACCTGAGCATTGCCGGTACCAGGAACATGCCCATAATCCTGATCCAATTGCTTTCCGTCTCGTCCCTCATTTTTTCGAGTTTGCCTGCTGGAATTATGCACATTCGTTCTCCGAATATTAGTTGGAACTCTCGATCTCACATGGCTTTTGTAACATAGAAATCTCTCAATCTTCGATGTGCAGCTACAGCTGCGTGTAGGATATTCAGGCAACCTTCCCAAAGTTCATGTTTTCAATGTTCCCCGGCAGCGATTGCCAAGCCTCCATTTTGCCTGGTCCCAGAAATTCCACAATTTCTAATGCTTTGCATCTCTTTTGTCAGACACCCGAAGCAGCACAAGCTCTCGCATATGCAGCTAGCGCGGAAGGGCGAGTAAGAAGGATAGGCACGGGCTGATTAGCACCGATTAGCAAAGCTAGCTGCACAACACACCAACACTAATCCATGCACTCTTCAATCGATGTTTCGACGGGTTGCTGATCCTGAGGAGTGACTGATATTCGCCCGCCATTTGCCATCTCGACCAAGAAAGTCAAACCTAGGAAACAAATTCTGGAGCTGCACAACGTCTTGCCCCATTCAAATGTGCGCGTCACACTCCAATGACGGGGCCCCAATCCAGTTAGCTTCGTATCATCCATGGATGGATCTATTTCCCCGCTCTTTGCTGGCTCCAGCCCTAATGTGGAGCGAAGCTATCCAAGGTGCTGTTTCCGACCCGAGCCAGCCGATGACGGTCACGATATAAAACCTGTCAACCTTAACCCTCTTCTCCAAATGGTCTAGAGTCTGAGACCCCCTTTCTCATTCCATCACTTCTCTGTCACCATTAGCAGAGCGGCCCTTGAGCAAACAAAGAAAGACCATAAGCCATCCTTCCAACCCTTGACATCTCGTCCTTGACACATCCTCGCACTATTCGTATCCTTCCCATCATACCACCACCACCACCACCACCATGCCTATCCCAGTTCCCAAGGCCGAGCGTCTCCATGACCTCTTCAGCCTCAAGGGCCGCGTAGTCGTCGTCACCGGCGCCTCGGGCCCCAGGGGCATGGGCATTGAAGCCGCCCGCGGATGCGCCGAGATGGGCGCCAACGTCGCCATCACCTACGCATCCCGCAAGGAGGGGGCCGAGAAGAACGTCGAGGATTTGCAAAGGAATACGGCATCAAGGCCAAGGCGTACAAGCTCAACACGTCCGAGTACGAAAACGTCGAGAAGTTTGTCGCTGACGTCATCGCCGACTTTGGCCAGATTGATGGCTTTATCGCAAAGTAAGAAGAGCCCTTTGTTGACGATGTGAATAAGAAATAAATCTTCCCCGCGCCCTTCTTCCTTCTTTTCCCCTTTCTTTTCCGCACTTTCTTTATCTTTAGATCAAAGTCCCTAACCATGATCGTAGCGCCGGCGCAACTGCCAAGGGCGGCGTTCTCGACGAGCCCAAGGAGGAGTGGGACAAGGTGATCCACATCGATCTCACCGGAACCGCCTACTGCGCAAAGGCCGTGGGTGCCCACTTCAAGAAGCGCGGCACCGGCTCCTTCGTCATCACCGCCTCCATGTCCGGACAGGTCGTCAACTTCCCCCAGGAGCAGACCTCGTACAACGTCGCCAAGGCGGGTTGCATCCATCTGGCCAAGTCCCTGGCCAACGAGTGGCGAGACTTTGCTCGCGTCAACTCCATCTCTCCCGGCTACATCGACACCGGTCTCTCCGATTTCATCGACGCCAAGACCCAGAAGCTGTGGAACGACATGACCCCCATGGGCCGCAACGGCAACGCCAAGGAGCTCAAGGGCGCCTACGTCTACCTCATCAGCGACGCTAGCACGTACACCACGGGAGCTAACATCACCATCGACGGCGGCTACACCGTCAGGTAAAGGGGGCGACTGTCAAGGGCGATTGGAGTTGTTGGACGGGTCGTTATTCGGCGTTGTTGAAAAGTTTGCCGTCAGGGCTCGTGTAACTCATCTTAGTCCTGATAAGTTGTGAATGGAAAACTCAACCCGCCGCCCGGCAAAAACAAAGTAATTGTAAACTGTGCAGACCTTTTGCCCCAATGCACCTAGCAATGATAGCAATGAATCGATGAGTGACAACGCTGAACCTCAATAACTGTATGTTCACCGTGCTAGAATTGTGATAACCACGGTCAGTCCTACAGATCTACTTCACTACCGAGGTAGAGCCAACCGCACCGAGGTATGGACGTTACATGCAGCTAGTTACCCCAGATCCGTTCCAGTTCATCGGCTCGTGTGGTGATACCCCGCTTTCGAAGGTGGATGAAGCACCGGTTCAATGTTGGCGTAAAGTGGAATGAAAGAAGTTGATGCTCTAGTCAATATATAAGATTACTCTCTTCTTTTTAAACATTACAGAAATATGCCAAAAGTATGATGCCAGTATTATGAACAATAAAGAAAGTTGAAATCGTGAAGGCCCGCCTCAATTGGCCTTTTTGCGTGACGTATGGATCCATGTATAAACAGTACGTGCCACATCGTAGCGTAGCATATAAAACCGCCTGGCGCTCTAAACCCTGACTGGCTTTAGGCATTTTGCCATCATCTCTGCCTTCTTGACGTGCACAGGCTGACCCTTTTCCGTGATAGGGCCATTGGGTGCGGTAGGGTCGACGGCGCTCGGTTCCTGGTGCGTGGCATACGCTATAGCCTCAATCTCGGCGATCTTCCAGCCGCGGAGAACGACCAACAGCAAACCCGCGACAATAAACATGAAGCCGGTGAAGAGCTGCGCGCCAATATACTTGCCCGTGCCAGCGACAATTTCGAGCGCCATCGGCTCGCTAAAGGCGCAGGGGAGCGCGATGACGAGCCACATGAGGTTCAGCGCGGCAGGCACGTCGGCGAGCCCCACAACTTCCGCGGTAACGGGGCGACGGCGACCCAAAACGTGCCCGCCACCGTACCGCCGGCGACGGTGAAAAGAGGAGGACGCCGAGGTTCTTGGCCGGGATCCAGATAGCGAGGACGAAGACGCCGCAGAGCAAGGACATGAGGCCGGCCATGTTGATCCGCCCCGTCCTGTCGCTGAAGAGCCCGACAAAGGGGCGGCCGAGGCCCTGGCCGAGGTTGAAGATGGCGCTGGCGAGGGACGCCTGGGACGCGTTGAGGCCGATGCTGTTGGCGTAGTTGGCGAGGCTGAAGATGAGCACGACGTAGCCGAGCATGCTGAACCAGCCGTAGGAGAGGAGGACGAGGTATTCGGTGCGCTTGAGGAGGCCGGTGTCGAAGGGGACGTGGCGCGAGCCGATAATCTTGTTGCGGTCGCGCAGGAGGATGGCGCAAATGGTGTTGACGACGCACGCGATGATGCCGAGGATGCGGTAGGTCCACTGGATGCCGAGACGCTCAATCATGGCGCCGCTGGCGAGCGAGTACACCAGGCCGCCGATGCCCGAGCCGGCGGCGGCGATGCCGTTAGCCAGGGACCTGCGCGTGGTGAACCACTGGGGGATGATGGCGACGCTGGGCACGAAGATGAAGCCCATGCCGAGACCGAAGAGGACGCCCTGGGTTAAAAAGAGGTGCCAGATCTTGTGGGCGAAGCTGGCGCACACGAGGCTGGCGGTCTCGAGAGCGACGCCGAGGAATAAAGTGGGTTTGGTGCCGAACTCGCGCACGGCGAGGGTGGCGAGCGGGGAGACGAGCAGGGCGCACGCGATGCTCAGGGACCCGATGAAGGCGAACTCGAGGGAGGTGGCGTTGGGGTAGATGTCGGCGCGCAGGTAGTAGGCGAGAAACACGCTGTAGCTCGAGTTGAGCCCCCAGGTGTGCGCGTTGATGAAGGCGGCGGCGACGGCGCAGACCCAGCCGTAGCCGCCGTTGGGCTGCGGGACGGGGGTCGACCTTGTCTTCGGGCCGGAGCGGGTTGCCCTGCGCGTCGAGCGGGACGGGGACGTCGCCGCCCTCTCCGGTGGCGAAGATGGGGTCTTGGGCGGGGCGCCGCTGCTGGGGCTAGGGGTGCGGGGAGGGCGTCATCGTTGGCGAGCTTGAGTCTCCACGATCCTTATTTCGCCAAGTCATCTTGGCGAGATATCGGCGGATCTTGTGTGGGTGAGTTGGTTAGGAGTTTGGCGAGGTCTACATGAGAGTTTGAAAGGGGGACGGGGTTTTCTTAAATAAATGGAAGAAAAAGCCCGTGGAGCCTAGGGAGTCAGATCTTCACGATTGTGGAAGAAGAAAAAAACCGAGATAAAAATAAAATAAAATATTCAACCTATTTAGGAGGTGATTATAAATTACGGGGGCCAAGGCCAAGCGGGACCGGGGTCGTTTTTTCTCTTCTTCTTCTCTGGGTAAGCCATGGACGGGGTCCTTTGACGATTCGCCCCGCACCCTAGTCCCTCTCCAACCGCTGCCGATTGCCGATATGTCCGCCGGGGTTCTCACCCGCATGGGAGGGAAAAGAGGATTTAGGTCCTGGCGTGGCAACCTACCGCCCAAAAAAAAAAAACCGGAGCCTACTAGAGTTCCCCGGCGCCCCGCAGAAATACGCGAAGTCGCGAAATTCCTCTTACCTAAAGGCCCGCCGCTTTTTTTTGGCCTTGGCTTTGCTCCGTTCGCCAAAGACCGAATCGGAGCGGCCCAAAAGGGCGGGAAATTTGGCGAAGTCCGTTGTGCGATTGGTGATTTGCGAATTTTTGTGACGACGTCGTAGCCAATGGGTCGGGGACCCCTCGCCCGCATGCGTCTCCTTGCGTCCCTTGCGTCCGAGGAGCGGAGGGTTTTCTTTCTTTTGATTCCAGGAATCGTTCCGAGCCCTATCCCGTCTGAGACATTGACTCATTCGAGGGATGATTTTGGCAGCAGCCACAAAACGGGGAGCACGGGAATTTCAAAACCACGTACGAGTCGGGAATTTCGGCTCCGGAAGTCACGTGCAGTAGACCCTTGCCTCAAGGCTTAAGCCATGGCTTGCTTCCGAGATGCCGCATGTCACGCCACTGACGAGAAGCGCTAGATATCCCCGTCTCTGATGATATATCTCCGCGGCCTTTTACTCCGATTCATACCTGCATTCCGTCTTTTTCGTCTATCTCTCACCGGTTTTCGCTCGCTATCCTCAACACTTTCTCTCGTTCCTGCTTCATCTTTCAGCCATGGCATCTCGGCAATTTTTTGATCCGGTCGTTGCCCTCCGCGCCGCGCCGCTCGTTTCGGCCACTTGCACGCTGCTCTACGCCTGGGACCAACATCTCTTCCTCAGCGTCCTGAACCAGCCCTCGACCCGCCAGCACTCCCGTCCCATACTGTCTCCTTACTGGAAGGCGCTCTTCCCCAAGGGTTTAAGCATGGTCCTCGGTTTCATCACCGTCACCTCGTCAGCCTCCGCCGCTAATCTCTACGCGCATGGACCCGTTCTCCGCCTGCGGCAGTCGTACTGGTGGTACGTTGCCGGCGCTGCCTTGTCCCTGAGTCACCTCCTCTTTGTCCCCTTTGTCGCCCCGCCGCTCGAGAAGATCATGGAACCATCGGCCCAGGACGGCGAGGTTGATCCGAATGCTGAATTGGAAAGGTGGCTCTCGGTAAATGCGCTACGGTCGGTTACCGTGGACTTTGCTGCCTGGGTTGCCGTTGGTGTTGCTGTGCTCAAGTCCCTCACTGCCTGAGAAGAGGAAAGCGCGAAATCAGCCTTGCAAGGATGGACACCTCGCTACCAATCACTGGAATAACACTGAGCAAAACTAGAGGGACACGGTCCGCGGTGTAGACGTGAACTCCTCACGGTTCACGATGCTTACATGTCTAATGCCTGGCACGGTTGTGTAGAGACTGATCAGGCACATGTATATATATGTAAATACTCCTACTTAGACTACAGTCACAACTCCATTCATAGATTTTACTGTCACCAAGATTAAATCTTAACTTGTTCAATTCTGAGACTTTCCTAACTCATCGAGAAGTGGAAGAGGAGGCGGAGAAGTAGACCTCGACTTTGGGACTAACGGCCATTGCACTAGCGTAAGCGTCGCCCGTCCAAGCGACCAGAAAACAGAAGTCTAAACCGATTTTTATATTTAGGCGAGCCTGGAGGGTGTCCTTATCGCCTAGCTTAGTTTCGATCTAGCCTCACTCCTGCCTATGACGCGGTGATCGGATGGCGGAGTCGGTAATTGAACAACGGGAATATCGGGGCATCTCGTTCCGTCTGATGATGCGAAGCGAAACCGGAATGAACGTCGTTTGAGAAACTATTCGGATGCAGGACATTTGCATACAGGGAGCCGATAAGGAAGCATGCCATGGAATGCCTCGGGAAATTCCCCGACTTCGCTTCACGCGCCTCCGTGCCCCGTCTCTATGTCCGTAGGCAGTATCAAAGTGGGGATATCAAGAGCATCGCTAAGCCCGGACACATACAATTAGAGGCTCCATGCCACAACAAGAGATAATCGGGCTTTTGACGCTTCTATAATACTGAAACTTACTTCGAATCTAGGGTCAGAGATGGTTCTGAAATCTTGTCTCTTGGCACTGCCCTAAATCTGGTCCAAATGGTACCGTCATTATAAATCTAATACGACTCTGCCCCAGGCATTGTTTGATGTGGATTGTAAACGCACTTTGACCCAAGGGAAGAGAACATGATTAGCCATGTTTTTAAATACAATGGATGCATTTTCTCCGCGGGAGCCCAGGCTGAGCTGTTTTGTGCGGAAACCTTGGAGGGGTTGGTATGTTCTCTAGGTTCAAATGTTGTTTGATCTAGATATCTACCACATTTCGTCAACACCCAATGCTTGAGGTTGATTAGATGCGCCATTCCCCAACGTGGCGCAGCCCAAAACTTATCCAGTAAGTCCGCATAGACAGCCACCTTTCTCATCAAAGCAGCGCGTCACGCGGAGTTGGTTGTGAGGACGCATTCGAGGCCAAACATTGCCAACACCTAAGCATGCTGAGACCCAAACTATCAATGACACGTGCGAACCCACGCCAACTACCAAAGCTCCCTCCTCCATTTTCACGCGTAGACCAATATTGCATGTCAGATGAGACGGACCCAGTCGACTACACGCCTAACGTGATCGTCGCAGGCTGCTTTTACTGGGGGTGACTCAAGTCGTATTCAAGTAGACAAAGGGGCAAGGTAGCCGAGATTAACACGTAAAACAAGTCGCATACCCAGGAAAACACGAGAACTTCAGAGATCTAGGTTATGCAAGTGAGGAAACATTTTATGAAACTATGGATCATGTAACAGTTGGCAAGCTTGGTAAAGAGGATGAGTTGCAATCTACCGACAGCTTGCAAGGTAAATTGCGCCGACCCATAACGCGTCTTCTTCTAAAAAGAACCAACGATACGAATCGGCCTTATGTACATGCGGTCTCAAACCTCTCAGGTCTCTCTCTCGCTGAACGCAAGTTTAGTTGGGGGTCAGCTTCAGGAGGCGGCCGCTCGGACCATCCTCAATGACCCAGATGGCGCCCTCCCTGTCCTCTCGGATACCGCGCATGCGCTTGCCCATGGGGATGCGCTGCGTCTCGGCCGCGGTGTCGCCGGTGATGGTGACGCGGACAATGGACTGCGAGCTGAGACCGGTGATGATGGCGTTGCCCTTCCAGCTGGCAAACAAGTCACCCTTGTAGATGATCAAGCCGGCGGGGAGATGACGGGAACCCAGAAGGCCTTGGGGGTTGAACTCGGGGCGGGTAGCGTGGTTGGGGATGGTGCGACCGTCGTAGTGGCGGCCCTCGGACACGAGCGGCCAGCCGTAGTTGGCACCGGGCTCGATCAAGTTGAGCTCATCGCCGCCCATGGGGCCCATCTCGACCTCCCAGAGACGTCCCTCGGCGTCCCAGGCGATGCCGAGCGGGTTGCGGTGGCCCAGGGACCAGATCTCGGCCTGGACGGCGCCCTGGCTGGCAAAAGGGTTGTCGGCGAAGGCGGTGCCGTTGTCGTAGAGCTTGATCATCTTGCCGAGGTTGCCGGCCATGTCCTGGGAAGGGGTCATTTGGTTGATCTCGCCGGACGAGATCCACAGGGCGCCGTCGGGGCCGAAGAGCAGGCGGCAGGCGAACTGGAGTCCGCCCTGGGCCCGCTGGGAGTGGCGCCAAATCACCTCGAGCTCGGAGAGCGCGCCGCCGCCGCTGGCGTCCACGGTCAGCTTGGCGCGCGCGACGGCGCCGCCCGCGCCGCCGGTACCGGTCTCGGCGTAGCTGAGGTAGATGATGCTGTTCTCGGCGTAGTCGGGGTGCAGGGCGACGTCGTGGAGACCGCCCTGGCCGCCGTAGGCGACGGCGGGGACGCCGGTGACGGGGCCCTTGGTCTTGGCGACGGGGTCGACGAGGATCAGGTTGCCGCGCCTCTCGGTGACGAGCACGCGGTCGTCGGGCAGGAAGGCGATCGCCCACGGCTCAGTGTGGTCGGTGATGGGGTCGCCGTGAACGGCTGCTGGCGGGCCTGCAGCTGCTGCGAGGGCACGGCCAAGACACCGGCCACCAACGCCAGAGCGTAGGTGAGGGAGAGTCTGAGATGCATCATTGTTCGGAAAACAGTCCTTTTCTTTTTGCTTCCTGGTGGTTTTGTGTTCCTGGGACAATCGAGGGTTGAGTGCCAGACGTCGAGGAGGTAGAAAAAGTCTTGGGCGGGCTTGTTGCCCCCAGGCAAGTGGGTATATAAGAAATCGGACGACGCGAGGAACCTCTCTGAAGAAGGGCTCGGACAACCTTCCTTGTACCGATTTCAGGCTATTCGCGGCCTTTGATGACTTGATATATATATAAGGTTAACCAGAGTATCTGCACTTTATGACCCCGGTACCGGTAGAAAACGACTTCTCCAATTGTTCCCCATTGTTCCTATTGTTTGCCCCGTCTCCTCCGAGTCTCCATGGGTCGGCAGATTTGGCAAAAGTCCGACATGACATTCCCACCCTAATTTGGCTCGACATTTTATTTGTTACGGTGACTACCGATGCCAAGACCGGGTCGTGGGTTACAATTCTCTGGGCGTCAATATCCCACTTATTAAATTCATCTTTTCTTCCTTGCACCATGCGGGGTCTTCGATCCGCCTCCGCTATCCTTATTAAGGATAACGTAGCCAACCACTTACTACACCATGCTATCCCCCTCCTCCCCCGATTTTGCCGCCCGGATCATTCCTGATATGGCTTGACATCTCGGCCTCGCCCTCTCGTGCCGAACCCCTCACGTGATGCTTATCAGATCCGAGTCGGCGTACCATCTTCTTTCCGGTACCCAATTGAAGCTCCCAGGTCATTTCGTCGAAGGAGTCGGATTTCGTCCGTCAATTCAGTAGTTATAAGAAAGTTGGGTCGCTGTGTCGAACCTCTACCTAGAATGGCTGCTCCAATATTTTCCAGAACAGCGGATACCTGAAGAAGTACCTGTCGGCTGAAGGTCCCGAAAAAGGTCTAGTATACAGCGGGGAAATGGCCGTGTTGCGGGCGGGCCCATCCTTGGCATTTTGGTTATCCAAATCGCACCACCGTATCTAATACCCCAAGAACAACCTGACCCTATCACCAGCCGAACTGCGACCGGCCCAATTTAAGCTACAAGTATTAACGGTAAGGGCCCTAATTATGAACAAGAGAAGTCCGGAGGGCCGCACACTCGTCAATCAGCCGTCATAGCAAACCAGTCCAGTCAGCCAATGCAACGATAGTGTGAACCAACAACCCGAAAGTGTTGACAGGTGACTAGAACATCTGGAACGGGAAACATATTGGATTCTGTGAAGAGATCCATCCATCAATATGTATCCACCATATTCACCATATATAGAACCTGTGAGAAGTCTGCCAAGGAAGGCGTCCATGAAGGCCTCTATGATTAGGAACCATGCTATGCGGTCGCCTTAGCCGACGCCCCTTTTGGTGGGAGACGATCTGCATAGAAGAAAAGAAGAGCTATATCTGTTATATGTATATATAATGCAGCCACTAGAGATAGAGCGAAGGTCTTGGTAACTGCATGCCACATAGCTACCCCAGTCGAGTTGGAAGCATAATTCGTAGGATATAAACCAGGCATCCCATGGCTCTATTCAAACCCATGGCCACACTACTGACACTCACTCTCCCAGTATTGCCAAGAGGCCACGATGTAGTTGATATGATAGATCGACTGCGTGCCACAGAAATATGGCGCCTATTTTCACCGTGGAGCCATCTTATGCGTAGAGGGCACAAGTTCTCTGACATAAGTCCTTGGGGAAAATATCCAATTTCTCTTCGAATGTGTTGTAGCCGGCTCGTTGTGACAGTTGGCTAGCCGCCCTCTTGACTGTGGACAAATACTATTACGGACCCATTGCGTTCACCAGTCAGTATTTGCCTACGCCTCTGCCAGCCTCTACTACTTGTACGAATTAGGGCATTTGAGCTTGTTCTTCGCTCTGCGAGGAGATCACAGAGCTCAGGTATACGTCTGCTAGATAAATTTGGTGTGCGTCCCTCTAGTCTGTTTTATTGTCCCACGCCTGGTCTCTGGACAACGGTTGGTGCCGTGGGTTGGAGGAATATTAGCATTGTAGGTAATGACGGTAACATTGGAAACGCCGCGTCGCCATGACTCCGAGCACAAGTTTGCAGGCAGTACTATATGTTGAAAGTGTGAGATGAGCGTATCGAGGCCCCATCTGCACCAGCCGCGAGGATGGCTGGGATTAGCTTCAAGTAGGCAAGCATAGCTTCGGCTACATATGTGCAATGCTAGTACGGATACTCCCGCGGTGTGACACACCTTTCAGAATGCCACAACCCTGAACCTGAGGATGCAAGGCCATGCGCCACAAAAACCGCAGGAATTTAATCGCCTATAGCGTCCGGAGCGCTATTCCCCCAATAGACCCTTCGCGGGGCCTTGGCGGATGATCAACATACCTGCCGAATGAACTCGTACAGGTAGCCAGGGTCATATGTGACTCGTCTTGCTAGATATTGTTGTGGTTGGCTCTCTTCGCAATCATGAGCCTCCACCATGCGCCGGAATAAAAGGCCAGTTCAGGAGAGTATTTAACGAGACCGAGCTTTCCCCTCTCTCCAATGGGTACACATCTCCAGGCCTCATCCCACAGTTGAGTCCAGCGATGGAGTCCCCGAAATAGGATCGATGAGCTGTTGTCTACTAGGATAGATGTGTGATAATGGAAGATTGGATGTTCAAAGGCTTGTGTTCCCTGGAATTAGTACATAAACCCAACATTACTCACTTATGCGGCAGCACGAGCGGACTCACCTAAAATTGCCACAAGAAGGTGTTTGATGTGCATTTGTTGAAATCGCGCCACGGTCTCGTCTGTCCATTCTTCTCCCAAAAGACCCCCATTACAGACCGAAGACATAGCACTCTCTTGCCGCCCCAATCTTGCCGAGCCACGAGATCCTGGAAACTTTTGGGCGATTCCGCCGCCCAGAGCTCGTCTTCGCAGGGTAAGTCGCCATCCATGTCTAGGAATGTCATGGCTGGGGGTGATTGGTGAAGAGCGTGAACCACGCATCGTTTATAAACACCCAATGAGCAAGCCTAATGCACGATTCCCTGTATATAAAGGAGGACCACTCTGTTTCCAAAGGCAAAGCCTCATGTCGGCTCCCAATCATACCAAGGTCTCTGAGCACATCCACAAACATGGGATGACACTTAGTAATGAGACGCTGCCGTGTCTTGGGGTCTTTGACGCATGACTGAAGGGTTTCGAGGATATAAGCCGCCTGGCAAACTTCAAGCGTCCTCTGTGCGTCGGGGGAAGAGGCGGCGGATCCGAGGAGCTGCTCCACATGGTTGAAAATGTACCTCTCTGCTATCTCTCGCAGCGCGAAACAAAAGTACCAGAATCTACCCTCCTTCTGCGATACAGCAGATACGCAGAACCAGCGACGGCGATGGCGAGGAGCAGAGTCAGGTCTACTCGATCTGGGTGAAATGTTGGCTGGTGTATGACGGTCGCCAACAGCTGATCGCGTTGGAAAAAGGCCTTGATATACTCGCGGAAGTTGGACACCGTGAAGAAGGCAGCAGGCGGTTCTACATGTCGAAATTGGCTAAGGGTAGGTTCTTTTGAAACTACGCGTCGTAGCTCAGCTTCTAAAAGTCCAACTTGGGCTCCCAGCCGGTCATCGGCAAGTTGGTCTGGTCGATCCGGCGTGTCAAGAAGATAGTCATCATCCATGCCATCGTAGCCCGGACCCATGCTGAACGACGCACCAATAAAGCTGGTGAATAGGAGCCTCGGGTCAATCGTGCCAGCATGGGTATCCAGATGCACCGGAGTGTCCATGCTCTGCGGCGGTTGATCATCTGACTGTTGTTCCGGCTCCCTTGTGATGATGATCTCGTCCACTGGGCCGACGGAGGGATCGGTACACGCCAGCAAAAACGGCATGGACGGCCTCTTTTCATCGTCGGCTAGCGAAGCGATAGGTTTCACGCCGGCGTCGGGCCTCGCGACGTGCGCGGGATCCGTGCAAAACCTCCCATATACGCAACGCAAGCCCCGCGACGCACACCGCGAGCACGGCGATCCCGCGTCGCACGAGACCTTGATACGAGCGCACGCATCGCAAGCCCGCACCTTTCTCCCGCGCTTCGCGTCAGGCACGGGGCGGTCGCCTCGGGCGGCACAGGTTTTGGCGTGCCGCTTGGCGCCGTCGACGCGGCGAAACTCTTTCCCGCAAAAGGGGCACCCGTTCGGGCGGGATGGCGCTGGAGCCAATGGTAAGTGGCAGGTGAGACAATCGGGTGGGTTCGGAGAGGCCATGGCCTCCTGGCTGACTTGGGGAGAGCAAACGTCGTGGGAAGAAAGGACAATGGGCAAGTTTGGTGGTGACCAACAGTGTCCGCCTCTGCCGGGGTGAACGGGTGAGTGCTTTTCCCGAGGCTGGAAAATTCGGGCATGGGAGGGAAAAGTGGGGTTTGGCCTTGGAGGTGGGCTAAGTCCGTGGTGCGTTGTGGGATCTTTCCGTGGGCTGGAGAGTGCCGTATTGCGCGGATCCGGACAGTGGGGATAACTCGATCATGGACGGTAGCCACTTCTAGCGATGTGTGAATTTCCCGAAGGCATCGCTTCATCGATGACGAGCCGTATATAGAGCTCTACTCCTGGCTTGGGGCTTGCAGGAGTGTTTTTTTTCCTTAGAAGGTTTGGCCGCATACTTTTCTCGATTTCTTTCTTTCCGTCTTGTTTGCTCTTCTTTTCACCCGCCGGTCGCTGTATAAGTCAAGGCTTTCCTTTTTCTATGACAATGCTCTGTAAGTGACCATCACATCGAAAAGAACTGAACCTGCCCGCCCGTTAACATCGTTGCCAAGATCGTCCTACAACCAACTCCCTATCCTTCGTCAGGACGACAGTGCGTACAAGGCCATGCTGCGTCGTCGCTTCCCACCACTCTAGAGCCCGTAAACAGTCGACAAAAGTGCACCCTGCAGCTCCATCAGCGAGTCGGCAGCTTTCGAGAGAAAGCAGACCTACCAACCTTGTTGAGCATGTCTGGTACTACTTCCACATCCATCCTCCGAATAACGAGCCTTCGACTGATACTTTTGGCGTTAAATCATAGGACCGGCATCGATAACCTCGTCAGCTGGGCGCGAAATGGGTCCATGTGGCCCCTCACCTTTGGCCTCGCCTGCTGCGGCATCGAAATGATGCACGCCTCCATGCCCCGCTACGACCAAGATCGCCTCGGCATCATCTTTCGAGCCTCCTCGCCAGGCGGACGTGATGATTGTTGCCGGTACGGTAACGAATAAGATGGCGCCGGCGGTTCGGCAGTGCTACGACCAGATGCCGGATCCGAAGTGGGTGATTAGCATGGGGAGCTGCGCGAATGGTGGGGGCTACTATCACTATAGTTATAGCGTCGTCCGAGGAGTCGACAGGATCGTGCCCGTCGACATATACGTCCCCGGCTGCCCGCCCACGGCCGAGGCTTTGCTCTACGGAATATTTCAGTTGCAAAAGAAGATTAAGCGAACAAAAGTCACCAGGATGTGGTATAGGAAGTAGATTCGAGCCATGAGAACTGACCCCTCTTTTCTTTTTGGTTAGAAGCCTGCTATATCACAACCAATTTTGTACGTGTATATTAGATGTACCTTGAAGACCGGGGAAAGCCCGTATGGTCAGGAGTGGTTGCATGTAGTGTTGTGCTTTCTCCGGGGGTCTTTTCACAAAGTCCCTGTCTACATATTTGCATGCATGCAGTATATATATCCATCTTCTTCTGTGACGTAGGGTATGAGAATGCCTGCATGTCAACCAAAGCAATAGTCCTTCAACAACCTAAGAGGGACATCACTGCTGCGCTGGAGGCAGGCACTTTGCTCGCTCTCTCAGAACCGTTGACGGATGATTGGTGGGATAAATCAAGGCACTTGTGCCATGCCAGCCTGTCTCTAGGATTATTCGTCCTGATCAACGCCGATAGGGCTTTGGGTATCATTGTTCTAAAGTGCACTTGCCCGTTCCGGGTTCTGGCTCGCAGTCGACCATTCCAGTCGTACGGACCAAAGGGTGTCAAGATCTCCATCCCGGCGGCCAATCAACGGAGTGCAAAAGGCGATTATATCCGCGAGCTGGGTCGCGCCGCAGGACCGCCTCGCCGCATGTTGAGACGAGGTTCCACAATAATACCACATCCGCCCATGTTAAATCGTCCCTCTGTCGGAGATGGTGGAGGGAGACGCACTTCCTCACCTCCTCGATGGTATGTGCACGCGTCACGGCGTGGATGGCACTTCTATGCATGTCAGCACAGGGATGATTGAATGGCTGAATCTAAATATCAGCCAATAGGCCGTTGACAATAACAAAATACAACTTCAATGATGGAAAGGAAAAAGCTGTCTGTAATGAGGGGACGTGGATAACGAACGTGCCCAGATGCGACACAACTTTTTATTGGTGTTACACCGTGTGCAGTACGGCAGTTGGTCCGTAGGGCGGCGTCTTTTTGACGCGGCCCAGCCAACGCCCTGAGGATCATATGAGCCATATTAATTAGGGCGGACGCCCTTATAGTAGCCGCTCGACGAGATTGGCCCCCGATGTGGATTCTTGCCTCCAGGAGTTTATCTACCGCACTGTGTCTGATACCCGACCCATCGTGCTCACGTCTTCCAGAAGCCCTGCCGTCGACGAGCCGCAGCGTTATTCGAAGACGCCGCGGACTTGGGTGGTGACAGGACGACCTGCGGGATATTTGGAATGGGGCCATTCAGTATTACCAAGAGTATACAAATTGAATACAACGCCGTGCGCTCCACTCGCGAATATACCCGTGCAAATATTTTCATTCTTAGTGGAACGTGGGCCTTGGAAGGATTCGGCCGAGAGGTGGGTGAGCAGTAGCGAGGAATTTGCCCAGATAGGGCTTTGAAGAGAGTAAGCCGGGGATAGGGGAGAATGGCTGTATATAACAATAGAGAAGACCATGCCATGGGGTGGACTACAGTTCTAGCTACTAGGTAACTTCGGCGACTCTTTCGATCGACGGACGATTATGGCCACTCGAATGATTTCCTTTGCGCTGGCTTGTGGTGTTCTTCTCGCCACCAGTGAAGCCAGCAACCCATGGAGGTGAGGTGACACCCAAAACTAGACGAGGTCTTCGGGTGGGGGGACTTTGCACCTATCTCCGTCGACCATCACATACTAAGGCTAGATACTAATGTGCGCTCACACTCCTTTCTTTCAAGGCGGGAGAACAACGATTACCCTGTCGATATCGTCGACGAACTGCAGGATGAAGGTCTCGATAACCTAGCTACTTATCTCGAAAGCAATGCCGCTTCCAACTGTACGCTAGAGACCGCGGCCAAGCGCATGGAATGGTAAGCCAGGCTTATCCCTCACTGTCCAGAGACCGTGTTTCCTAACATTCCGGACACGAAATAGGGGCGACCTCACCATCGCGGAAAGGGAAGAATACGTCGAAGCCGTTCTATGTCTACAGTCACTCCCCTCTCAGGCCCCCGAGGGTGCGGCACCCGGCGCAAAGACTCGATACGATGACTTTGTTGCCATTCACATGATATACATCGCCACGCTTCACTCCCCTGTAAGTGATCGAGTCGGTTATCCTGCGTCTTTGCCATGTTTATGCTGGGTTTAACAAGGCCTCGGACTAACTTCAATATCTACACTCAGGCCCATCTCCTCCCCGCCCACCGATTGTACACATATTTCTACGAAAAGGCGCTAAGAGAAGAATGCGGCTATTCGGGGTACCAGCCTGTATGACAGGGAGGGTGCACTACACCACTAGCACCTATTCATTTCCCGCCCCCTACCCCTAGATCACGATCCGCGATTCTTTGTAGGGCTGACACGTTTGTCTACAGTACTGGAACTGGGGCCGATACGCCGACGACCCCGTCAACTCTCCGCTTTTCGACGGTAGCGAAACGAGCCTGGGAGGAGATGGTGCCTTTAGCGAATACCCTGGTCCTCAGTTCCCGGGCTTCCCACCCCCATGGATAAACTTGCCCCGGGGCCGGTGGAGGATGCATCACCGAGGGTCCTTTCAAAGAGTATGCGAGGAGTCGATCCATGCCTGCCCTCCCCTTGCCACCACTCGGTTGAATCAAACTGACCGCATTACACCTTGTAGCATGGTTGTGAACCTCGGTCCCGTAATTCCTGGCATGCCCGACACGCCCCCGAACCCCCAGCCAAACGGCCTCGGCCACAACCCGCGCTGCCTTCGCCGCGACGTCAACCAGCACTCTTCGGCCATCACGACCCCGCAGCACACGTTTGACTTGATCGTCGAGTCGGACGACGTGGAAAAGTTCCACGACCGGATGATGGGCATCGGCTCGCAAAAGGACCTTGGCGTCCATATTGGCGGGCACTACACGATCGGTGGAGACCCAGGCGGCGTACGTTGACATGCATCTTTCTTCCCGCCCCAATCCTACCTGCTGCCCCCGAGTTGGCTAACACGTTCCGACCCATCGCAGGACCCTACGTTTCCCCGGCCGACCCGGCCTTCTTCTTCCACCACGGCATGATTGACCGCGTCTGGTGGATCTGGCAGTTACAGGACCTCGAGGCCCGAATGACCGCCATCCCCGGCCAGGACCCGAACGCCCCGCCGCCGCTGGACTGGGCGACGACCTTGTTCGACCAGTACGTTTCCGCGTACCCGCACCTTCCGGGCGACGCCGAGTTCGATTACGAGGAGTACTTGGACACGGATGCGGTGGACTTTGGCTGGCTGGGCGGGCCGTGGACGTTGAGAGAACTGGCGGACACGGTGGGCACGACGGGCGGGGCGTTCTGTTACATCTACGTCTAAAGACTGCGCGAGAGGTGGACAGATCGGGTGTGTTTTAAGTCTTCTTTTGCCCAAATTTTTGAACTCCTACAAAATGCATGCATGTTATTGCTCCGAATTGGGCCAAGACATTGAAGTTATTTTGGACGTTTCGATTCGTCGGTAAAGGGGGAATGTAAAACTTTTTGTAATAAAATAAAAACCTTTTCAGAGGGATTCTTGCTTAAATAAACAATAGTGAATCTTTGCCTCCTCACTTGACCTCCAGCCAGCTGAACAGCTTTGAGTCGAAAATCTTAGCGAACCTTGGTCTCATTCTCGGTTCTCGTATCTCATACGACATACGGGGAGGGTCAGTATCAGTAGGGTAACTTTGGCTTACATGTAGGCACCTGCCCCATGCGAACAGTGTAGATTTACAAAACAATGGCACCCGCGGAATTCGGCGCCCTCGGCTACTGGGACGAGCGTTATACGAAAAGGACCGACTTCTTCGACTGGCTCCTGCCCCCTCAGCTCTCGACAAGGCCGTCACGGCAGCCCTCCAGGCGTCGCCTCGCGCGGAGCCCAAGATCTTCCACATCGGGTGCGGCACCTCGACGGTGTCGTTTGCGCTGCGGAGGCTGGTCCCCTCCCCGCGGCAGGTGCACAACACCGACTTTTCCAAGCCGGCCATCGAGCTCAGCCAGCAGCGCGAGCAGGAGCTCTTTGCCACGAATGGGGCGGCGGGGGCGGAGGCGGGCCATGGCATGACTTGGAGCGTGGTGGACCTGCTTTCCCCCACGAGGTCTGGCGTCTGGCCAATGGGGACGGGGTGGGGAGCGGGAACAACCCTTTGACGTGGTGGTGGACAAGTCGACGAGCGACTCCATCTGCTGCGCGGACGACATCCTCGTGCAGCTGCCGTATCATATACGGGACGGGGGCGACCAGTTGGGAGACGGCGGCGAGGCGCCTTCCGCGTCATCGAGGGAGGGGGTAATACGCGTGTCGTTCATCCATTCAACCTGTTGGCCGTGCACTTGGCCTACCTCGTTCCGCCGGGCGGGCGGTGGGTAGCGGTGACCTTTGCAGAGGCCCGTTTCGACAAGTTTACGCAGGGAGCGGTGGAGAGTGACCAAGGGCGCGAGGGCGGTGGCGGATCCGCCGGAGCTGGGGAGGAGGAAACGGGGCGGCGACGAGAGCAGCGCCAGCAACAACGTCAGCAGCGGCGTCGGGCGGGGTAGTCGAGGCGAGGACAGGGGCGGCGACGCGGGTGAATCCCTGTTATTTCGACGACCCCGGACGTCTGTGGCGGATCGCGTCCTCGGAGAGGATTCTGGTCGAGGACGACGCTGACGGCAAGAATGGTGCCGGCGGGCATGTCACGCATCGACCGGCCATCTATCATCACCTTGTTGTGCTGGAGCGGACGGAGGCCGGGGTTGGGCTCGAGTAAGCCAATTAGCCGTGGCCAAATTTCCACGTCTTCGTGTTGCACAGCATCAGCATCCATCGCTTGAAAAATAATGGCGATGCTGACATGCATCCGGGGAATGGGGCGAAAGCGAGAGAACAATTCGTGCTTCGGCTGACCCGTGGCCGGCCACCCCACTGGAAGACATTACTGAACACAACAAAACACCCCACAACTGGCCTGACCAGGAAAAAGAAAACGCCAAGGACGGGGAGGGGGACGCCTCACAGGCTGAAAAAGGAAGTAGAATTGCTCCGATGAGGGGCGATGAGGGGGAACCAAGTTGCGATACGAGTCAACTAAGACCGCTAGACAGAGGAAACAAAAATAAAGTAAAGCTGGACTGCGGGCCGCCCTGATTTTTCCTTGTCCGCCGGCTTTCCGTTGTCTTATTTTTGGGTTCTTTTACGAAGCTGCAAGGTGATCCATCGATGCCGCCGATCATTCCTCATCACACGCTGGATACGAGGTCGGGCCTATGCAGGAACCTCGCAATGTGCGCCATAAACAGGAACAGGCCACTGAGCGTCGATCCCCATCCGTGCCTGAAGAACGAAGTGTAGGCATTCGCGTGGCTGACCCTCGCCAATGTCCCCCTCTCCCTCCCCTCCATCCCGCGCCCTTTCGCGGTGCTTTGTCTCCGAGCGGTGCCAGAGGAACTCAATCATCGGGCGCCCGCCCTGCGATGCTTTTTGATCCCTCAGCTCGCCCCGTCGGCGTCGGGCACGGCCAGGGTCGGCCAGGCCAGGCAACAGAGGTCCTTATTCAGGGTGTAAGACCGGCGGATTGTTCGACCTGGGCGAGCCAATCACTTGGTGTCCCTGACCGTGTAGGAATTTGGCTCACCGCGGGTTTGGCGGGTGAGGCACTGGAACTTGGCCAATCGGCATAATTGCAGGCCTAGCGTGCTTAGGGGAAAACAAGCAAAAACACAACAAGTAGAGGGTCAAGTGGTGTGTGGGATGGAAGCGGAAGCTTGGAAAGGGCTGCATTTCGGGATGCACTGCCGGAACAATATGTCATCGACCGGGTTGCCATTTCGCAAGCGCGGAAATGAAGAAAAGGGGTGCCTATATATAGACCTGCGGAATCTCACCTCTTAGTCTCACTCTGTCTTGTCTTTTGCTCCCCACGGCCGACTATAATCGAACCAACACTGTCGATACCTCGTCGCAAGCGTCTTCGCCGGAGCAAGCAATCGCCCAACAGCAGCACCAGTCGTATTCTTCCCTCTTGTTCTTCTTCGCGACACATCAGCAACCATGGTGAAGCTCCACTCTCGTGAGCCTCTGTGGGCTAGCCTGTTGTCCTTTGCGACTCTGGTCCTTGCCGACGGTTGCGATCAGTCGGAACCCGAATGCTGCTACCAGGCCTGGTCATCCTGGTCCTCGTCCAAGCGAGCGTTCGAAACCGGCTCGCCCAGCCTCTACTCCACCGCGCTCCGAGCGTACTCCACCGAGATTCCTAACCCGTCGCTGACCACCCTGTGCGACGGATTCCCCGGCTCCTGGGCCCCGACTACGAGACCTTTACGTCGGTGACCACGTTCGACGAACCTTCGACCACGTGGATCACCGAGTCGTACACGACGCCCCCGCCCTCGTGCAGCATCTCGGACGAGGACTGCACGCCCTTCATCCTCGACTACGAGTCCTCCTCGGCCGAGTACCAGACCAACGCCTCGGCCCCCTGGCCCAGCGTGCACCCGCCCTGCACCACGTACTCGGCGTGCCCCGGCGAGGGCGAGGGCATGTGCAAGATGATTGCCGACGTCGCCACCATCTACTACTGGCCCGCCACTGTGACCGGCGACTCCTGCGGCGACCGCACCACCCTCACGCACGACGACCCCACGCGCACCACCGAGCTGCACGGCACCACCTTCACCTCGCCCAGCGTCTACGTCGTCGTCGACTCCCTGCAGGTAGCCAGCTACGCCGGCAAGTACAAGGCCAAGGGGTGCGGCCACGACCTGTACAACCGCGTCATCGCGATGCACCCGACCGACGTGAGCACCCACTTTGGTCCCCTCAAGAAGAACAACCAGGTCTTCCGCCAGCTCGACCTCGCCGACCTCAACAGGCCCGTCCCCGCCACCGCCTATTTCGGCGTCGACCCCTTACCCGACTGCGCCGCCGACCCGGACGTCTGCGCGACGTCGACCATCTCCCTCGAGACCGAGGTCTACCGCTGGCTTTCGGCGCCGACCCAGCTGCTCCGGGACCTCGACGCCACCGAGCTCGCCGCGTGCGACCTCCACCCCAGCCAGCGTACCGCGCTCGGCGCGGAGTGGGTCGCCCTCGAGCCGACGCAGGATGGGTGGCCGGAAATTACAGGGGTTTCGTCGTCCGAGGGCGCTGCCGAGACTAGTGTTTCTGGGGAGACGATGAGTAGGCGGCGGTGGCGGTGGCGGAGGTCTGACCGCGGTGGCTGGAAGAAAGAAAAGAAAAATAAGGAAAGAAGAAGACAAGCGCGATCGGGAAGAGGCTTGGATCGAGATATGGGCCAAGATTGCGAGAGAGGGCTTTCTTGTTTATCAACGTTCACGGCCTTTCCGTCTGTGCATCTCGATCTCTGGTGGGCCTCGGTAGCTGTCACGATCCAGTGTCAACTCGGACACTAAAGATCCAGGACACTGTTTATGTTTCCTCTACAAAAAGAGGTAGACAGTAGACAGATATTAATTCCACATACGCATCGTGCACATCATCATTCTTCTTTTCTCATTCCTTGGTTATTTGTCCCGAGTGATCGTTGGTGAGTCGGACAAGCCGGACCCCAAGAGCAATAGTGTCTACCATTGCTGGACGCGTGGAACAAGGTTGTATTTTTGCCACAAATCGTGGGTGAGGAGATAACTGGAGATTGGCACACTGCACTGCATTTACTTGACATTATTAGTTGATGTATTGATCAATCCATCGTCGATCTCCTCCGTATGGATCCCTCGATTCCATTGGAGGCCAACCGGTCTGTCTAGCCTAACCCAGACGAATGGATAGATTCATTGAAGAGGACGCGCTGCCCATCCCCACTGCTTTGGGCGAGCTATTGAATTGACGAAATCCAGGCACGATAAGCTCCACACGAGGAGGGCGGAGAGGTTGTTGGGGGCATTTGAATATTACGGGACTGGCATGAATAAACACCTCGCGCCCGAGCGTGATTCGCCTTGTTTTTCTCCTTCTTTTCTTCCGGGGCTTTTCTTCCTCGCCCCTTGCAGAGCATGGAGAAGAAGGGGAGGGGGCGAGCTAAAGAAATTTTGATCGATCCATGCCGTGACTCTGAGCGAAAAGCACCGCGCTAAGAATTTCAATAATGCGCCAAAAGCGGAATGGAATGGAACGAGTGGGACAGGGGTCGATGGGCGGGTTGGCCAACTTCTGCAAGGGACCGCACAAACCTGCGCAATTTCCATCGCCATCAGCCGCAGACCAACTTCGCTCTCTCTGCCCTGGCATGACGGGGAGATGCACTGCCCTGTTGCCAAGGGGGACAGCCCGAGAGCCACCCAAGCCTTTGCCGAAGCCACGAGGGGTATTTTGGCTGGCATCGACTGAACGACCGTTGATGCTGGGAGGGTTTTGGGCTTCGTGGAGAAGAAAGTTTGAATGATGGAGTAAAGGTTTTCGTGAGCGGAGGTTAGGTTAAGGTGAGGGGAAACAAGAAACCTTGCCGTCTCTCTTCTTTTGCTTCCTCTGCTCGGATTCTTCCAGCTCCGAGTCCTGTCTTTGTTTTTCCCGCCATCGCCCGCCCCCTTCTCCCCAAGACCCACCTGCTTAGCGTGATGATAGGCGCGATGCTAGGAGCATCAGCCAGAAAAGTAGCTCGCCCTGGTTGATGAGATGACAAGTATTATCAGGGCAAACGGAGAAAGGGGGCAAAGAGAGAAAGAGAGAGAGAAAAAGGGTGTGTGTGGTCGGGAGATTGACCGGGGGTCCCACCCACTGATACAAGCGGACACTGGAATTAATGTGATCAATCGGCGTGCTACAGGAGGTCACTGTCGCCGAACCAAGCTTTTCCTACCGCGGCATCGTCTCCTGATTTCAGCTTGAACATCGTGACATTGCTAGCGCGGTGACCAAGCGTGGCCCCCTTCCCCGGCAGTGCTGCGTGGTGCTGCTCGGTGCAAAGCTTGCTTTCTTTTGTGCTCATCACCACACAACTGGGACTGGGACTGGGACTGGGACTAGGACCTGGGGGTGGCTAGCGGTGATTTGATCTCTGGCAGCGTGAGGATTGGAGAAGTACGTGGACTGGTATCAATAAAAAACCACCCGGCCCCTTTTCCCTCGTGCCTCGCTCCGGTCTCCGTCCCTTTTTTCTTTTGCACTCCTCAACGATTGACCGTCACTCGCTTTTTTGGTTTCTCAGTCGTCCGTGGTGTCGGTGTCCTTCGCCTGTCTTTTTGGTCTGACTCTTTCAGACGTTCTCTCGCTTTCCGGTGTCTGCATCGCCATATCACCACCAACCCTTATTAGTAATTTCTTTTTGGCCTCTCATCCCCACAAGTCACCATGAAGACCAACTCCCTCTCCGTTTTGGCGGTCCTGCTTGCCGCGCCGCTGGCTCTCGCCATTCAGGATGGTCCCGTCCAACGCCCGCGTGGTGCCAAGCGACTCGTGCCCGCCCCGGGAGCCTTGACGACCAAGTCCAAGTGCACCAAGACCCGATCGGTAAGTGCCCGTTCCAACTTGTTCTTCTTCACAAAGAGGAAGAAGGGATTTTTGTTGTCCTCCAGCAAAAGCCTTTATATCTGCCACTCCTAACACTGTTCCGCGTTTGATAGAGGTCGACTGTCACCGTAACCGTCACTGCTCCCGGCACCGGTGAAGAAACAACCGTCACGATCCCCACCACCATCACACTCCCTGGTGAGATCGAGGAGACGACCGTGACTATCCCCACCACCATCACTCTTCCCGGCGAGGGCGAAGTCGTCACCGTCACCGTCCCCACCACCGTCACGCTGCCTGGCGAGGGTGGTGAGCTCGTCACCGTCACCGTCCCCACCACCGTCACGCTCCCTGGCGAGGGTGGTGAGCTCGTCACCGTGACTGTCCCGACCACCGTCACCCTTCCGGGCGATGATGTCGAGGCGACCGTTACCATCACTGAGGGTCTCACCGTCACCGAGGCTGCCGTCACCATCACCGAGCCTCTCACGATTACCGAGGGTGGTGTTACCATCACAGAGGCTGGCGTCACCGTCACCGAGGCTGGTGTCACTGTCACGGAGCCACTCACCATCACCGAGCCTGTCGTTACCGTCACGGAGCCCCTCATCATCACCGAACCTGCTATTACGGTTACCGAAGCTGGCGTCACCATCACCGAGGCTGGTGCCACAGTAACTGAGGCTGGTGTTACCGTCACTGAGCCTCTCACGATTACGGAGCCCGTTGTCACGGTCACTGAGCCGCTCATCATCACCGAACCTGCTGTGACGGTGACTGAGCCTCTCACGATCGTTGAGCCCGCCGTGACGGTGACTGAGCCTCTCACGATCGTTGAGCCCGCCGTGACGGTGACTGAGCCTCTCACGATCATTGAGCCCGTAACCGTTACTGAGCCTCTCACGATCATTGAGCCCGTGACCGTTACCGAGCCTCTCACGATCATTGAGCCCGTGACCATCACGGAACCGCTCACCATCATCGAGCCCGTGACCATCACCGAGCCTCTCACCATCACCGAGGCTCCCGTTACCGTCACCGAGCCTCTCACCATCACCGAGCCCCTGACCATCACGGAACCCCTCACCATCATCGAGCCTCCCGTTACCGTCACTGAGGCTCCCGTCACGGTCACGGAGCCCCTTACCATCATCCCGCCCCCGTTACCATCACCGAGCCCTCTCCGACCACCACCACCACCACCACCACGGAGTCGACCACCATCACGGAGTCCACCACCATCACCGAGCCCACCACCATCACCGAGTCGACTACCACCGTCACCACGACCACCCAGTCCACGACCACGACCACCACAACCACCACCACTACGACGTCCGTCACCACGGCGGTCTCCTGCCCTACTGGCAACCCCGTTATCAACGGCGGGTTCGAGAACAGCTTGACCGGAAACTGGAAGCTCTACCCTGCAGGAGATGTCGCGCTTGAGCGTGTCCAGGGAACCGGCGGCACCGGATCCTACGCGCTCCGGTCCAGGATCGGCGCCACCAACAACAACTTGTCCCAGCGCATAGCCCAAGCCATCACCGTCTGCCCTGGTGTGAACTACAGGGTCTCCTTCCAGTCGCGTCGGTTCACGACCGCGGGTACCATCGCGGCTTACCTCTACATCGGTGACGTGGCCCTTGCCGGCGGCCCGGTCACCAGCACCAATTTCGCCGCCGCCGTGCCCCTCAACGGCGGTGTATTCTCGACCACGTCCAACAGCGTTCTTCTTACCATGGAGTTCACGTATACCTCAGGTACGGGCTCGGCGAAGGAACTCCAAGTTGATGAGATTATTCTCGAGAGGCTTTAAATTGAGCGTTGAGGTAGCGGTATATACTAGGAACAGCCCGTCATGTTTATGTACCCTTGCGGGGATTTGTCCTATTTATTTACATGGAACTCGGGGCTGGTAGGGCCGATTGGCGTTCTTTTTGGTTTTCAAGCTGTTCTTTAAACCCTTTTTCTTCTTCCATGCCTGCGGCATCTGTCCCGAGCATGTCTATTTACACTAGCAGTAACGCCCTAATTAAACGAACTTGTTAGCGAAGAAGACCCCTCAATGTATATCAATTGTAGTGAACCATGCATCGAAGAACAGAAATTGCCAACATACCAGTCTACGATCCAAGATTGCTTCCCATTCAAACTCGTGCACACTGCCGCGCTACTGGCGTTGTCGACGGCGACATCGGCGTGGCACCAGCCATCGCGGCAGTATTCCTGAGAACTCTCGCCAAGGATCTTTGTCGCTAACGCCTTGGCGTATCCTCTGCCACGATATGGTTCCTGCGTAGAAGCGTGCGGTTAGACCGGCCACATTAACGCGTGTAAAAAACTGTACGGAAGGGGAGGTAAGACACCTCGCAGTGAAGACTTGTGAGGGAACCGTCCACTCCTGCCAAACTTGGTTAGCGGACCTCTCGAAGCCGAGACAGCGAGGTCTCTTAAGAAAGAGGGGGAAAAAAGCCGGGTCGAGACTAGCCAAGGCGGATCTCACCTAAGAACGCCCAAGCCACAAGAGCGCCATCTGTGTGTTTGATGGTGAGACTCGGTAGCCGCGTAAACGTATGTCTGACAGCAGACGTCAGTCTGAGACCATGGTCTTGGAGCCTGAGCTAAGGGACATCACCCGTACAGTTGCCGCGGATAGGGCGATCGGGAGATTGCTGCGCGACAGTCCTCCTCGGTCGCAGGCGACCAGTACATCTCATCCCCCAAATTAGGCCCCTTCGCCGGTAACTCGTCAACTCGAAATAGCCACTTGTTGTATCCAATCCCTTCCGAATTGGACTGGATCCGTCCCCGCGCTCCCTGATCGCTTTCACTACATCAACGTGCACCGCACCCACTAACACCGCCCCCGGATACGCCAGGGTCCCCTCGACATCCCGCGCCATGCGTCTCACCTCCTCTACGACGTCGGCGATTTGCTGCACGCACGTATCCCGGTCGTCGCCCGCGAGCTGCGCGCCATTCTCGAGGGAGGAGTAGATCCACACCTGGGTCTCGGACCCGGCGGCTAAATCGACGTACGCGGCCGTGAAGTGCGGTGGTTCCGCGGCATCCGGTCCGGCCTCCGCCGCAGAGGCTGGTGTGTAGAGAACCCTGGCGGTGGTGGTGGCGGCCCCGCGTTGGGAGCTGTCAAACTGCAGCCGGCGGAGTAGGGGAATGGAGTACGGGAGGTGGAGGGTGAGGAGGTCCAAGAGGCGAGAGGGTGCTTCGGGGACGGAGACGACTGTGGAAACCATTTTTGCGCGTTTGTGGAGAAGATCTACGGGTTCCCTCAATTCTTCCCTCCCTTTTCTTTTTCTCTTTTTTTCCCCTTGAACCCAATCGGTCTTCACGGATTGATGCGGAGAATCCGGTAGCATCGCGTGAATCAATCCGCCACTGCTACCATTTCAGAACAATGCTGCTATTTTTATTTCAGAGTCATTGTGACTAATAATACTACAAAAGGGCAGAGAGCATAAACGAGACATGACTCGCTCAAGTCTGCCGAGGTAGCAGTTGCTTTTCTGATGGCTCGATTCCAAGGAAGATTTGGTTCAGTTTAAGGTGTGGCTCAACACAAGCCCCACCTTTGATCGGCGAAAGAGAGGCCTAGCACTCTTATTTATTGATGGAAGAGGGGAGAGGTTTAGAGTTATTAATCCCTCACTCCTCGACGATATCCTCATCGCCAACCACGGTTCACCTTGCCTCCTGCGAAGTGGGGAACAAGGGGATAGAGATTCCGGTAATTTGAAGGATTCAAGTCCGCGGCTCCATCGGTAATATCACGTGACTTCATCTGAAGCATCCCAATTTCTTTTCGACGAATTCCTTCGGAATCCTTCCCCTTACCGCAACCCACCCTGAGTGGCAAGAGAAAGAGAAAAGGATACAAGAAAAAGGGGTTGTCCAAAAAAGAAGCCAACGAGAAAAGAACAACAGGGCTTGCGAAGGCAGAAAAAAACACCTCGAGGACAACAATGCCTTCCACCCACTGGCTCACATCCATCGCACTGGCGACGTGCAGCATGGGCGCCCTTGCAGCCCACGCCCAGCCTCGCAACCCAGTGGCGTTCGAGGAGCTAGCCCACCTTGGCGACTTCAACCCCCTCGAGAGGCGCGGCGAGCCCGTCATCGGCGCCATCCGGACCTACACCCTGCCCTTTTGCGACAACGACACGGACAACCTCGGCGGCGGCGGGAGAGACTGGACCATCGCGCCGGACACGTGCATGAAGGTGTCCACGAGCACGTCGTTCCAGATCTTCAAGGTGCCCCAGTGTGCCAACGGCACCCAGGCTCTGCTGGCGCGGTACGAGGGCCGCGACTGCAACTACGGCGAGATCACTTTTGACGGGGGCCTGGTGGAGGTGGCCGACAGCGACCTGTACAAGTGCCAGACCGTCGGGCCGAGAAACTACACGGTCGACGAGGAGCACGCGTCGCTCGCCAGCTTTGGCTTCTACTGCGACGGGCGGCAGTCGGAGCGCCCCTTAGATGACGACAAATCCAAGGCGAAGAAGGGCTCCGTGTCGATGAACGTGTGCCCGAACGCCGCGGGCGAAACGAGGAGGGCCCCGACGTGGGAGCATCCCGCACCGGATGAGTGCGTCGTCGCCCTCTCGGGGTGGCAGGCTAGCATCTACAAGGCGGCAGTCTGCGAGAATGGGAAGCCGTCGCGCTTGGCTAAGTGGACCACCAACCGCTTCTGCGAGGGTAAATATGACTCTATCGAGGAGATCACCGACGACATGATTGACAGCTGTATCCTCATCAGCGCGGAGAAGCACGGAGCTATGAGTTTCTACTGCAACGGCGCCGGCCTTGGATGGGCGCTTCCGAGCAAGCAGTCCGTACTCCTCCTCGCCTCCTTTTGGATTACCGCTCTCGCTGGTTCAGCTCTTATATAGGTCGTTTCCCGATACCCGCTGGGTCAGCGATAGACTGGCGAATCTTCACCCGCTTGGGGAACATCACTATACGAACACGGCAAGTCGCTTCGCTGACTAGCGCCTTGGGACGGAGTGTACGAAATTAGGCACGCGAATAATGCCGCTTAAGCATGTGAAAGGCGCGTTGAAAAAAGGCATCTCGAACACTAGAGAGGCGCCGGCCACGCTCGACGGAGGTGTGGGCATGAGGCGCTCGTTATGGCGCATATAGAATTAGGGAGGTAGAACGCTGCAAAATTCGGAGAAGATTCGTCTTGGGGGCCTCTGAGGCACCTGCCGCGGCGTACTTACCTCCATCACGTCTGGGCCCTTGGTCCCCATTCGAATTATCTTGACCTCAGAACCGCACGCGATCCTTTAGTCACCGGGGAGGTAATCCTCTCCTTCACTACGTTGGGCAGATGTCCCACAGCCTCAGGCTGATCTATATCAACCTCTCCGGGTATCTGCTTCCAAGCCATTCCGCACGTTGCTCCATCGCCGCGGATATGGACGCTACACCACAGCGTTAAGCGTCCTTCTTGATGATGTGCTTGCGATGCCCTTATCTGTACATACATGACTTCGGGCTGGCTATTGGTTCTCATCAACCATACTAGGGCTAGACTTTGAGAATTCCTTAACTAGGGATGCGATGGTGAGCCTAGTTCTTCATGGTACACCTAGACATTAATAGTAATAATACCCTGATTGCATACACTACGCCTATGAAGCAACGTGAACATACTTACATTGGAAGGGTGGATGGATGCCAAGAAAAGAAGTTTCATAATTTTCAGTCGTCTAAGTCCCGATACAGTCTTGGCACTCCATGGGCTTTCGATACCACATGTATAATCCATCTCATCTCGGAACCGTACATTTACTCTCCCCTTGCGCCATCTCTTATAAGAGCTGATTTCTGTTCTGTTCTGTTTGGGTTCAATGTTGGTCCGGGGCACGGTTGCCGCCATTGAGCATCCCTGCCAACTGGCTTGGCAACACCGACCAACAGATCCATGGCATTAGATGCTGTCGAAACTTAGCCTGTTTCTGATGCGCGCTTACGAAGGGGGTTAGGTATAACATTGGTGCAATGTCATCTCACAGGCATACAATCACATGTAAAGAAGTACTGTTTTCATCTCTGGACTAGATATCTCGTGCCGTTGAGGCGATGAATGTTGACGACTACTACACAAAAGGGCAAGTTCAACGTGGAAGCAATTTGGTATAAGTTATAGTATAGCTGCATGCTCATAGCACCTATAATTCTTCATGGCGACAAAATTGCACGCCATTGCCCAACCTCAAAACTCAAGGTGGACGCACAATTAGAAAGATCCAATAGCTCTCCACCAAGCAATCGGGCCCCTTGATCTCTTATAAATACCAACTGGATTAAGTGTACCAGGTAGGCTCAGGCACCTCACCCAGGAGCTGGAACCGGCCCAGCTCCTTGTTCTTGTACGCGACGGGGTCGTGGAGCGTGTGCGTACGTATATCCCTCCAGAAGCGGTCGAGGCCGTACTTGCTGGCCGTGGTCCTGGCGCCCGTGACCTCGAACACGCCCGCGGTGACGCGCAGGCCCGTGTCCGTGGTGACGACCTTGAGGCTGGCGACTGTCTCGGCAAGGAGGCCGCGGTCCTGGGCCTCGACCTTGGAGCGGTCGGGGGTGCCCTTGGCGTAGACGGCGTCGATCTCCCGGCCGGCCTGGTCGGCGAGGGCTTCGGCCGCACGGACGTGGGCGTGGAAGTTGCCGTAGTTGCTGAGGACGTAGAACTCGTCTGTTCCCTTTTGCTTGTTCTAATAGCACGCGCGGCGAAGCGTAAGTACTTAGGCTTCTATGTTTGATTCATCGGGAGTGATTAGCTGCACTTACCTCACCGCCGTAGGGCCATGCGCGGGTGGTGGCGACGGTGTATTTGGATGCGGTGGCTAGCGCACCCTGGGCGATGCCAAGGTAGAAGTTGGCAAAGACGAGCTGAATTCTAAAGAAACGGGAAAGAAACAAGGGTTAGCATCGCATTTTCTTCGTATGTGTCACCTTTTACTGCCAGGTCAGACTTACGTAGGGAGCAAAAGGCTAGCAAAGGGAATGCCGAGGAAGGCAAGGTCGGGCTCCTTCTTCTCGATATCCCAGCCGAGCGCGTCGGCCCACGGCGCAGTGACGTTCTCAATCTTGACGCTGCCGGACTCGGTCAACCTCAGTCCGATGTTGTCCCAGTTGCGCTGGAACTGGATGCCGGGCTGATCGGACTTGACAAAGGCAAAGATGTGGTTCTCCGTGCCGTCGAGGACGCCCTCGAGCACCGTGAGGTCAGAGATGACGCCGCCGGTGCTAAAGTTCTTGAAGCCGTTGAATACTAGGTTATCGCCATCCTGGGCAATGGTGAGATCACCGTCGCGCGGGTTGACAGCTCCGCCGACAAAATAGTTGTTGGAGATGATGATCTCCTGCCACTTGTCGGCCTGCTCGGTGGTGCCGACGATGCTAGCGGTCAGGGACCAGAGGAGATGATAGCCGAGGAGCATTCCAATGGAGCTTTAGGAAATGAGTTCATCGCGTCAGCGAATTTTGGATTAAGATCGAGTGGGGAAATGGGTGGGGAGATACGGTTGGAAAGGGGTCTAGCGTTTGTATCAAGGTGCAGGGTATATTCGCAACTATAAGTCGCAAAAGGCCAAGGGGATTCAACTCACCCGTCCGCTTTGGCAATCTCTCTGATAATCTTGTACCCCACACTCAGCGGTTGCTCGCCGCCACCGTACTTCTTCGGGCCGAGAGCCTTGAGGAGGCCGGCATGCTTGAGAAGGGCAATCTCGGCCTTGGGGCTCTTGTTTGCCTTTTCGCGCTGGGCAGCATCGACGTCGAGCACGGCTCCGACGTCCCTTGCGCGCTGGAGCCAGCCCGCCTCGTCCTCGGGCAGGGCGGCCCACTTGTCCTTGTACTCGGCATAGACGGCCGGGTCAGTCTCGGCAGGGGCGGTGCCGTTGGCGGTCATCTTTGCGCTAATCTAGGCCGGGAGAAAGGGGTGTAGTATCGGGTGGGCTTGGTGCTATCTGTGTGCGAGAAGGGGACGCGTGTGGGTTGTATTCGTCTGGTATCGATCCGAAGTATGGCGCAAGGTGAAGGGTGGAGATGGCAACACAAGGGGAGAGGGACCTGCGTCGGGGAGTCAAGCAGCGATACCGGGTCGTGATTTTATATGCTCCCCTTCGGCCAGGGGAAGGGGACGAAAAGGCGAGGCTTGCGCATCACATCTCGGGCGGTGATTGATGGGCTGACGCCAGAACGAACTCGACCCCGCTAGACTCATGGCGCATCGCGAAGCCGAAATGTCGTTATGGCCGTGGTACGAAGAAGAAGTTCCTCCCAAAACGCCATCGCGGACCAAGGGGGCGTGCATCTCAGACCCTCCTGACGCAAGAGGAAAATGTGCGCTCTCCTCGCCCGTTTGGGTATCAGACGCTGTCCATCACCCTGGATGCGTGCCAACGCTTTACCATCATAAGACGAAAAAAACGGCGAGTCGAGGCCACCAACAGCTCACATGCACATGGCATCATCGTCTTCTACGAATTCTAGCTCCCGCTTTCAGCTGAAGCGGCTCCTTTCGGCAAAGGACCCCTAGTTTTGGGCGCGAAAAAGTCATGGAGCTGGGAAAGGGAACAAGTGGTAGCTGTGCTGCGCATCGGCCATCATGCAACGTCGATTTTCTAATCTTCCCCGACTGATGGGTCTCCAAGGTCTGGGCGATCCTTGACGGCCCTGCATGTCACTTTTCGTAGCCACTTCTGGTGGGAGTTCAAGAGTAGTTCTTCGCCAATGGTTGGTGTCGGGAGACGCCACAAGGGGAGGATCGCTAGGGGGACTTGGAGCTTGTTTGTAGCCGGTGTTGGGGTGGTTGACAAAGTCTGAAGGCTTCCAAACGGGGAGAGAGATGACGTGCGACGCGCTAGCGATTGCGACGACAATTGCTCCCCACATTTTGCGTTGAATGGCCGCAGCACGAATTGTCAAGGATTTCCCCATGAGTGATTTACGATAATATCGAGAAAATGCCAAACTGGAAAATCAAAAGTATTCACTAGGGTCAAACGAGGTCTGCTGTAGAATTCGTCTAAGAAATACCCAAAACTTCAGATTGTTCTATGCCTTCGAGGTGGTGATATCTGCTGCGGTGCGCTTGGGGCAAGTGCAACCGTCAGGCAAGCAGGCAAGACAGGTACTCTACTTCGCAGGTGTCCCAGCTCCGATCCCATGAACTCCGCTTCCGCCTTTGTAAAACCGCGCCTCCGGGTTGCACCCGGTATCCTATTGGTGTAATCTTTGTAAAGAGAAGAACCACCCCTGGCAGAAATACTCATGGGCTGGTTTGCCCACGATCGACTGGTGGCGAGCTTGACACTTCCATTGGTCCCCCACGCTCACTCCCACTTGTCCCCTCACCCGGACAATAAGCCACGGCTGCCACCTAGAGGGAAGGGTCTGAAAAGAGTAGGTTTCTCAGGCTGGTAAAGAGAAGTAGAGTGGTCCTTGTTCCTTGTGCTTGAATTTGTCTGGCTGGGAAATGCCTCCCGTCCCCCAAGGTGACTAAAGCCCAGTCGGGCCTAGCAGGCGTGGCATGTCAATGACAGGACGAAAAACAATGCAAAAAAACGTCTCGACCCTCCGCCAGCAGTTGCAAGTAGTGCAAGCACGCCTTGAACTCGGGATTCGCGTTGGCCTTCCCCATGACGCCTTTGGGCCCCCACGATTGCGTGAGCCCCCTTATCGGAGCACAAATGCCTGCTCTTGCGCGGGGCTGCTGTGCTTGCGCTCGCTGCACCGATGCCGATCCCGGTTGGGAGTGCCCACTCCCCGGGACCCCCGTCCCGTCCTCTTTCTAGACTGGGCACAGATAAAGGGAACCAGTACGCGACCGGGCCATTTAATAATCACCACCTTTTGCGATCACTATTTACCGAAGCGAGAGCCAAGGATTCGGAGCCGTTAACTAATCCAAGGGACTGCTGTCATCATTTTTTCTTCCCAACTACGCATCATTTTTGTCCCGCTCAGCTTTCTCCCGTCATCCCCTGTCCTAGCTCGGTTTGACTTTCTTTTCTTTTCTTTTTCTTTTTACCCTTTTGCCATCTTCGTTCCCATCCTGCACTCCCGCGCTGTGACCTTGGCAATACACCACAAGCAAGCAGCGAACGAAAAGGATACTCGAAACAACAACGAGGACCAAAAGAGCATACGCTTCAAGAGAGCCCAAAAAGAAGATCTCTCTCGCTGCCCACGCTTCCCTCTTCGCATGGGAAACCAGCTCTCCTCCCTCTGCGGCAACTCACGGCGTGGAAAGGCCCCGTTGAGACTTGACTCGCCCGATATGGCACCCATCAAGCGACCCGCGCTGCCCTCTGTACAGACACAGCTACTCCTCCATCAGCCTCGGTCACCCTACGAGACTTTTGCGGAAGGCATCATCCCAGAGTTGAAGGCGGGCGAGTTGTTGGTTCAGGTAGAGGCTATTGGTCTTAACCCTATCGATTGGAAATCCGCGTAAGGCCTCTCTCACATGCCATCGTTCTTCCAAACGGAGTTGAAACTGACACCGAAGCTTCAGGGACTTTGGTTTCGCACTCCCCCAGCTCCCATGCCTCAACGGTCGTGAATTTGTCGGGACCGTCGTAGCTCAATATACCCCTCAAGGCTCCCGTATAGCCGTCGGCGATCAGGTATGTAGCCTCATCTGTATCAATCTTCATCAACAAGCTTTTCGATACAAGCATCGTTTCTAACATCCAATTCCCTTTGTAGGTCCTCGCCGTTGCAACAGACTACAGGGACTTCCGCAAGTCCGCTTTCCAAGAATATGCCGTCGTCTGCGGCTTCAATGCCATAAAGATCCCCAAGAGCGTAGATCCGTACCAAGCCGCCTCCCTCGGCGTAGCCTTCGTCACTGCGGCTCTCTCCTCGGAGTATGCCTCGGTATTAGCCTCCCAAAGCAGGGCAAGCTGCCCGACCTCGACTTCCTAAGTATCCTCCAGAGGCAAGGCGAGGAGAATGTACCCAAGGATTGCTACGAAGAAATCTTCAACCCTATCCCCGCGGGGAGCAGACCTCATCGGGGAGAATGGGTTTTGTTATACGGAGGTATGTCTTCTGCACGTGTGGGAAACTTTCTCTTGGTTGAATTTCTGGGCTAACCTATAGTTCAATAGCCTCCAGCGTCACAGCGCAACTATGTGCGCAACTCGCAAAGGTGGCGGGCCTCAAGGTCATCGGAGTTGCGGACTTGAACAAGCACGGCGACAGGTTAAGAGCATTGGGTGTTGGTAAGTGTTTACCCACTGCTGTAGCATTTTGTTGGACTGTTTATCTAATTCCTACCTATAGATGTTATTGTGGACCGCAAAGACCTTGATCTCGCCGCGAAAGAGGTCCGAAAACACACACAAGGATCCCTCCGCTTCGCCCTCGATTTCATCGGCAAAGACACTTCGGCGTGGTGCCAGAACCTACTCGCCGCCTGCGCCTCCTCCAGGTACCCCGAGAATCGGGACGATCCCGACACGATACCCGACCCGTTCACCCAAAAGGGAGCGACACTTAGCCACCTTGTATGTCTGACGGGTGCGCCCAAGGCGAGGGTACCCAACGTGCGGGTCCACCAAGTACCCGTGAAGATGTTCCATGAGAACGAGGAGCTGGGATGCGTACTGAGCTACTGGCTTTACCATTCACTTAAAACTGGGGTGATTACGCTGCCAGAGACGCAAATCGTTGACGGTGGGTTAGAAGCGGTCAATTCCTGCCTCGAGCTCATGCGGCGTGGTGAGGTTTCGGGGAGCCGGCTCGTTGTCAGGGTCAAGTAGGCGTAGAGTGGGATGTGGAGAGAAATTATTGACGTGACATGATGGGATCGTTCTTCAACTGATTGGGTGTATCACGGTGGTGATGGAAAGACCATGCAACGCAGGGCAGGATAGAAAGCACGGCAGAGGCACGGCATGCCAAAAAGAGGGTTGGGTTGCTGGGTACGTTGTTTAACTACATGTGCAAGATTATAGGCTGCACACGGGGAAAAAGGACTAGATACGGAAGTAAGACTTCTCGCAACAGAGTACATGTAGCAAGTCTGCACTTTCCGAGGCGATGAGATAGCTCAGTTACGATCCTTTCTCATTGCCAAGAACAAAAACATCACTTAAACTGTTACCGAAATCTTGCAGTTCGTGAATAAGTAAATGGGGACTACATAAGGCTTAAAACAAGCGAATCGATAGTGGTTAAAGACGGGTATAATAAAATACTCTTGTGAGGCTTAATTGGTTTCCTTCTTCGAGCCGGCCTCCTGTTCCTCCTTCTCGGCCGGCTTCTCCTCCTCTCCGGTTGTAGTAGTCGCTTTTGAATCTGGCTCTGCTGCCTTCTTGGAAAAGATGTTGACCGACGGCATGCTCATGGAGGGCATGCTCACGGAAGGCAAGTTCACGGATGGCATGTTTACAGAGGGCAAGTTGACCGAGGGCATCGTGGGGATGAGGGACGAAGTGGAGGATTGGAGGTCAGGCATCTTGGAATACCAAGTGTCCTTGATGCCCGTCCCTGTTTGCTGGGCAACCTCGAAGAGATACTTCATGTACGTCTTCTTCTCATCGCTGTCTGCCAGCACCGTGTCAACCAGATCTCCTCCCGCCTCGTCGTCGTCGGGCAGCGGGACGACGGAAGCGGCCGCAGCAATGTCGACTGGCGAGACGTCGGGAAGGCTAGGCGGCTTTTCAGACTCCGCATCAGCTTCCGGTGCCGCCGTGGGAGGTACAGCTCCTGCTTCCTCGAGCGTCTCCTTGACAATGGTGTCCTCGGCCGCCTCCTCCGGCGGCGGGTCACGAAACTTTTCGTCATCCACGACGGGCTCCTCGCTGAGGAACCACTCTACCGCGAGTTTGGCGGCGTTCTCCGTCATCTTGGCGTATTCGGCATTCTTCTTGGGCTCAAACATGCCCATGTGCGCCTGGATCTCGTCCTCCGCCTCGGCGACGACGCAGCGCGAGAACACATTGTACGCGTCGTGCTCGGGCTCGGGAACGGCGCAAAACGTGCGCTCGGGGACGAAATACCCGCCGGACCAGTACCCGTTCTCGCCGAGCGAGCAGTACACGTCGTGGATGCCCACGCCGCGCAGGGCCGCCAGCCGTCCGAGGCGGCGGCTCAGCTCGTTGGGCTTCAGCAAGGCGCCGACAAAGGTGAAGTGGTCGGCCAGCCACGCGTAGGAGCGGCCCACGTTGCCTCGATTGATGTACGCGAGGCCTTGGCCCAGGGCGCCGACGCCTTGGCGGTATCCGTCCACGACGGCTTCGCGGTTGAGGTTCCGCACGCTGCGCAGGCCGCGCGCGATGGCTTCGCGGTGCATGTAGGCTGCGGCACCGCCGGCGGCGATGGCGCCGACGGTTCCGGTGCGGACGGCGACGAGCTGCCAGGCCTTCCACGCGGGGCTGCTGGCCGGGATGGAGGACGTGGCGGCGGAGGCGGCGCTCCCGGCGGCGCGCCGCGCTGCTAGACGGCCGAGGGTTGCCGGGGCGGCGGCGGAGAGGGTGGCCATGACGTTGAACACGTTGCTGACTTTTGGTAATTCGAGAATGCGCCGTATACGAACATGGACCGGGCTAGCCCGTTGTAGGGGTGTCAAAGGTGAGTATTCCTTGAATCAGGGGAAAGTCGGGACGTTTTTGGCTCCGCTGGAAGCTCGTTCGTTGAGCGCGAGGAACAGGGTGTCCGCAGCCACGAAACCGCTAGATGGGAGAGATTCAAGAAGCGTTAGCGAGAAGAAGTTCCCATATTCAAATCTGTTGTAAAGGCACACTATGGAACATACCCCATGGAATGTGCGACGAGGATTACGCCCACTTGTCGATCGTTTGGTGGCCAGGGAGCCTCGACGTGGCTCTTCCGCACCTCCATGACTTGGCCCTTCAACCTAGTCGTTGGTTAGAATCGTTGCCGCCGCCACATTGTATTGGGTAGAGTCGCAGTGTACTCTGTCTCACGTACCACTCCAATAGAGCCTCGGAGGCTTGAGATAGGTCGCCTTTAGTCTCGTATTTGGGGTACACGATCGATTCGACATGGTCATCGGGGAGCTGCTCGGAGACGAGCTTCTTCAGGTCCTTGGCCAAGTTAGCTTATAACGATATGTCGGACGGAAAACTAGTGAAACGATGGCAAAGGTTGGTTTTTACGCGTTGGAAATAATGAGTGGAAAAGCACATACTTCGGGAAATGCGTGAAAGGTATCATCGCTGCCCTGTATTTTGGCGAAGGAATTAGCAATGTCGTTCTGTCCGATTATCGACCGGGGTTCACCGCGCACCTTGAAGCCATGGATATAACATAGTAGTAGAGTTCGCGGCATCTTCCTTCCTTGCAGTAAGATGAAATATGGTGAAGCCGCAATGAAATGACACGCTCTAGAATCCGTGATCATGGTTTTCTTTTATGGTATTTCGCCGCCCACTGGAGCGGCGTCACGGTGTATTATATCAGTCGTGCCGCATCGGTGCCCCACGCACACAACTTCTCATCTTCGCGAAGCAGGTGTGGGAGGACGAGTAGTAGCGAGCAGGCGAAAGCACACATTAACCTTCATCGGCAGCCACTAATTGGCTAAATGGTTGCCTGAGTGTCGAGACTAGCGTGTAGGTGTGGCGAGAGCTGCCGAAGAGACGCGACAACCGGGAGAGAAATCGCGGGCGATCGACGTCATTGTCAACGTCATTCGGCGGCAGCCAGATAAACTAGCAGGTATGAGAGCATCGGAGGCCGCAAACTGCATCGAGGTTTGAAAAGAACAGGCGCGCCGAATCCATGAAACTAATCTTGCTTCTCGTTTTTCTTTTATCTTCTTTTTCTTTTTTGATTATATGGAATTGTTATAAGCACCGGCGTTGACAGGCGCCTTCCAACGCGCACAAGCTTCGATCCATCGGAAAGTCGCGGAGGCCATGCCCCATCCATTCTCAACATATGCGGTTGGACAGGGCAGGACTCTTCCCCGAATCCTAGCCAGCGTTAGCACTTTGAGGTTCGCGCCAGTCGCGTTGATCTAGATATGGGCTTCGCCGAGAGTGCTTGGTATTCTACTTGGGCTTCAATGTTCTGTTCGTAGAAGTAAAACTCGAGACGAGCTTGATAGGTCCCACGACCTCGACCTCGTGCACCACACCATCTCCGGCACCCATGTAGGATGAGCAAATAAATGCCGCAACAGACGAATTGGGTGCCGCAAAGTCGACGCGTTGGATAAGGACTAATCGTAGTGTGATCACGTTATTGACCTTTGGGTGCATGTGCGTGGACGTCGCACAAACGGACCGCCTTTCCATGTATCAGGCTGCGGTTCCCGCTTCCATCAAGGAAATATCAAGTTGATGACTGCCGTTGACCAGAACCCCCGCACACCGCAGGTGACCTTCAATTGCGATATCGCACTCAACCAAGGGACGTAACCAAGACGGCTCTGTCTCCTGAACGCAGTGTAAGTAGTATGAAGTAACTGGCGGTGCCTTCGTTCCATAACTTACAGAGAATAGCAACCCACGGCAGTCGACATGCCAAGCGGCTTCCTAAGCCTTCCTAGCGAACTTCGAAACAGGATATATGAGCTAGTGCTATGTGACCAGGACTGCATCTCTCCCCGGTATGGCGGGGAGAGAAACGTCCCCGAAGTTGAGATCTTGTATACGAATAAACTTATCTACCAGGAAGCCAGCTTTCTGTTATATGGCCACAACCAGTTCAACTTCGCCGAAGTTGATACAAGTACATTGGGGGACTTCATTGATCAGATTGGGAGCAAAAATGTAGGCATTATTAGGCATCTCATGATTGAGTTCCCAAGGGTTGATACCGACGATCCCCGGGGCGAGGTTCCGCGTGGAGATTTCGCTGCCCTGCATGAAAACACCGCCACAACGCTCGCGGCCATTCAGAGTCGCTGTACCGCCTTGCGCACGATAACTATGTTCTTTGAAGCCTTTCGAATCCCGTACCTCATACCGGAGAGCCTGGACAGCGAACTCGCGACGAGGTGGTTGGAGATAGTCGAATCTCAGTTCAAGGCCATCCCATCTTCACCAGAGATCATTGTTCAATTTCACGCGCGCGCCCGATTGCATTCCATCAGAAAGCGGATGGAGAGTTTAGGATGGACAATTCGTACGTCGGGTCATTTGAACTCCGAGAAGAGGACTGACGAAGACGACTGGGCATCTGATGACGACGGGTTCTATGATACCGATTTTTATGACGACAGTAATGACGGCGTTGTTCCTGATGGATACGATATTGACCATGGTAGTGATTCTGGAGAAGAGCAGCAGACTAATTGAATTTACATGTAGTCCTTCAGGGTGCTTCAATAATGGATTGGCAGGCTCTTTACCTCGGGGGCAAGGATTTGTTTGTGTTATCCCTTCTCAATCAGGGAGCCAGACTCTTGTTATGAGAAAATGCATCGTGCCTGCGATGTGGGCTATTTCTGCCCGTTGCATCATTTGTATACCTAACTTCAAGTCCCTGCTGTTCGTCGCCGACGCCGATTATTGCCTCGGTTTATGTCTTGTCCGGCGTGTGTTCTCGTCATCTACATGAAGCACAACTTGGTAGCAAGAATGACATCTTTGATGCGTACATGTATGTATGCATTATCCGGTTGAATATCTGCTTCGAATTCTTTATTCTTTTCTCCCGAGCATGCAGCATGTGAAGAGTGATGCAAAGATCAAGTGCGGGGATACATTGTACTAAGTCAAAGCGTTTGGTGAAGGAGACCTCAGTTGGGCCTACGGATACCTAATATAGAATCGATTCGATTTAAAAAGAAAAAAAAACAATGGATAGAATAATGATATTTATAGAGAACCCCGCTGCATGTTCATCTCATAGGTTATCAGCGCAAACATGAACCCAGAGACGGGCGCCGAACGACAAGACAGCTAACATGTGCTCAGTATCGCTTGCCATGAAATTGAGGCAACAGAGGGTGTGTTGACAAAGAGCTGGCAAGTCCAAGATCAAGCGACTATACCTGCGTTGGGGTTCGTTTCGCATTGACTATAAGTTCAGGGACTGGCCAGGTTCGGCTTCGCTGGCCAGAAAAGTAGGCGCCAAGCCCTTTTTCAGTCCTTGCGTGGCTTTGCAGCTCTCATTGTACGCCGAAGGATCCGTCTTCCCAGTTGTGGCTGGCTGAGCTCTGACACCTCGTAACAGTCTACGAGATGCGATTGGACCTCGCGGGAGAGGGGCATCGACTAAAACGTGAATAGCCGCCTCGAGTCTCTCACTGATACTCCCTTCGCGAAGACTAGCCGTTACAAACCCTTGCACCAATACCCGCGTTTGTCTTTCCAATAGTATAATTAAAGCTGTATATGCCGAATAGACAGAAATAATCGCGATGGTATTATTCCTTGCTCTCTGCTGTATTTCATCACAGTCACTGACAGATGTAGGCGCGGTCCCACGGAGAGCAAGGTGGCCGCCGTTCAGCTGATTCGACAAACCTCCTCCTCCACCCCTACCAACTCGAACTCCTGTCAGGACGCTAGTACCACGGCCACGCATTATTGAGAAAGTCAAAGAGAAGCTCAGCCGGGGGCGGACGACAGCGAGCGAGAAGAAGCAAAGGGGTGGTGATATGGGGAGGAGCTGGTGCCGGCAAGTCGCAGCTCGCGCTGGATTACGCGCAGGGTTCTCGCGATGAATACGACGCGCAGTTCTGGGTTGACGCGCGGAACCCTAGCACCGTGGATAAGTGCTACCGCGAGATATACCAGTCACTCTGCCATGACCCGCCAGACTCCGTCACGACGACCAGCGACCAAGTCAGGTACGCCGTGCTAGAGTCGTTCAGCAAAACCGAAGGGAGATGGCTCATGATCTTTGATGGCGCTGGCAACCCCGACGAGGATGACGGGAATGATGTTAATTTGTCCCATTATATCCCAAGGGGCACTGCCGTCCACATCGTCGTAACTAGTCGACAGCAGCAAACCCGAACCTTGCCAACCTTTGGCACTGTGGAGGTCGGGGCCTTGGGGTTCGACGAAGCAGTCGACCTTTTCAAGAGATGCGCCAACTTGCCGTCAACGGTAGGGGAGAACGACTGTGCCGTTGGGAGCATCGTTACTGAAGTGGGCTGTCTGGCTTTGGCGGTTAGTATGGCAGGCTCGTACATATCATGCACGCCCGGGCTGTCCAACAACTTATCGCCGTACCTCGACGAGCTGCGGCAGGAAAGAAGCAACTTGTTAGCAAGATATTCTCAGCGTCTCACCGGCAAGTATGACCACAGAGGCATAGCAGTGTTCGAGGCATCGTGCAGAGCTATACAACGACAGTCACCAGCCGCATGCCGCATCCTCGCGCTGCTGGCTTCCATGGACAACCAAGATATCTTCCCGGGTCTTTTTGATCCAGAGACCCCCTCGAAGCCAAAGGGTTCGAATATTATCGTGAGCAAGAAGGAGGAATCCTGGGCGCGCCTGATTGGCCTCCAAGAAGATATCGAAGCCGCGGATATTGCACATCTCCTAGCCCTTCTGGAAAGGTATGCCTTGATTCAGAGCAATGGGAATGGTTCATATTCGATGCATGATCAAGTTGGTACATGGTGTCTTGGCAGGCTAGAGGACCAGCAAGAGCTTGGTACATTTGCCCTCGCAGGCTTGAGGATCCTCTGCGATGCTGCCAGGGCACTCCGTCCCTATACAACAAACCGACACGCCGAGATGCGTCTAAGTACCCATATACGGGCAAACACAGCGTTCATCAGCCAGCTTCAGAAAGATTGGGCGGGAGCAAATAACCCCAGGCCTCTGGGAGAGCTGAGCTATCTAGCCGGCTTTCTCCAACAAATCGGCAGCTGGCGCGAGGCCTCGGCACTTTGGAGGATAATACTAGACCAGCAACGGCAGGAGTTCGGGGATGACAGTCCGACCATCTTCGAGACGACAAGCTATCTGGTGAATGCTCTTTCGATGCATGAAACGGTGGATCAATCCGTGCGTTTGTGGACGGACGCAGTCGAGAGGTGCCAGAGCGACCTCGGGCACGACCATTCCATTACGGTTAAAATCAGGCGATCTCTAGAGAACGCGGTAAAAGAGCAGGAGCTGTGGTCCGATATTCAGGATTACCACCAAGAGTCCATGGGTCTCTTGGAGAATCTCTTGACGACGCTCAAAGAGGCGGCGGAAGGCCTGGATGCCATGAAAGAGGAGCAGCAAGACAAGGTGGAAACCGCCACGAAGGCTGCAGAAGAGTTAAACTGGGCGCTGGGTAGTGCCCACCCTTCTGTGGTTTCTCAACAACAAGTTCTCGCGACGGTTCTAGAAATGGAGGCCAACGCCGCTGCGATACACGCGTCCTACGAGACTCTCGGCCGCCACGCGCGGATCATCTTGGCGCAGGGCCGCCATCTCATCGCGATGCATCGAGACTACGAGTTTACGGATGCGAAGAGCCGGGAACGATACTCGGGGAGGCGAGGGGATCGGGGCGAAGACGCAGAAGATGCTGGTGGCTACGCAACGCAACTTGGAGTTACAGCGACAGGTGCTTCTTAATAGTATAGAATTGCAGCAGCATGGGATCATTGTGGACATTGCTGGGTTAGGTCAGGGCGGGCTCCCTACCGCAAGGGAACCTGATAATGATGAGGCAGGAATGTTGGGGTGGCTTAGTCGAAACATGGTCGGTTTGTTTCGACGGTAGCAATCTAACCAGTTAATAGGTTGGCCACGAGAGAATGATCCGCATGATATGGGTGGATAGTAAACATACGGGTTGTCATGGTCACCGCAAAGCCAGTTTGGCGTATTCAGCCTTATCAAAGACGGAGCCATCTAGTTGCAGGTTCAAATTATTTAATACAGATAATGAAAATAGTCTATGTGCAATAGAATCGAATAGAAAGAGAGCCAAACGGGTGTCAACATTGGTGTACTGTAACCCAAGGCCCATTTGCTCTGACCCCAACAGAACCAAGAATTCCGATCCCATATCCTACATAAAAATACCCAAACTCCACGAGGCGCCCAGCGCATGTATTCCGAATGCAAGAAAAAAGGGGTATCAAGATCATAAGTAGCGCATGTTTTGCGAGTCCAAATTTTCTGACAGCTATCGTAAACGGCTCAGGTACTAAAGCAAGGATGGATAAAAATGTTAAAACTCACGACCGATTTAAGCAGTAGAGAGGGGTAATGACTTTCGCAAACTCACATGAGGCTAATGGTTACGTCACCCTTGACGCGGGCATAGAGGTTCAGTTCCACCTCGAGATCCAGCTCGATCTTGATCTTGAGACCGCTCTTCTTGGCGCTGGCGCCGGCGCGCTCCTTGATGCGGGTCTTGCGCACGCGCTCGCGGCCCGGCTGGCCCTCGGTGGGATCTTGGTAGACGAGGGTCGGTCTTCGGCGTCGTCTTGGCTCGTGGTCGTGGAGGCGGTGCTGGGGCGGGACTCTTCGCGGAAGGGGGCCCGCTGGCCGGAGGTCTTGGCCGGTGGGGGCGAGTCGTCGTGGCCGTCGCTGTCGGAGTCGTCGGGCAGGTAGAAGCTTCCTTGCCTCCGGTTCTTCTTTGGTTCAGACATGGCTGAGTTGTTCTTTTTAATTGCGTCGAGAGTTGGGAAAGGCCTTAGCTACGGTCGAACGTATATGGTGAAGGGTGACCGAGTAAAAGAGGAAGCGAGCCCCGGGTAATAGGAGAGGGACGAGGGGTCGGACGTTTTATTCGATTTTTATACGCCGGGGACTCCGTAGAAATGAATACTGCGGATTTTACAAGGTTGGTTGGCGAAAGTTCTAGTAAACCAGCAAGAGAAGGAAAAGGAAAGGAAACTCGGTCAATAATATAATGCTATTTAATGCTACGTCAGGGCAAGAACAAGAATATTGAGGTACGATGCGGACTTGCAAGGCAGAGCGCAGGCACCCGCTCTTAGTGCCGCGTGACGGTGACGTCAGGGAACAAGAAAAATGGGGGCCGTCGTGAGATTCGGGCTGGCGTGCAGATGATGCGTTTTCCTGAGACAACATACTTGCGAGTGATGGGGAAAAACGAAAAGAAATGGGGACCGCAAAAATTAAGCGACTGGCCAACCGGAAAATAATTAATATGCATTATGAGCCGCTACAAACGGGACTGGCTCAATCAGCTCAAACGTTCGGCAAAAGTATCCCATCAATGTGGATATAGGCGTGGGCCGTCTTGTCATTGGAGAGGTGCTCTCGCTGGAGGGTAGCAATGACGTTGTTACTGTTGGTCCAAGTTTTCTGGTTTTGTTTTTTGCGTTTCTCGCTTGGAGACGTCCGGTTTAGCGTAACACAAATCGGGCTAGCAAGGCAATGGTAATTTGAAAGGACTGCAAGGATCATTCGGGTTGCGACACGGAGCGTTTAGAGCGTTGTAACAATTGGCAACTTGAAGGATATTGATGGATGGATGTGAGCGTATATCGCCGATAGCCCTAGCTCCACGATCTCGGTATGGAGCCCATCATAGATCGGTTGAACCAGCTTTGTCCGCTTTAGATCATTGGATGTACTTTCTAGATGACCCATATGCGTATCTAAGAAAAAAAAAAAAAAAAAAAAGTACCCAACATTCGTCGTTTTTCCCGGGTTTACACCGACATGACCGCGCCCAGACTCTCCCCGATTCCAACAATGCTTGCACAATCCGCAGATCCTTCAGTGCTTCCTGAGGGCTGAGCCTCGAATCTATCCGACCGGCCTCGATGCTCTCCGCAAACGTGACCGCCTCGGCCTTGACACCGGTACCCGACGACTCGAACGAGTGGACCTCGTCCATTCTAGCCCCGTCGGCGCCCCTCGTCGTGACAGTGACCTCGCGGGGCGAGAACCGCACCGCGCCATTGGTCGTGACGACCTCGATGGCGAAGCCCGCCTTGAACTCGGCGCCAAACGAGCAGACAAACGTACCCGCGCGCCCGCTCCTCGTAGCCAACACGCCGTGAACGGTGTCCACGGGCGCCAGCCTCTCCTGCAGGAGAGACGTGCAGGCGGAGACCTGGCCAATCTCCTCGCCCACGGCGGCGAGGGCGCAGCGCAGGCCGGCGATGAAGTGCACGCCGCCGTCGAGCAGGAAGCCGCCCTGGTAGTCGGGGACCTTGCGCCAGGCGGTGTTGAAGTACTTGTCGTCGGGGCGGACGAGCTTGAACATTTCGAAGCCGTAGGTGACGACGTCGCCGCCCATCTCGCGCAGGCGGGCGGCGGCGTAGGTGGCGGCGTCGAGGAAGCGGTAGTTTTCGCCGACGGCCCAGAGCGGGGCCGGCGAGGGACCCGAGGAAGAGAGCTGGGCGTGCCACGCGATGAGGTCCTGCGCCGTCGCGGTGTCCTTGGCGATGGGTTTTTCGCTGAGCACGTGTTTGCCCGCGGCGAGGGCCTGCTTCACGGCGGCGGGCTGGTGGACGATGGGTAAGGCGACGAAGACGGCGTGCACGTCGGCGCGGGCGAGGAGGGCCGCGAGGGTGCGGTCCGGGTTGGACGGGTCATTGTCAAAGTAGGCGTCGGGCTGCGGGAAACGGAGGCGGCGAGGTCCTCGGCTGATTTTTGGGAGCGGGAGTAGACGGCCTTGAGGGTGAAGCGGTCGCAGGCTTGGATGGCGGGGATGTGTTCTGCGGAGGTGGGGAATGGTAAGCCATGAGTTGGAGATGAGGGGATATACGCAAAAGGGGGACAGGGGTATATGTGCGTGTGTGTGTGTGTGTGTGTGTCTCTGCGCTCCTCCTCGCTCACGCTGTGGTGTGGACGTCGTTGCGACAGGGACGTGGAAACTGACCTCCTTTGGCAAAAATGCCAGCGCCCAGAATGGCGACACCGATCGTCATGGTGTGGGATGGGAACTGGAGATTGATTGTCGCGACTGGGGCTGACGGCCGGGGCTATTTCCCGCAACTGGCGTAGAATTTCCGTGTTTGCTTTTTTCCGGGCTTCTTTGCTCTTCTTCTTTGAGAGCGCCACCAACAATGTTCTCCTTGAGATGTAGAAAAAAGAAAAAGAAAAAAAAAGGGAAAAAGAATCAACCGTTGGGGTGCGCCATGGTGGTTTCTCTGCTTCGTAAGGATCGCCTTAGCCCCGCCGAGGCTTAAGCTTATTATTACGTAGTGCTCCTGGGTCTCGACGATGCTTTTACCCCCTCTCCCCCTTGCCCTCCTCTATCTGTCCATTTCTTTTTCAAATACCATGTCACACAGCGTCGTATAGCAATCGTGTTCCACAAAGATGGTGCATTGATCTTGGGGAACACAAGAATCCACCGCGACGGGGCACAAACAGTGGCAGATGCCCAATCGGTCCCCGATTCGGCGACACTCGCACACGTTTGGTGTCTCCACCACTTCAATGTTCCCACTTTTGTCGGACTTGACACCGCAAGGACCCCTTTTGTGTCGCTTGACTTGAAAAGAGCTTTTCTCTTTGAACCCTTTTCTGTTCAGGGGCCGTCACGCTTCCACTTGACAAAAAAGTGATACGGGTACTGCCAAGGATTTTCTGGGAGGCAAGTTAGTTCCAGTTAATCAATCAAAAATGGGTTCAGTTCGTCCGTCTGTGTGGTACAGTAGTGTACAGGACATGCACCACACATTCCATGTACACACCGCACCACACACCACGCACCACGCACCACGCACCACGCACCACCACGCCATGCATGCACCCAACTGTCTGGATCTTGGCTCTTGGCTCGGGCGCTTTGACAGACGGCGACGCCTTCGAATCACTCCAGTTTCGCCTCCTCCCTCAGCGCAAGGATACTTGGAACATGTAGTGTATGTGCACTTATCTCCCCGGCCATGCCATTCATTCATCCACCCTTTCACCTACCTCGTATCTCCCCAATACGCACATCCCATGATCCTGCATGGCGTGACAGAGGATGGTGATATTTCTGACATCCCCATTTCCCTTTTTTGACATCTGTCTCTTCCCCTTTGGGCCTCTCTCGCGACTCGTGCGACACCACGCCCGGGTCTAACCCTGCTGTTTGCTGAACCTGGCACTTACTCGAGCGCAACCACCCCTTGTCCCTCCATGTCCCCTCCCTCCGTCCATCCCCCATTCCCACCACCCCGGTTCAGTCAGCCCAGCAGAGCTTTCTTCATAACAGGGTATTTGCATGCTCATCCATGCATCTCCAACGAATGAACCCAATGTGAGCGGGTATTCGGCTTCGTGTGTCGGGGCGGGGAAGCCAGAAGCAGTGGATGTAGGGATGTTCTTCGGAGTGTCGGATCTGCGTCGAGGCCAATCCGATGGGCAAGACGTCGGCGTCTCGGCGGGGATGCACGCGCGGGCAACTCCCGTAAACACCCCACCCAATAAGCTCAAAGTCTACCGAAAGAGCAGTCTTTGAACTCAGAGACCAACGCACGCGGGACCCCGGCAGGTACCCGCACCACTTTTTCGCAGTATCGGCTCGGAAGCGGTGCCTCCCCCAAATATCGAACATGTTTGCGCCGCGCTTTTCCATATTTTTCTTGGTGCTGGCTCTTTTTTCTTCTCCTTGACTAGCTCTCTCCTCTTTCCTCCCAAAAACACAAGCGGAGACCAATCCCCGTCCGAAATCGTCCTTCCCTCTTTCTAGCGTCAAAGATAGTAACCCGGATCGAGCATGGCTTCCCGTAGTGCCCGCTGCTCCGCCACCGCCTTCGCTCCTCATCATGTAGATAAAGACGGCGAGATGCCGGCCTTCCATCCGCCGGGAGCAGCCCCGTCGACCTCTGCTTCTTCTTCTACTCGTACTTTCCCGTCTTTGTCTACTCGCTCTGACACCTTTGGACACCCGAGAGAATCTATCAGTACAATGCCGGCCGCCCGAGCACCCCTTCATTTCCAAGAGCCGCACATAGTGCGCCTCTCCGACAAGGAGAGGATCACCGGCATCATCACCGAAGAGCACGTTGGCGAAGCCGTGACCGCCATGCACCGCGACGGGCTCGTCGTGCTCGAGAACGCCGTTGATACGCAGCACTGCGACGTGTTAAACGAGATGCTCGTCAACGAGGCTACCGCCATGGCCAAGCTTCCCACCACCCATTTCAACGATGTATGCTTCTGATACTTTTGATCTGATATCCTGATCCTTGCTATATCTTCGCCCTTACATCCCTGGACCCCACTAAGCGGTTTCACTTTTCTCCCATCCGCAAGACCAACTCCTCAACTAACACCCCTCCCAGAACTCCCCGACGGCGCCCCAACCGGCAACATGTCCCAAGGCCCGCCCCTCACCCCGCCCCTCATGTACACCGACATCTGGGCCAACCAGCCCGCCGCCACCGTCCTCTCCGCCCTCCTCGGCCCCAACCCCCGCGTCAACTACGTCAACGGCAACACCGCCCTCGGCGGCTTCCCCGGCGCCCGCCAGCGCGTCCACGCCGACCTCACCTTCAACCACGCCCAGCTCCCCTTTGGCATCGTCACCAACTACTACCTCACCGACGTGTCCCCGCCAACGGCGCCACCGAACTCTGGCTCGGCTCCCACCGCGACACCACGTTTCACGACCACCTCATCGGCCACCCGCGCGACCCGGACGCCAAGACCGACGACGACGACGACAGGTCGACCGCGTACGACCCCACTCTCGAAGTCAAGTTCGGCATCCGCGAAGAGCTCGTCGAGCGCCGCCGCGCCTACGCCCCGCCCATCCAGCCCGTCGTGCGCAAGGGCTCCGTCATCCTCCGGGACCTACGCCTCTGGCACGCCGGCGTCGCGAACCCGTCGCCCGTGCCCCGCATCATGCTCGCTTTCGTCCACACGCCCTGGTGGTACCAGTGCCCTGCTCGCGTCGTCCTCCCCGAGGCCTGCCGCGGCCTTGTCCGGGAATGGGCCGAGCGTGCTGTCTCGCCCGTGTGTTATCGGGCCGAGTACGTCCCGGCGGACGTGGACCACAAGACGGTCAAGTTTTCCCCAACTTTAGCAGCAATAACAAGGGGTACCTCGGGATGCTGCCGAAAGATGTCGTGATGGGGTTCGTCTTTGACAGCTAGTGAGGATGGGGAGGAGCTAGCGGCAAACAAAAGCCACAAGACCGAACCAGAACTCTGTTTCTTACGACCTGACCACGATACTCTTTAGCACGATACTTTGAGCCTTGCGAGCGTGTTTTTATTTTTTTATTTTTTTCCTTTTGGGTTTCCCTCTTCATTTATCGACAGCAGCTGCTAAACAGGAGAGGTGTCAACGCCAAGCTTTTAGGTCAAACCAGAGGAAAGCCGAGTTAAGTCGCAGAAGAAAGAGTAGAGGGCCAACAAAGCCAACAGCAAAACCACGTTAATCGATGCACTCTACTCCATCTCTCGTATTTACACCTTAAATATGATGCAAACTAAACAACAGCAAACACACAACACTAAACCACCGCCGCCCACGACTTCGCCTTCGCCCTCCCCGGCCGCACATTATCGTTCCCCAAATACACGGCAACCAGCTCCGCATCCTCCCGCACGCGAACCTCCTCCGCCACGCTAAACACGGCATTGCCCCCGCTCAAAGCCGCCGAGTCCACCAACACGCTACCGCCGTCCTCGTCCACGGCCCTCAGCTCCACGATCCCGGCATCCGCCTCCTCGGGCCCCACGCCCACCATGACGACTAAATCATCCCCTTCCCACGAGGCCCCGACCAAGGTAGGCCCCATCGGCGGCTCCTGGTACCCGTTTGCCGTGAGCGCCCACTCAGGCTTCGCGCCGCGGCACGGCACGCACCCCGGCCCCCAGTAGTGGTACGGCAGCCGTCCGCTCACCGGGTTCCGGTACGAGAACCACATGGGCAGGATCTGCGGATACACCACCGTGGCCGTCGGCCCGCCAGGCAGACCGGCCTCTCGCTCGCCGAGCTTGGGATCCTTGAGGTCCACGTCGGGCGGGTAGCTCGCGAGTCCGCCGCCCTGCCTCGGCGCGATTTTCTGCTGCTCATGCTGCTGCACACTTCCTCCATCTTCTTCTTCCTCCCTCTTGCTCCGCCGCTGGCTCGCCGCCCACCCATCCTTCCAGCTCGGCGACTGCCAATAAAACTCATCAATCGTCAAGCACCACAACTTGCGCCGCTCCCCGCCCCTTGCCGCCCCGCGGGCGCCGGCTCCAGCACGAACTGATCGTGGTACATGCCGCCGTTGAACCCCCACACGCCCGTGAACCCGCCCTTGCTGCCGCTCGAGGTGCCGAACTGCAGGAGCTTGGTGCGCATGGACGTGGACCGGCCGTCGGGCGAGGCGAGGATGACGGGCTGCAGGCGCCAGTGGTAGGGCACGTTGGGTCGCTGCGGGTTGGGCGTGTTGGTGTTGTAGCGCGCGAGGCACGCCTGCGCGATGCGGTCGCGCGTGTGGTACCACCCTACCCCGGGGACTCCTTGAACCCGTCCACCGCGTGTAGGTCGGCAAAGTGTTGGCACCGGATGTCGTCGGCGAAGTAGCCGTAGGCGGAACCGACGTTTTCCGTCTCGTCAAAGGCCGAGGACTGCGCGTACCTGTTGCGCAGGACTTGCACGCGGTCCGCCGCCGTCGTGTTGGAGGGCTCGGTGGAGAGGGAGGGGTTATAGGCGTCGGGGATGGCGCGGGCGCGCCATTCGCCGCTGAGAAACGCGGGGGCTCGATTGCTGCCGCTTTGGACGCGAGCGTGCCGCCTTTGCCCCAGCCATCCGGGTACGGCGCGTGGATGAGCCGTGTAATACCGAGCGTCTTGATCTTCCAGAGGCCCGTCTCTTCGTCCTTGACAAATGTGTTTCGGAACACGTTGAACTCCCATTTCCCCTGCTTCTTGCTCGTGTCGCCAATCATGCCAATCTCCAAACCCCTCGCCGTGGCCGACCGCCCATCGGGATCCACCTCCACCATGACGTCGAACATTGGATACTCGTTGAGTATCCCCTCGGTCAGATTCTCGGCCCCCATCCACTCCTCCAGCACGGCACGGATCCTCCGGCCCCGGCGTTTCCTCCCCATCGACGACGATGCTCGCGTCCTCGGCGCACAAGTCGACCACGTGCGTCCACAATCGCTGGTCGACGTAGTATCCGTACGAATGCTGCAGGTTCCGCACCTGATCCTCGTCGTTGAGCTGATCAATCCGATAGGCAATCTCATCCACGTCGATCTCGTCGTCCTCGCCCTCCGCATCCGCCTCCAGAGGAATCGTGATGCCCGCCTCGTCCGGCGTAAAATGGTACGGGATGATTGGAATCGCCCTCGCGCCGGACCCGACATTGCCCCAGCCCTGCGCGTAATCCCCGTCAGCGCCGGATAGTAGTGCAGCAACGCGATCCGCCACGCACCCGCCCCCGCGTCCCACACGTACTCGTTCTCGTATACCCCGCCCTGGATCCGCGTCGCGCCCGCCCCGTCCCCCATGAGCCGCAGCACCTGCCACCTCGCCCGCGCAAAGGTGCCGTTCTCCGCCAGGCTCACGAGCGGCTCCTCGGTAAGATGGGCGTTGAGCGAGCCCGCCCCCGCCCCGTCCATCGCGCCCGCGTCGGCCCGCAGCCACTCCTCCACCGCGTTGGGGCCCCGTACCACGTCCGCGTCGGCGAGATCCAGCGTTCCGCCCCGGCCCCACCGCACCTCTCCCTCCGCGGCGAAGAGATCCGCCATGGCCCGCCACTGGCCAAACTGCGCAAGTTGGGCAAACGATTTTTGCACGTCCTTGATGGCCCGTACGGATTCGAGGCGGGCGACGTCGCGCGCGAGGGAGGTGAGCGGGGAGGCCGCCGCCGGCGATGCGGATAGCCCGAGCCCGAGCACGAGCAGTGCTGTGGGGAGACGCATGGTGCGCAAATGTTGTTTGTTGTCAGTTTTTGGCAAACACACCCACCCAAAGTTTACTCCTGGTGAAAGAGACGGAGTGAGGGGGATGGACTCTCGTGGTAGCACGCACACCCGAACCGACTCTTTTTATTCAACAAGATCGCCGGTAATCTCTCCGGCCATACTCCCGCGACCAAAAGTCCCTTCTCCCTCTTCTCCGCCCCCTCTTCTCTCCAGAGTTCACCCAGTACCGAGCAAGTTCATATAAACCATCTCCCCCAAACTTACCAGTGATCTTCACGCTTTACCCCAGCGGCAATCAAGCAGCGACGGGATCCCATGCCGAAGCGGAAGTGCGGGGGCGGACGGAATCCGCCCTGAGAAGCCCTCATTTCTCAGTCCTTTTTCGGGCCACGCTTATAACCCACGCAGTCCCGGCCCATCACCAGCAACCGAGATGCAGGGACGGCCAATCCGCCCTCGCCGTCCCCGCACTTCTCTCTACGGGCTTTTGTTTCGCGGTGTGCAAAAGAAATTGGGGAGAATCCGTCCAATATATTGCATCGGGCTCAACGAGTCCTCCCCCGCAATCCATTTGCGAGGTTAGCAATGTCCCGGCTCTGATTCGGCAAGGACCATATTAAGCTCTTGCCTCCTTGGTTCGGGCTGAATACGCTTTTCCCTGTATTCTGACCAAGTCGGGTAATTAATCCCCGAGTGTTAACTCGCCCTTCATCCGCCGTCAGAATTGATTCCCGTATTATCCGCCAACCCATACAGCAGTACACCTCTTCGGCTCTCATGACAAAACAAGAACGTGGCTCCCGTTTGCAGAATTTGACGACCAAAGTACGTCAAGCCAAACAGTGGGAGGAAACGAATAGGAGAGCACCCTCTAACTCAACAGGCCGGAAACAGGCCGGATGCCTCCCAAATCACATGTGACGAGAAAACGGCACTAAAGACACCGGTAACTGCTTTTAGGATGGTGGAACGAACGCATCTCGATCTCGCCGCAGGGATGGCTCATAATGACAAATGGCGCCCAAAAATAGCTAAGCTTTAGCCACACGTCAACTCCCTTTTGTTTTTCCTGGTGATTGAGCTATTGGCGAACGAGCATGATGGAGAGATAGCGCAGCGCGGATGCCCTTTACACTTTGGGCTTGTGGCGTCTCCCTTTCCATATACGCACATGCTAGCGCCCTAGTCGCTCCACCGTCTCCTGATAGTCGCCTGCATCCACGCCCAGAGGACAACGGACTCCAAATCCAGAGAAATGGTTGAATCATGCGATAAAGTTAAATAAGGGGCGGCGGCGTCCGGCGCCCCTGCCAGGGTGCCGACGCAGCAGTCGAGGCCATTTCGGTTAGGCTCATGTGTCACCTGAAGATTTTAATAGACTTGACGCGGTCGGCGGTAGTCGCGATCTGGTGCAAGTATGTTGTTAGTGGGAAACACTTTGGTCTGCGAGTAAATGTAGCTAACTGGACATGGTGGCATGACTGGAGGCCTTACAGACTTGATGTAGTCCACGGTGCACGGCAATAAAACGTTCAATACAATTGCTTAACCGTACCTTGGCTCCCTTGCTGAATCCAACGACAAGAGTATTCCTCAGCTGGGCGTTGGCCGCCGGCCGCCGCTTTCGGCGTTTACAAAGAGAGAGGGGTCATACAGTCACATAGAAAATCTCGCGAGGCCTAGACTTGCCTGCCTTGGGTATATCCATGTAGATGTGTATCAGTCAAGTGTGATCAGGTAGGGTTCCTACCAATGGATCCAATGATCGCGTTGTTATTTCCACTGAAAGGTGCATCGAAAATAGTCCTAGATGCTTCCGCCACTCATCAAGTATTAATCATTGCTACATGCAGAGCGTAGAGCCAAGATTTGGGTACATGTTGTGGGCCATGGCCATCTGGGACTCTGCACCGGCAATCATATAGCCTATGCCCTTGTCAAACTGTAATATCTCAAGTGGTATCAACCATAAATCAAGGCTAGTCGTGAATGCAAGCTAGCCGGGTCTGGGCCAAGGACCGAAACCCGCTAAGAGCAAGAAGAAAAAGAAAAAGAAAAAAGGAAAGGGGAGATACCGAAAAGTGACACGGTCATGAATCTTTTGAAAGGGTAGGAGGCGTAGCAGCCAAGGAAGAGGGGAAAAAAAAAAAAAAAACCAGTTGTCGCTGCTAGTGAAGTGGGTAATCATACCGAATTTTGTAGGTATAGTGTGTTGCCATGGCATGAATCGAGTGTAGCCCGGGAGAGGGAGGATGAAGATGACCCAGGGAGAAGAGAGGGCTTTGGTACGTGGGATAGAGGGAGGGACGAGATAGAGGATACTGTGAATTCAAGAAGAGGTCATGTCGCGCTCAAAGCCTTTGTGACGCATCAGACCCTCCATCTTCTCCACCCGTACCTTTAGCTCCAAGTTCGCCACCCAGAACCGAAGGCAGCGCCAGCCGACAAGGATAGCTTCGCGCATTGAGGGGTGCTGGATAGTCCGCAGGCCAGGGACCTCGTAAGCACAGAGTAAGAGCATCGTGATGCAGAAGACGCCCGACAGGTCTGCAAGGAGGAGAAGGTGGCGATACTGCATGAGGGGCTGGACGGCGTACAGCTTTAGTACGGCAAAGTTAATAGAGTGCCGCGCTAGCTCTTCGACAGTATCGGGGTCGGCGGCGGCGGCGGTGACAACGGCAGCGGATGAGGACGAGGATAAGGGCCCGGCGTCGGGGGTGAGCATACGCACGACATATGGCCAAAAAATGGTGGCTTGATGGCGTAGTACTGCGCGCGGAGGAAGTTCTTGTGGGGCTCAAGGAGGGGCTGCATAGTCACGCGGCCACCAGCGTGATCATCAAGGGCAAATTTAATGGGGTGAGGCAAGCGGGCGTGCCAGTTCTCGAGCTGCTGGGAAATCTCGCGCGCGACGAGGGGCTCGCAAATCATAAACATCTGGTTCCACCCCAATCCCCGCGCGGGCGGGAGAAAATGCGCCGCAGTGTGATCTCGGCGAGGAACCAGTAAAAGCCAGGCTCGTCGTACTGACTGAGGGGCAGTTTCATATCCTCGTTGAAGCATTGAAGGATTTGAGAGCTCCATGGAATATAGGCCTGGAGCTCATGCTCGAGAAGGTAGCAAGTCCAGTAGGCGCGGATACACTGCTGCCGAAAGGTTGGGTCCGCCTCCACGCGCGTGTGCTGCTGAAGGAGGACGACAACCTTGGTGGAGGCGCGCTGGATAGCCTCGTGGGCGAGCAGGGGCCGCAAGCAATAGAGGAGGTAGAAGCACTGGAGGATCTGGCACTGTACGTAGCGCACCGTATTAGCATTCAGGCGCTCGGCGTCCGCGATCTGGCAAGCGGCGCGGAAGTAGTCGACACCCGGGAAGCGAGCGGGGTCGTCGTAAAAGCGGTTCGGGTCATTAGCGAAGGCGCCGATCGCGAGGACGTAGAGGGCGAGGCATGAGTCGAGAGAACGGTGGCGAAACTGCGAGTCAATGGCGCGGCTCACGACGCCGGCGCAGTCGTCTTGGTCAAAGATGGGACACCAGGGGAGGACATCGCGACAAAATACTTGCTGCAGCCGTGCACAGCGCATCATGGTGAGGTCCAGGGACTCGTGGTGGACATAGTCGCAGTCGAAGATATCCTTGCTGCGGGCTAGTTCCAGATCGAGCTGGCGTTCCGAGGTGTCGCTGGCGCACAAGGGCGCTAGTTCGCGCGGACAGTCGTGGCCTGACAGCCGAGATAGACCGGAGAGATCGAAGCCGATGTTGAAGCGCAAAGGGTGCACGGGACGTACGGCCGTAAGATCATTGTGCGAGCTCGGAGGGGTCGGCACCTGGCCCGGAACCCCTTCGCCTTCGCGGAAGTGACCAAACTGGGCGAGGCCGGTGCGGTCACGGTGGTCGGGGGCAGCAGTCGCTTGCTGAAGCAGAGACTCTATCCTAGCTAAGCGGGAGATGACGTCTTGGTCATCCGGAGGGCGAGGTTGTGCAGCCACAGTATTAGGTGGAGGATCCGGCCCTACCTCGTCGGGCCTAGTGCAACAAGATATATATGTTAGACGAAAGAGAAGTGGGAATGGATGGCGAAAGGAAGGGAGCCAAATCGTGACGAGGGGTCTTCGATGAAGGGAAGGTAACACAGCGTAGTACAGTGTGGGTATGCATGCACAAAGAAGCAGGGGTAGGTGCGCATCCACGAAGGATGAGCCGCGAGAACCGATCGTCGCGGATGGGCCAACAATATAGCGACATCAGGAAAATACAGGAGAAGAAGAGCAAGGAACGGGAAATCGCTTGAGCAATAAACATCAGCAGTGCGCGTTGTGCGTAACGGTACATACCTCAAGTTCTCTTCAGGGCGACGGTAGACACACTGAGCACCAATATCGGCGCAAAATGAACACGACGGCCTGGCGGCGTCACACCGTGTCTTGCGAGACCGGCATACCTCGCAAGCTACGTTGACGCGCTTTTTGGATAAGTTACCTTGGCCACGCTGGCGCGCTCCCGAGGTGTGTTGGGCCCTGTCGTCCCAGGTGTGGAAATGCGGCTTCTCTTTGCTGGAGGCGGACCGGGAGCTGCGACGGTGCCCACGGTCGTGGTAGTTGAAGAAGAAGATACCGAGGCTGTCCTCTGGCCGTGGGGTTGGGAGGCATAAGGATGGTGAGGAGGGCCGCCGTGCGGGGCGCCCGGGTCAGCGGCCATGGCGGGTCCGGGGCCGGCCCGCGGAATGCCGGAAGTGGGGGACGTGGGCTCTGAGCGAGGATCAAGATGGGGGTGGTGAGAGAGGCTGCGCGGATGGTGATGATTGCTAGAGGGGGATGATGATGATGCGGAGCGGCGGTGGTGGAGGGCGGAGGGAGGAAGGGGGACTGCGGCTGGGAAGTGGAGGTGGAGGTGATCGGGGAGTACTGGTCCGCGGCTATCGTCCCCGGGCCCCAGGACCGCTTGTCGGGAGCTAGTGACATGAAGCGGAGGAGGGAAGGCGAAGGGGGAAAGCCGAAGCCTTGCCTGGGCGGCGAAGGATGGGTAAGGTTATTACTGCGCCAATCCGTTGGTTCCTGTGTGATTTCTTGGCTCGCTCCTACTCGGTTGGGAGTTTGGTTTTCCCGGTTTCTATCTTTGTTTACCCGGTTTGGCTGCGAAGCAGGACTGCAAGAGATGACCGCCGTGCCGTAATGACCGTTCACCAAAATTCTGCGGGGGAGATGGAAGGATTGGGGATCGGGAGGGGGTTTCCCTTATTTTGAATGGGGCGTCGGCTGGCCGAGTTCGCAAGGTCGGTACACCCCCTTTTCCTCATATAAACATCAGGGTTGTATGCGAGCCACACAATTTTACCTAGCCGGCGATCATGAACAGGGCACAAGGCGGGCTCATTCTTTTTTAGGGCGAAAGAAACAGCAGGTCGGGCGACAAAGCGTGGCTGGGTTGGGTTGGGTTGGGAAGGAGAGCCGCACAAAAGGATTGGCAAGAGGATCGGAGGCGGGGATGGCGAGGGTGAGGGTGAGGGCAAAAGAGAAGGAAGTTATGCATAGATGGGAAGGTGGAGAGGAGAGCAACGAGGCGAGGCGAGGGACCTTTGAGAAGGGACAATGGAGGAGTACAGACAGGCACAAGGCAGGGCAGGGCAGGGTTCAGGTTCGCAAGGAGGCGACCCAAAAAACACCCCGGCAAGTGCGAAAGTATTCGCAGGTATTCTCCACAACCTCTGTGTCTCTGTTCAAATGTGGGGACAGGGTTCCGATAGGCGCAAAACCGAGGGTGCCTCGTAGCAGGCGATGGAGAAAGACGAGAAGAAAAAAAAGCCAAGAGAAATATTACGTGTGGACCTGGCACTATTTTTTTGACCGTTTCTTTACTTGCATGCGGATTTTGGCAACTGTATTGCGTGGGAGAATGGCCAATGTGGGCATTTAAGCTTGTCGGCGAGTGCGTACTGTCCCATGCTTTCCGTCGGGAAATGTTTAAATTTTTCAATGTTCCTTTTTCGCTTATTACCTTTGATTCTCAGTTGAGAGTGGCATCGGACACACGAACACGCGGCGCATGGCTCCGCTTACATCATTGCTGCATATGTATGTACATGCACTTGCTCTTGACTAGGCTCATTCAATGTTCCTTTTCGCAGCATTCTGTCCGACACAGCACAGCTTGCTTTCCTTTTGACTTGCGAGGTGGGGACGCTAGCGCGGCTCCTTGCCAAGAGGAAAGAGCAAAAGAGTGCATTTGGCTCTCGAGGATCCGTTGGAAGGAGCACTTGACTTGGGGCTTTCTGGGTCCCGAGCCACGAAGGAAGGACCGCTCTAAACGCCGCGAGTGACATCGAGCCAAGACTGGCGCGGTGCGACCGTTTGGGTAACGTGGGAAGTGTACGGACCAGGTCGGGCCAACTATTAGCGGGCAGGCTTGGCCTAAAGCGGAGAAAGATTTGATGACAGGACTATTAGAGAAAGGGAGTCTAAGAGTGGGAAAGAAGGAGAGAGAAAGAGGGAGAGTGTACATGTAGATTCTCATTTCTTGAAGGGGGCCGCAGGACGTGTGCGACAGAAAAGAAAAAGAAACGAAAAGAGAAAAGTAAACAACGCAGAGAAAAATCAAAGTAGGGACCTGTTGATCGAGTCGTCGTGGATTGGCTCAGGATAGACACAACAGTACAGACAACGGGATTGAGAGGATCCCGGACCCCGATCGCTCCGGTTCGACACTCCAGCACATCATTGATGTGGGACACTGGACACTTGGGAACATTGAACATTGAAGCGATAACGTCGCCGCGAGTGCGCCAAGTGCGCCCCCAGCAGCCCACCAGCTTGAGGTCTCCGAGGCCATCCTCCGCGGAGCATCCTCGCTCCCACCACTCAGCCCAAACGCGTGATGGCGTTTCAATAACTCGCAGAGCGCACCACTCGAGCTGTAACTCTACAGGCCATAGTGTTAGGGCTGCTTCAGCCCGTTTCCGAAGAATACAACGTCAAACATAATGGATCAATTGGATGCTGGTACGATCAGTTTCCCCGCTCTCTTCCACCCGCTCGCGCTTGGCGTGGCAAGGCCGGCCACACTGGCACGGTCCGGTTTGGCGTAGCATATTGATCCGTTTGTGGATGGGGCATCCAGATCAAATTGATCCTACTGATCTTCAATCCATCGCTGCCGTGCTGGATGTGGTATGTGGTATTCCCTGCCCTCCCCGTTCAGCCCGCTAGGCCCACTAGTGCCATTCTTGTCCATCCGCCTGGGATCAATAGATTGAATTGATGGATCAAATTCAACATTGGAACAGACATGGCCCAATGGATCCATTCAAATTCAAGCCATTCCAACCCTCGCCATGAAGCCATGATGATCTACCCGCATCAACGGTTTTTTATTCTTCTTTGTTTTCTCTTTTTCTTGTCGCCTTCTTCCCTCTCTTGGCGCTCGCCTTTTGTTCGGGCCTCCTTTTTCCGACGAAGCTACTGTCCACGTCAAGGCGTCCCCTTGCCCTTACCCCCGGAAGCTGATGATGAGAATCCCCTCTCCTCCCGGTTCGGCTATGAAGGCAATTATTTCCTGGGGGAGGGGCGGTTGGCAAACACCGCGCCCTCGCCGACTTGGCGTTCGGCTCTTCTTCCCCTTTTAGACAATGGCCATCTCACAGCCGCACTTCGTATCCCACCCAAACTTCGATCGCCTCAACATCCACCCCGACCCAAGTACTAATAATACCTTTTGTATTTGTCAGAGAGAGAACTAGAGCAGTGCACTCATTCGCCTTTGGATCTCGAATCGGGCACCCGTCACTAATCACCTAGTGCAAACCTTTTTCCTTCACTTCTTTATTTTTTTCATCTCTCGTATGTTCAGGACTAGAGCTTTCTATTGCAGCCAAAGGGTTTTTTTTTTTTTTTTTTTGGGTCTTTACAGGTACCGAGGTATTACTCTCTGCTTTCACCTCTCGCTTCGCTGTTTTCTGCTTGCCCCTCTTTTTCGCCCTTGGTCCTTCTTTGTCCCTCGAGTCCCACTCCAAATGTTTACCAGGTTGTCGGGAACCCGAAAAGTCCGATCTGCCTTTGAATGGTCCCCTATTATTGCCGAAACCGAAACAGGCATAAAGCCCTCAAGCCTGCCAAACGTAGCCATATGCAGCCTTGATCTCATCCCCTTGCCCTGCGTGCCTATTGGCCCATTCTCGTTCAGACTCTTCTCTCGTCAACTGCATCCTTTCAAGTTCTCAAGAGCCCACAACAAGCCCTGGCTTCAATAGAGGCTAGACTAGAAACCATACAAGACGAAGAAAAACAAAGAATGAGTGGTCAAAAGGGTTCTAAAGTGCAGAGAAAAAGCAAACCCAATAAATAGATTAGAAATGGCCATGGCGGAGCTATCAAGCGAGATCATCCTTCGCTCCCCAAAGCAGAACATTGAAGAGTCAAGACTCTAAAAGATCCTCTCCCCTCTCCCCCTTGCAACTTAGCAATTATGGCTCATCTCATTATATCCTAACTCCGGCGTGCTGTGATACGTGGGTGTGTTCCCATCGCTTCCCCGGCTCGGCCGCTCCTCCTCCACACCCTCCGCCCCGTGCCTTGGCCAGCCGTACCGTACTTGTACCAGCAGATTACGCCAGTAAATAAACGTAACGAAAGACTCATGATTGGAGAGAGATGGAAGAGAGACAAGAGACTGAAAAAGAAACAAGGGGGCAGCGCGCAACCAAGGAATGTTATCAAATGTATCGACCCCCCCGTCTCCTCTTGACAAACAAACAATGAGCGTGTCATTTTTGGCAGGTGAATTGGCCCGTCAAGGTCAAGCGCGGACCACCCGGATTCTCGTCCGCGCGTCCCGGAACCCACCCCGACCTAAAAGTAGCCCAGTCCTCCATTACTACATCCCTGGGTCACTCAAAAGGCTAAACGGGCATATCCTTTAGCGCCTCATTAAATCCATCCCTTCTAATCCCCCTTGACTCACTCCCATCTCCATTGGTCTTGTCTCTCCTGGGCCCCCCTTCCATCCCCTATCTTTAAAAATAAGACATAGCCTGGCTATACTTGAAGATCAAGCTGTCAAGGGTCTCCCCTTGGTAACCTTTTCCCTCTCCCCGTCAAAACCCGGCCTATTATACCCTCTCCATGGCCATAACGCCAAGGGTCGTCGAAGGAGGAGGAAATTTTTCGCTCCCAAAAACGTTCCACCTCGCCGTCTCCGTTAGCTCTGGCGTCACACATCCAGGGCTTGCATGCCCAGCCCAAAGTCACGTCCTATTACCTCCCCAGCTCTCCCTTCTCTGCCTTGCGCAGCTCGCCGCCGTCATAATACCTCTACGATAGGGCTTGGGAAGAATACAAGAATACAAGGCTAAAACAAGGACAAGTAATGTTCAGCTCGTGCGCAGCAAGGGGTGGGAGGAAGACGAGTCAGTCAGTCTCCTTATGCTCCCAAGCTTTGCTTGCTTTCCGTCCGCCTTGTTTAATTTTTCTTTTGGGCGGCCGCATGCGCACTGCCGGCAACCTATTCCCAAGCCTTGGATCCAGCCGATACACCACACGGCGTGAATAAATGCATCCGTCTGCCCCTTCCCTTCCCCCACTTCTTCCTTCGTGGTATTATTGTTCACTTGCATTTTAAGCTTCGCGTCGTTTTCCTCCTTTCACGCCCCCTCCCCGCTTCGTCCCAAACCAAAGTCGCCCTAGGCGCACCCCGAGCGAGCAGAGGCCTTGAGCGAGCAGCCCCCTAAGCTCTGTTGAGAAATCCCTCGTTGCCTGTTTTGTCCTGGCTCGGTGCCGTACCTCGAAGAGCTTCCCGGTTGTATCCCTCCACATCATCTCTCCCTAGTATTGAGCTTTGCTCTCTTGCTACTTACGACGCCCCCTTGCAAATCGCATCTACCGTGGACAAGGCCCTCTCACTAACCTACATAATCAACGACACATCACAAACCCATTACGGCAATGCTGCTGCCCCTCCCCTTTGATAGCCTCCTGGACCAAAACACGCATCTATATCCTCTTCTTTATCCCCTCTTCTCCACCTCTTTAATTTGTGGGGAGAAGGCACGAATCTCCCTCTCTCCCGACGTAACCTCGCCGTGCTTCCGCCGTCTCGCCCATAGCTGGCAACCCCTCGACATACTAACACTCTCTTTTTGCCTTCTTTTCTGGCCCACCCTCCACTCTGCACCGGCCGGGTCGCGATGGCGGGCGATCACGGCCTGGACTGGGGCGGGGTCCACCACGAAAAGAGGTGGACCATCCTGCGTACGCAGAAGCGCTTCTTCTTCTGGGCCCTTTACACGTCCATCGGCTCCATGATGTTAGGTATGTGTGGGTGGATATGTGTGTGCATGTGGGGAAACTCACTGCGCACTTGCTCCCGGGGCGAGCATATGACAAAAGAAAAAGAAAAACCAGGAACACCCGTTGCTAACCTACGTTTGACCCGTGTAGGCTTCGACTTTGGCATCGCCGGCACCGCAACCGCCTACCCTGCCTTTCAACAGGCCATGGGCATCCCCTGGCCCTCTCAACCATCGGGGTACCTTATCCCCGCCAAGATCCAGTCCGCTTGGTCCGGAGTCTCCACCGTGGGAGATGCTATCGGCATCCTCATCTCCGGCCAGCTTATGGATCGCATCGGTCGCAAGTGGACGACGTTAATAGGCGCCGTGTTCACCTGCGCGGGCATCGGCGTGCAAGTCGGCAGCAATGACTGGAAAGCCTTTTTAGCCGGCCGAATGGTGAATGGTTCGTCAATCCCTCTTTTCCATATTCCCTTCCAGGTAGCAAAAAGTGTAAACCAAGCTAACACGAGCCCGTTTTTCCCTTTTTCTTTTGCACGACAGCCATCGGTTTCGGCATGGTCTTCCTCATCTCCCCGTCTGGATCGGCGAAAACGCCCGCCCCGAGCTGCGCGGCTTCTACCTCTGCCTCACCAACGGCTCCATCGTGCTCGGCCAGTTCATCCTCTCCCTCGTCGCCTACGCCGCCGAGCAAATCGACGGCAAGTGGTCCTACCAGACCCTCGTCGTCCTCCAGTTCGTCTTCGTCGCCGCCATCATCCTGGGCTATCCTTTTTCCCCGAGTCCCCGTACTGGCACCTTCAACATGGCCGCGAGGCCAAGGCCCTTTCCTGCCTCGAGCGCGTCCACGGCCGAAAGGACCGGGCTCTCCTGTCCGCTGAGATGGCGCGCCTCGCCGAGGTGATTCGCGCGTCCGAGGAGTTGGCTGTCGCTGCGAGGGCGCATGGACCGCTGTTTTTGCAGATATTCAGGGGTATCAATCTGGTGCGTTCCCCATCCATTTCTCTGCGTGTCGTGCTCGGCTCTGTCGGCTCTTTCGGGATCAAAAGAGTCTTCGTAAAACGCGAGTGCTAACTTTCGATACCTCTATAGAAACGAACCTTGATCGCCATCCTTCCTATTATCGCGCAACAACTCATCGGCGCCGCTTTCGTCCTCGGGTACATCACCTACTTCCTCTCGTTGCTTGGGATCGAAGACTTTTTCAAGGTCTCGGTCGCCCTATACTGCTGCATGCTAGTCAGCAACGCATGCGCTTCCCCTTGATTGAGACGGCAGGCCGTAGGCCGCTCTTGCTAACTGGCATGGTCGCCTTGACAATCATCGAGCTAGTAAGTGCCCATAACCAAACACCCCTTCTTTGCTTTTCCTTAGCTCCCATTACCGGATGCTAATCATTCCCGTAGATAATGGGTACTATGGGCGCCATCCATCACAAGGCCGCCATCTGGGTGATTCTCGTCTGCATCTTCCTCTGGGCCGTCTTTTACCAATTCTCCGTCGGCGCCGTCGGCTTCGCCCTAGGATCCGAAATATCCTCCCCGCCTCTCCGCGCCACCACCATCTCCTTCCTCGGTCTTACCCAGTGCATCGTTGGCTGGCTCATCGGCTTCATCTCTCCGTACCTGATCAACCCCGACGCCGGGAACCTTGGCGCCAAAATCGGCTTCATATTTGCCGGAATGGGGTTCCCCTGTGCATTCTCTTCTGGTTCTTCATCCCCGAGACCATGGGGCTCACCTACGAAGATGTAAGTTTCACGCGCCACTCCCTTTTCCATCCATTTGACTAGGCTTGTCTCGTCATGACGTGAAAAATTCATCTCTCTAACGCGGGCTCCCTATAGATGGATCACTTCTTCGAATCCAAGATAGCCCCTCGACATTTCAAGCGTGAGGCTGCCCGCCGGCGGGCTGGAGAGAACCGACGTGGTTGAGGGCGTGAGCAGCGGCACCGATCGCTGTGGTGAATCCGCTCCAGACATGGAAAAGGCCGTCACATGCGGCTAATACTCGCCACGCCGAGCAGAAACTTCGACCACCAGTGGTATATGAGTCTTTTGATTACAAGTGATACCAAATCGCATGCAAGCGAGCGAGTGCTTTGGGAAAGACAAGGCGTCCCTTTGCATTGATCTATCTTCCCCTCTCACATTCTTTCTTACCTCTTCCCACCCTCTTTCAAGAACGGTCGTCTTGTTGCTGTCCCTTCTTTTGTATTCCCTTTTAATTTTCGACATCGTCTGCCCTTTTTCGTGACGTGGCACTTCCATGGCGACACTGGCCCTGTAAAGCCTAGAAACACCATCAGAAAGCTTGTCCTGTTATATACCCCTATCAGTTTGTTTTGGGAGTTTTTGCGGTTCTTTGATATTACTGTTTAGACATGGCGATTGAAACTTGAGGTGTAAAACAGTAAAAGGAAAAGAGAGTGGAATAACTTGATAGAGACAGAGGCGTTTAGTTTACTTTCCTAGATTTGCTTCTTCTTCCTATTTTTCTTCTTCTTCATTAATCTTAAGATTATACTATTGTCTTCTCCTCAACAATACACGATTAGCCTAGGAACTTAGAGATCGTTTCAATGTCTTTCAAACTCATTATGGCTCTCCCACGAACTGTGAGCTCGTGACGAAGAGGCAAGAGCTCCGGTGACATGCCAAGGCGAGGATCCAGTACCCTCATCGCCTACCCATCTAGGTAGAAGCCTGTGGTTGGCGTTTCCAGTCTAGTCTAGAGCTTGCCAAGTAGGCAACAACGACATGGCTTCCTCGTTGCGGTTTCCTCGTCTCCTCGGCTTTCAACAAGTAGCATTAGCTCGCGAACCACCCCTTCGAGGCATTTTGTCCGTCTCTGCAAGGCGCAGCTGCCTCGTCAGATTATCAGGGATTGTCTGCAAACCGTTCTTGGGGAGGACTACCCACGAATCATTATCCGCGCATTGCGCGGGCTCGACTCCATTACCAGGGGGCGTAGACCGGACTTAACCTGATACAACAAGGGAGTCCATGGTGGCGCTTTTAGACCCGGGGCCAGCTTCTCAAATGAACGTCAAGGTATTGGAAAACGTCAGGGATCTACTTCCTTCCATTTTTTATCGTTCGACCTCTTTCCTCTTGTCTTCGACCGCCCGGAGAATGTGCTAAGAGGCGCACATGAGGCTTGTAATCCCGGGCTCCTCCTTGTTTGATGGCGCCTTTCGGTTAAGAAATATCATACGAGGCGGCCCTCTCAGGCATGAAGCTTGCGATACCCTTTGTTTCCGACTCATCACATTTCTGCCCGACGGCGCCGAGATGATCGGCGCGCGCAATCTGTCCGTCACGCGGAGGCTTTCGTCTGTCAACGTGCTTTAGGATGGTGGTACAAAAGACGGGAGGATTCGGGGGCCGCGACACAGTGCCGGGGACCCGGAAGCGTTGCCAGCACTAGATCGATCCTTCAGCTCGCCGTTGCTTGTTTCCGTTCGTAGCCAGCCGATCAACGTCATTCTTTTTGCTCATGTTGCTATTCTCGATATCCCGTAACTAGAAGGGTAAGGGCGGGCAAGGATCTACACTCTTGTGGAAGATTTTTCCAAGGATCTCCAGGAACCCTGTGTTGACACCACTTGCAAGCCATTGTCAAGCGTCCAGCCATTGAATTACTCTCGGCTCCTGAGTGAACGGAGATGTTGGCATTCATCAATTGACGATTGCGCTGCAGTGCTGAGCAATTGAAAATAGATAGCTGCCGTTTCAACGCAAGAACTCGGCATTAATCTGGCCTTTTTTCTTCTTAAATCGGTTCAACTTATAGTGAGCTTCTTTGTGTTTCTTTTCCTTCCACCGCCGCCTCCTTTATGCTATGCTTGACGACTTGGATTACAACGTAGGTTTAGGAAACAAGTTCTGGCTGCACCGGTTGCTGAGTCATCCCTCGGCAAAACCTTTCTCCATCCTCCGTCAAAATCGCCCATGGCCACGAGCAAGCAGCTCCACACACAATTCCAGCCCAGCCAGCATTCTATCCCCCACCTCAGCTTCACCGCGAAACGCAGACTACCCCCACACGACCGTCTCGAAATCCCTTGCGATCCCGCGCCCTCGAGTGTTGTAAAGCTCTCGCGACGTTTCCGATCCAACTCTACTACCTCAACACCCCCTCCGCAAACACAATGACGGGTCGTGGTGGCGGCGGCGGTCGCCGCGTTCTCCTCCCTCCCATGTGAGCTTTTCCTTCCCCTCCACGACAACGCCAACTTCTCACTACTACGGCTGGGCATGCCCCTGCAGTCCAACTAAGACTTATGCGCTAATCTTTTGGTGATTTTTGGGCGATAGCAACATGATCTTCAAACTGCTTCAGACAGTGAGTTAATCCCGAACGCTCCCCTCTCAGCGCAAAGCATTCCTCGAGGAAACAGGCTACGACGGGCTCGAGATGACGGAAGGAGACCTGGATTTACCAGAGGCGATTGGATGAGATACTTGTGGAGCTACCGTAGCCTCCATTGAGTCGTCCTTTTACCTGTTGCGATACCATCCTGAGGGAGAATTGCGACGAACCCCTCGAGCCCTTGCATTGCCTGAACAATAGTTCAGAACTTCTCAAGCTAACCGGTTCTAGAACGCGACAGTGAGCGTCTGGCTCTACGAGCAGCTCTCCATCAGGATTGAGGGCAAGATCCGGGTAAGCGTCTTCCAAGTCCTGCGTTGCGCGACAGCTCTCCGTTAACATACCCCCGTGCCCTCTAGGGATTTGACGAGTTCATGAACCTCGTTATCGACGACGCCGTTGAAGTCAAGCAGGTAACAAAGACCAACGAAAAGGAGAGCCGGAGACCCCTTGGTATGCTTGCTTGCCCACACCCGCCGCCTAGTATAATTGCTAACCCTGTTCCCTTTCCTGTCGGTGTCTAGGCCAAATCCTTCTCAAGGGCGACAACGTATCCCTAATCCAGAACCTGTCTTCGTGAACGCGACTCATCTTACGACCAATCATGCCCAAGTGGGGAAGCTAAAAGGAGGGGTTTTCTAGAAAAAAGAAGGCCAGCAAAATCTTGCTGCGGGTGGGGGATGGGAGGAGTTTTAAGTTGAGAGCGGCAGGGCGCTGGCAACAATTTTTTTATCTTTTCGCATCACCCACGAGCCGAATAAGTCAATCCAGGGAACAGGACATGAGATCCGTGTCTGGCTGGTGATGGAGCCGTCTTGGCCATACGGTCAATGGCTGCATGAGGGAGCCACCAAAGCCCCCGACTGTGGATCCGACAGCAGAGATGTGGCAAGGGTTCCGCCCTCACGGCCTGGGCGATGCCGCGACGGCGGGGAGGAAAGCGCAAGACAAAAGTTCACCCTCTGGTGGGAGAACAAAATGTACTAATATGGTTTTTTCTCCTCTTATTAGGAAACGGAAAAGAAAATCACATTTAACGTTGCTTCCCACGTCCTATTTGACTTTCTAGCGGCTCCTCTTCCTCCCATCTTCGTGATTTTCACCCTTTATCCTCGTGCTTTACCCAATCTTGCACTACTTGAATACCATCGTGCGGAGAAGCTCCACCATCTCGCAGCGAACAAGGCGAGGGCATTCGGTGAAGATCAATGGAAGAAAGTTGGCGGGTTCCTCCCAAGATGGCCGTTATGAAGCCACCCAAACTTAGAATGCGCCTCCTTTCCGTTCTGACACCCTTCAAGTAGGCGCGCCAAGCAGGTGACATGCCCGCCATCACAATCTCATCCCAAACTCTGTACGCTCCCCACCATCTTCTTGTCCTACGCCTCGAGCTCCCTTGCTTCACAGATCAAACTGTGATTACAGGGTGTCGAGGTAGGCGCAAAACAGGGAGATTTTCCTGGCGGAAGGGCATCAGCTGGCGTGACGATAACGTTTAGGATAGATATTCATGCTTCCCATTCATAAATCTTTTTGGTTGCGCTCGGTCTATCGGAACAGAAGGAGCTTCGCTTATAAAGTATCCGAGAGCTCGTCCAAGGAAGCAGTTGCTTTATTCTCATTAGGGTGGATCGATTAAGTGTATCGTTCAATGACACCCATCATCAATCAAGATGTCAAGAGTAATCGATGAGATCCCGCTACCAAGCCAGCCGAGTGATTTGAAAGTGATCGTCCTCAGCTACCCCAGGAATGGAACACATAGCTTCCACGAGGCACTGACGATCATGGGCTACCGATCCTACCACCTGGTGACCTGCTGGCAAAACGGACCGGAGGACATGAGGATCGCGAGGGAGGGCCTGCTAGCGAAATTGTCCGGTATAGGAAAACCGTTTGGGCGCGATGAGTTTGATAAGTGGTTTGAGAACTATGACGTTGAGTCCCCCTTCCCCGTCGTCGCCAACTCAACCTACTGCCGATCCGGTGAATATCGGTTACACGACGCTCCTAAAGGGTAAGAGAGAAGTAGCTGACCATTTCCCAAAGGCCGTCATGGACATTGCCGCCTTCTTCGCACCGGAGTTGATCAAGGCATACCCGGATGCCAAGTTCATCCTCGTCCACCGTGACCCCAGCACATGGATGCGCTCGATGCGGGAAACCATACTCCCCTACGAAGAGGACAGGAGCAAGTTCCCCATACGGTATATGCGCCTCATCGACAGCTACACCCGGGACCTCTTCAACATGACGGACTGCCTGGGCCAGTTCCTGTGGAAAAGAACCGACGACGACGATAAAGATCTTCGCTCATACGACCGCGCTCTCAAGGGTTATCAGGAGTAGTGAGTGTACCGTCCCCCGACGAGAAGGAGTAGATGAAAGATGGACGGGGACTAGATTTAACAGCTTTTTATCTATGCGGTCAGCAACGAAATGGTTCAACGAATGATCCCACCCGAAAAGCTCCTCGTGCTTAGACTCGAGGACGGACTGTGCTGGGAGAGTATCTGCCCTTTTCTCGGCGAACCCGTGCCCGACCTACCCTTCCCGGCCTCGAACAACCCGGCCGAGTTTAAGCAGAGGCTTAGGGGCATCATTCGCACGACATGGACGAGGACGTTGGTCTTATACACCATAGCAGCTCTGCTTCCGCTCATCGGCGCCATGTGGTATGCCAAGTACAAGGCCTAGGGGCTGAGTATGACGGTATGCTAGTATACATCGCCTCAATAAGCGTGATGGAGAACTCCCTTCGGCAAATTGCCGTGCCTACGAAGAGGTGGCTGGATAAGCGCACAAGGAATAACTAGGATCGCAGAGCAGAGAAAATTGAAAGATGTTTATTGATACATCCATGGATGGCCATTGAACCGCGAGGTCTGTAGCTCGCGCGCGCGTATGTCCGCAATCAACCCATGACACCACGTTTCAATGTTGACCATGGCCGGCCACCATCACCAACCTTGTTCCGCAGTCCGACTAATACATCTAGGCGATGGACTCAAAGGGGGACCATGTCAACCCGCGGTTAATGAATGTATATCGGGAAACACTAATGCACAACCAGTGCTCCCTTGCCCAGATTTTCGTCCTATATTCATCAATACCCCTCGCCCTCCCCAACAATTCAAGCCTCTAGCTGGCGGCAAACATTCCATTGACGAGCCCCGTGATGCGACCCGGCAATTCTCCCAAATTGCATCGCTCCCACCAGCTTTTCGGGTATGTAACAAAAGAAGCGGGCATCAATAATACGCATGACCCTACCAAACACGCCCTGGCCATCTCATTTCTCCCTCCCCGCGTCTCGTCCACGCTCTCTTCATCCTTTTTCTATCAAGAGCTTAAATTTAACGTCCCCCATTCGATAAGGGCTATTCTAAGGCGTACCAAAGAAACGAAGGAATGGTGAATCGGGGGCGGCTCAACCGGTTCCCAACCGGTCCCCAAGGTCTTTACGCACCCTTCTATCCATTGACCCATTTCATGAATTAATTGAGGGTTTCGGCTCTTTCTTCTTCTTCTCCCATTTCCAGGAAATGGTCTTGGCGTCCATCTTGATTGATTGCCCCTTGGATTACCACTGCCTTCTTCTAGATTTAACCCCAGATGCCGGGCCAATCCGCACAACCGGTTCATATTTCGCTTTAATTCGATATTTTCAGGTTCAGTGTTTACTGATGGCCTTGCCTGTCCGACTCCTGCCGTCGATACTCTCCCCTGCTTTCCCCGTAGTTCAACTTCTGCAGCTGTTACCCGTAGTCGGGGCTTACCCCAGACCTTGCCTATAAAATTGAATACAAAGATGATAAAACCAAGCGGCAAGCAGAGGAACACATACACCACATACTCACCGAGGACCAAAACGGCGAGATAAACTCGGAATAGAGCCAGCCCTCGTAGTCCACCGGGTAAAATAGAGACAATGGGATAGTTACGGTCGCCGAAAAAGAAAAAACATGGCAGCGGTCGGGCCACTGATTCTGCTCTCCCCATTGTAGTCTTCAGAACCCCTTTCTTCTCCGCTTCCCAAAGCTGGAGCCGTTCTTGGCGCAATGTATCGTATATTGACTCCGGCGGAAAGGAAGCTTCCTCTGTCCACTGTATGCTCGTCTTGGCACCTTATCCTCTCCCCCTTACAAACGATTTGCCCCGACGGTGAACGAGGGCCCGGCTTCGAAATCGGAGGCCGAAAGGGTGAGAAAAGGCAACGGGAGGAGGGGTACCTGCCTCCCTTCACTTATATCAATATATCCAAGGCCATGAACCGCCCGAGCCTCCACGACCGAGATAGATCCTACCTCTCGACCTCATCCCCTCCCTTCACGATAAAATAGCCAAGTCCCCGCAGATAGAAGGTCCACCTCCCCTCTTCAAGCTTTCCAACCGATACTCTCATTCGTCCACCTCTCCTTTCCTCCCTCCCTCCTACCCATCTCCCCCAAACATCATGAAGGTCAGCCTCGCCCTCCTCGGCCTCACGGCCCTCGCCCGTGCCCAATTCGGCGGCGGCGGCGGCGGCCTCCAGCAAGTCTCCAACTTTGGCGACAACCCCAGCAACGCCAAGATGTTCGTCTACGTGCCCACCACGCTCGCCGAGAAGCCCCCATCATCGTCGCCATCCACTACTGCTCCGGCACCGCCAGCGCCTACTTCAGCGGCAGCCCCTACCGCCAGCTCGCCGACCAAAAGGGCTTCATCGTCATCTACCCCGAGTCCCCTACAGCGGCACCTGCTGGGACGTCTCGTCCCAGGCTACCCTCACCCGCGACGGCGGCGCCAACTCCAACTCCATCGCCAACATGGTGAAGCACGTCATTTCCGAGTACGACGCCGACGCTGAAAAGGTCTTTGTCACCGGTACCTCGTCTGGTGCTATGATGACCGTGAGTTCCTTATCAAATTTTCCCCTCTCCGTCCATTTTGTCATTCGGGCGCGATCCTTGATCTCTTCCCCACCACACGGCCCTGCCCCTCACTAACACGCACCACCGCCCGCAGAACGTCCTCGCCTCCACCTACCCAGACATGTTCCAAGCCGCCATCGTCTACGCCGGCGTCCCCGCCGGCTGCTTCTTCACCAACAGCGTCAACGGCTGGAACAGCACCTGCGCCAACGGCCAGGTCTCCGGCACCCCGAACGCTGGGCCCAGTGGGTCTTCGAGGCCTACCCGGACTACAACGGCACCCGCCCCCGCATGCAAATCTACCACGGCTCCGCCGACACCACCCTCGGCTCCGCCAACTACGCCGAGCAGATCAAGCAGTGGTGCGGCGTCTTCGGCTGCGACCCCGACGCTCCCGACAACAAGGAGTCCAACGCCCCCAGCAGGGCTACACCCGCTCCACCTACGTCGATGGCCAGCTCCAGGGCATCTGGGCCCAGGGCGTCGGCCACAACTTCCCCATCAGGGAGACGACGATATGAAGTGGTTCGGCTTGTAAGTGGCGCGAGCAACCGCACCGCCGAATGAATGACAATGATCAAAGGAGAAAGTGCACTATTGTGGTCGCAGCTTTTACACATTGTGAATAACAATGTTCGAGGTACATGTAGTTGCGGGTTCCGTTTTCGGCTTGTCTTGTACAAACTCTTCGTGTAAATAGTTCAATATCAACTTATTGTTGGGCAAGAATGACTCTTGAAGCCAGGGCAAGATAAAAGGTTATGGCAAATGATGCCAAAGATTCCAACAAAAGATTATATTTCTCTAAAGACGTTGAATGCCTATTCGTTACATCAAAATCATCAAGAAAGAAGCGGGCTCCTCACGCCTCCAGGCACTTACGATTCGGATCCAATCCTTTTGATCCGCCCTTCCAAGACAGGAGCAATCACCCGCGTCCAATCCACATTGATCTCTTCCGATCCCATCGAATCGCACGTCGAGGTTTTTACCCTAGCTACCGCCGCCCATTTGGCGAAGAATTTCTTCATTAGAAGGACTTCAGTCTCGAGCCTGTCGTCGTCGGCCCCGTCGCCATCTTCATCCTCGTCTTCAAACCCGCTGTCGTCATTCTCTGGCTTCGCCTGGAAGCCCGCACGACGCTGCAGCCACACTCCCCAGGCGCCCGTCTCCGGAAGCTTTGCTCTTAGCTTGCCACCTTTTTTCGTGTAACTGTCACTGAGGTGCTCCGAGAGCGTCTGACATCGGCTGACGACGTTGTCCCAATGGCTCGCGTCAAGATACCTCCATTTCCCAACTGTTCGAAGCGCCATGAAGTACTGCCTCAGCATGGCGGAGATTAAAATTCCGTTTTCCTCGCTCACAATCTCCTCTACCTCTCCGCCAGCATCCTCGACGAGCAGGCTCATGTAGCCATCTACTGATGTTAGTTGCGGTGCATTTTTAATTGTGGTTCAGGGCAAAATTACCTTTTCCCCTGCCCATGTACCCTCTTGTCGAGAGCAAATATTTCCTCTCAAGGTCAATCTCCTGACCATCAATGAGGGCGGTGACAATCCTTGATCCAGGCGGCTTCTCGGGGTCAAACGTGAATTCGATATTGGATACCTGCGGAAATCGGCCTACAGAGAAGTTAGTAAACGAGAAAACAAAAATATTGTTCCACGCCAGGGCACCGCAAAGCCACTCACCCTCGAGAGCCGGATACAGGCTAACACCATTCTCTAGAGCATCAAGGATCGCCTGGCCCTTCGCCTTCAGCAGCACTACAGGATCCTCAAAAGGAAAACACGTAACAATGTCTTTCACACGAACCGCGCCTGGTGGATAGATCTGGTCGCCTCGTATCGTCCCGGCCGCCATGATTGCGCAGTCAGCGGCGTAATGATGCCTCATGATGTCGCACACAAAGTTGCCCATGCTACTCTCCTCTTTTCTAACCGTGGTAAATCGCGCGTCGATGGCCGTCGCAGTCCATCCTATGGGCTTGGAGAGGCTATTCTTCAACTTAGATGTGAGGTCATCAACGAGTGCGAGAGTGGCAGGGTCCTCAGGAATGCTCGAGACGACATCCCTTCGAAGGATATCAAAGTCCCATTTTCCTGGTTGGTCGGGTTTCCTCCAGGCCTGAATGTAGCTAAGCTGTTTGAAATCACTCCCAGATCGTAAAACATGTGTGCCGTTGATGAAGCTGTGCGCATAGTAGTGGTCGTGTCCGCCGAGGATGATATCAATCATTCCGTTGGTGTTGGTCGCAAGCTTGTTGTCGTTGGGTTCTCTCATGTGGGTTAGGGCTATGATAATCTCGGCGCCCTGTTCCCTGAGGCCGGGAATAAGCTCTTTGGCAGTCTCTGTGGCAGACTTGTATATGAGGTTCGGTGGTAGAACATTAATAGTCTCTAGCCATTCCCTCTCACCAAGTCCGATAAGGCCGATCTTGATACCATTAGAGGAGGTGATCATGTGCGTCGCTTTGGCATTTCCAATAGGCACACATTCTCCTAAAGCAGGGTCAAGTACATTGGCGATGAGCCACGGAAACTTGCATTTCGATGCGAGGTGGCCGAATTGCTGGACTCCGAAATCAAGATCATGGTTCTGCCAGCTCCTTCGTTAATGAGCTGGAGGAGGAGAGACATAATGTCAGTCCTAAGGATGCGGACACGAGAAAAGACTTACGCCAAGGGATGCGCACAACGTGCCGATTTCATTGAGTATGGGGACCATATGAGACCCTAAAGTTACATGTATTCAATTAGAGATTCCGATTTCCTTGCATGGTAGCGACCTGAGGGGACTCTGTCCTCATACTCACCCTTGGTCACCGTGCTCTCAACGCTAGGGTTAAACACATCGCCGGAGAACAGTGGAAGCAACTCGGATTGCCCTCGATACTGTCCGCCATCTCGGTACTCTTTCAGAACCGACATGAAGCGTGGGATACCGCCAACGGGCTCGGCGCTGGAGGGTCGATGTGGTAGACATCATTGAAGTGGAAGATGCGGAGGTCTGGAGGGTTTCCCTCATCGGCGCGCCCACTGGCAAAGGTGACCGTCGAATCGGCCGGGGCCGGGGCTCTTTTCCCCATGGTTCGGTTTCGGGAGGTGTGCGAGAATCCGGGTGATTGAATTGATGCTTGTTCTATGGGTCCGTTGTACGATAGAGATGCTATTTCTCCAACGAAGCCGAGGAACGAGCAAGTGACGCGAAGCTGAAAAGAGGTCGAGCTGAGCTTCGAGCTTGGTGGGGTCGGTCGCGGCCCAGGAAGGAAGGAGGGGAGGGGCAGTGTTAGCTGCTCGATGACAATTAGGGGCAGGTGCAGTGGAACACCAACCCAACGAAGAAGTTTTGGGAGGAGGAAGGCGCGGAGCACACAAGGACAGAACAAGCCGGGATAGATTGGGTGTACATCAATGATGTATTTCTTGAAGGTCAAGCCAAATCAATTGAAAACGGGGCGATCCAGAATGTTCCAAGATTGATTAAATTTCCTAGTCCAGGGGCGATATGACGCCGTTTGTGCTCCTTGCGCTTTCGTCACAAATCAATTGGCACCACGAAACGCCTCCGCCTGCAGCTCAGCGCATAACGATGGCGTTCAACTCGAGAGGCAGTGCAAGGCATCTCACGTGATGGTACCAAGACGACGATGGTGAGGCGCTGGCCAGACGGAGACGTGGCTTCTCAATGCATCCCTGCCATATCTCGTTTGGCTTTGGACGTTCACCTGGAGTAGATGGGGAGAAAGAAGCCCGGATGCGCTCGTAACTGCTGGGGTGGTGGGGGTGTTCAGGACCAAGGCCCCACGATCAAGGTGAAGCTCGACGTCAATTGGAACATGGAATGTTGGCCAAGTTAAACTAAGAAAAGCAGGAACCACCAATGACGAATCGGACATTTGATTACGCAGTGTTAAGAACCAATATCTACTGCAGAGCCAGTTCCAACGTCCACCTCTGCATCGACTGCCCAGGCACTACATGTCAAGAGATGCGCTATGAAAGAGGTTGCACGAAGTTACTCGGATGGAGGGGATATCATGGGTGGAAACTGACCCACACACACGGTGAAGGCTGAAAAATATCATTGAGCTATTAATTGAATTCTATCACGTCAAACATTTTAGGTAGGCGGTTGAAGAAAGGCAACACTGGAATGAACCAGCAATTTTGCTCGCCATGTCCCCAGGCTCGAACCCCTACAGGAGCGGAAGGTCGTACCCGGCATTGGTAGTTCTGTGCAAACCGAATACCGTCAAGCTCGCTCAGCATCCTTCCCCGTTCCTTACCACTCAACCACCTCCCCGTCAATCCAGTATGACCCGTTTGGAGCCTCCGCAATCCCGGGCATGGTCCCAAGCGCCAACATGACGGGGCCCTTGGCCGCCTCGGACGGCTCCATGAACTCGGCCTGATCCTCTTCGGGATAATTCCCTCCCCGTACCACCCCGGGGCAGCATGCCCACGCTGATACCCCGTCCGGAAGTATCTCTTCATTGACAAGGATTCGCGTAAAGGCCACGAGGAAGGCCTTGGACATGATGTACGGCAAAATCGACCATCCCTCCTCCTCCACCCTGTCCACATCGACTGCGTCTCTGTACCGAGTTATCAGGGCGTTTAGCTCGCGATAGGTAGTTACCTCGCGGAGCTCCTGCGCCCGCTCGTCCGAGAACGTCGTGGCGTCAGCGAGGCGACAGGACAGGTTGACGATGGCCCCACCCCGATTGAACTGAAGCCCGAGGATGGAGCATAGGTCCACGGGACTTCTAAAGTTGATCTGCAAAGTCCGAGAGACGTTGAAGATATCTTTGGGGGAGAGGTTTGGGTTAGGGTTATCTGAACGGCCGGGGTAAACAGAATAGGAACGGGGACTTACTGCTGGCTTCGTAGCACACCGACGCGTTGTTGATCAGGATATCAATCGTATGGTGTTCTTGGAGCAGCTCCTCGACGAAATCCAACTGCTCACCGATTTCCAAAAGGTCTAGCCGGCGGTGCCACACAACCACCCTTCCGCCTTGATTGCACAGCACCTTGGCTTCCGCCAGTTCTTCATCTTGGTAGATCCGCTCTGCCGCTGCAAGGCCTGCAATGACGTCGTTGGCCGTGAGGAAGATGACGAGGTCTCGGTTCGGGTGAACTTTAGGGAACTCGAGCGCGAGTCGGCGGACTGACGTGCCCGTGGAAGAAGCCGGTATTAGTGGACCGTCATCCTCATCGTGGAAAAGAGGTTCCCCGGTGACGGGGAAGCGGGTTTGGAAACTTACCAATTTCGTAGCCAATCCCTCGGCTCGCTCCAGTTACCACAGCCACGGTGGGCCGAACTAAAGTGATGTCAGCGTTAGCCATGATGATGCTCTTGCGATTTGGAAAAGAAAAAGATATGATGCTTGGAAGTTAGTTACTGTTGATGGTGCTATTCTAACTGATAAACCTGGTGGCCCTCTACATCTTATATATCTGTAATTCTTTTGATCCTATCTCCATCGTTGTCCCCATCAGGGAATGAAGGCTTTGGCGTGTCAGGCTTGAAGCGTCATGCGCTTGTCTGGTCCAAGAACCAGCTGTCGAGGCCAACATAAAGGAGGGGACAAAGATGAGAAGAGTCTCAAGCATCGAAGAATCGGAGGGTCATACCAACCAGGTCGGCGCATTCCTCAGATTGAGCATCGAGCACGTCCTCATCACCGAGAGTCAAAGAACGGGAACAATGCAATAGGGTAATAGTGGACAAACTTGTTAAGCAGATAAACGGAGTCGGATGAATGGAGAAAGCGAGCAACGCAACGTTTGTGAATGGACAATTCAAGATAACTTTTTGTGTCCCCGAGTTCATTGTTTCCCTACCACCCATCTATTTGAGCTCGGCTTCGAAGCCGCATTACTTTCCACCCCTTCTTTCAAAGGACAAATCAAAGGACGAGCGCGTCAACAGCATCTTGACAAGGGGTGTTAAGGAGGGACACACGGACTAATCCTACAATCCAGGCTTCCGCTTCTCCACGCGGGCGCTAGGTGAAATGATGCATGTGCTGGGGGCTAAAGATGTTGATCAAGTCTTTCCGAGCCCAAAATAGCAGATCGCTCCCATCCCCCAATGAAAAAAAGAAAACACAAGACGACAAAGGAGAAGTAAAAAGAGACTGTGCAAAAGCGTAAACCCACATCCCGCCATGATTAACAAATATTGTAGATTCTGAAAATACTGGATCTGGAATGAAAAACGTTTTCTCATTATCGTCACCTGCGGAGAGGCAGAGTCTCGTCGAGACATTGTATCACCTATGACGTTCACTGGTTAGCGCCATGTTTCAATGGAGCAAAAAAACTGCCTGCATTCTTGGGTGGTGAGTGGTGGACAAACCTTCTCGCCAAAGACCTCCTGGTTAGCTAGGTAGCGGCCCATTCCACGAACAAGCTCAATCTGCTCGTCGACTGTCAAGCCGGTGATGGCCATCTCCATCACAGTGCCAAGCTTAACCTTGTGCAGAGCGATGAAAGTGTGGTAGTACATGAAGGAGAAGAATCCCATGATGAACTGGCAATCCATACGATCAGTCATGCCACCGTGGCCAGGGATAGACTGGCCGAAATCCTTGATCTTGAACGTGCGCTTGAGGCCCGAAGCGAAAAAGCCACCAAAGGGAGCGATGAGGGAGGCGAAAGTGGCGAGGACTAGAGTATGGAACTGCATGGGGGTGATCTCGAAGGAGATGACGGTATTCTCCTTAAGGAAGAAGTATTGAGGAAGTTGGTAGGTCTTGGGAATGAAGACAGGGTTAGGGGTGCACCTGAGACCGGTGAAAATGTTGGCACCGAGATTCTAAAGATACTGTTAGTAGCCGGCGCGACAGCGACCAGGACACGCCTTGTCGCAAAGAAACAAATGCCAAACTTACAGTGACCGGGCAGATAAAGTAGCTTGAGCGAGTGAGAATGTTGGTAAGGATGATGCCAAAGAAAACGGTCATGATCCAAGCGCCCACGAAGCCCTCCACCGTCTTCTTCGGCGAGATCTTGATGAGCTGAGTCCTGCCAAAGGTGATGCCGCAGATATAGGCCCAGATATCATTGGTGATGACGAGCGAGGCGGGCAGGAAGAACCAAATAAGCCCTTCAAAGATGTTGTTCATGATGAAGTGCGCCTGCACCACGATGAGGTAAAGCGCCATATGCGTCCAGGCGAACTGCGTGAACTGGAACTTGTAGTTGCCAGCCTGGAGGGACGCGACAAAGAAAACGAAGCCTGTTGCGCCGACATGTTAGTGGGTCTATCATTCTGGCAGAGTTGAATGTGCCCGCTGCAGTCTGTAGCGCGGCGCTCGTTCTTTCGGAGAAACACATACCAAAGACATAGAGAATGAACGAGATGAAGCGATGATGCGTCGCCAAAGGAAGCAACATCTTGTCGACGAGGACGATGTGCTTGAAATAGTAGATAACAGTCTCTCCGTAAAGAAAGTACATGGTCGTGGCCAGCCAGTACCAGTTCAGGCTCTTGGTCGATCGCAGCAGCCGTGCCTTGCTGGGGATGCTTGCAATGGCGATAACCTCGCTGAAGGAAATAATCTGAATGGCGGTGATGATGACGATGATGTAGATGTGGCCCATGAATAGCGCGGAGAAGAAACCAGCCATCATGATAAAGGTCCAAAAGGTTCTCGTCATGAAGTTGGCCTTCTTCTTGTTATACTCCTCCTGTTTCTCCGCAAGGGTGGGCTCGGCCGCGGCTCGCTATAGTTTCCAGCATCAGTTAGCTCTGTACGAAGCATCTCGTGGACCGACATGACCTGGCGCTGTTCCTCCCATCTTGCTGGGGCACGCGCATCTCCCTGGCTGTTGAAGAGGGCTGAGAGAAGACGCAGAGCACCGCCAACATTTCGGAGGGTATCGTGCCTCTCTCGAGGGGAACCCAGAGAACCACAGGGCCTAACAGGTGAGTAGAGAACCTACCTCGGAGATCTTCTGGAGCTGCGATTCGGCCCGGAGTCGCGTCGGGGAGCCAGCGTCCTCGCTGACATCACTGAAACTCGAGCGCCGGTCGCCATTTGTCGCCCTGTGGGGGAACTTGACCCCCTCTTTCCGCGAGCCATGATAATTAAATGCGAGTTGGAACCTCGAGGGTTGCGTAGTTATTCGGAGAGCAAAAAAGGACCGCCGTTGATGGACGGGCTTGTTTTTTTCTTCCGTTTTCGCGAAGCAGTCGTCGAGGAACGCGGATCGTTCGGAAGGAGGAACAGGGGGTGGTGGGCGAGTTCAGGTCAAGCTGACAGCAAGCTATGTATTGCAACCGACACAAAAGCTAGATCGTTTCACGGCCTTGGATCGTTCATCGAGATTTCGGAGATTTTCAGCCTGAGACAATTGGGCTTTTGGAGAGTGCCTAGGTGTTGCGTGAGGACGACTCGAGATGAAGGTGGTCGTTTGTTCTGGTCAGGCAGAGGGGTGGTGACGAAAGGATTCGGCAGCTGAAATTCAATTCAAGGAGGAAAGGGAAAAAAATATTAACGACGACAGCAAAAGCTCACTCAACGGGGGCCCAAACCAGATTGGGGCTTGTGTGGGCGGAGTTTGATTTGAGGCCAAAAAAGCTGGTCGACGTCAGTCTTGGCATTCCTTTGCCCCTAATTTCTAGAGTGGGTCAACTGCATGCAGCTGGGTACGAATATCGGTTCGCTTTGCGAACTTGGTCTTTAATTTGTCGCCGTTTCTAGTAGTAGATATACAATTTCCATGCTAACCGAAGAAGAGAAAACAAGTCGGAAGCGAGCTGTTTCCGAGGTGTTGTGAAGAATACTGTAGCCTTGGCCATCAACATCTCGTCATTGCATGACCTTGCTTCATCCTATTCAGTAGCTCTGAGCTCATCTTGAAGAAGTCGCGTGGGGAAGATTACTTAATCGAACGCTAAGGACTGTGCCAAGACCAAATTTGGCTGCTGGCTGCCTCTTTTGTTTCTCGAAGTATCCTTGTACAGAGGTAATACAACGGTACGTACCTCTTTAAAGTGCCCCCAAAACACGTCGCCATCACAAGCGTCTTGCGTTTACGCGTATTGTCCCAAGCTTCAGGTCCGTTCGTTGCCTTGCGGGACCAAAAAATCCCATCAGCCCAATGGAAGCGTTCGCGCTCCTCACGCCACCCCGCCACGATGGGAGAATACTCCGACGACGATCTCGACGATCTCCCCGAGAGTGTCTTTCAGGAGCTCGAGAGCAAAGCCATTGAATTCACCCAAAGGCAGCAGCAGCTTCGCTCAACCCAAGCCAAAGAGCCACCCCACCAACCCACACGACCCCACACCACGCGGACCCTCGACGCCGACATTCTCGACAACGACGACGACGATGAAGATGACTTGTTTATACTAGATGCCTCGGAAGCTGTCCGAAATGCCCCGGCGGTCTCGCGAGGCCGCCGGTCGCTCAGCCGACCACCTTGCCGCAGATTCACCGACCCGGTCACATGGCAAGGCCCGGACACCCTAACCCCAATACCAATAACCAGCAATGGAACCGAGCCGGAGGCGTCGCCGGCGCCCACGGTAACCCTCCAAGACCTAGTAATGCCTCCATGATGGCTTCCCAGCCGTTCCGGCCCCCGGTTCTCGCACCCAACCGGGCGCAGCCCAGCCAATTCCCCGCGCCTTTGCGCCCCTCCACCCGCTACGCTCCCTCCCAGACCCAGGCGCCGATGGCCGCCCCCAGTCGGATGCGGTTTCGGCGCTGCAGCTACGCGTTCGGAACTTGGAGAGGGAACTCAACATGGCCAAGGGCGAAGCCGCCATCCTCCGGTCCAACTCGACCAAGGCGCAGCAAGCCCATGATGCCGAGCTCGCCCGGCTTAAGAAGCAGGCGAAGGAGCACATGGACAAGCAGGACCGGGCCATGGAGAGGGCGCTCGAGGGTGAACGCCAGAAGGCGACCGAGCTGCAATTCATACAGAGGGATATGCACATGCAGGAGGTGGCCAACCGCGCCAGGCGTAAGGAGACTGGCGCGACGGCCACCACTCCGAAGAAGACGACGAGGAGCTGGGGCGTGGCTGACGGCTTTGACGGCATGGACCTAGTACCTAGCCCGAGTAAGTCTAATAACGGGAGAGCGAAACAGGCTTCGGGCATCCTAGCGCAGGGTGAAAGAACTCCTAGCAAGAATAAGCGGAAACGCCCGACGGTAGATAGCCCTGTCCCACCGCTCGATACCACGACAACGGACGACGTTGTCATGCTCCCGGATATAGTCGAAGTTCAATCTACCTCGGGATCAGTGAGACCTGTAGCAATTTCTTCCGCGCCCGCTTCCCTACATGCCCTCCCTTTCGACGTAGGTCCTTTTCCCAAACCCTCACTCTCATGATGAGCAAGTCCTCCTAACCAGGTTTCTTTTCTAGTTTCTCCCCTCATTCTCGACCATGCTTCCACACATGGCCAGCCGCCGACTTTTGACAACTTCTCCCGATACTTCTTCCCCTCCGACCCGAACACGTCCTTCTCTTCCATCATCTTTCAATCACTGCCGACCAAGACCGACCCAAGCAACCCCATGAACATCCTCACCGAATTTTCCCTACTCATCATCGATCTCTGGAACCGCTGTGTGGAAGAAGCCTTGTTCGGGCCCATACGGGAGCTCGTCTCCCTCCTCTCGTTCACACTCCAGCTCCATTCGGTGTCTATCATACCTCGGCTTCTTAATAGGGTCCTCGCCATCGCGCAGGCAACACTCTTCGTCCTGATTGACCTACGCTCACAAGCGACAGATAGGGAGGCAGAAACGCAAGAAGAAGATGCTGATTACCCCACGACATCCATCCTTGCCCTTCTTAGTTTATTTGCTCTTGTCAGCGCAACAGGAAACGGGGACTACGACGGCGACGATGACGATGACGAGGCCTCAAGCTCCCGCGTTTCTTTTTGGAAGCTGTTTGCTCTAGATAGCGTGTGTTTAGTGTTGGGGCCTAAGCAGCCTCTCTACGATATTGCAGGCATGCTGGACCTGTTAACAACTTCAGTGCTTCCGGGCAGCATTGGGCCTATCGCGGTCGATAAGGATCCTCCCGTGGTGGCGGACATCATGCTGGACAAGCTCTCCAAGCTTCTCGTCCATCTCCCCGTGGCGGCAAAAACGCCAGCCCAACGTCACGCCATGATGCGGCTCGTCCTGCAAACCATGCTATCTTTTACAGCGTCGGAGTTTGGCATGCGGCAGATTGCGCTCAACGAAAGCGCCGCGTTGAGGGTCATCGTCGCCCTCTCCAAGGCCGTTGATGAGCTCTACGACCAAAATCTAACGGTGGACGCCTTGTCGCTTTCGAGTCTGCGGATCCGCGACGCGCGGAGGGCAGAAATTCTAGACCAGTCCTTTGAGGCGCCGGCAACGGGGATGACGTTCCGGCGCTGTGCAAGGCAATTTCCTGGGCATACAACTCCTTCACACTCTGGTCACCGACCCGAGGACGGCGCACATCATCCGACTCCAGGAAAAGTTTGAGACGTGGCGCTCGGACGGTCGTAGGTGCCTGACCATGCTCTGCCGTCTCAACTTTGCCGAAGATGATCTCGTTCTCGAAGCTGGGATTGACTCCGAGACGGCGGAGAGGGCGCACGAGTTGCTGGAAGTGCTGGTGACGCCGGAGAAGGGAAAGAACATTGGAGAGGCGTTTGGGACCCCTGATGAATAAAATGGAGGGAAAATGTAGGACTACCGACTTGATGTGGCAACATATTTTTCTGTAAGCTCCATAGGAGCTAGTAGTTGGTTTTGGGAGTTTGGAATCTGGATTATTTTGGCCCTCCTTTCGCTTTCATCTTTTGGGGGCGTTCCACCTAGGAGAGACACCTTTAGACCATGCATCCATCCATTGTATTGGCATGGCAAGTTGAAATATTAAAATGGCATCATATAAATTCAAGGCGTTGCATCAGTTGAACACCATGTCTTCAACGGCGAAATAAATCAAAGTCTACATAAAAGCGTCGTGATTTATTGCATCGTGAATCGTGCAATCTCCAGATATATTTCCAAGTCGTATGATGAAGCGGCAACGGCCGTCAGGTGTGTGTACATCTGTAGGAGGCGGGATATCAGCATCAGGGGAAGTTTTTCCGTCGCCAGGTAGAGCTGAAAAGGATCAAGTGCATCAGAGACAGACTCGGGGCCGGGTTGATCTGACAGCCTTCCCTCCCCGCCTGTCTCTTGGCATTATACGAGCTCAGGTCTCCTCTCCATCCCCTCCTCCGTCTCCTTCTTCCCCTTCTCTTTTTTTTTTTATTCTATCTCCAGAAAACCACAAATCTTGAATTTCGGCATCGAGATAGATAGAAATGGCTCAACCAGACGGACTCAATTTTGAATCCTTCAATGAGGAGAAAGGCGATACTATTATTCTTCTCCACGGCCTCTTGTCCTGTCGCCACGAATATCAGAATGTCGTCCCTTTTCTGACCTCCCACCACGTCATAACCGTCGACCTCAATGGGCACTCCGGTTCAAAACACATGCAGCCCGTGACGCTAAGCGCGTGCGCCGAGAACGTGTCAGCCCTGATCAAACAGCATGCGCAAGGCGGGCAAGCTCACGTAGTAGGGTTATCGTTGGGCGGGTTCGTGGGACTGAAGCTGGCACAGCTGTACCCGGAGCGGGTGCGGACTCTGTGGGTGACGGGTTCGGCCCCGTTTGAGGGCTTCTTCAAGTGGATGGCGGAGCGACCGGCCGTGGTGTGGTACATTATGAAAGCGTCGCTGAGCTGGCTGCCCGAGGGTCTGTACTGGAAACTCGGGAGCTGGAAAGGTTTGATCAGGCACGACGACTTGTACGGGGAGATGCAGAAGAACGTGGTGTGGGAGAACGTGCAGAGCGCCTACACCAGCATCCTGGAGGAGATGACGTGGGAGGACGTCAAGGAGATTCGCGTGCGAACCCTGACCGTCTCGGGCGGGGTGGACGACGATACGCCGTGCACGAAGAAGATGGGCGAGCTCTTGCCGGTCGAGGGTTCGCGGGCGGTGGTGGTGAAGAAGGCGGTGCACTCTTGGGATCTTCAGTTCCCGGAACTCTTTGCTCAGGGGATCCTCGCTTGGATTGATGGGAGAGAGCTGCCAGAGGAATTCGAGGCGTTGACGCCTGCACTTTGAGAGGACTTGCTCAAGATCTCATCACTCAGCGCATCGACTTTTCGGCTTTTACTCACAGTATGTTTGATGGATTTTTAATGTAGGAAAGGGTTGGCTTTGCCCATTATCGTTTGCTCTCGGGCGTTTCTTGTCTACATTCGCCTGTTTTCTGTTCAATGTTGTCTGTTATGCTTCCCCTCGACAAAGGGGATCAGCTTCATACCCATTTTAGGATATCCTCTACCATTTCCGCTCAATTATATTTTCCTCTATTCTTGCCTCCTTGGATGGTCTTTCGGAGACAACACCTTTGACGACTCCAAGGCGCCTTCCGTATTTTACGTTGCTCGCCACCTCGCTCGCCGGCGAGGACTATCACCGGTGCTGCCTGCCATCTTCTGGAAAATCTATAGGCCGGTTCATACTCTGTCACTTTTATCGAGGAAGGACTTGCCATCAATCCAACTAGCTTGAAACTTGAACCTCCCAAATTCACTCTTAGCAACACCAAACTCCAGGCTTGGGAAAAGACGAACGTGAGAGAAAGCCACTTCCCTCCTCCTTGCCTAATTACACCGCGAGGCGAGGGACCGGATCCCTCTCTAAACCTCTATTGTCAAGAGATGCCAGCCATAAGCAACAAGGTGGTCATCGTCGCGGTGTACCCCGATCTCAGCAAGAAGCAACTCGATGGCGACATGGTCATCCGCCGCGTCAACCAGTTCGTTGACGCCGTCCGACAGGTTTGTGCCATGCACGAGGTCTGCCGTTTTTTCGCGCAGTGATTCCGCCGAAACACTACGCCGTCCCCCTCTCCACTATCCCCGTCGCTTTGTTGGCCGAGACTGACAGTTTTGACAAAAGGATGGCATCATCATCATCGACCGCAAGACAAGCACGAGATGGTGCGTGTGCGCCGACCTACGAAAGTGTACTTGCAAAGATACGAACCGTCCGTGCGAATGTGACAAGTTTCTCTGCGAGCCCTGCAAAGCCATCGGTCGTAAGTTCGAAGAAGCATATAACGATCTCGGCGGCCACGGAGAAGACCTAACTGACCATACTCCCAGGCGTCGACCCTGAGGACTACTGCAGAAAGCTCACGGATATTTACGAGCGACACACCAAACGCATCCAACTGCTCGAGGTCAAATTCAAGCGTTTCTACAGCATGGCGGCTCTTCACGAAGAGTTCGCCACAGCTACCAAGAGACCCGTCAGTACCTTTCGCAAGATTTGGCGCCGTCGCCGAGACTGCCCCAACGACTGTCGCGGCCTCCTCCACCTCTAGTGCGGGCACAGGCAGCCGTGGACTACGCTGCCCAGCCTGGAAACGTTTCTTCAATACAAGTTGACCCAGCAGCGCCTTGACGCAGACGACGTTTGGAAACAGTTCAAGGATGAGCTGATCCGGAGTCGGATCTTTGAGGGCATTTACATGGATTTACCACCTGTTGTTAGTCAAGAGGGTTTGGCAGTGAGTTCCGATGATCACGTCTCTACACAGCTGGGGGAAGCGATTGCACAACCCGCCCCAGAGTCGGGAGATGAGGCAACTTCTGAGGAGGATACCACCGTGATTTGATATAAACAGTGTAACAAGGTTTGGCGAGGATTTGAGGCACATTTGTTGAGGTCTGAGTGATTGTTAAGAGTCTCTGGTACACTGCGCAAATGAGAGGAAGATAAGGATTAATTGATTGATCGGAAGCCCCGTTAATGTAATATATCCTACTACTGGTGGTAAATTGTCTGTCGACCAGTAAAAATGATTTGGTGGTGGACCGGGTTGGCCACGGAGCCCGAAAGACTGGGAAAGAACATTTGATTGATTGAGGCGGCGACTGTAATCCCTGCAACCTGGAACACCAGCACGGCTCGCACCTCCTGTATCTGCGAGCTCCCTCTAAAAATCCATCCTTGGAAATCCGCCTCTCCAGTTCGCCAGGCTTCTCCTGCCACGTTGGCGACATCATCAGCGAAAAGAACTTTTTACACTAACCCCTGTCCTTCCTTTTATCTCCCTTTCCTCATCTCCCCTCTACTTTTCAACCCCCGTCCCACTTTTAGAAGCCCCTCCTCCTATTTTGCAGACGATCAAATTCCTGCTGGAGGATGCTTCTTCATTCCATCTTCTAGTCCTCCCTTTTTTTTCTTTCTTTTCTTGTAAGACTCTTTTAATTTATCGGCGTGAACATCTCCGCCGCGCGCCCTCCCTCGATTCGACGCGGTCTTTCGTCCGTGGAACTCGCACGAACCCACCGTCGCGACAGCCGCCGCAATGGCGCTTGTCGAAAATCCCCAGATCAAGTCGGCGGAGCTCTTGAAGCCCCTGCCGACTCACTTCCACGCCTACATTTGGCCATTCACCATCGCCTGGCCCATCTTCTTCCGCTACTATCTCACGCCTTCTCTGTACGAGAAGCATATTGGCTCGTCTGAGTGGACTTATGTGTGGTGCGGGTCCATCATCACTGTCCAGGCCCTCGTTTGGCTCAGCACCAACTGGAGCGTCAACCTCCGCGCCCGCTTCACGTCATCGAGGGTTTCGTCCATCCAGGATGCGCAGCTCATCAAGGTTCTCCCCATCGCCAACGCCGGCTCTGCCGATATCTGCCCGCTACTCCGAGAAAAGGTACGCGCGATCTGTCCCCCTTCTAGCTTCCCGGCCCATCCATCTACCTGATGCTAATCATGATTTGTCCTCTAGGTTGGCGACAAGATCAACGTGTCGTTCCTGTTCCAGAAGCGCCGATTCCTCTACGACGAGGACCGCAAATCCTTTGCCACTCTCGACTACGCCATCGATGCCGAGCCCAAGCCCTCCATCGGTCATTTCAAAAGTCGCGAGGTCTCGCGAACCAAGCCGAGCTTACAAGGATTGAGCAGCATTATGGCTCCAACACCTTTGATATTCCCGTGCCCACCTTTACTGAGCTCTTCAAGGAGCACGCCGTCGCCCCGTTCTTCGTCTTCCAGATTTTCTGCGTCGGACTGTGGATGCTCGATGAATACTGGTACTACTCTCTGTTTACGCTTTTCATGCTGGTCGCCTTCGAAAGCACCGTCGTTTGGCAGCGCCAGCGCACTCTGAGCGAATTCCGAAGCATGAGCATCAAGCCATACGACATGTGGGTTTTCCGACTTGGCAAGTGGGTTGAAACGCAGAGCGACAAGCTCCTTCCCGGAGATTTGGTCTCCATTGGCCGCACCAAGGAGGACTCTGGCGTCGCTTGTGACATGCTACTTGTCGAGGGAACCGCCATCGTTAACGAGGCTATGCTTTCCGGTGAAAGTACCCCCTTCTCAAAGACTCCATCCAGCTCCGCCCTGCCGACGCTCCCATTGACCCTGAGGGCATTGACAAGAACGCCTTCCTCTGGGGTGGCACCAAGGTCCTCCAGGTTACTCACGGAAACCCTGACGAGGAGCGCCCCAAGCTTGCTTCTGGTGTCCCTATGCCCCCGGATGGCGGCGCTATGGCTATCGTTATGAAGACCGGCTTCGAGACCTCCCAGGAAGCCTTGTCCGCACCATGATCTACTCCACCGAGCGTGTGTCCGCCAACAACGCTGAGGCTCTCTTCTTCATCTTGTTCCTCTTGGTCTTCGCCATTGCCGCCTCCTGGTATGTTTGGGATGAGGGTGTGAAGAAGGACCGCAAGCGATCCAAGCTCCTCCTCGACTGTGTCCTCATTGTTACGAGCGTTGTTCCCCCGAGTTGCCTATGGAGCTTTCTCTTGCTGTCAACACCAGTCTCGCGGCCCTCGCCAAGCTTGCCATCTTCTGTACCGAGCCTTTCCGTATCCCCTTTGGTGGCCGTATCGACGTCGCCTGCTTTGACAAGACCGGTACCCTCACTGGCGAAGACCTCGTTGTCGAGGGTATTGCTGGGCTTGGCCTTGGCCGCGCTACCGGCACCGATACCCCCGCGACTCTCACGGAGCTCACACCCGCATGATGCCTGTCAAGGATGTTGGCCTCGAGACCACTCTTGTTCTCGCCACCGCCCACGCTCTCGTCCGCCTTGACCAGGGAGAGATTGTCGGTGACCCAATGGAGAAGGCAACCCTCACCTCTCTCGGTTGGACACTTGGCAAGAACGACGTCCTCGTTAGCAAGGCTGTTAAGGGAGCCGCCACACCTACTTTTGTCACCGGTACCGTCCAGATCAAGCGCCGCTTCCAGTTCTCATCTGCCCTCAAGAGGCAGAGCGCCGTCGCCACTATTGTGGGCGTTGACGCCAGGACTGGTGACAAGCTCCGAGGTACTTTCGCTGGTGTCAAGGGTGCGCCCGAGACCATCATGAAGATGTTGACCCATGTCCCCGCCGATTACGAAGAAACGTTCAAGTATTTCACCCGCAAGGGCTCTCGAGTGCTTGCTCTCGCCTACAAGATGCTCTCCGTCGACAGCGAACTTGGTGCTGGCAGGATCAACGATCTCAAGCGCGAAAAGGTTGAGGCCGACCTCACGTTTGCTGGTTTCCTCGTCCTCCACTGTCCCCTCAAGGACGACGCCAAGGAGGCCGTCCAGATGCTCAACGAGAGCAGCCATCGTGTCGTCATGATTACCGGAGACAACCCTCTTACCGCCGTACACGTCGCCCGCGAGGTCGAGATTGTCGACCGCGATGTCCTCATCCTTGATGTCCCCGAAGACAAGGGTCATGAGCTCGTTTGGCACAGCGTCGACGACAAGATTTGCATTCCGGTTGACCCCACCAAGCCCATTGACCCCGAGATTCTGAAGAACAACGACCTTTGCGTTACCGGATATGCCCTTGCCAAGTTTATGGGCCAGCCTGGCTGGAGGTCCATTCTCCGATACACCTGGGTTTACGCGCGCGTTTCCCCAAGCAGAAGGAAGACATCCTCCTTGGTCTCAAGGACATGGGTTACTACACTTTGATGGCGGGTGACGGCACCAACGACGTCGGCGCTCTCAAGCAGGCGCATATCGGTATCGCCCTTCTGAACGGTACGCAGGACGACCTCCAGCGCATCGCCGAGCACAGCCGTAACACCCGCATGAAGGACATGTACCAGAAGCAGGTCGACCTGATGAAGCGTTTCAACCAGCCCACACCCCCGGTCCCCGCCATGATTGCCCACCTGTATCCTCCTAGCGCTAGCAACCCCATTACGAGAAGGCCATGGAGCGCGAGGCCAAGAGGAAGGGTGTTACCGTCGAGGAACTTGCCAAGGCCAACGGCACCGGCATGGAGACTATCACCTCCCCCGCCGCCCAGCGCCTCCTCCAAAACCAGAGCCCCGCCGACATCAAGAAGGCCGAGGCTGCCAAGAAGGCGGCCGGATTCGCCGATAAGCTCACCTCCAGCATGCTGGAGAACGAGCTAAACGACGATGAGCCCCCGACCCTGAAGCTGGGCGACGCCTCCGTTGCGGCTCCCTTCACGTCCAAACTCCGAAACGTCATCGCCGTCCCCAACATTATCCGCCAGGGTCGCTGCACTCTTGTCGCCACGATCCAGATGTACAAGATTCTTGCCCTCAACTGTCTCATCAGCGCCTACTCCCTGTCTGTTTTGTATCTCGAGGGCATCAAGTTTGGCGATGGCCAGTACACGATCAGCGGTATCCTCATGAGCGTGTGCTTCTTGTCCATCTCCCGCGCGCGCACCGTCGAGGGCCTCTCCAAGGAGCGACCCCAGCCCAACATCTTCAACTTTTACATCATCGGCTCCATCCTCGGCCAGTTTGCCGTGCACATCTTCACCCTGATCTACATTGCCCAGCTTTGCGATAGGCTTGAACCGTAAGTTTAAATTTCTCTCCTTCCGTTTGCTCCAACTCCGCGAAGGGCTCAATGGCATAGTTTTTGCATGGTACTAATACTTGTATTCCTACTTTAGTCGCTCTGGTGAAGTTGACCTCGAGGCCGAGTTCGCGCCTTCGCTCCTCAACTCCGCTGTGTACCTCCTCCAGCTCATCCAGCAGATTTCCACGTTTGCCGTCAACTACCAGGGCCGTCCCTTCCGTGAGTCGCTCTCGGAGAACCGCGCCATGTTCTACGGTATTGTTGGTGTCAGCGGTCTTGCCTTTGCCTGCTCGCTCGAGCTCATCCCCGAGATCAACGAGCAGATGAAGCTCGTACCCTTCAGCAACACGTTTAAGCAGACCATGACCATCGTCATGGCTGGCGACTTCGCCGCCTGCTACGTGATTGAGCGCGTCCTCAAGAAGCTCTTCTCCGACTACCGCCCCCGTGATATCGCCGTCCGCAGGCCCGAGCAGCTCGAGCGCGAGTTCGCCCGCAAGGACGTGGAGCAGAAGAAGAAGGACGAGGAAGAGGAGAAGAAGAGGATGGAGCAGGTTGCTGCTTTCGAGAGGAGGTTGGAGGAGAAGAAGGCTCAGCTCCGGGCTCTCCGACAAGGCGCGTAATAGAGAAGGAAGTGAAGTGCTTGCTTTCATGCAACGAGGCGGCTTGGATGGACCTGGTTGCAACCAGGCTCCATATCACCTTCTGCCGTCGTCCCTTATTTTTGGTGGCGCTATGTTTTTGTTTAATTCATAAACCGAATGTCGCATGAGGAGCTCGGAAAGATGATAGATGATGCTACACGCGTGTGCGTGTGTGATATGTTGGAAGGATATATGGATTTGGGACATTTTAATTTTCCTAGCATTGTACTATTATCAAGAAAAGAACCAATACAGTCGTTTTTTGTTCAATGATGCAGAAACACGAGTGGGTGGCTACGTAACAGCAGTCATTATTCAGATGAAACATGGGATTTTACAAGGCACCGTCATTCAAGGATTACTTGGGGAGATGAAGCAGAAATAATTGAAAATTTTATTATGTTACAACTTGTCGGCCCCCAAGGGACGGCAAGAAAACTAAAGGTAACAAGAATACCGAAAACCAACAAGCCTTCCGAGATTCCATTCCCTTTTATTGCCGTATCCGTAACACCATGTTACTTTGTTTTTGAGTTTACGACTTTTGGCACTCCCCGTCTAGGAGCGAATGCGAAGGCCTGGTGTCTTTGTTCGTTGCCTCGCTCGCTCCCGCCCATCCCTCCAACTGTTTGGCAGAAAGAGAACAAAAGATCGGCCCAATGGCACGACGGAGAGTTGTGATCGTGGTGATTTGACTGTTCAGAGGAGGGGGATTCATTCACGGGCCGATCTAGCATTCAACGCACAAGTGGCGTCGAAAGCAATTTAGTTCTTCTGGTTGGCAAAGGCAACACCCTTGGCGATGTTGCTCTTGAGGTCGCCGAAGCAGGCCTCGAGGAGACCCTTCTCGGTGGCATCGACCTCACCGACGGGGAGGATCTTCTCGACACCGTTGGGGCCGAGCTCGACCTTGGAGGAGAAGAACTCGATGCCCTGGTCCTTGTAGAGAGGAGAGTCGACAAAGGTGGGCTCAATGACGCCCTTCTCGCCAGAGGCGGCGCGGAGGACGGAGTCAGCCATGCGGGCACCGGCCATGGCCATGGAGAGAGTGGCGGAGCCAGCACCGTCCTTGGCCTTGACGACCTCGTCACCACCGAACTGGACACGGTTGACGAGACCAGCGTTGGCGGAGAGGTCGGGGTGGCTGCTCTGGGAGAAGAGGGGGACGATGGTGACACCGGAGTGGCCACCGACGACGGTGATGTTCTCGTCCTTGGGGTTGGTGCCCTTGATCTCGGAGACGAAGCGGGAGGCGCGGACGACGTCGAGGGTGGTGACACCAAAGAGGCGCTTGGGGTTGTAGACACCCTTGGCCTTGAAGACCTCGGCGCAGATGGGGACGGTGGAGTTGACGGGGTTGGAGATGATGAGGAGGTTGGCGTTGGGGCAGTGCTCCGCGCAGGCGGTGGCGAGATCGCGGACGATGGAGGCGTTGGTGTTGAAGAGATCGTCACGGGTCATGCCGGGCTTGCGGGGACACCGGCGGGGATGAGGACGACCTCGGCGCCCTTGAGGGCCTCGGCGAGACCGGTGCCCTCGGGGCTGTAGCCCTTGACGGTGCTCTTGGTGTTGACGTGGGAGACATCAGCGGCGACACCTAAAGAGATTATTAGTCGAGGCTGCGTGTGTTGGTGCACGAGGCTATATGGAATCGGCGGACGTGTGGCCGTCCTTTTTTCGCCTTTTCCCGGGTAGCTAGGGACACGTACCGGGAGCTCCACGGATATCGTAGAGAGAGCTCGGTAACCTTGGGGTTGAGCTTGAGGAGGAGGGAGAGAGGCTGGCCAATACCACCGGCGGCGCCGAGAACGGCAACCTTGGAGAGCTAAGAGGAAGGAAATGCATGTTAGCGCCAGGCGAAACGACAACAATTGACCTCCTAGATGGGTGGTGCGGTGTGAATTGGCATTTCGTGTACCAGCGACGAGACCAATGCCGATCCAGGAGAGAGAGGAATTGGGTAGGGGTTAGTGGAGACGTACGTTCCTCGCGGAGGAGGAGAAGGCGCGGCGCTGGATCATGCCAAACATTTTGAAGAATGGGGGTTGGGTATATTGAAAAAATGGATGAAAAAAACAATTCAAGCTGGATTGGCAACAAAAAAGGGAGATTGGAATCTCAAGGCTTGTTGGTGAGTGGAGATGGGAGAGGGATAAGAGGAGGTGGAGAGAGAGGAAGAAGAAGGAGAAGGTCTAAAAAAAAAAATTGGACAGGCGATGTCTAGGAAAATATTTTCCCGCTCTGCTGGCCTTGGTTGCGCCTGCCCAGCCCAGTGCCCCGTTGCCCACTGGTTGCTAGACGACTGTCTTTTTTGTTAGTGAGCTCGGGGAAAGACCGGCGCCTCCTCTCGTAGCCCACTCTGGGGCAAATTAGTGCGACAGATTGAACCCCCAAAAATTGATGGGAGTGGGGACCTTGGTGGGCGAGCTTCGGAGTGTGCTGGGGACGAAGCTCGGCGAGTCGCTGCCGGTAAACGAAGACGGACCGGTGCAGGTGCTGGCAGGGCTGTCAGCTTCGGTGTGGGGGGTCAACGAGGCAGATGCAAGAGCGAACTCGGCCTAGCGTGGGGTGCAGGAGCTGTGAGGTACTTGTACGTGTAGCCAATAGTTACTGTACCGAGACACTGTATCTGGTGATGTCAGTCAAAAATCCCGCAACGCAACAGCACAAGCATCGAGTTGGGAGATGGTTGCAGAGGCAGGGGCGACCAGCTATTGGGGCACCTGTGACTTCCTTTGTCGAATCCATCACTAATGGATAATAAAGAGAGGCAGGAGCAATAATAGCACTGTTCTGCATTCCAGTTCCCATCTAATAATTCTTCCTCTTACCCGTTGACCTCTCTGCCTTGAACCCTGTTCTCAATTGAAACCCCATCTGCAGGGTCCCTCCGAACTCTGTTCCGCCTATCCCGTTTCAGCCCGGGCTGGTAGCCAAGCCAAAGCTGCCGAGTTCTCAGGCCAGAAAAAGTCGCTGGAGCTCGGAACATTTGAGATTGAAGCCGAGCACCTTCGGTGAGGAGGAGCTGAGCCTCGGCGCGCCGCGAGGAGAGTGGGTAACCTCCTGAAGGAAAACTGGGGCCCGAAAAACCCTTGCAGGAGTTCGTGTCCTGTCCCAATGGACCTGATGCATCTGTTCTCTCCGGTCCGCTCCACACACACATGCCAATGAAATGGCCCAGCCTTTCACCCATCTTCCGGGAACACCCTGGATCCGGTCATCCGGTGCAAGACACGGCCTTGAGCGCTCGCGCGTCATCATCTCAAGTCGCCCCGTGAGAAGATGGGAGAAGAGAAACTTGGTGCTCTTTTGAGTGAGGAGCGACTGGATATCATACCGTGGAGATTGCACAAGGATGAGACCGGACGGTAATATTTTTTTAGTGTGCCACGCTAGATTTTAACAAAACTGAAACACAAAAGATTGAAGAACAAAAACGAACAAAATCTACTTCTCATGATATCTTGAGAACGTATCCCTTATAGATGGTTCCAAAGCTTGCCTTCCGTCACCTCGAAGCTTGCCTGGCTCTCGCCCACACAGACGCCATATTGACCCGCCTCTAGTCGCCATGACGCTGCTTCCTCATCCCAATAACTGCAAGCGGAATCAAGCGCCACACTCAGGGTGACCTCCTTCGATTCGCCCGGTTCCAGGTAGACGGTCGTGAATTCTTTCAGCTCCTTCGCCGGCCTCCACACTGCCGCTGTCACCGGTGCCGTGACAAAGAGCTGAACAACCTCCTTGCCTCCGCGAGTGCCCGTGTTGGTGACGAGAACGGAACAATCTAGCGTCCCCACACTCCCGGCAGCTTCAACCACCCTGGCCGTAAGGTCCTTGTGAGCAAAAGTAGTGTACGAGAGGCCGAACCCAAAGGGCCATCTTGCCTTGGTGTCGGCTTCTTTGCAGCGGTATCCGACCTCGAGGCCTTCGGTATAGCTGATTTCCATCTTGCCGTCAAGGGTCTGTTTCGCGGGGAAGTGCTTGTAGCTAGGGACATCCTGGAGTGTCTTGAACCACGTAGTCGCCAGTTTTCCGCTAGGATTCACAGCACCGGAAATCACCTCCGCGACGGCCATGGCGCCTTCCTGGCCCGGGAAATGGGCGATCAACACCGCGTCGACGTCGTCGATGAAGGGGCTCACGTCAATGGGGTTTCCGCAGTGCAATACGAGCACCGTCTGCTTGGAGGCCGCCGCGACGGCCTTGATCAAGGCTATCTGGTTTGCTCGCAGGCTCATGTCTTCCAGGTCGAACCCTCGGATTCGTACTGGTCGCTTCGGCCAGCGTAGACGATGCTCAGGTCGGAATCGCGTCCCAGCGCGGCCGCTTGCGCAATCGCGGCTTCTTCGTCTAGATACTCTTCGAAGCAGAGTGTCGCGCCGTAAGGGGTCGGTTCTCCCACGACCTTTGCTTGCGCGCGTGCATCACTAAACGCACAGAGAAGGTTTGGCCGGCGGCCATGGAGAGCTTGAGACGGGTTTCGATGAGCAAGGGACGGAAAATGAACTGCTCCGTCGTGATGCCGGGCTCGGGGCCGACGAGTTTCTCCTCGCCGTCGATGTAGAGGAGAAAGTTCCGGTACACCGCACTGCCAGGGTATGTGTCCCGGCGGTATCCGCCGTGAGCAGCGTCGTCATCTCGAGGCGCGACCCGAGGGCCTCAAGACCTGGCCTGAGCCTCTCGAGCATAAAGATGACGGGCTTTTCGAGAACCTCGGTGAAGATTGGGTCGGCTGCGCCTTGATTGTAGTAGTCTACCTTAACACCCGGCTCACCTCCCGGCAGCTTGAGCTTCTCCGTAGGCGCCACCGGCATGATGACGTTGGTCCGGACACCCGGGGCGTATTCGACGGAATGGGGTTCGGCGAAGACGCCCGGCAGCACGTCTAGCGGGGATTTCTTGTACTGCGGGCGGCAAGAGGCGCTCCCGCCCCCGTCACCACGGCATTCCTGGCGTACTCACCAATCAGGGCAATCTTCTTGGGGCCGCCGGCCGGATCTACCGGCAACACATGGCCCTCGTTCTTCACGAGGACGACACCGGCGGCGGCAATCTTCCTCGCGAGGTCGTTGGTGTCGGCGAATTCCTCGCACCTCTCGGGTTCGTCGGAGTGGCAGTCCCTGGTTCGATTCCGGAGCTCGAGCATCTTTGTACGCGGCGGTCGATCTCGGCCTCGGTGACCTGGCCCTCGCGCACGGCGTTGAGGAGCCGCTGGCCGCGAAGGACGGGGAAAGGCATCTCGAGGTCGACGCCGGCCTTGACGGAGTCTGCGGTGGAGTGCGTGCCGAACCAGTCAGACATGGCGATGCCCTTGAAACCCCATGTTTCGCGGAGGACGTTGAGGAGAGCGTAGTTTTCGCTGCAGAACTGCCCGTCAACCTTGTTATAGCTGTTTGTTTGTTAGTCATCTTTCATGTTAGCGATACCGTGTGCACAAAATTGACATCAGCTCCATCTACGGGTAAACATGAGATGGGCCAGTGACGGCAGGGAGGTACGTACGCCGTCATGACCGCCAGCGGGTCTGATTTTCTAAGCATGACCTGCCAGGCGGCAAGATAAATCTCCCTGAGCGTCCTGCTATCCACCGATTCCTTGACATCGTATGTCTGCCTCGCGGTCTCCGAGTCGTTGCACACGAAATGCTTGGCGCAAGCGCCGACCCCGGCATCCTGGATCCCGTTGACGAGGGCAGCGGCTAGCTCGCCCGTCAGGACGGGGTCCTCGCTCCAGCACTCGAAATTGCGACCGGCGCGGGGATCGCGGTGGATGTTGATGGTGGGACCGAGGACCACCTGGGCGGACTTGAGACGGGCCTGGCGGGCAACGTGGGTGCCTAGGGAGGCGAGGAGGGACCGGTCCCAGGTGGAGGCTAGGCAGGTAGTGTTGGGGAAGCAGGCTGTGGTCTCGGAGCCGGCGATATTGGAGGGGCGGACGCCGTTGATGGAGTCGGCGACCTGTGCGACGCGGTTTTCTCTTGTTAGGATCCTAGTGTCAAAGAATGGGTGGGTAGGGGAGGTTGCTCACCTTGGTAGCGGGGATGTTGAGTCTTGGGATGCCAGCGGCGTGAGAAAAGTCGCTGCCGGAGAGGAGGGAAATCTTTTCCTCGAGCTTGAGCTCAGGGAGAAGGGTGGTGTAATCCATGATTAGCCCGGTTACGATGCTTTTTTCCCTTGTTTTCTTCCTTGTATGCTGTAGGAGTTGAAGGAACGACACAAGCGATAACCTTCTTCCTTATAATCCGAACTTGGGGCCTTGCTCTGAGCAATCGTAATGGGTCACTCGTTGGTTTCAGCGTTGAAAGAGCGCGCGGCTTGAGGAAGAATCAAATTGAAGCTTGGTATCACGACGGAGAAACGGGTTGAATTACATTTGCGACACGCCTCAGCCTCGACGACATCCTTTAGGACCCAAGCAAAATCCTACCTCCGAGCTACCAGGACACGGGGAGCTCCAAAAAAAAAGATTCGCAACGCCAAACGCATCCCTCTCCTCTCCCCTTCCACGCGGAAATGCCCCAGACGCCAGTGCGGGGAATGCGGGGAGCTCGAGGGGCAAGTCTAGCAAGGATCGAGGCAGCAAACGAACTTGCTGGGCACATGACGTGGGGCAAACCCGCCGCCGGACTTCCCGGCCAATTTTGGTGGTGGACCCGGCATGCGATCCGGGCACGAGGTCGGCATTTCCGAACGCGGCCGCGTGGGTGCGCGCGGGCGGGGCCCACAAGAAGATTGTCAATCAGCGTCCTAGAACATTGTTAGTGTCCTCGGCGGGCTGGGACGCCCGTTTACGCTCAAACATGACACTTGGCGTTCCCTCCCTCCCCCTTAGCGCACATCTAGGCCTAAAAGACCTCTTTGTGTGCCGGCAGACTTGCGCAAACTATTGAATTCAAAGATTCAAGCGCTCCAATCGGGGAAAATGATGGCTCGAGCTCGAGTAAACGTTTTGGGCGAAGGGCTGACTGATCGTGCAAGGTGAAGGCGAGCGTTTTGGGGCTGTTCATGTGCTCTCTGCATGGACAGTGATCACAAACTAGCACATGCTGGGCGTGTGGAAAAGAGGGCCTAATATGTCTGCCTGTGGACTGTCATCGAAAATATGTTGGCGATCATGGAAGTTTGAGATGGCATGTTAACGCCAAGGAACAGAAAAGACGTGGAATACCATCTCAAGTCAAGGTTACTTTGCGTCACAGGCTACAGGGGATAAGAGAATACTCAATCATAGCAAAGAACATGAGTTAATCAATTAGATATGGATCAGTCGCAACTTGGAATTCAACGCTTGCCTCAATCTCGCTCGGCTGCAAACTCTGCCCGGCAGACCGTACAGCCACGAGCGAGACGATGGGGAATAGGAGTTCAAAAACAGAAAACAACAAAAAAAACAACGTTCAAGAAAAATTACGTCCAAGCCACTCCCATTCTCTCATTGACCCAAACTATGCGCTGTGGCTCTGCTCCTCCTCAAACGAGAACTTCTCAAACTTCCTGGCTGAAATCTTCTTCTCAAACATGATGTCAAGTTCCTCGTAGGTCCTGCCCTTGGTGCCGGGCACGTCGAAGAACATGACGAGCAGCATCAAGAGGCCCTGGCCGAAGAAGATCCAGCCGATATTGCCACCAAGATTGGCCTGGTCCTGGTTAAAGAGGTAGGGCAGGATGATGGTCCAGACGGTGGAGGCGAGGAACTGCCAGCCAGTACCGATACCGAGGGACTTGGAACGAAGGCGGGACGAGGACACCTCGCCGGCGACGGCCATGGAGGCGCCGACCGCGGGGCCGTAGGACAGGGAGGTGAACTGGAGAGCGATACCGATGGCCAAGAGGTTGCGCGGGGTGCGTTCCATGGTGCCAAAGATGCCCATGATGAGGTACATGATGACGCAGAGGCCGACGCCGGAGAACATGAGGGGCCTGTGGCGGAACTTGGTGAGGAGGAAGAAGTTGAGGAGGGCGGACACCACGCCGGCGCTGATGCCGACCTGGATAATCATGATGACGGTATGGCTCTCGAGACCGGTCTGGTTGAGGAAATAGGGCGCGTTCGCGGACAAGACGGCGCCGACGACCTGGGGCATGTAGAAGCAGATGAAGATGATGCGGGTGCGGCGCCAGTTGGTCCCGCGCAGGGTGTCCATGAAGCTGGCCTGGCCGCTGGAGGCGGCGAGGCGGCGCTCGGACTCGACGGTGTCGACGATTTCGCGGAAGCGGGCGTCGATGATGGCGACATCGGTGGACTTGCTGTGCAGGCGCACGAGGCTGTCGCGGGCCTGGTCGGGCTTGTCCTTCATGATGAGCCAGTAGGGGACTCGGGGAGGAAATAGACGCCGAGGGCGAGGATGGCGGGGAAGGCCCAGGCGGCGGCGAAGACGACGCGGAAGGCGGATTCGTTCATGATGGCGACGCGGCTGAAAGTGGCGGAGATGGCGATGAGGAAGCCCAAGTTCTGGGGGAAGTATATACGTTAGCGGATTCAGTACGAAAACAAAAGACAAGAAAATGGACACTCACCATCATGACGGTGTTGGCCGACAAGGCGATGCTACGCATGGGCAGAGGCGCAATCTCGGAAATGTACGTCTGGGTCGTGGTCAGGATGAGGCCGACGGCGAAACCGGTGACGATCTTGGCGCCGAGGAAGTGGGCCGCGTTGTTGGAGACGAAGGCGATGGCGATACCGGCGACGGAGATGGGGATGAAGAGCATGAAGACGGCGCGGCGGCCGAGGGCGTCCTGGACGTAGCCGGCGAAGAAGCCGCCGAACATGATCATGACGTTGTACATGGCGTTCCAGGCGGCCTGCCACGAGGCGGGGATGATGAAGACGCCATTGACCTCGACGGCGAAGGTGTGCCTTTGTGGTTTTTCTGTTAGCTTTTTTGCAACTAAGAAAGGAGAGAGAGAGGTGGATGGAATTAAGAAGAAGGAAAAGAAAAACATACTGGAAGGCGGGCATGGCCAAGCAGACGGCGAGCGCGAGGTTCTCATAACCGACGACGATGGAACCGACTGCGAGGGCAATGATGTTAGCATCTTTGTGGAACTTCTCTATTCTCCTTTTCTGTCCATGATGGAAAAGGGGTCCGGAGCCCGCCCACTCGAGAGATCGACGGAGAAGAGGGGAGTGTTCTTACTGTTGGCAAAGAGCGACCAAAACACGATCTTGGGGTTCAGCTTGATGCTCTGCCACGCGCTGATGGAGTTCACCTCGGCCATGGTAACCCCGCCCTTGGGGCCATAGTTATCGGCATCGCCAGTGACGGTGGTGTCGATGTGACGGAGGGAGGCTTTGTCTTTGTCGTCCTTGGTCATCTTGAGGCAAGACCTTTAGGTCTTTGTTTAAGAGTAAACGAGGAAGACTGGCGAAGTCCTTTTTCTTCCAACGAGAAGATTGAAATTATTGACTGTGTCGCTGTTCTTCAAGACAAGAGAATATTAATTTGAGGATATCCGAGAGGTTAATTGTTCTCCCTTTTCCGAATATCAACGGGGATGCCTCGATTTTTAAACTGGGACCCGGGATGTAGATATAAACACTCGATGGGCGGATTACCCCAGGTTCTCCAGGTTTGGTGATGTTTGTGTCTTTGACGCTAAAAGAATCACAGCTAGGAAGGGATGGATACAATGGATGGATCTAAATGTCATAATATTGAAAGGCCAAGAAAAACACAGCTACGAAACAATACATGGGGCCTAGATCCATAATGTCCGTCGTCGCAGCTCTCACCCCCAGACGCCGCCACTGTTTAGCCTTCTCCCCAGGTTTTTTTTTTCTTCCCTTTTCTTTTCCCCGTCTCAAGCTGTGTTGCGTCGCGCCCGCTTAGTGTAAGGGGAGGGGGCTAGAAGGGGAAAGCAAGATGAAGGGCATTGGCCCGGGCGGGGTGGCGGTCGGAAAAGCCGGGCGTGAGTGTGCGTCTTGTTGATCCTTCAACGGCCGTGTCGCTTTTTTGGCGGCCAAGCCAGCATCCCTGTCACGGTGTCACTTGCAGCGCGGCGCTGGACAGCACCCAGGATGGATACGTGATCTTTGGAGAGAATATTGGGAGAGGGTCCGAATGATTGATTTCAAATTCGGCAGAATGGCGCCCTATGCCGTGGTCAAGAGCCGACTCGAGGGCGAGGGTTCATGCATTCCCCGGCAATGGAGAGTAATGGTTTTTATTTTCGTACTCTTTTTTGTCACGAAGAATCAGAGTCGGAGGGTAATCACGGGAAGCTCAATGATACACTGAAACAGATATGCCATTGTCAATCGTTCAACATGTTGAGACTGGAAAGAAGATGAATCTAGGCCAATCCGTCTGATGATATTGAAAATACACAAACTCTAGGAAAAGAGCCTACTTGCGTCGAATAACATCCTCCAGGAAATCAAACCCTTTCCTCTGCGTCTCCCACGTCCGCGAACCCACCTTCATCTTGGCCGCAAACGTGTGGCCCTCGCCCTCGACCAAGACCAGCTCGCACCTGACACCCTGGCGGCGCAGCGCCTCGTGCAAGTCGCGGCTGAGGGACAGCGGCACCATGACGTCCTGGTCGCCGTGGACGAGCACGGTGGGCGGGAAGGCCGAGGTGACGTTGAGGAGGGGATCCACCTTGGCCCAGTCGCGGGAAGGGAAGATGGCGTCGAGGACGGCACCCTTCTTGATCTGGGTAAAGGCAAAGGCCTGCCTCGGGTCATTGAAATCCGGGGCGCCACCGACAGTCTGGCCCTCGAGGGAGACGACGCCGCGCGTGGGGACGGGAGATTGGTCCCACATGGGCTGGAAGAAGGAGGGCGGGAGGTCGGTGGACAGCGGGGCGCGACTTGGGGTAAGGGCGTGGTCAATGGGGGTCGGCGAAGTGGGCGGGACCGTACATGTCGTAGATGGCGGCTACGGGTTTGGGGACGTCGAAGCCCTGCGGAAGGGGGAAAGGAAGAGCGAAGGGGGTATGCGTTAGTTTCTGGTTTCTTTGGGGAGGAGGGGCGTGTATGCACGTGTGTGTGTGTTGGGATGGTTCTTCCGGAAGGAGTGTGGAGTCCCCGGATCCGGGGGCTTGGGAACTTCCGGGGAGATGAAAGAACACAAGCGAAGGATGGATGAGATATTTTTGTGGTAACTCCCCGGGAAGTGTGCCGAAGCCCAAAAGGATAGGGGGAAAACCGGGGAAAATGAGGACCAGGGGAACGGCAAGCCACTCACCAGGCTCAGAGCCAACGTGCCACCAGACGAAGTGCCAAAGGCTAGGATGGCATCGTAGTCGATAGCGTAAGGAGTTTCCGCGTGCGCGGTAACGGCCCTGTCCAGCCCACCGTCGTGGATCCAGGCCAAGAGATCGCGGCAGTCGCGCATCGGGCCCTCGAGGAGGTTAACCTGGGGACACAGGCGGTGGTTGGGGACGAGCACGATCCAGCCCCGATCGAGACAGTCCTGGACCTGGTCCTTGTTGACGAGGTCGGAAGATCCTAGCATGAAGGCGCCGCCGTGGATGTTGATGACTGTACGGGTTAGAGCTTTTCACGCTTGGGGGACAAGAAGGGTGAGGAGATGCTGGCCGGCTCAGGCTGGGTGTCCAAGACAGCCCCTCATCCCTTGTTGGAGAAAAGATGCGTACTTGCTGGGTATTTCGTCCCGCTGGGCCCAAGAGGCGGAAGGTAAACATCGAGATCGATTTCTTGTTCGCCCAGGCGCTTGTAAACCGCCCGGAAAGAGGTTGGGGCAGCCATAATCGCAAGGACTCTGCAAAGAAATTCGTAGAGGAGAGAGAGAGAGCGGTAGGGGACAAGGAGCAAACGTCACAAAGAATCCCAAGAACAAAACCGGCGGCGGAAACAGAAAAGTTGAGTTGCGTGAAGAGTGCAGTCAAAATGAAAATGGAAATGAATCTAGAGTCGGGGTATCGCGACTAGCTTAATGGCCTCTCCTCCAACAGACACAGATGCGACGGCTCCGACGCATGGAATCGGCATCGTTTCCCCACTCCCGGCAACGGCGGGCAAGTCGCGAAAGCCCGACCGACCATGACAGTTGTCCGCAGAAGCCTGGACTGGCACACACAAGACTCCCCTCTTCGCTTGCTATATCCAACGTTCCCTGGACGTGTGGGGAATGCAGAATGGAGTTGCAGCCCCTCTTCCCTTCCCCCTGCCACGCGTGCGGAGAGAGAGCGGTGCGGGGAATTCCCAAAAGCGCTGGCAACTGCCGTACATTCCCAGCTCCAACCCGTGCCCCGCTTTCCGTCCGGAAATTCCGGCACCGGGGAAACCCTACCACTCGGAAAACCCGCCGCCAATTCCGGTTCCCTTTTACCTACCCACTTTGCGTTGCGCCCAGCGCAAGAAGGCAATCAATCACGCATCGTTTTGGGATAATTGATCTCTCCACCCTTGTCAGAGGAGGAAGAAAAAAAGATACAAAGGTGGGATTTCTGTGGTTCTTTTTGGAGAAGGAGTAGTTTTCGTTTCGGGTGGCTCCATACGGCACTATTCGCGAGCTATGGAAGACAGACTACGGAAATAGAGGGGTCTGGAAGGTCGAAGCGGGAGAAGAAAAATGGCATGAGGTTCTTCGGAGCTACGCACTAGGGTCGCGCTTCGGCCTCGCGTCTTCGGAAGGGGTGGAGGAGGGCGCCGCGCGGGGAGAAGGGAGGGGAGGAGGGGCATGGGAGCAAAGGTCAGCAAAGGGGAAAGGAAAACCAGAGAGCTGTCAAGAATGAATAAAGTCGAGAGCTTTTACCCCATGGGGAATAAAAAGAACCAAAATCGACCAAGTGATAGAACAAAAGAACGCCACATCCGTCCATCTAGATCACTGAATCATCCCCACCAGTAAACAAGAAGACAACAAAAAAGAAACGGATAAGACAACGAGGGAAAGCAAAACCTCCCCGCACGTCATTCCGCATCGGCCCAGCCCTCCCATCTCACCCATCACTTTTTTATCTCCCCATAGCTCCCATCCTCTCGCCCAAGATGCCCATTCCCGTACAAACCACCCCTCCCGATTCGAGGACCAGCTACATCATCGACCAGCTCGAGGGCGAGCGCATCACCATCCCCGGCAGCAAGGGCGTGTTCCGCATCCTCGCCTCCGAGAAGCAGACGGGCGACAGCATCGCCGTGTTCCAGAGCGGCGCCGTCCTGTCCGACGCCCCCGGCTTCCACTGGCACAACGAGGCCCACGACGTCTTTTTGTGCACCAAGGGCTTCATCAAGCTATGGAACGGCGACAAGTGCCGCATCCTGGGACCCGGCGACTTTGCCTATATCCCTCCTGTATGTATCTCTCTTCCTTGCCTTCTTTTTTTCTTTTCTTTTTCTTGCGCGTTATAATCCAAGCTTTTTCTTCATCGTGCTGCAAAAATACTAACGAGAAACCAACTTATAGAAAGTCATCCACAACCCAGAGCTCCTCGGCCCCCACACCGAGCAATTCGGCCTCATCTCCCCGCCAACTGGGTCGACTTCTTCCGCTACGTCTCCGAGCCCTACGACGGCATCCTCGCCCCCGCCACCGACGACCGCGACCTGCGCGCCCTGCTCGTACCCAAGGTCATCGCCGCCAAGGACCGCTTCGACGTCCACTTCGTCCGCGACCCCACCTTCGTGCCCCCGCCCTCGGCGACTGGCTCCCCGAGGAGAACGAGCTCCCGGGCCAAGTCCTGGCCCCTATTTCCTCAAGGCCAACATGGGCCCCCGCTGGATGGTCGGCGGCGTCCTGTCCCGCCCTTTTCTCCGCGCCGCCCACGTCGAGGGCCGCTTCGCCATCTCGAGCATCGAGTCGTCGGGCAAGTACCCCGCCGGCGCCGCGGCCCTGGCGCGGTGGTTTACGTTCCCCGCGTGGATCACTGCTTTTGTGTGCAAGAGGGTCTGCTGAGGATCAAGCTCAAGGGACAGGCCGAGTGGGATTCCGTGCGCGAGGGCCAGACGGTCGTGCTTTCGGCGGGCGAGACGTTTACGCTCGACTTTGGGAGCCGGTTCGTCAGGGCCTTTTCGTTTACGAATGGGCCGGGTATCGAGGAGGTGATTCACGAGGCGGGCGCGCAGGTCGAGCACGTCGTTCTTCCGGATGAGGTGGGTGAGGTGGATCAGGAGAAGTTTAGCAAGGCGTGCGAGACGCTGGGTGTTACGATAGAAGCTTTGTAGATATTTGCGACGATTTGAATATAACGGGAACGAGACGATGAATTCATGTAGCTTTACTTGATCCAAAATGTTTAGATTGATTCTCCCAATAGGGAAAAATCCCTTGCTAAATCTCTTATCAATGTGGGTGGCCTAATTCTACATAGTCCAGTAACTTCGCCTTATGACGCTTGGAGATATAACAAGCAGTTTCATTTCATTTACCTGACATGTACAGAGTAAATAATTGTCCGGTTCCATGATTTCTTGAACGCTAACTAAAGGTATGTACAATATATCGGCTTGTTCTATTATATGCAAAGCTCTTGTTTCCACAGGCGTAAAAGCAAAAGAACAGAAAATTCTCTAATATGCTCCATTCTCCTTCCCAACACGAATTATGTATGGATCCTCGAGATTTACTCGATGCACAAGATTCTCCTGAGCCTGGCTAATAGACCCCCTCGCTGTTTCGTCGTGCCAGCGCCTTGCTTTCCAGCCGGCGTCGCGTCCTCCACCCTGGCCTCTCCCGCCTTATCTTCCTTGGCGGCCTCGCCTTCCGCCACGGTACTGCTCGCCGTACCGCTAGCGTCCTTGCTGTCGGGGACTTTGCCCTCGAACGATGAACCGGGGCCCGAACTCAGGGGCTGCTCGTCTATGGAACTCTTCTACACGCGTGGGGAGCGACGGGTAAAAAGAAAGGATCGAATCCGTCAGAGTTTGTGCGCCACCTTCCCGGTGTAAGAACGGGGATTTTTCTTTTTTCTTATGACTGGATAGAGACAAGACATACCTGTGTGAGCTCTGTCGCTGGTACCCGCGGCGCCTCGACAGTGGTGGAAATAGGGGAATCACCTGGGTGGCGGTAGAAGTGTAAGGTTTGGCGGCGATAGCCTCTTCGACCTCCTTGAAGGCGTCATAGCCGTACAGCCAGGACTGGACCTGGGGACAGCTCCATCGGCTGGGGTAAGGAGCCTTGATAGGCGCGCGGAGCAGCGCATCACGGGCCTCCTGCTCGGGGCCGTCGACCATGTGGAAGGAGTCGCGCTAGAAGAGTAAATGTCTTAGAGTCTGTGTTTGAAAGTAGAAGGAGGACATAAAAAGAACAGAGTGAGGGAAAGCTGAGGGAATTGGTAGAAGACGTACCTGCTTGAAAGCTTCCTTGACGATGGCCTCGCCGCGGGATTTGCGTAGGGCCTCGTACATCTTGAGAGCCTGTGGTAGCTGCTCCTTGGATTGCAGGTGGCCGAGGAGAAGGCCAAGGACGGTGCCGTCCTCGATAGCGGAGTTGGCGCCCTGGGCGAGGTAGGGAAGCATGGGATGGCAGGAATCTCCGCTACATGAAGAGGGTTAGTACTGAAAACGCAATATCGAGAGTCTAACGGGGAAGGGAGGCTTACACAAAAACAAAATTGCACTCCTCGTTAACCCACGATGGGAGTTCCTCGCCTGAAGGTGTGGTTAGTATTGTTGTCCATGGGGCTTAATTCAGAAGGACGGCAAACGTACGGTGCATCAACTTCCAGCGATCCACCTTGCTCACGAGCGCCAGGAACCTGTTTAATATCGGATCCCAATCCTTAAACAGCTCCCTCATCTCATCAACGGACCCGGTATCCTTGTACACGTTGGCCGGTAAGTTATCCGGCACGAGCAAAACGATATTGTACATCTTGCCCGCCCGCAGCGAGTAGCCCACAGCATGCGCGCCCGGCCCCGCCCAAAAGTGCACCGACGGGTTGCGCACCCAGTCCGCGAGCTCCGGATCAGCAATCTGATCGAGCTCCAAAACGATGCGGTACGCCAAATCCCCGTCGGACGCGGCCTATCCGGAGAGCGCCTTGTCGACGCGAGAAACGTATCCCGGCAGCGGGAGTGCAAGCCATCGGCAGCAACGATGAGATCAGCCTCAAAGACGGCACCCGAGCTCGTAATCACCTCGGGCATGTCAAAATCAACGCTGTGAATCCGCTCGTCGAGGTGAAAACGCACGCCGAGGGCACGCGCGCGCTCGTACAAGGTCAGCTGGAGATCCACACGGTGCACGTCGACAAAGGGAGCGCCGTACTTGGCGCGCATGCCGACGTCGAAGGCCGGGTCCGTCATGAGGACCTCGCCCGAGTAGCGGTGGACCTGGACGAAGGTGGGCTCGGCGGCCTGCTCCCAGAAGCGGGTGGGGATCCCGAGGCGGCGGAGGATGCGGGTGGCGTTGGGGGTCATTTGCAGGCCGGCGCCGACTTCTTGGAGTTCCTTGGCGGCTTCGAAGACGGTGACGGCGTGGCCGGAGAGGGCGATGGCGATGGCGGAGGCGAGGCCGCTGAGGCCGGCGCCGACGACGATGACGTCGAGGCGGGCGGGGAGACGGGGTGTTGCTGCTGTGGCGTCTCCATTTTTTCCTTTGGTTTTGGGGTTGGGGATTGGAGTTCGGTTTCCTATGCCGGGAGTGGGAGTGAAGGAAGGAAGGGGAGGAGTTTGGCGGAGGGAGAGGGGATTTGCGGTTTGCGTTGATGTGAGACGCAAGGAGCGACGCTTTACCCGGGAGGAAGAGGGGAAGGGATGAAGCGAGAGAGAGAGAGAGTAAGAGTGGTTTCCCCGAGAGATTGTCGTTTGTGAATGTCGGTTTTGAACACGGTATTCGGAAGTCCCCTTGGAAAATGGAGACGAAGAGCCGCGGATAGGTCTTGGGAACGCGCTGGTCTATTTCCGTAGCCCGAGTCTCGACAACCTTTTTTTTTTTTTCTGGTGTCCCCTTTTTCCGCCTCTCACCTTCTTTTGGGGTGGGACGTGGGGATCAGCGGGGATAGGCCACGGGGAGGGGACGAGGCAATATCAGGATCGTATTATTGGTCCGGCAGATGGCGCGGAGATCCGGTTTGGCAGGACGGTGTAAATGTTGGAAGGGTCCTCAGAAGCAAGGATAAAGCAAGAACAAGAAAGAAAAAAAGAAAGGATGGGCCCAATGTGTGGTAACCGGGTCCCCAAACCACGTTTTTTTTTTGCTCGTCTTTTTAGATGTTTCTTGGGGTTCTTCTTCTTCCGCGTCTCCCGTGCCCCTCTGTCGAAAAGAAAGCGGACCACCCCTAGCGTAAGGAAGATGGACAAGGTCGACTTTGTTTTGGCTTTCCTTTCCTGCCTTGGTTCGTGCTTCCGGGGTTAGCTGGTATGAAAGCCAAGGATAAGCTCAAGGAGAGGAAGAGGAGGAAGAAGTAGATATTGTTTCTATTGAGAAGCTACGGTAGTACGGGCGAACAGAACAGGTGATTATGCGTACGACGTCTCGTCTTACATGCTCTCCCAGGCACGCTGCGGGACCTCCCAAGAATCGGTGTCGATCCATGGTGGCGGCCGGGACCCTTGCCCAACTCATCTCGGTCGGAGAACCGGGATGTGGGCGTTGGAGACACCGCAGCACTTGCGCTTGGCCCAAGAGATGGGATGGAGGTGGTGGGGCCGGCCACTCTCGGATTTTCCGGGCTGTCTCCATCTCGGAGAATCCGACGACTCCGCCAGGAAATTCCGGGTGATGGTTGGGATAGATCCGAGGTAATCGGATCAAAGGGAGAGAGAGAAGAAGAAGGAAGAAACAGAAACAAAAGAACGGGTGTATTTCCGGGTTTCTTGAGTAAAGAAGAAGAATTGCCTTTGCCAGAGCCGAGAGCGTGGATTTCTAAACGTCTTGCGTTCTGAGCGTGCACATTCCTCCTCATGTTGGTGAATGGGGGAAAATGGGGAAAATCCGTCACTCGCTTGAACACGCCTTGCCAAGGAGCGTGGGACAAGGGTTGATTTTATTCACAGCAAACAAAGAAAAGAAAACTTCACAGAAAGAATAAAGAGTTGAAATGCGCCCGTTGCCGACGGAGAGAGCCGTGAATTGATTGATAAAGAATTGGCTGTAGTCTTTACGGCCGTAGCAAACCACGGCCTGAAACAAGGGACTCGCGGCGAAGCCCTTGGACTGAGAGGAAGAACAGGCCTAGTTTTTCCAAGGCATAGGCCATCGCGCCCGCAGAGTTTCTATATTGTGTCACATCTATGTATTATATTGCAAGCCTTTTCTCTATCGCTGTTTAGGACCGTGTAGCATGGCGGGGATGCACGTCTTCTAAAGGAGGCCTTGTCGCAAGCCGGACATGTACGCGTCCATCAAGATAAACTTGCCGATCGCATCTCCCGAATCATGGCATGGTAGCAGATCGCGCCGCACTATCCGATGTCTAACAGGCAAACACCTCCCTTTACCTCCCCGTTCCTGCTCGCATCTCTCCCATCGTGTGCGTGTCATGTTAGGACAGGCGGTCCACCTAGTTCGTAATCCCTTAGCCGCTGCCATCCGCCTCTTGACAGGTAGGCAACGCTACGAAGTACGCATGAACCCTGTCAATCCTCTTCCCACAAAGGTGTCGTTCGATGGATGTCATCCATTAGCGTAGACTAAGGGGGCGAAGGGGATACAACCATCTCGAGTTTGCGTTCGTCCCCGCACGAAACCCCAAACAAGGACTAGTTCCACCCCCTTTCTCTACCTCCTCAATGCGGAGAATACCGAATCTCCCTTTTTCCCCAGATTCGCAAATGCATCCATGATTGGATTCATCTCCAGTTTTTAAGCTCCACTTTTCTGGGGTCCTCTACGTTTTTCCTTTCCTTTCCCTCGTCTCCTCCAGAGCCGTTCTTCCCAGCGGAAATATTGCCGGATAGGACACTTCCCTTGTCGTCTGTTCTGCGCCCCCCGGTCCTCAAAGCTCAAAGCACAAAGAGTCAAAAAGACACCCCGACCCCGGATATTCCGTCCTCCCACTCTTTCGGGTCTTCCTCCACACGTTGCCCCTTTCCCGCCCGCTTTGGAATCCTGCCCACAATGGCCCCATCTACTGCAAGTCAGTCGAGTTTGAGCTCCGGCCCACTTGCAGACCCCGGTATACCTGCCCACCAGCAACAGCGCCGGCCGCAGCAGCAGCAGCAGCAGCAGCAACAGCAACAGCAGCAAACGCAGGCGCAGCAGCGGCCCGGGTACAAGTCGAGGAGGCCGAGAGCTGCGAGAGCTTGTGAGCTCTGCCGCGCAAAGAAGAACAAGTGCGATGAGCAGTACCCTTGCTCGTATTGTAGGAGTATGTGGAACATTCATCCCAAGGTCTTCATCTTATCTCGATGGTGCCATGTGCCCTTTTTGCTGGAATGGGCTTTGGTACCATGGTCGCGTCTCCTCCACACGACCAACATATGATTGAGTTGTATACTAACGGGAACACGCAGCGAAAAATGTCGAGTGTGTATACAGCGGCCAGGACATGGGCTGGAAGAGGCACACATTAGAGTAAGTTTCTTTGTTAATCCGCCTCAAATTAAAAACAAGGAGAGTGAGGGAGAGAAAAGAGTCAAGTTGCACGAGTGATAAGCCTTAATTCTATACCCATAACACCGTCCCCTCAACATCAACCATATTCCCCCTCCTAACAGTCCAACTAGCTACGTCCGCCGCCTCGAAGACCAAGTCAAAACCCTCTCCGCCACCCTCGAGCTCCACGAGCGCGAGGCCCACCACCCCCATACCCCGAATCCCCCTCGCCGCCTCCTTCTCCCGCACCTTCACAGAGTCCTCCCCCGCTCCGCCCACGATGTCGCCCGCCTACTCATGCTCCCGGGCCCGCCCTCCGCCCGCAAGGCCCCGGGAACGAGGTCTCCGGCGTCAACATCCACACCCGCAACGTCGAATTCTACGGCTCCTCTTCCTCCATCGCCCTGCTTTTCGAGGTCCAGCGCTCCGAGGCCGCCGCCCTCCGCACCGTCTCCTCGGCCGCCTCTTCCGAGCAGGATTCGTGCGCCGACGGCGCCGCCATCGTCTCTAGCCTGCACAACCCGGCTTTTTCCCCGCCCGCGACGACAGCGGGCCACGGCCAGTCTCCGGCCTCGGAGCATTGCGGCGGGGTTGAAATCGGCGGGCGAGGTGGGGCCGTGGAGTCTCCCGGGGCGCCGGACTTGCGGCCCGGGCCCCGCTGCCTGAGTTGGGCATGTCGGCCCGGTATCGCGTGTTCCTCGACGGCTTCTTCTCCACGATTCATCACATCCACCCCATCATCGACAAGCCGTGGTTCATGGAGCGGTGCGAGGCCCTGTGGGCGGGTGATCAGGCCAACGAGGCGGCGAGCAAGGGGAGTTTCGTGGCGCTGTATTATAGCGTCTTGTCGGTCGGCTCGCTGGTCGGCGCGCGGGAGGAGGAGCCCATGGATGGGCTGTCGAATCTCGAGTGGAGTAGGAGGTTCTTTGACGAGGCGCGGGGTTGGCGAATAAGCTGGGCATGGTGACGGACCTGGAAATGGTCCAGTGCTATTTTTCTTGGTATGGGACTATGAACTATCCCGGTTCTCATTTTTTTCTGAAAACGGGCAAATCTAACAAATACGGTGCAGGCCAAAGTTTGCCAGAACGAGATCAACCCTCACTGTAAGTGCCATCGCAGACTCGTGCGGCGTTGGAGCAGCAAGCTAACTCGTCTCCTTCAGTGTCCTATCTCTACACCGGCCTCGCTGTAAGAGCAAGCCTAGCCATGGGCATCAACCGGGAACCCGGCCCCAATACCCAAAAGACGCCGTCCAGCTCCGCTCCGAATCAAGGACGTGGTGGGGCCTATATTCCCTCGAAACGTTTGTCTTCCTTTCCTCCCCCTTCCCTTTTCCAACCCTTCGCCTTCTTTTTCCACTCGCCCCCGACTAACACCCCACCAGGAAATGGCCTTCGCCATGGGCCGCCCCGACACCCTCGGCGCCGACCTCTACCACACCCGCGCCTTCCCCGCGTCCAACCCTCGACGCCTACGCCTCCGCCTCCTCCCTCGTCCCCGCCGCCCTCCCCGCCGACCTCGACCCCCAACTGCGCCATCATCCAGCCCATGGTCGACTTCTCCCGCATCACCCGCTCCATCTGCCACAACATCTACCTCGCCGACACCCCGCTCACCAAGTCCATCGTGCTGGCCCAGCAGACCGAGACAGACCTTGAGGCCTGGGTCGACGCCCTCCCCGAGGCTATCCGCCCCGCGAGGACGCTGGCCGAGGCTAACTCGCTCAAGAGGGCGAGGGATACGCAGTGGATGAAGCGCCAGAGGCTGGTCCTCACTATACGTACGTGCATGAGCCCAACACATCCCGCCCTTGTGTGACATTCTCTTCAGCCATCATTTCACTAACAAGTCTGTTTCTTAGGCTACTTTAATCTGAGAATATTAATGTTTGGCGCATTCCTCCTCATGTCCTCACTCTCAGAACGCGCCTCCATCCCCCGATGTTCCGAATTCATCCACAAATGTCTCGAGGCCGCCCAGCGTACCATAGAAACCATTTACCAAACCTACCAACACCACGACTTCTTCCGCACCTGGTACGTTTTCGCCCTCGTCCTCTCCATCCCTTTTCGTAAATCTTTTGTGCCCAAGTGGTATAGAGCTTCCCGCCCGCTAACCGTTCCCCGCTGAATACAGGTTCTACAACACCACCTACACAGTCTTCGCAGCCTCCATCCTCCTCGTCCACGCCACCCAGGAACCCTCCTCCCCCAGCACGCCCCCGACCCTCGACTTCGTCTCCATGGCCATCGAGATCCTCGAGACGATGGACGAGTGCGTCGTCGCCGTAAACGCCGCCCGTATGCTCCAGCGCGTCCTCCAGCGTGCCAAGGCGCGCTGCGCAGACGGTTCTTCTGTGGCGATGGCGCACCTCGCCTCGGCTGGCAATCATCACCAACACCAACATCAGCAGCAGCACCAACAACAGCAACAGCAGCAGCAAGAACATGCGCAGCAACATCATCACCATCATCATCCCACGTCCGCGCTACCCGTCGGTATGGGGAACGCGGGTGACGGCGACGCGAGTATGACCACGGCGCCCATGCACACCCACGGTGCTGACGCGCTGATGGCCATCAATCACTGTTGGGGCCCGCTAGGATTAGGAGGCGGGGGTGGACGCGGGCTTTGGGTTTCCGATTGGGGATATGGATGGCATGAGCAGTCTGCTCGCCGGCTTGGATGGGGGCGGAGGGGGTGGGCTTTGATTGTCTACGTATGTAGTCAAAGAGAGTGGGACGGTTCGCCTGTGCTGATGAATCTTCAACCTACTCATTAATTCCTGTATAAGGCAACCGAAAAACATTGTACACTGAATATATATCCGACTCATCAATTAACAAAAACAATGTCAGCTCGTCCTAGACATCTACCAAAGATATCATATTCGGGGGCATCTGCGGGCGGGCTAGTAACAGTAGCGGAGGTGTTTTCGTATGTGGCTAGGGCTAGTTTCCGTAATTACATTGATGGAGATAGCATCAATCTTCATCCATCCGGTAGGTTGGTCATTGCCCATTCTACTGAATTCTATCTGCCGCTTGAGGTGGATTGGTGGGGTAAACTACCCCATCACTTGCTATCCTCCCTTGCTTTTTTCAACACCTCATCTTCCTCTAATATTTCAAACCTTCCCCCTTGTCCTTGTTTCCTTTGACCCCTTCCCGCGGTTACCCACGGTCCCATTTCATCTGAATATGGTATATCATCTTCTTCTTCTGGCGGAGATCTTGGTTCACCCATGCCCGAACAGACTTTTCTCCCTTGTATTTGTTCCCTTTTGCCCTTTCTCATAATTGACCACGGTCCCATTTCATCTGAATATGGTATGTCGTCTTCTTCTTCTGGCGGAGATCTTGGTTCACCCATGCCCGAATAGACTTTTCTCCCTTGTATTTGTTTCCTTTTGCCCTTTCTCATAATTGACCACGGTCCCATTTCATCTGAGTATGGTATGTCGTCATCTTCTACTGGCGGAGATCTTGGTTCACCCATGATCGAATGTACTTTTCTCCACTCATCTGTCTCCGCATCTTCCAAAGAGAGAGGAATCTGCTGCGGCCCGACACCAAAGAGTGAGTCCAGGCTATCAAGTTTATCCGGCAATGTCGACGGTGGGCCCCACATATCCCGTCCCAACCCAGAAAACATCGTTCGGGAGTTACTAAAACCCTCCCGGCGTTGAGACCTCGCGACGGACTGAAACGAAACACCCAAGTGACCCCTAAAATACTTGTCGCTAACGCCCTCGCGAAGGCAGAGCATCCACAGCCCTGACCCAGTGCCCTTCGTAATATCCCCCGCGCGGAAGTCTGCCACTAATTTGGCGTACATCTCGCTCTCCACAATTTTGAGCGTCTGAATCATGGCCAAGACTATGTCCTTCCTCCGCTGGTTGGGAGGTACCTGTTGTAGCCACATCTCCGGTGACAGGTTGAAGACATATCTGGCCATCGGCTCGACATATGAACTCCGGTAGCCCTTTCGTTCTTGTTGGCTAATGCTTACGAATGTAATGTGATACTCCATGAGGTAGAAGAAGCCTTGGGCATAATCCCCGAATGGAATATGCAGATAGGCCCGGTTTTCGTTGGTGTAACACGATGTTCCGGTTTCTAGCAGCCATGGAATATCGTTCCTGTAACACCCAAAAGGTCTCGAACCATCCCCGATTGTGTTTGTCAACCGGGCGATAGCGTGACCCAGGTGTCCTCGATCATGGGCCCAGAGTCTGACGGCAATATAGAGACCAGGATGCAGATTCCACGTATCTACATCAGCAAGGCGTTTCTCGACGTAATGGTAGCGCTCTAGAAATTGGAGAGCCGCAGATATTGAATCAAGAGTACACGCTAGTGGCGTGAACTTCTCCAGATCCAAATTTGTCAACCGGCTATCCTTGAGGACCGCCAAGACCGTAAGAACTTCCGTAGCGGAGTCATCCATCAAAGCAAATGCCTCCTTAAAACCCCCAATGGGATCGCTGTCGTGCCTCGCAAACACATCTTTCAAGGCACCTACCCTCTTCGTCAGGGTAACATTTGAATCTTGAAAGTTGCTCGCCCAGCGCACGAATAAGGGATGGCCTTGAAGAATCTCAGCCGCCTTCTCCACCTCCATGCTCGCAGTCTTCCTAAGCTCAGAGCTGAGATGATTCTCGAAAATCTGATTGAAAAAAGGACTGATTCATGGTGCTCCAGTCCTCTAAGGGTTATCACATTGGGGCCTGCCAGATTATGCGCGACGTCTCTCGATCTTGTCGTCAACAAGAAAAGAAATTTGTGGGGTGCATCGCGCTCGCTTCGATCAGTTGGTGTAGCCAGAGCTCGACGCCTTCGTCTTCGACCGCGTCAAATATGAAAACGCAGGGTCCAACAGCTCCGGTTCGTATTCGCAACAGCACATCGAGGTCTGAAAGATAGCCCCATTCCTTGCCAAAGACGGAGGAGAGATGAGCCCGAGCACTTTGGAAGCCTGCATCCAGAGTCTCCCGGGAAGCCGCCGAAACCCAGAAAGTTGAGCACTGCGATCCCCTTGCCAAGTTCTGACAGAATTCGACCGCAAGCCGCGTTTTGCCGATACCCAAAAGACCAGCGATTGCTATCACCGGAGGAACGGTTGCCTGCCCTTCAAATTCAGAGGTTCGGATTTTTCGTAGCATCTCACTGAGTCGGTTAATAGGCTGGCGACGCTGTATAAACAACATATCTGGAGCCTTTGGCATCGTGCTACACGGGAGCGAAGCTGCTTCTAATTGGTCACGGTGTGTTAGAAAGTGAGGCACTACCGGTACACGTAAATCTACATGTAACGTGAGAGGGACAAATCTAGCAGCACATGCACTTACGCGAGGGTACGGGTTGAGAAGGAGCGACCGGGCTTAGCTCCGAGTCGGCAATGAGGTCAGATCGACTCAGCGATAAATGTTTATGGCGGTCGTCTACTGAATATCCGTCCATCCGGAGACGAGATGCCGGAATCTCCCCGGATCAATATCATTGGGCGGATCAGTTAACATGAGGGGCACGATGCTTTCTGCGAACAGCGGATTGTCATCAGCTTCATCCGACAGAGCCCGGGTAGCACCTGCTTCGAATTGGCGATACTCTGCGTTAGAACAAGCCAAATCATCTATCTCTGGCCTCGGCAGGGATTGAAGCGCGAACAATATCAGATGTTGACCAACATGGCTTTCGAGACAGTCCGCCACTTCCACACAAAAGGGGCAGCGGTCGATTGCCGGCGTAGCCGGTTTGCCAGTAATTTTGATAACGAATGGTAGCTGGTCTTCAGAGAAGTCTTCTGCGTGATGCTTTTGTAGATGCTGTTCAAAAGCCATCGGGTCATCGAAGACTGTATCATGGTGTGCCGGCTGTGGACATCTCCAGTGGAGACGGTGTGTTTCTATATGAGATATCCATTCTTGCTCTGATGAATATAGCTGTAGCGCGTCTTCGCAACCTTCGAGGATGCATATGTAGGCATCTAGGTCTTTTTCGACGTGTTTCCTATTCACAGCACGGGTTAGACAGGATCATGGCTAGGCGTAAGTTATCGTGGATAGAGTTGATACTCACTCCCACGACCCGGGGTTGTCCACTTGCGTGTCACAAAGGATAACGCAGCAATAAGGGCACACGTAATCAACTTCTCCCTTGGCCTTTATGGGGACAGGGGGAGTAGGTCGCCGTATCTCTGCCCCTCCAAAGCAGGGCTTGCTCCAGGAACCATGGATGCCGTGGCACTATTTCGGTAAGCCTCTGCGACCGCCACCGTGGCTTCACTCTTCATTACCTGTTTTCCCTTCGTTATGCCATCGCTAGCGATGGAGGCGAGCGACGGTCCATGGTGCGGTAGGCTGATCTCAGGATTCTTCGAGCTACTTTCATGTTTTTCCGGAGGCCCAGTTTTATGAAGCTGGTCAGCGTAATGTTCCTTGTTTTGACCTGGTTCGATGGGCCATTGTCTCTGCTGTGACCTTCGACTCAGAATCCGTAGATGGCGGATGACCATGGTCTTCGCCAGCCTATCAACCAGATACTCCGCGATTCCTGTTGCATCTTGCGCAATGATATGTCTGTATGATTCCTCTAAGTTCTTCATGACATTTTTGTCACGTCCTCAGAGTCTCTCCCCTCAGCATCCTTTAGAAGGAATTTCTGTGCTTCCCTGCTCTGCCTTGCAAATCCAGCCTTGCTGACAAGGTTGGACAGGCGGTGGAGCCAGGATATGCTACTGCTAACAGACTCCAGGATTTCAGATAAAGTCCACTGTTCAAAGTCGGAACCGGCTCCAACGTCGGTGTTGACAGAAACAGAGATAGGGTCATCAGTTAGAGTTGGTGATTTGTTCGTCCGGTCCTCCTCGGCATCATATGAATTTGCTTCATCAACCTCGCCTTGTAAATTCGTTTCTTTTGAGTCTTCATGAACTACAGTAAACACTCTCCCGATTAGCTCGATATTTCGGTATCAAATTCAAGTGGGGAGGGTAGGGTGGTGCTCTGTTTGCCGCCTTGTAACTGCTGAAGACTTACGCTGCTCAAGCCTGTTTTCGATGATGTTCAGGTGATCGGTGAAGAGCTCAACAACTTCGGGAACCTCTTTGATGCGAAAATCCAAACACTCCTGAACATCGCCAAGCACATTCATATTCGAAATCCAGAGCCGAAACCGGACGAGCTCGTCCATCAACGAAGCCTCAGCCGGCATCCCGCCTTCAAGCACCTGTTCTTTTACCGCCTCCTTGTTCTCTATGAACAGGTTGAGACATCTCCTGGCGCGGTCGCCGATCGTGAGCGTTGGGTGAGCTTCCATGTCACTTCTCGTCTCAATTTCCCTCTCGTTTGGCATGCCAGGCCCTTTTTCCGGTATTGCAGTTTTTCAAGCAGTCGACAATAGAATTCCCAAGTCGTACCATTTATCCACCGACATGCCGGCTTGTATGTTCACCGTTTCGAGGCGGACAAAAATGAGGTTGGGTCGTCGAAGGGGTGAGATAGTTGTGTCAGCCTCAGTTTCCAAGCGCCGGCGACATGCGGAGGCGAGAGCCTGCTCCGACCCCTCACGAAGGGGCTCCGTTTATTGGATAATGCTTTCCAGAGCCACCTGTCTGGATACTAGCATACTATTTGGGTGCGCGAAGTCTGTTCGACGGGTATTTTTCCCTTGAGATTGCGCCTTTGGCACCTCGTGGCCTTCCTCTTTAGCCCCGGCGACCCATGCCAGAGATCAGCCAAATCCCGCCTTTTCAGATCGGGCACTAAACCTACTTTCTCATCACGAACAACCGCACCCCTAAACTTCCCACAAAAGCTTCCATGGGGTTTGATAAGCGCGTTATAAGGCGCCTAAAGGCTGGGGTAGAGTTCATTCGGGGCAAGAAAGGGCCGGCACCTCCCGTTCCTGAGGACTTGCTGGACTTACTACTCCGTGCCCTGCCCAAGATAAGGCCGTTAACAAATTTCTTAGAAACCAAGGTTGCTGCCAAAGACCAGAGGCGTGATTATCTCACCAACATCCGATCTTCGGCAATGGCATTGAGGATATATCTGGGGACTATCCGAGATCGTGGTGAAGCGCAAGTGTGCAGACTTGACATTGAGAAAATCGCCGATTGTCTTGAGGATATATTCACTCCCGTCTTCAAAAAACATTGACGAGCAAGGTATGGAAATAGCCGCCTTTCGCTAGTTTCACTAATTTGGATTCCATTTCGCTAAGTCCTCGATTCTCCGTGTATATAGACATTACGATACCCATGTCTCGAGAAGCTAGCGGACTGCGCGTATAATTTCTCCATGCATCCCATAAACTTCATCCAACAGGGTCTGATCAGCCAGTCGGGTTTCAACAGAGAAGATGTTTGGAAGGAGCTGGAATTTGAACTCGAACGTCTCGTGGATAAACTCCAGAAATACGGCGAGGATGTGAAAAGCTACCGAAACCGGGAGATAAATGTTCGCGCTTGTCAGTCGGCAGAAGAGGTTTGCGACTTTGTCGAAGCTGTGCTACGCGCGGTGTCGTGCAAATGTAGCACGCCACAGTTGAGGGAAGCCAGGCTTCAGGTCAGCACCTACCAGCGACTCAAAAGCGGGCGTCAGCAGGACGACAACGCTATGACGATGCCCGTGCTATTTAAGAATAGCCCGACTCCGGGTGAAATATTTTGGGGAGAGCTACATATTCGCCATCGACTGACAGATAGGTATGCCTAATAGCTCACCCTTTTCAAAACGTCTGCCGCCTGGTAATAGTGGCGACCCGCTGACCAGCTTCAGGCGCGAGTATAGGCTAGCTCGACATGTAAGCTCTGACGACAATGAAAGCTGGGGGAGTAACAACGACAGGTCTGATGCGGTATCAGACGGTGGCTTCCGCAGATGTGTTTGTCAGTATCTAGCAACGTATGAAAAGGATCGCTACTTCCGAGGCAATGTCGCGTTGTACAGGGAAGGATTGTCTCACGTCGGTGCCGCAGAGCGCTCCTTCGACAATAACCACCTCCTCCACCAAGTCGACCTAAAGACCTTGTTCTCCAGGGACTCCGTTGCATGGTCACCACTACCACAGCTGATACTTGGCGTTCTACTTTCTTATAGCCTCGTGTATATGTGCGGTGAGGATAAGACGCACAACGTGTGGGGTCCACGCAATATCTTCCTCTTCCAGCAGGGCAAGGAGATTCCATTGCGATTGTTCGTAGGGAAGCCAGCGCAGGCTAGGGTCGACCTACCGCACAGTGACTTGCTCCAGTTTCACGGGTATCCGAGGGTGCTAGAGCTGGGAGCTATTCTACTACAGATACACCTTGGCCAGAAAATCGAAACCTTTTTAGGGCTTAAGGAAGATCTAAAGCTCGGCTACGACCTGCCGCGTCAGGAATTAAACACTCTCTATTTAAAAGTCACCCAGGCGTTCACAAAAGGCAAGGATAGAATCGAGTCTTTCGCGGCCAGAGAAGCTATAGATGTCTGCCTCTCTAATTCATGGCACCCCCATCCTAACTATCCTCTTACAATTCAAGAAATACGCAATACCTTGCTGACCAAGGTTGTCCGACCATTGGAAGATGAACTTCGGAAATGTTTCGGGAATCAGAGCCTTGAGAGCTTGGATAAGGAGGCTGAGAAGCATATGATCACATTGCACGAGCCCATCGAGGCTCCTATACCAAGCGGTACAAGGGGCCTTGAGATGGGCTTACCACTAGCCTCTAACGCGGCGCCTTTGGTAAGCCCACTACCACATGCGATGACCCTCTTGAATTCAGGCAGCACAGATGAGCAAGGAAGGTGAGGCATCTCATTTCCTGACTGCTATACGCCCCGTATCCCATTACAGAAAGCTATTACATTACAGAAAGCTAACAAAAAGTATAGACGCCACTCAATGTGGAACGCTTGGCTTGATGAGTTCAAGATCTTCCGAGACGAAATCCTACGGAGTGGTATCGACTCCGACAAACACCGCCGCGTTCGCATCACGATCATCGACACAGGTATTGACGCGACTCACCCTCTCATTAAATCGGGCGGCTGGGAGTACGACGACCCCAACGCAGAAAAGCGTCTCTTTCGAGATTTCGCCACCAAAAATGGGCAGGCCAACGGTAGAGACCGAGGTGCTGATCAGCCTGTCGACGAAGACGGCCACGGGACCTTTATCGCGGGTATTTTTATGCAGATGGTGCCAGGGGTAGAGTTGTCTGTCGCAAGGATTGGTGAGACGCTGGAAACGATTCGATGCGATGATGAGATTGGGGAGAAGCTTAGCCAAGTAGGTTGATTCCCTACGTCGCCCTAGGCATTGACTTTGATGTATTAATGCTCTTGTGCGGAATATAGGCAATAATGTACGCAACGGAGAAGTGGAAAACGGACATCATCTCCATTTCCCTCGGCACTGATAGGGTACTATCCAAGGTAGGCGACGCTCTCGATTGCGCCTTGAAGAACGACGTTGTAGTCTTCGCATCAGCAGGCAACTCGGGAAACAACAAGGGCATCGCGTACCCGGCTAGCGCAGACCGAGTGTTCAAGATATTTGCTGTGACAGCAGACGGCCTGGCCGCAGGTTTTAGCCCCCGGTTCCTACAACGCCGTCCACTCTACCAACCTACAGTTACCACGCCCATGGTTGCGATATTCTGTCGGCCTGGCCTAGCTACCTGGTTGAACAAGGCCGCACAGCTAAGTGCGATGTCTTTTACGGCCCGGAAAACGGACTGGGTGTGGATGGTGGATGTCGCCGTTCCATGTCGGGGACTTCCTTCGCTACCCCCATTGCCGCATCAGTAGCGGCGATAATCTATCAATTCTACAATGAGAACGATTTCCAAACGAAATTTCGAAGATGTAAATCTCCGAGCGCGATGCAAGCCATCTTTGAGAAGATGAGCCGGAGGTCAGGACAAGCGCCATATAATTTCCTGGACCCATTCAGTGGGAGCGAGGGCTATTTCAACTATAAAATATATTGCGATTATGAAACGCGAAAGGCAGGTAATGGGGGACGCAAGGGTTGACGAGCGTCGCATATTTTTCAAATCTAAGCTAGAACAGGCTCTATATGCTGGAGGCATATGAGTGCCATTAGGCCTCTGGGATAATCACCAAGCACTGCTTGCCGTCATCCTCGTCGATAGCTTTAAACCTCTCAAATCTAGCAGACAGAAAAGAGTTAAAATCATGGTCTTTTACCTCGGCCCTCTCAATCTCAAGCATTTCCTTCCCATGCGCAGCCGTGCTGCGGCGCATGTTGACCTCAGATTCGCCGTGCAGGTCAGCCTGAGGAGCGTAATCCTCAACATGACTGCTTAGCTGCTGCTTCCAGGTCACCTTTAGCTTTCCCAGCCGATATGCAAAAACGTACGCTTCGTCTGACTCCGAGCTATGGGCCATCTGCGAGTTACTCCCACGGGTGGCCTGAACCCCCGCCCCAAAATCACCACCTGGCAGGGAACTAACCGTGGCTTGAAAATTCGCCTTCTGGTCGCCACCTGTATCCAAGTTGTACGTCCTCACACTTCGGCCTTGAGCTATTTTGAGCCCAGTCACCATATAGAGGGGCTTTCCATACCAACCTATATTGCGAAGCCAGTCGACGACCTCGGGTATCTTCGACGTTCGGGTGATGTACGATGGGTCGACGCTAACTTCAAAACACTGTGTTTCCAGCACTGCAATCTTCCAAGTTTGATGCTCGTGCTTGGTTTTGGTGACGGATGCCTCGTTTTTCATGATTGAAAGGAAGCGACTGAAGAGACCAATCGACGCGTTATCTTCTTTGGTGCTCTCGCCTGTCCATTCGCGCACCTGCGAAATGCGAGGTGCGAGTGCGCCGTCGAGAGGCAGGGGTTTGGCAAGTGGAACAAAGGGTTTCATGGGGTGGGTGATAACTTGGCCGAGTTTAATATAATCATCAGGCTTGTACTCCGTACTAGGAATGATAAAGTAGGTCTTCAACATTTTGACTCGCGAGCAAGGTAGTTTCAAACGTGAGCCTTCAATTCGAGCCAGCAGATCGCTTTCTTTAGTAGTAGGATATCTTGACCCCGCTTTTACCTTCGCCTCGCTGGCTGATGTTGTGTCACTAGACTCTTTTTATATGCGAGGACTGCAAGCTCATTGCCTGACCAGGCTGGAGCAAAGGCGCCGATGTGCTGGCTAATAGTCTAAGCATATGCCCCCACTACCGGTGAGCTGTCGATTCGCGGGCGCCCCCTCCCTCCTCGATACGTTGGTTCACGAGAGGCCGAAAGCCTGACATGGTTACAAGTTACCCCGCAAGGAGATGGGGAACGGTGATAGCTTCAGGAGGTCAATCTGGCAGGTCCTTCCATTTATCTTCACACATCAATTGTTGCTAATCTGCTGCCATGCCTCCTTTATTTTGGTGGTCCGTTGTCGGGAGTGGGGCCGTTGTATGGTTTAGCTCGCCGGGTGACTCGATGTCGCAAAAGGACTAGCGTGCTCAGAAGAGAGCTGACCTTCTCTTTACTCAAGAGTCTCAGAAAGCCACAGTATGCACTAGAAAACACTGTGCAGATTCAACCCCACCATGACTTGCGCTAAAAGAAGGAGCATCCCACATTCCATTCCAGCTTCGCTTGTGCAATTCCCAATCCAAGGCCTACGTTATTCTTTATTCTAGCCCTCACTCGGGGTACTAGATGCCATACTTTCCGCCCATTTTCTCTATTCACCCCTCTCCTCCTCTTTCTCCCACTCCAAACCTCAGCCGAAATGTCTCTCATCTCCCGACTCTCCTCCCTCCTCCCGCTCCCCGAGGAAGAGCTCAAACAAGTTCTCGACTATGCCGCCACTCTTCCTAAGGCTGCGGCGGTTGACCACTTCAGCAACCTCCTCGGGACCTCGCCGGAAGCCCTGACATTCATTTCCGACTTCAATTCGCGGCGTAACGACACAGCGGCTGCGACCACCCCCAGCGCCGGAATCGAGCCCGTACCCAAGTCGAACAAAAATCGGACGAAGAAGACGAAACCGGCTCTACATACTCCAACCGCGAGGAGGGTGGATGACTTTGGGCCACCTCCAGGCGTAGCGTATTCCAAGAAAGATGCAGACCTTGAATATATCCCCACCACAAAAAGGCCCAAGCCGGATCCTCGAGAGCGCCAACACCGCAGCAACAACAAAGGCAGCCAACTCCCGCGGAGGTTACCAAGCCCGCGGCGTCCAAGAAGTCTCAGCAAGGCGGATTCCTAATCTCTGACGAACCGGCCGCGAAGTCCAAGCCCAAATCAGCCAACGCTTCCCGCTCCTCCACACCAAAGCCAGGAGGCAACCCTACGAAAATCTCCATCGTCGGAGGAACACCTATGAAGGGCGCCTCAACCGCATTGACAGACCTAGACGCCGCCATTCGCCAGCTAGAAATCACCACCAACCCCACACTTCAAGACGACGACGCCGCCGCCCGGCGTTGTAACTGCGTCGCCACGCGCCACCCCTCCAGTCCGCCGCGCCCAACTGCCTCTCGTGCGGCAAAGTGATTTGCATGAAGGAAGGTCTCGGCCCCTGCACCACCTGCGGAGCACCTCTCCTTTCCAACTCCGAGACGGAGGCTATACTACGCGAGCTCAAGGCCGAGCGCGGACGAGAGCGCATGGCAGCGGACCGCGCCGCACACAAGCGAGCCGACGTCGGCAGGACCCCCGCGCCATTTACTCAGCCCCGCGATGGTGGTTTCGCCAGCGGGAGCGGGGCAGGCGGGACCGCGACGCTTTCGGAAGCCGAGACCAAGGCGCGGGAGCACAGGGACCGGCTTCTGGGGTACCAGGCGCAAAACGCGCGGCGAACGACGGTGCGCGACGAGGTGGCGGACTTTGACGTGGCGGCGGCCATGGGGGCAGCTGAGCATGTGGGCAACGCCGGAGGAGCGGGCGATGGAGCTGAAGAAGCAGCAGAAATTGCTGAGGGAGATGGAGTGGGAGATGAAGCCCGAGTACGAGAAGCGGAGGCAGGTTGTCAGCATCGACCTGGTTGGCGGCAAAATTGTCAAGAAGATGGCGGCGGTAGAACGGCCGGTCACACCCCCGGCCGTGGAGGAACCCGGGTACGGGAACAGCGGGGCCGGAGCACTCTCCGAGTCTTCGGGTAACAGGCAGGCGGCGAATCACGGACAAGGCGGTGCGTTTAGCAAGAATCCGCTCCTCGGGGCCATGATCAAGCCTGTGTACAACCTGAAGGGTAAGGCCAAGGGCACGGGCACCGAGGGTGACGACGCCGCGGGTTCTAGGACAAAATGGCGAAGAGTGCAAGATGACATGGGCGATAACGAGGGCATCATTCTCGATGGCGGCGCGTACGGGCATTCAGCGCCCACCAACGCCGCTACGGTGGCGGGGGACGGTGACGAGCCGGCACGTGGCTGATAAAACGCTGGGAAAAGGGCCTCGCAGCAGGTTCATGCTCGCCCCACTCTTCGCTTTCCTCCTTCTTGACGTGGGGCTCCCTGCCCCTTTCTGAATAGACATGATAGAATATATGGGAAAGTCAATAGAATACGGTCTCCCGTTTGGGGATATTCCCGAGTGATTGCATGGCAGAAGTATCTCTTTCCTATCCCCGGCGACGTGATGCAATTCTGGGGACAAGGAACTAGTAGCAGCCAATGACGTTTCTCAAGAACCACGATTGTCCCTTTTGTGTTCGTTCCTGAACACTTCTCCCCACCGACAAGTGAACCTCGGCCATGTCCACACCCTCACGAGTTCTTTTATCTGGCGGGGCTCTTAGCGACCTCTCATTCTCGTTTATTTCTTTTTCTCTTTGTTTGATGGATGGAATTGACGAATTGGCCTCGCGCATATCCCATCTTGCGCGTGTGGCCGGAATGCTGCATCGACCCATTGCCTGAGCCATGGAACCCCACCATGACGAAGTTGCACCCAGGGGCCCCAAGCTTTGAACCCACACACAGACAGACGGGCCCCGCCCTGCAAAAACTCGTTGCAGGGAACCGCAAGGAAAAACCTGGGTCGCGCCTTCCAGCCCATGACATCATGACGCCATCGTTTTCCGTTCCGTTCGCTTCTCGCGCCCAAGAAATTGTCTTGGAAAGCGGGAAGCCTGCAGCACCCGCGCCAACAAGTTTAGCAAAGATTGCAGAGCGGAGAAAAGAAAAAAAGAAAAAGGAAAGGAATAACAAAGCCCCCGGACAAAAGAGGTAGCGGGCAGACATAGGTACACACGCATTCCATAGACGGGGTAGCTCGGGTTCCTGTCAGGTTCAGGTTCGAGCTCCTCCACCCCCATCACATGTTTTCCAACCATTTGCGCGTGGTGGACTCATGACCTCATAAATCAAGCCAGCTTCCCACCCTTCCTTCTCGTTGTCCCTTTTTTCCTCTCTCTCCTTTTAACCTTCCATCCTTCTTTTCCATATAATCCATCTCACGTTCCATCATTTTCAATTTGGGCCACGCGGTTCCTGCTTCTTCGACGTAGCGATCCTCTCACTCACGTACAACTCGTACCACCCTTCTCTCATTCCCCATCCATCCCTCTTCCAATCGCACGCCGCCAATAGTAAGTTCTCCTTCTCCGTGTGACCAACATAGACACATTCACTAATTCCATCCCAGTGTCCTACGCCGAAGTAGCATCCAAGGGCCCTAAGCAGTCGGCCGAAGAGGTTCGTTTTGCTATTTCTTCTCCTTGTCTTCCCTCTTCTCGTCCATGATTGTCGCTGCGCTCTCTAGCCCCATCCCGCACACCTTGTGCGACAGCGAGAAAAAGCCATCACATCACCCACTTAGTTACGCTTGAAACAAAAACGAAAAATCTCCCCCACTAACCCAACTCCGCCTCCAGGCCGCCGCCCCGCCATGCCCGAGCTCCTCAACACCGAAGAGCCCGCCCCTCCATCCAAACCGTCTCCGAAGCCGACCTCGCCTCCTCCCAATTCTCCGGCCGCGAAGGTCCCGCCGCCTCCTACGCCGACACCGAAACCTTCACCGACCTCGCCGCCTCCTTCCCCTCCGAGCGCGGTCCCAACGCCGACGGCGGCGCCGACCACGTCCGCCACTCGTCCGGCAACGGCAAAGACAACGGCAACGGCGGCAGCAAGCGCCGCAAGGCCAAGAACGCCGCCGAAAAGGCCGCCGACAAGGTCGAGGCCACCCCTTGGCCCTCGCCAACCTCACCCTCGTCGTCGGCGTCAGCGCCGTCCTTGGCTTCAAGGCCTGGGGCCTCTACGAGCGCGGTCAGCTCGGTTGGAAGGAGCTCGGTATCGGTGCGGGGATCTTGGGCGCTGTGGGTGCTGCTGAGCTCGTGATTGGCAGGTATCTCTCCGAGGAGCAGCACAACAGGAAGAAGTAAAAGAAGAAGAAGAAAAAAAGGCAGCCACACCCGGCAGTCTATTTCTCACCTCCCCTCCAGCGCTCATCGTCTCTTCATTCCTGCGATGACATTCCCCTCCCAACTAAATCTCGCTCATTCTCGGGTTCCTCGCTCTCGGCGTATCCGCCTTCATGGCTGGCTTGTGTTGTTCTTGTCTTTTTCTACTCATCTGTTTTTCTTTTCTCACTGTATTATTGGGCCCGGCCAGGAGTTGTATCTACTGCGTGCAGTAGTAAATCTCATAGACTTTTGTCAATATCCAACAAATTTCCCCACAAAAAGAATCAGTACTTCACGTCAACGTATGCCCTGTTATTTCTGTAGATATGTGTATCGGCTCACGGAGAGTTACTCGGGAGTTCTTGGAGCTGCAACAGCTCCAAGACCGAGGTGTTACAACGGACGAGGATCTTGCGGTCTTCTACACTGGTGAGAGCAATGCAAATAAGACGTAAAAATTGAAAACGGCCAATTCTGCGGTATATATATTTTCCCATTGTCCACCCCCAGCTCCACGCTTGATGTATACCTAAAGAAAAACTAAAAAGAAGCCAAAGAAAGACGCCCCTGAAAGAGAAACAAGATGATTATGATACACATTTTCGCAAATCCAACATTCAACACTCCTCAGCTAACACTCCACTCCCTCGATCCTTCCATTAAAACTCGCCACTACAGCAAGCAAGAGACGGCCCTCTTTTGCTTAATCTGGCTACCAATATCCCCTGGCACACGGCGATAATCAACTTTTTTTTCTGTTTCCTCTGGCTACCAGTGCCGATGAAAACGACACCAAGAGGTGCCCGGCTAGCTCTGGGCGCTCGGTGAAGCACTTGAGAGATTCATGAGGTGGAAGAGCGGACATCACAAGAGTGAGGGTGGAGAGAGAGAGAGCCACCAAGAATGACGGAAATGTAGTATTTAGTCAGGACAAAACGCCCCTTCTAAAAACCAAGTATTCCTTCTCAAATCATCCACCCTTTACTCTGTCTCATGCCTGTCCAACTCTTCCATGTCAAGCGCCGGGTCCGGTAAGCCATTACTGATCCATATAAGCTGCAGATATAAACGAATATAGTGAGAGGGAAGAAATAAAGAAAGAGAAAAAAAAAAGGGGACATGAATTGTGTTAAACCGCCCAAAATTCGCAGAATAAAAGGAAGGATAAAGGGGGTGGGGTCATCGCATCATAATCGTTAACTAAGGGGAGAGGAGAAAAGGTAGAAAAGCAAAGACAAGATGAAAACCGGAGGGCCAAGACCCTTGGGGTTTTGCGCAAGGTGCCGGATGACTTGGTTGGTCGTCGAATTATCGGTCACGAATCAGTCCCGCCGGCCAGAGAATATTGCGTCTAGAGAGCCCGGTTGTGGACTTCACGGAGCCTCTTGACCCAGTGCTTCCTGACCGCCGGCGGCATTTTACAAAACACCATGGCCTTGTTCTCGTCTGCCAGAGCCTTTTCCGCAATCTTGAGCTGCAGGTCCATGTCCTCTTCTGCGAAGTCCCGGAAGAAAATTTCAAGTGCCTGCTCGGGCCAGCGCGGAGGAGCCTTCGCCCTCAGAAGCTCCGCAAGGGAGAGGACGCCTTCTTCGAGAAGGCCCCTCCCTCCAATGGCGCCAGCACCAGAGCCAGCACCGCCATCCGCACTGTTTCCGTTGGTAGATGTCCCGTAGCTCGTCTGAGAGGATATACGCCTTCTCTTGTTCTGTTGCTGCAAGGCCGACGCAGTGTTGTGGGTGGAGAGCCTGGGGTCTGGGGTGGTTATGCCACCAGAGTTGGACAGCTGAGGAGCAAAGCGCTTGCGTGTGTGATTGGTCGTCTCATCAGGAGGGTGAGAGCACTCGTGTTGGCAATGTTTGTTCGCGGCGGGAGAGTGGTGGAAGTAGGGCGCGGCCCTAGACGGCTGGAGACATTGGGCTGAGGAGGGATTGCGGGTCTCTGAGGCGCACTCAGGGGCTATGATGGAAAGTTGTCCGGTCGACCTGGAGATTCAGTATACCAGTTCCGGGCATATCCGTGTCTTCGCAACCAGGAAGGGTATCCGGGCCCTTGCGCTTGGGCTTCATGATGCGCTTTGGGGCACCTCCCGAGCCTACGACGTCGGGATACAAAATCTCCATATAATCTTCATGCTCAAACGTGCGGCCACGAAGGGCGCGGGATAGAGGTTCTTTCTAAGGAAGGAGGAAGCCGAATTAGTTAATATACGAGACACGCCAGCTCAAGTTCCAGAGGCGGAGAGGGAGGGACAATGATGAAGAACACAAGGTGTAGACTTCGCGGCGACGCGTTCGCACACGAGCAGGTCAAGCGAAGACATCACGAGACAAGAGGAGAAAGTGCGTACCTCAATATGGGCCTTCCATGCATCGTCTGTTCCGGTGACGGTCCTGGTCGCAGGATTGTACAGGAAATCCGAGTGCTCCCTCAGGCCTCTCCACAGCCTAAACTTCTTTCGAGCATTGTCGGACTTGTTGACTAGATGGCTTTTGGTCGGGTAGGCGCCATGCTGCTCGCGCAGGGCGGCGGCGGCGCGATCCCAAGCTTCCCTTTGAAGCTGTGATTCTCGCGAAGACCGAGGGATACGGATTCGCAAAGAGAACGGAAAAAGGTGGCCTCGTAGGCCGGCGTCCAGCTAAAGCGAGGGGCGCGCTTGTCGCCGTTGCCAGGGCCGCGAAGTTCAGTGCTAAACTCGTCGTCGGACATGATTGCGACAATGCGGGGTGTTCTCGTCGAGAATAAGCTGGTTCGTGTTATGGAGCGACGCTGTCAGGCATGTGAACAAGACGAGCCGGCGCGTAGGTTTGGTTCGCCTGGCGTGGAGGTCGGCGCCGAGATAAAAAAACAAAACGGCGAAGAGGGACGGGTCGCGCCAAACAGTGACCGCCAGACGGGATTGAAAATAGGGGTCGTTTCAATCAGCAACGAAGCGAGCCCAGAGAAGTGGAAAAGAAAAATAATGTAATGCGCGCTAGGATCGACGAGTTTGGCGTGACTGGTGAAGCTCGTGAATTGAGGCTGGTTGAACGGATGGAGATGAGACGGAGGGTGAAGTTGGGGGGGATGGAGAGAAAACGGTAGCGGGAAGGGAAACACCACGGGGAAATCAGAAGGTTGGAAAAAAAAATCGGGCGATGGGGCCAAATGTAATAAGAGCCGCGGTACTACCGCAGAGGGGGCGAAACGAGAAGGTCCGTGCCGATAAATCGCGTATGTCGTCTCGCTCCGACGATTTTCACAGCGTCGCAAAAGATGTCTGGTTTGAGCGGGGATCCGACAATCACAACAACGAGGACTCTCTAGATTCCCAAGAAAAACCGGATGAGCGATCCCTTGATGGGAAAAAGGGCGAGGCTGGAGTCGACGGTGGAAACGAGCGAACGAGGGAGACGGGAGGGGTTTCAGCTTTGTCACGTGACGCATACTGGGCTTCGGTTGTTTGTTCCTTCCTTTTTCTTGGGCGGGGGCCACTCAGCGAGCTGAAAAGAGGTTGTCAGTGTCAGTGTCTCCTGCCAGAGGCGAAATACGGCCAGCAATCAATGTGACGGAGCAACTCATTTGAGCACTTGACTGTTTGTGCTCCCTTCAATTGGGTGTGTGCGAGGTGCGGCACGTATGTCCTCCAACCCGAGGCACAGGCGCACTCGCAGGCCCCATTGTAGCCAAACGCAGCTTGAGCAATGGACACTCCTCGCTTGTTCATGTTCAATGTCCTTTCCAAATCATAGCTCGGCCCTCTTGATCGGACTGTGAGAGTCGCAACAGTTGCGCCCTGTCGAGCGAGTGTTAATTGGCGTAAAAGGACTTGTTTTGGGGCCCTCAATGAGCTTCATCATGAGCTCCTGCCTTTTCGTACCTGACCCTCCTTTTGTTTTCCTCTTCATTTTTTCTCGTTCCATTTCATCTATCCGCCAGCTATTACAGTTATCTGCTGACAGCCAAGTGGATCCACTGGCTGATGGTTGATTGCGATTTCGAGAAAGGCCATCCGACAGGGAATCTCCTTCCTGGAAGCTTCGGCTCTCTCCCCTCTCCACCCTCAGGGCTGGCCAGCTTATCGCTGCAGATCGAATGCTCACCCACCTTTTCCGCCATCCAGTGATGTGCACTTCGCAAATGCCCTCCTTTGTCATGGTTGCTGCGTCTGTAGGCACCTTTGCGCACATCCGCCACTCTGAATTGCATCCGCACCCTCATTCGGTATTCAAGGTTCAGCGCATGCAGCTGAGACCAGTTCTGTCAAAGACCAAGGGTCTGAATCGGATTTTAGAAATATAGCGATGCCCCACCAACTTCAGCGAGTGTATATTCTAGCCGGAGACACCGTTTCCCCAACACTGTAAGAATAAGTTTGCCCAAACGTTACAAATCGCCCCCCCCTCCTCCCACCTTGGGAGGAAGATCAATGGAAACAATGGACAAAAGAGTTGAGGGGTCGGAATGTCACAGCCAAAAGTTCTACAGCGGGGAGAGCGCCATTATTGAAGCCACACGAGCAAGCCGAAAAGAACCCCTCCAGTCCCACACAATCATCGTTTTTTCTCACGTGGCAGACAGGCCTGCTCGCACTAGATAAAACTGGGCGTCGAGACAAATAATCCACCAGGGATCCAACCGATCTATCAATTCGCATCAGCCAGACTTGCTAGACACGAGAAATTTGTGACACGAGCTTGAGGTGGGCAAGTGGAATGAATAATAAATTGAACTCCTTCGCGCGCGGGGCCGGGGTGTGTTTCAGCAGGCACTAGTGCGGTGGCGACCTGTCCTGCTGAGGCGCCACAGAAGAGCCCGACCTGAAGCTTTCAAAATGGCTGTTATTACTCCAGAATGTCCATCCAGACCGAGCCCGAGGTGTGTGATCAATTGATGGAGGTGCTTCCAGGGCGTGTCAGCGATGGAGAGCTTAGTGTACACCACAGGGCCCGATCCACCACACGTTTCCGAGATCCCAACATGACTTTGGCACTTTGGCCCTTTTTTCTTCTTCTTCTTTTCTTTCCCTTCCCGTTTCTCACTCCTTCTACTCTGCCCTTTGGTGCGCCCGAATATGTGTCACTTAAAGAATTGAATATTTCAATCCTGTGCTGTGGTCCGTGGTCCCTCATACCGGAGCACCTCTTCCGCGATTGTACCGTTTCCGATATGACTGTTCCATTGATCCGTCTCGCCACCCGCCGCCAGTTTCTCTCGGATTGGCTCAAAGAGCTTTCCTGAGCTCCACTCACCAAAGATGGTAAGGCTCTCTCTCTCGCTCTCTGCGCAGATGCGCGGGTCAATCATGAGACCGTCTTTTTCGTCTCTCTTTTGTGCATTTGCGAATTCAGCAAAGAGCTTTGCCGTCCCGCCGCATGGCGTGCGGTGAGCGGCGGTGGCGAAGATGCGGCAAGTGGATGCGCTCTCACGCCGCCCGGACATTGATGGAAATGGATCAACCACACTGAATCCTTCGGCTGGGCGAAGTTTTTGTGCATGTACGAGACTTTACAATGGCAAAAGGTCCCAAAAATGCCATGCTCTTTGTAGAAGAAAGGAGAAAAAGTAGGATCCGAAAACCATCACCTTTTTGACCGCCTGGCTTTTCCCTTTCTCCAATCCTGCGTGTATTATTGATCCCACCAGTCGGCCCTGGCCAGTCGGTCCACAAAACGTGGTGCCCAACAAGGCCGCGCGGTCTAGACGCCAGCCTGAGCGTGCTCTCTTGGACAATGCAGGCTTGAATACGCATCCTTAGAAGATGCAAACTGAAGTGGATCATCTAAAAATGGAAACCAAAAATAGAGAGAAATAAAGGTGGGGACGGGGACAAAGAGCAGCCCGACTTGTTCTTCTCGCGGCCTTGCATCCGACTTCATGTACGAAGTATGAGAAGTAGAAGAAGAAGAAGAAGGAAAAGAGGTGACTGCCGACAAGGCATGAGACCTGCGCCCAGAACCTTTCGTTCCCCTTGTCCTTGTCCTTGTCCCCCAAAAAGACCCATCCCGTTGGTAACCAACCACTTTTTAGCCCCATTCCCAGGGCTGGCCGGTCTAGACGTCGCATCTCAAAGGCCTGGATGGCTTAATTTCCCGAGTCTAGACCCTTTCGTTGACGATACTGAAATGTTACTTGTATGAAGCTCCCGTCCATCCCCCTGATACGCCAGAATCTACGCTCTTTGCCCGTTCTCATCTCCCCTCTCGTTTCTATCGTACAAATGCTTGGCCAGCAAGCGCCCCCTTTGCCAGGGAAGGTCAACCTTGTACCGTGGGACAAAGATAGAAAAACGAAAAAAAAAAAAAAAGAAAACGTGGGCGTCCGTCTGGGGACATGCTCTCCAGAACTTCAAGCCTGCCATGTGCCGAAACCCACCCCCAGGAGTAAAGCCAAATATGAGATATCAGATCCTCCAGGCCAGGTCGCTTACCTCGATACGGTCACATCCCCACTCATGGATCCATTTCATCGGAACGCACTCCGCTCTCCCTCTTAGCACAGACTCGTCAATTTACCCGTCTATATATAATGTGGCCAGACCTGTCCCACAAGTTCAAAGTCCTTTTCTCATCGAGTGCGTGTTCTCGGCTATGGATCATCAAAAGGGTCGCCATCCAAACGCCGAGCGCCCCCTGTCCCACCCCGGAATTGCAAAACCCATCACAGGAAGCACGAAGCAAGGAGCGCAAAACAAAACCGGCGAGACCCCTTATCTGCCGACTTTTGCGCAGGCCTTTCCCTGGCCAAATAACCAACCCGGACTTAATCGCTCCCTTCCTTAGAAATTCTCCACCGCCTCCCTCCCTCCCCATCCCCAGGTCATTGTAAAAACCTACGGGCCTCGGCATATCGGTCACCATCGAGCGAATTGTGAGCCCAAAAGCCGATATCGTTCATCTGTACATATGTACCGAGTAATATATTACGGACAGGTGAGGAAGGATGTGGCGGAAGACTCGGAAAGCCTGGAAGCCGTAGAAACAGCAGAGGAAAACCCTCTTCTCCAGGGACAGGGGAGAAATGGATAGCTCCATTCATCATGTGGTCCACCCAATGATGCGAGAGGGCTGAAAAGGGATTCCAAGTTTATCCCCTGAGGCTGCATAGGCTCCGAGTTGGCCCTAACCACAAGCCTTCCTTCCACGCGGAGTGTGTAGGGAAGCGCCTTTTCTGATCGCCAGGGTAGCTTCTAATCGCCGATGGTTTTTCTCCCGCGTTCGTCTCAAACTATCGAGAGTCTCGTCACCCGATGCCGGCATCAAGTCGGGTCTTGCATCTCCAACCGGAATCGTACCCACCCAGGATCCGTGAGCATGATTTGGGCGAGGGGACAATGGTAAGAAAACCCCGTCCTCCCGCTTCCTCGACGCCGGACCCTCCCAGTCCCTCAGTTCGCTCGATCCGTTCCATATCATGCCAGCCGCTGGCTGAACCGCCCGGGGGTATCCACTGAAACCGAGAGAAAAGAGAAATGGGTCGTTGGGGCGACGCAAAAAAAAAAAGAAATTTAAACAAAAAAAAGCCAGAGTTTCCATGCATGCCGCCTCGCGAGCCCCAATATCGAACAAGAAGAAGAAAAATGGTACAGACTACGACTGAATGGATCCTCTTCCGAATCCAAAATGACTGCCATTCTTAGCCACCTTCTCCGAAAGGTCGTGGGTACAGTGCCTGCGCCGAGAGCGTGTGCGCGACCGCCGACAGCGGCCTTGGCGACAGGGGATTCAGAGAGTCTAAAACGTCCTGCCTCACCGTCTTGCTAGGATTGAGCAACGGCGCAATGACCCGTGGGTTGGGCGCGAGCCATTTGAGGAGCTTCTTGACGAGCAAGTGCTTGTTCACCGGCTTGGCGATGTAGTCATCCATGCCCCGCTCGAGGCATAATTCCATGTCGCCCTTGAGGGCATAAGCCGTCATGGCAATGATCGGCGGTCGCGGGCCGTGACTGCGGATGCGCGAAGTAGCCTCGTAGCCGTCCATGATCGGCATGCTAATGTCCATTAATACCAGATCATAGTTTTGTTCCGCGGGATCGGTCACGGCCGTGACCGCTTGGGCCCCGTTGGCCACGACGGTGAAGTTGACGAAACCGAAATATTGAAGCATGCCGACAAGCACTTTTTGGTTAATTAGATTGTCCTCGGCGGCAAGGATGCGCTTGCGGGGCGCGATCTCTCGGATGCGTCTAAACTGGTTTTCAAAGTCGTCCGCCTCCACCGAAAGCCTGCGGGATATGTCGGAGCTGGCCTCCGTCGGGGATTTGAGGGCTACGAGCGGCGCTTTGCTATCGATCTTGCCTAGTTTCGCGGTGAACCAGAATATGCTGCCTTGGTGCTCCGGATTCGGCCGATAGCCAATCTCGCCCTCCATCAACTCGACCAGAGATTTCGCAATGGATAGCCCTAGGCCAGTTCCTTGATACCGCTTGGTGATGGTGGTGTCGACTTGGGTGAAGGGTTTGAAGAGGTTAGGAGCATCTTCTTCTTTGACCCCGGGCCCCGTATCAATGACCTCGAATAAGATAACATACATCTCGTCATCCTGGCCAATCAGGGAAACTCGCACGGTGATAAAACCTTGCTCGGTAAATTTTCCAGCATTTCCAACAATGTTCTGGATAACCTGGCGAAGCCGTAAAGGATCGGCCTGCACAGACGTTGGTAGGTCTGGCGAAGGAACAAGTTCCAGGTTCACACCGGGCTGCAGAGTCGTCTGGACGCTGCGCACTACCGAGCTTAGGATACTAGCCACATTGACAACGTCCGTCGTGATGGAGAAGCTACCGGATGCGAGCTTCGAGTAGTCGAGTATATCGTTGATTACCTGCAGCATAACGTTACCGGATTCTTCGATAATGTTGGCCGTCTCGCGCTGCTCGTCGGTCAAGGGGGTATCGAGGAGGAGAGAGGACGCGGAGAGCATGCCATGCATAGGAGTCCGAATCTCGTGGCTCATGTTGGCCAGAAAGTCGTTCTTCAGTTTGGTGCTCTCCTCGTAGGCGGAGATAAGACGCAGCTCGGCTCGCTTCCATTCGGTGAGATCGCGCGTCACCTTGCCAAAACCGACATGGACCCCGTTCTTGTAGACGGCGGTGATGACCACGTTCGCCCAGAAGCGTGTGCCGTCCTTTCGCACCCTCCACCCTTCGTCTTCAACTCTCCCTTCCCGCAGGCAGATCTCGAGCTCTCGTTCCGGCTTACCGGCCTGAAGTTCTTCGTCGAGATAGAAGACGGAGAAATGCTTTCCAATAATCTCCTCCTTTGTATAGCCCTTGAGCAGGGTGGCGCCCATGTTCCAGGATGCGACGTTGCCACGCGTGTCCAGGAGGAAGATGGCGTAGTCCTTGACCGTCTGCACGAGTATCCGAAAGGCCTCGTCGATGGAAAACCAGCTGTGCGTCAGCTCGCCGTCGACCGCGATGGACTGTACCTGTACCTGGTCCCATTCGAGGACGTAACACAAAAGGTGGTCTTCCCTGAAGACGGGGATGATGCGCGCGGACCATGCTGCAGAGGCCGAAGTGTAAGCGGCTTGGCAAAGACTGGGTGAGCGAGTCTTCACCGCTCTCTCGATGGCAAAGGCCAAAGGGATCCTGTCGAATCGCTGGGTTGGGGAGTATTCGTACAGCGCAGCATAGAGATCTCGTCCGACGAACTCGCCCTCGGTGCGATTCCATTGCTCCACCAGCCCCCTCGATACCTTTTGGACACGGTTCACGGGCGAGACGACTAGAGTTGGGACCGGGAAGAAATCCAAAACCTCGTTCATATCGGGATCAGCGAGGGTCGCCGGCCCGCCCGCCAGGGCCGGATCCGGCGTGGTCGTCTTCATTGAATGGGGGATGTGGTCGGCGGGCGGCAAGAAGAGGCTGAAGGGAAAGGAAGGAAGAGGAAGAGGAAGAAAGGAGGGGAAAAGAAGATAAAGAGAAGGGGGTGAGGGGAAGAAGAGGGGGTGAAGGACAAAGGATTTTTCAGCTGAGAGTAAGGCGGACGACCAGAGAAGGTCGTGGGGTAGCACACAAGTCGCACCAGGGGAAATAGTATAGAGAAATCAGTGCCCGTGCCTAGTGTTTATATGTGTAAAATGTAAAGCGATGTGCGATGACCTTTGTCTGGCGCCGGTCGCCAAGAGCGAAAGGAGGGGGTGGGCGAAGGCGGGGGAGGGGGAGAAGAAGTCGCGATATGAGGGTGAGATTGATTGAGGAGGGTTGAAGATGCGGCGATGCAGTGCCTGGTATATTCTGGCATACCGTTATTTTTTCGGGTTAGGAAGGGGGGCCACGCGAGGAGAGGACAAGGACGAGACAGTGTCACTGTCCGACCGAGGGGACGTCCACCCCATGCGCGCGCGTTTGGCTGGTGGCTGGCTTTGTTCAGCCCTTTCAGCCAATTTTTCCCGTCTTGATGACGTCAGTCGCCCATGCGTCAAGCGGACCCAGCGCAACGGGGAGGTCAAATCTACCGCAACAGCCTACACAAATTGTATGTGCTTAGGGGGCAAAAAGAGCCAAAGGTTAAAAAACATCCCGCCAACAGTAATGTTATTTCCGGGCTCCGGGCTGACGCGAGTACTAATAGGGGTTCCACTAGATCCATCACTGTTTTTTTTCCTTTTTCTTTTTGGTTTTTTGGCTTGAATATAGTTGACGGGTAGAAGGGAAAAAGCAAACCGCTGCGAGCCGTCTTGTCCTCTTCCAGCTTCATGCGCTGCTAGTCCTCCCCTCCTCTTGATTGCGTCTCTCGGTCGAGTGATGAAAGCCCTAGAGACATGTAGCAGACCAAAGAGCCTAGATAAAGAGGGGTTTGGGCCGTCGTCTTCGGGCTGAGGCTACAGAGGAAACGGTGATTGTTCAAACTGGGGCTCGTTGGTCTGCGAGTTACCGCCTTCCCCTTTCCCCTCCCCCTCCCATCCCCCTGCCCAATCTAAAGTTGCAGCTGCTCACACATGGGGCAACGGCAGGACACAGAAAACGATAGGCTAGGTAGGTCACACTCGAGGGCAGAACCCTCGGAGAAAGGAATGCGCATGGAGGGCATGGAGGGCAAGGAGGGTAGAGGGGGACGGGCGGGGGTGCGGGGGTGCAAGAGTTGAAGGGGCTGTCATGTTGGCTGCTGCCAGACTCACAAGATAAGAAAACGTGATGATAGGATCTGGTCAGTCGCCGGGGGTGGGTTGCTCCTCCCCTTGCCATAGGAACGCCAATCAACTTAGCGAAGCTTGATTCCATTAGGACAAATACGAGCCTATTCATACCGCGCGATCGGGTTTAACTGTGAGCTTGTCACCGTGCAGGAGACCCGAATTGACTCTAAACACCGCTGAGCCGACCGATGATGTGAGGCCCGTGCTTGACGTGATCGAATTCAAGCAAACCAAGTGAGCGTCACCAGCAGACGCGTTGGGACTAGACAATATCATTGCCGCGCCGACTCGAGAATCAGCCCATGATGTCAAGATGACCGCAAACCGCCCTCGAAGCAGTGTAAACGTTCTATGTTGTGTTCTTTGTGGTGCCCAAGCCCAGTCGATCAGAAGTAGTTCGCCGGTGGTTGCTTCCGCATCGCTGATGGGTCAATTTACTTTCGAAGGAAGGACGTATGGGCTTTCATCTCATCACCTGCCGCCTGAGACTGACACTAACTCGCTTGTCTTTCCCTATGGGAAGGTAGCATGCGACGATGAAGTACGTCAAGTCGGACTTTTTTCCTCTTTCCTCTTTCCTCTTTCCTCTTTCCTCTTTCCTCTTTCCTCTTTCCTCTTTCCTCTTTCCTCGTTCTTTCCTTTTTAAAAGAAAAACAATTCGACGTCTACTTTGTTCCTCCTTTATGCCCGAAACCAGGTGACGCAAGCCACATTTAACACCTTCTTGTCTCTCCGAATCAGGCAATCAAAGGCGGGACAAGTGGAGGAAACCCCGAATGCTAGCACTAGAGAGCTTATCGAGACATATGTCGTTTAAAGGCAAGGTGGGTGACCCACCGCACACTAGGCGCGAATGGACGTTCAGTCTACTTATGCGCGATGCGCCCCATCCATGATTTTGCTTTTTAGTTGGGGACCTAAAACCGTTGCTTTGTTGTGTTGGCCCCATCCACTTTGATTCATCTCGGGCCAGCAGTCGGCCGAGTCGGGGGCCGGGCGAAATGCTGGCTCAACTCGCCCTCCGCCGACTTGTTGACCGGTTTTGATTCGATATTTCTGACTGCCGTCTACGACTGGCCTTTCAGATAACGGTGCTGGAGGATGTAGGGGTAGCGTCGACTATCTCTAACTTCAGGGCATCCGGAAATTTAGCAGAGACGAACAAATCCATCTCGCCTCTCGCTGACTTTGGCTGGACTCACTTGGCCAGCTGAGGGCACCCCAATTGGCTCCTGAACTTCGCCAGCGGCACAGCTACCCAGTGGGACTAAAGGAAAGACACTAGCTGCCTGGAGGACTAGTTGCCTAAAGAACGGCCAAGCGCTGGACGCCAGCTTTCCCAGATACTGATCTCTGTCGAACGGAGCTGACAGGGAAAAGACGGTCCTGAGCGAGAAGATACCTCGGCAACTAGGTTGCTTTCGAGATGATTTTTAGGCGTCAAGCCGAGCGAAGCCCCGGAATCATGGCAAAGTATGTCAATATTCACAGTCAAGAACGAATTTACTTCCAAGAGTGGAAACTGCGTCACGAAAGTCGAAATCTCCACATTGTGAGGTCCCCAAATCAGAGCAACAGACAAGAAATACAGGCGCCCTTCAAGGACAACGGAAATGTAGGCAATTGTGCGCTGCCTCGTTGCTTTCGTAGTTCTATCATCTATAGGTATAAGACGGCCACGGCCCCTCTTCATCACTGATCAATCCGCCTCCTGTCGATTGGCCACCGGACGATCCCAAGCCAATGATAGTGCGCGTCCTGACGCGGCTCCGATCCGATGGAAGTGAGAGATCGATCGGTATTCAATTCACGTGAGTTTGAAAGAGGCATGAGAGAGGCTGTCCGACTGCACTGAACCTGACTAATCGATTGATCCCTTCTGCCGTGACGGTTGGAGATGCAGGACTGGTCCCCACATCTCGCCGCAACTCCAACTCTGGGCCACGACTCCGACTTGGATGTAATATATTTCATCATGTGCCCCCAATCTTCATGCCCTCCCTCAATCATCAGATGAGTTGGCTGCCCTAATCCGGAAGCGAACCAGAATGGGGTCCGGCTATCAATTTAGCAGCACTACGGCGCTCCCACCACCCGTTTTGTCCCCCTCTCGAACCCCTCAGTCACGGGGACAGCGTGCCTGGCGCTCCGTTAGACTCGCAGGCGGCTCATTTGCCATGACGTGAGCATATTCAAGGGCCTTGACTAGCGACAGATGCCGCCTGCAGGGAACAGATCTTAAAAAGATCGCCGAGTGGTACTGGCGCGCTATGTCGTTAGGCCTCTACGAAAAGGTAAAGATCTTCATTGAAAAGCATATCGAGATGCTCCCCTTCGGGGAAGACGGGGTGACGCCAAGCTCTTCGCCATTCGTGGGATATATAAGATCGCTGGACACGTCCGAGTGATTGACCATCACGTACCCACGCTGAGAAAATGGCCGAGACAGTTGGCGCCCGGCGTCACCGCCAAAATGGCTCGTCCCTGCCCGAGCCTTGGACGTGTTGATGTTCTCGGATCTTGTTTTCTCTCTCGTGCGGCCGGAATGTCTTTTGCATTTCCACCCCACATGGACGCCGAGATGGAAGACTTGCGGAATCCGAAACGAGAACGTGGGCCACTCTGGCAAATATCCTTCCCCCAATCTCCCGGCCAGCTTTTGCGGGGTAGAGTCGGCCTTCCGCTGTAGTATTCTGCTCTGTGAGATTGATTGATTAATTAATCTGTTGGCAATGCGGCCCGCCATTGAAGCGCGGACATGTGCCCGTCTTTTTCTTTTTTTTTAGTCTTTCTTTCTTCATGCTCTCTTTATTTTGACGATTTTTGCCGAATCACAGCGTGATGCCCAGCCTGGAGGCTTTCCTCCCGCCTGGTCCACCGTCCTTGTATTCCCGCCTGCCTACTTTTTTTTCTTTTCTCAATTGTTTGGCCTGCTGTGTTCCATGGGGCTGCCAGGGCCATGGACACCCTCCTCCATCGGAGACTTTCCCCGCGCCACATCAATCAGTAAAAGCTGTGAACCACTTATTGCTTGCTGGGGGCGAGCCAAGCCTGGAAATCTTGTACCCGTAATCTATGCGATATCACTTGCTCGGCCCCTTCATATGTTTGGTTTCTTGGCCTCAATTGTCTGAAAAAGGAAAGAAAAAGGGAGGGAAAAAAGCCAACAAGGCGAGAAGATGGCTTGAATGCGGCCCTCAAGAAGTATCACGGACGAGCAGCTCCCGCGTTCTTTGGTTCCTCTTTTTCTTTTCTTCTCGTTCTCCTTCTTTTTCTGCTATTTTTCTCCAAGTTTCTCTCGAGGACATCTCATGGGGCATTTTTGTCTACACTCTCGTCCGCTTGCCGTAACCACTAGGGTTTCCTGACAAGAGTAGAGTGGTATCGCGCCGAAAATCCCCAGTCCCGCTCCCATAGAAGGGAGAGGGCGACGTGCCACCCACGGTGCGGGTTCCGGGGCCGCCCACCTACACGAACGCGTACAAGTAGTATTCTCTCCACGGGTGAATCGTCAACCCAAGGCCGATCAATCGACGTTCATTCGTAACTGGGTTCCCCAGTCACCCCACCCTGATGTCAGGTACCGGCTCGTTTTCTCTTGAAGAGCCTGTTTTGCTCCCCCGGTCTTAGTGGAGTAGAGGGGGTGGAGGGTCCGTTATAGTATATACGCCGCGAGTTAACAAGATCCGGTATTGCTGTCCCCAGCCTTCCATTGGGGGTTCGCTACCCCGTCTCTTTCATTACGGAAGTTAAGTGACAGTGGAGAAGATGCAAGCAAGCAGCTCCCTCGTCCCGTCTTGGGTTCATCTGCCCTTTGGAGCGGACGGCTCTTCTACCTTTCAGACGTTACATTTTTTTCTTTCGCCGGCCGACTCGGGCGGCCCCCTCCTTACCTTGCCTTACCACCCCCTCCCCGCCAGCTTGGCCTTCTTTGCTACGCTTCCACGCTCGAGAAAAGTCCACCCATTGGGCTTGCTGCGACGCCCGAACCTTGCGCGCAAGGTTCCTTGCCAGGATCAGACGAGGTCCTTTTGGTGCTATCGAGCCGCCTTGGCTCATCATGGCCCTCACTTTCATTGCTCAGCTCTCTCCCGATCCGGGTATATAGATGGGCGAGGGCATGTAGTATCCCCACTACTACATACTCCATCGCCCTGGCCATCTCCCCTCTTAAGGGCTTCCCCATCCCCCTCACCTTGTTCCTTTCTTTCCCCCTTCCTCGTCGCTTGGTTGATTACTCCCACAAGCGGTCAAGAGAAAGACTTGATCTAGGTCAAGCGTTGTTGCGTGCATTGTCCTCTGCCTGCGTATTTCCCCGGTTTGCTTCCTCTTCCCCACCCGTATATCGGCGGTAGAGCGATTATCGGGCAAGGATGTTCTCCAACATTCTCACCACTATCGTGGCGGCGGCCGCGGTGTTTGGTCAGCTTGGCCAAGCTCAAAGTAAGCCCCTGCTTTTGTTTCCCGCCCCTAGCGCAAAGAGAAGAGGAAAAGAAAATGAGAGGTGCCCCTGGAATCAGGTGGCTTTATAGTCAACTTACAAACCTATGGAAGCTGACAAAGTTGAACAACAGCCACGCCAGCTGACGAGAAATGGGCCGCCGCGTATGAAAAGGCCAACACGGCGCTCGCGCGTCTGAACCAGGGCGAGAAGATTGGCCTCGTGACCGGCGTAGGCTGGGGCAAGGGTGCTTGCGTCGGCAACACCGGCTCCGCGCCGGGCATCAACTACCCTTCGCTCTGCCTGCAGGACGGCCCCCTCGGCCTCCGCCACGCCAAGAGCGTCACGGCTTTTGCTCCCTCCATCCAGGCCGCCTCGACGTGGGACGTCGAGCTGATCCGCCAGCGCGGCCAGTACATGGGCGAAGAGGCGCGGGGTATCGGCGTGCACGTGCTCCTGGGCCCCGTCGCCGGCGCGCTCGGCAAGATCCCCACGCCGGGCGCAACTGGGAAGCGTTCGGCCCGGACCCGTACCTGACTGGTATCGCGTCCATGGAGACGATTGAGGGCATCCAGGGCGCCGGCGTGCAGGCGTGCGCCAAGCACTACATCCTCAACGAGCAAGAGAAGAACCGCGAGACGATGAGCTCCAACGTGGACGACCGCACCATGCACGAGCTGTACCTCTGGCCGTTCGCCGACTGCGTCAAGGCCAACGTCGCGTCGGCCATGTGCTCGTACAACAAGGTCAACGGCACCTGGGCGTGCGAGTCCGAGGGCATCATGAACAAGCTGCTCAAGGAGGAGCTCGCGTTCCCCGGCTACGTCGTGTCCGACTGGAACGCGCAGCACAGCACCGCCCAGGCCGCCAACACCGGCATGGACATGACCATGCCCGGCAGCGACTACGACGGCAACAACGTCCTCTGGGGCCCCCAGCTCCAGGGCGCCCTCGGCCAGAACCAGGTCTCGGGCGCGCGCCTCGACGACATGGTCCGCCGCATCCTCGCCGCCTGGTACTACACCGGCCAGGACACCGGCTTCCCCGCCGTCAACCTCAACGCCAACGTGCAGGGCAACCACAAGGAGAACGCCCGCGCGGTCGCGCGTGACGGCATCGTCCTCCTCAAGAACGACGACAACCTCCTGCCCCTCAAGAAGCCCGCCAAGATCGCCGTCATTGGCTCGTCCACCGTCGTCAACCCCGACGGCCTCAACGCGTGCCCCGACCGCGGATGCAACAAGGGCGCCCTCGCCATGGGCTGGGGCTCCGGCACCGTCGACTTGACCTACCTCGTGGCCCCCATGACGCCATCAAGGCCCGCGCTGACAAGGACGGCATCCAGGTCTCGCACAGCCCGTCGGACGACGGTGGCGCGGGTGCCCAGGCTGCCCAGGGCGCTGATATCGCCTTTGTCTTCGTCACCTCGGACTCTGGCGAGGGCTACATCGAGGTCGACGGCCACGGTGGGGACAGGAACCATCTCGACCCGTGGCACGACGGTAACCGCCTCGTCCAGCAGGTCGCCGCCGCCAACCCCAACACCATCGTCGTCGTCCACTCCGTCGGCCCTATCCTCCTCGAGTCCATCCTCCAAAACACCGGCGTCAAGGGTATCGTGTGGGCGGGTCTTCCCGGACAGGAGAACGGCAACGCTCTCGTCGACGTGCTCTTTGGCGACACTAACCCCAACGGAAAGCTCCCCTACACCATTGGCAAGCGCGCCGAGGATTGGGGCGCGGCTATCGTTGACGGCGACGACAACTTCAGGGAGGGTCTCTACATCGACTACCGCCACTTCGACAAGGAGGCGATTGAGCCTCGCTACGAGTTTGGTTTTGGTCTTTGTAAGTTTTAGACGTTACACTTTACACTTTTTCTTTTTGCTTGTTCACCCCACTCAAGGGAATCAGAAAGCTAACTAGTTCCCAATAGCGTACACCACCTACGAATATTCCGACATTACTGTGGACTCTTCCGCCACCTCCGGTCCCGCGACCGGCACCCGCAAGCCCGGTGGCCGCGAGGATCTCTTCGAGACCGTCGCCACCGTGACCGCCACCATTACCAACTCGGGCGAGGTCGACGGCGCCGAGATTGCCCAGCTCTACGTGAGCTACCCTGAGTCCGCGCCCGAGACCCCGCCCCGCCAGCTCCGCGGCTTCCAGAAGCTCAAGCTCGCCGCCGGCGCGTCCGACACCGCCACCTTCAACATCCGCAGGAGGGACATTAGCTACTGGGACGTTGGTGCGCAGGAGTGGATTGTTCCCGCTGGCGAGTTCAAGATTTCCGTCGGCGCGTCGAGCAGGGATCTTAAGCTCGATGGTACTTTTACCGTTGCGTAAGCTTCTCACTTCTAGGTACTCGCTATTTACCCTACTATGGGGCGAGTGAAGGAGAAAAAAAGAAGAAGAAAAAGAGACCAAATTTCTAGGTGTATATATGTGATGGGGTGGCATATTTTGGACAGAGACACATATTTCTTCATCATGTACATGGCATTCATGTTCTTATTTTCATTTTCCTATACTTTTATCATGATTCATTATCTTCACGACACTGTGCCGGGAGCCATGGACTTCCATCATTGACGCTGTCGATATGTGCTACAATTGGACAAAGGAGGCCAAGCAGCGCCGATCAAAGCGGGGACTCAATAATGGTGTTAGTGCAGTCTCAGCCCCGAGACTGAATAGGATCTAGATCCAATACTGCCGTTCTGGGCATCTGGATACCCCGCGTGTCCAATAAAAGATGCGCCTAAATAAGCTTAACCCCATCGTGAGCCTCGCCCATGGAGCTGAAGATACGGGACTAGATTTGAAGAGGGGAAGGTACTTGGCAGCTTGAGATACCAATCCAGACTCCCACCCACGCATGAACCCATAGCCCAATGTCGAAGCTCGTAGGGGTCCCACCACCACCTTGGAGCTCAAGAGCGAATCTTGCCTTGTTGCCAATATTGGAGCCGGTTCTGGGACTGATTGCACCACTGCGCCGCTTAGACACTCACTAAAAAGATAATTTTCAAGCTAAAACTGGCCATGCCTCTAAATTCGGTATAAACCAGCAAGCTCAAACGGCCCCCTTCACCCCTCCCCGCTCGTTGGGCGCGTCTTGGAATGCGGCTGAAATTCTTACAAGGGCGTTTCGTCCTCCTCCTCCATGAACAAGTTTTTTTATTCATTGCCCCTCCACGCGAAGTCAAGGGAGAGCGCTGCGAATAAAGAAATAAAAAACATCAAGAGAGGGATACTAAAAAAGCGAAACGGTAGTCGAGTGTAGAAAAATGGCGGAATCTACTCCCAAGCTCACTTACAGAAACTTCCTCCGCCCCATCCCCCTCCTAACAATCTCTCCAACATCTCCTCCTCGGCCCCCACTTCCCCATGCGCCGCCTGCGCGACCCTCATCCCGGACCGCACGGCCGTCACCTATGCCGGGATCGCGACGACGTACGCGCTGGCCGACACCTTTCCCTCGTTCCCTCTCTCTCGGCCTCGGCGGCCGCCGGGTGCGGCTTCTGCGCGCTGCTGCGGTCCACGCTCATCTCGACATGGGGTCTCCTTCGCAGCCCGCGCAGCGCTGGGGCTCCGAGGTCGACGAGGGCGATCCGGACCTGCGCGTCCTTCTCGAGCGCGAGTGGGACGGGCGCGTGACGCTCGGGAACGCGCGCTTCGAGTTTGCGTCCTTCTCGGCGGAGCAGGGCGGGCTTAAGCTGTTTCGCTACGAGACGACGGGCGCGGAGGAGCAGCAGGACGGGAATGTTCTTAGGTTGATGGTGGATGTTACTTCGGTGTGGAAGAGGCCGGACAAGGTCGATGCGGGTGGAGACAAAGGGGAGGATGAGGAAGGGGAAGAGGAGGAGGAGGAGGAAGATGTCGAGGTCAGTAGGACCTACGCATTTGACGTCTTCGACTCCGTCGGCAAGTTCTATCCCTACCCCCGACGAAGAAAAGAAAACCCCTAACAACAACACGTCGCAGACACCGATTCCCCATCCCCGCCGCCCAAAGACGCCTCCCCTCCCCAACGACCCTCAGCGACCGAAACATCGCCCTCATGAAAGACTGGATCTCCTCCTGCCAAACCTCGTGCGCCGAATCCTGCGAACCCTTCTCCCGCTGGTCCCCGACCCGCCTCCTCGACCTTTCCAGCGGCGACACCCCCACTGCCTACGCGCCCCTCCGCCTCGTCGAGTCGCCCGCCGAGACCGTCGAGTACGCCGCGCTATCGTACGCCTGGGCCGACGACAAGGACGTCTACTGCTCCGTGCAGGCCGAGGAATCCAACCTCGACGAGTTCCGCGACGAGGGCGTCGACGTCGCCACGCTGCCCCGCGCCTTTGCCGACGCCGTGGCCGTGTGCCGCGCCCTCGGGCTGAGGTACCTCTGGATCGACCGGCTCTGCGTCCTTCAGGATTCCGCCGAGGACCGGTTCAAGGAGGACGGCCTCCTCTACAAAACCTTCCACCACGCCAAGGTCACTCTCGCCGCGTAAGTCCCCCTCCCCTTTATACCGCTCTTGAATCCAATCCTAAAATCACACCCCTGTTCTTTCTTCTTTCCACCAAAACCAGCACCGGAGTCACCACCACCGAATCAGGCTTCCTGATCCGCGACACCGCACAAACCCCCGCCACCAAACTCTCCTACTCCCCCACCGCCACCCTCATCCTCGCCCCCTCCCCCTCCCCGCATCGCCCGACAAGTCCCCGCGCGACCTCGCCGTAGAATCCTCCCCATGGGCCCTCTCCGCCCGAAACCTCCTCCAACGCATCCACTCCACCCGCCTCATCTACTTCCCCTCCTCCCCCGCCGCCATCCGGCGGCAACGACCGTCCGGCGGCGGGCCCGACATCTTCTTCGAGTGCCGATGGGGCCTCCGCTCCGAAACCATCGGCTCCGAATCCGTCCTCGGCCGCATATGTCCCCTCTGGGCCCGCTCCGCCCAGGACGCCGCCACCGCCGACGACGAGACCAAGGACCGCATGCGCGCCTACACCTATCTCACCCACCAGACCCTGCTCGAAGAATTCGCCGCCAAGGCCATCGCTGACCCCGCCGCCCGCCTCCTCCTCATGTCCAACCCGGCCTCCGACCGCGAGGGTACCATCGCCGACGTCTACGTCGCCCGCGCCGGCCTGTTTCAGCGAAACCTCGCCGCCTCCCTCCTCTGGGCCCCTATCCCTGACTCCACGCGCGTCCGCGTCCGCGTCCGCGGCGGCCACTCGCCCCCGCCTTCCTGGTCGTGGGGTAGCGTCCACGCGCCTATCGAGTTCCCCACCGCCACCACCGACTACGAGCTCCCCAAGGCCTTGCGCAAGCCCAAGCTCGCCTTCCAGCCCCTCGCCATCGTCGGCGACGCGGCGATCCCCGCACCGGGCGTCGACTCTGACCCGCTGCAGCTCTACGCCAAGGGCTTCCTCAAGAAGCTCGAGGGGCTCAGGGCCCTGGACACCTCGGACCCTGACGAGATGCAGATGCGCGCCGCGTACCCCTACGACCTGGTCGTCGGCGAGGCTGATGGCACCGACGACGGTCTAGTTTTCGCCCATGGCCAGCTAGACTTGGACGATCAGCATGACATTGTCAAATCCGCTCGAGAGTTTGCCTATCTCCACATCAATACCGAAATGTATCCTACCGGGCTTATCCTCATGCGAGAACCGGGCCAGGGCGATAACGGCGAGGAGGTTTACAGAAGAGTTGGTGTTGCGGATATCGCTGGGAGCATGGGAGGGGTTTTGGTCGATCCCCCATTTGTGCCTGCTGAGCATAAGTCTGTTTGCCTAATTTAGAATGCTCGTGTTTCTTCCCACAAGCAGAATAGGCCAGTACATTGATGTAGATTTGAAGAATTTAATGAAAGAACTTGGCCCCAGCCTCCATCCTCGCGGCGAGCCGCCTCCTCCCTCCATCATAAAGTTTGTGCCCATGATTTCAGGTAGGATGAGATGGAGGCACGATAACTACATGTACACGTAGTCCCTGACCCGCGGTTGGGATAAAATGATCACTATTAGCTCCGATGCAAATATGCTAAAAATTGGGCTTCGTAAGGCCTACATGCTCTTTCCAACTTTGAACCAACTAAATCTCGCGCCGCCGACCATGTTCGATTGTAGCCATGAGGCGAGGGTCCACAAGGCCTAGGCACTCCATAACAAAAACAAGGGAGTGCCGAGGTGTGGACCCCATGTCCAAAAAGAAAAAAAGATAAGAAAAAAGGCCGTGATCCCAGATGAGACGTGAGTATGCCACCAAAAACTCCCAGAAAGAAAAAGCAAACACAAAACGCGCACACACACACGTACGACGAGTTTCAGTAACAGAATCGCCTTAGGAACTCAAAGTCCCCGTGTGCGACCGCCTAGAACTTGTTGGCAACAGAATCTCCCCATCGTCATCGCTATCATCTTGCGCCGCCCTCTCCAGCATCCTCTCGATCTCGTCATCGCCCAATCTCCGCCGCTCTTCAGCGAGCCCGGCGCCTAATGCCGTTGGCAGGCTAAGTGATGCTCGGAGGGTGGGGACAGCCCCGCCGCCGTTCACTCTTCTCCTCGGCGTCCCCGGACAACACTTGTATGCGGTGATCCGTGAATGGGCGAGTCCATATCCATGTCCATGTCGTTCGGGGAGCCCATTGCCGCCATGGAAGCAGATTTCTCAAACCCGACGCGCTTGAGATTGTTCGTAGTAGGGCGGCCCGTGGGCAGGCTCTTGCGCGGTTGTCCGGTAGGGAGAGCATGACGTCCGCCAGGTGTGCGAGTGACACCGAGATTCGGCGAGGCTGCCGGGGAGAACGCAGCCTTAAGCCGCGCTGAGTTTCCAGGACTGCTCATCGATATCAACGCTTCTATCGCGTCTTGATCGCGTATATTCTGGTGCGGTGAGTATAGGATAGGATCTACGGCACGGGCGCGCGGGGTGGGCTGGCTATGTGAAATATGGGGAGAGCCCATTCCGGGCGTTCGGGGAGACGCGACATGAGATTGGGAGAGGAGCGTAGGCGTGTAAGCTGGCTTTGAACTGCCGTACTGCGGTCCGATAGCCTGGCCTGGCTGAATCGGGGCTGGCGGGGCGAGACCGCCGCGCGGTTTCGACGCGTCGTTTAACCTTGGGCTGTCGAACGGCCGGCGAGATGTGTCGGGCCACGAAGGCTCGTAAGGAGACTGAGACTGGCTGGCAGGGGGTAACGTTGTTGGTACTGCGTAGAGCACCACTCGAGAGGGCGGGGCTTGCTGAAGATCCACGGCGTTTGGGGGCAGTGGATGAACTGGAGCTCGTAGAGTCCGCGTGCGAAGCAAGGGACTCCACCTCGTCAATCGAATGCCCCTGCCACCCGTGGTTGACCTTGACCATAGCGTAGGAAAGGCGCGTCTTGAGCTCGGATGTCAGCTAGTGTGAATTCACAACTGTCAGCAATCCAAGGCTTTACAAGGGCAAAAGAAACACAAAAGTGCCTTCTCCGCGCCAGGCAGCACAATAAAAACGCGTGCCACTCGTTTCTAGTAGACCCATACCTCTCCAATTCGGCTGCCTGTTGTGGAAGCCATGCTTACGGTGCTGGTGTTCCTCGAGTGTCCCATACGAATGGGCGATGTTATTGTGAAGTCGTGTGACTTCATCTTGCCGTCAGCCATTCGCTTCCTGGACGATGCGGCGTCCCTGTCGTCGAGCTTTTCCTGCATTGCGGCGATCTGAGAGAGGTGGAAGAGCTGGGAGTCTTGGCTCGAGCGCTGTGAGGATTGGGTTGTGGGTGCCGTGACGGGCATGGCAAAAGTGGCTCCTGGCCGACTGCGAAGCTCCTGCCGTTTATCTTGGAGGGCTGCACGGTCGGGGAGGGTGGATTAGAAGGCTCCTATGCATGTGAGGTGGGTAACGTCGTCGGCCGAGGGGAGCAGAGAGGCGAGAGGAGGTGTTCTAGGAAAATAAGGCAGGCCAAGAAGAGGGAAACAACCAGCGGCTGTTGTGGATGCCAGAGATTTAATCTAGCACATGGGGGTCAAAGGGACGGGTCGTGGTCGTGGTAATTGAGTCGAACCAAACTGTGGGCGCGAGGGAACAAGGCGAGGTTCCGACGGCACAGACGCGGCTAGTCGAAGGCGTCTATGTGAACACAAATAAAAGAAAGCCAGCCCGAAAGGAGAAAGTCGCAGGCCGATAGCCAGAGTATTATTCAGAGCGGTCGTGGCAAGGTGGCCGCAGGCGTAGGCGTAGGCGAGAAGGGTGGACTCGAGGGTGACTCTTGACGGCGGCCGGATGGAATTGACGCGCAAGCGTGGATCGCGTTTGAAAATGCTGCCAGTGGGCGGGACTGTGCGAAAAGCCAAAGGAGCGGAGCGGATAGAGAATTGCTGGCGGGCCGGACAAGGCAAGAAAAACAGCCAAACGAAGAACCGGAATCTTGGTTTTGCCGTGACAGGAACTGGTGTTCGGCGATGCTCGGTAGAGAAGGGGAGAGGGGGAGGCAGTTGATTAGATTTTGAGGGGCGGTGGTGACGGTGGTGGTGAATGAAATGCGTGGGGGTGGTTCGGGGCAAGAAAGGATGCCAGGCCCGAGATGAAAATTGGTGGATTCGGAGGATACGAAGGAACCCGGATTTGGGGAGAATCGCGGAGGGAGAGCTCGCGACAGTCAACTTGCGAAACCAGCTAACAAGCAAGCAAATATATCGCAACCAAGGGATAGATTTCTCTTTCGGTTCTTTTAGCTTTCTCTCTGTTTCTCTGTGGAATTTCAAGAGAACTAAGCAAAAGCTACGATCTTTAAGGGAAAAAAGATAAAGATAGAGCGCTATGCGAGCGGTGGCCTCGCGACTCCACGGGTGCCAAAGCGACGGCAAGTCGCGTCAAATTCAGTTAGGCCGAGGAGGTTGGGCGCGACTTAAGGTGATCAGCCAGTAATCAATCAGTGGTCAATCAGTTTTTGAGGGCACATCAACAGCACGAGTTGCGCCTGAGGAGGGAAAGAGCATTGGACCAAGCAGCCAGTCAATCTCGCTGTCGGTGGAGCGACGGCGACCTCGGAGAAGGTGCTACTCAGTGGTTTGAGGGCGGTTTAGCTACGCGATCAGGAGACCCGAACACCAACCTCTCCCAGTGAAGCCAGTAAAAAACTTCGCGCTAGCTGCTAGGTTTAGCAAGCTTGCAGTTAGGCGTGGCAGCAGCCTGCCAAGAATGACACCAGACTGATACCTCAAGGGTACTTGCGACAACTCCGAATGATCCATCCATCCAGAAGAGGATGTACTACACCCGTTTGGACTAGCCCGTCACATCGCCCGATCGCTCGGGGAAGAGCGAAGACGTCTTTCGCACCCGAGTTGCCTTCCTTGTTGAGCGATTCTCCAGGATTTTCCTGCCTCTTGAACTGAACGCTTCGGAGCTTTCCGTTTTGTCGATCCTTGGTCCCCTTCGCTCCTCCCTTCTCTGCTCCCTCTTGCCAACCATCGTCCGCAAGCTCGAACTTGGTCGGGAAGGCGGCGAGATGCAATTGAGACTAAGGTGATCTTTCCGCCTGCATGTATTGATCAAGTTCTCCGTTGCAAGCAGACGCGGGCTCGCCCAAGAGTGTGCAGAGGGTGCGCGTACCTCGGACCCGATTTAACCGGCAGAAATTTGATCAATTGATGTGCAATGTCCAACTCCTGCAGTATGGGGTTTTCGCCCCCTTAATACCAAGACGAATGCAACAAAATTCAAGCCGGCGGGAACGCCCGGGCAAAGCCGAGTCGCTGTCCTGGCTCTTCCTCAAATCGGCGGTTAGGTGTCCTTTAAGCATCGCTGTCGTGTGGCCGACACGGAGCAGATTTACTCGAGGCGCAGATGCTCTGCGTTAGCCAATGTCAAGTTGACTAGCGGGTGTCCGGAGTCCGCCCTTGTTCTCGTGGTTTTTTTTTTCTTTCTTTTTGTTCCTTATCTTCCCAAAGAGAGAGGGAAAAAAACCCTTGATCCCGACAAGGACAAGGAGGGAATGAGTAGTGGATGGACAAATCATTTGATGTAGCAAGATGTACCCGAACTGCCACTGGGTCAGATGCTCATGTGAACACCACACGGAAAGGAATATGGCCCACGCGGATACAGATACAGATTCAGTAGCCACAACTGTCTGTCCTTCACCAACTTTATGGAAGGAAGGATTAATCAATTTGGTCTTTCATGGTAAGACGACGAGTGGCGAGAAGGAGCAAGGGGCGAAGAGTCGGACATCTATCAATATATGAGTTAACTCAAAGCAACTGACCCATGGATCGCTTTTGCTATTTCTTTGGGTTCGTTTTTCCCTTTCCTTTCCTGAAGAATAGCCGTGAGAAAGATCTGCCTTCAAGGCCTTCTCAACAACATGACCCGTCCAAACGCGGATGGTCGAGGATCATGGTTCGGTGTATCCCGCGTCAATCTTGTTGACTCCTCGCCCTCCGCACTTGACAAATGCGAGGAGCGCAGGTGTACGGAGATCGTGGCCCTCTAGTTTTTTCTTCCTCCCCTCCCTCTGCTGGCCCACCGGGTTGCATTTCGGCCCGCAATCACTCGCAGCGCGCCCTTAGAATATCGTATCCTGTGGCCAAAAAATTGGCCTTTGCTCTCATGCCGTCCTCCGAGGGGGCCCGGAAAATAAATATCGCTCCCCTCGCACTTTTGTTCTTCGCCGTTGTCCGCCGGATAACTGCTCGTCCCAGCTCGGTATTTTTTTGCACTAGCCCTGCATGAGCTGCCTTCAGCCTAGATATGTGAATATACTCTTAAAGAGAAATCAGGGTTTATTAGGGTCTCACAGATGAGCATGAAGCACATCATCGCCCTTCCTCCACGCGGCCTGCTTTGCCTCGAGACCTCGGTATGACCTAGAAGCGGTCGCTACATCCTATGCTTCGCCTTTTCTTCCATCGTTCTTTCCTGCACTTCGCTGTCCGGTGGGGCACACCTCCCTCTGCATGGATCAAGCCAACCCGTCACGTGAACACGCGGCAGCCCCACCAACGGAAACTTCTTGTTCGAGAGGGACGCGGATTACGCAGGGAGGAAGTCACCCAAGGTCGATTTTTTCCCGTCTGGTAAAAAGCCATGCATGATGTGGCATCGTTGATGAGGATCGAACATCTCCGTAAGAGAAGAAATTATGGTGACTCGGTGACTCGTTGACTCGTTGCGGTTTGGAGCATCCTAGACAACCCCGGAAGAAAGTACCAATGGCAAATCCTGACCAGCTATCCGAGCAACGATCGCTCCGCATCAACTGGGACGGACTCAAGGTTCAAAAGGGTTCTAGGCGCTGGCCGATCAAGCAGGGTACATGTAGCCAGCCACAAGAACCTCTAAAATAGAGTCTCGGATAGGGTCGTCACCCTGAAGCCTAGCGACGATGGTACAACCAAGGGGCCCCACCCAGAGTTCGCTGGAAGCATGAGCGTCTTCGCCAATATTGAAGCTGAACGGGCCTGTGATACCTCTGTTGAGTCCAGGTTAATGATAATCCAAACTTGAAGAAGTACCAAGGCCATGACGAGAGGAGGGCACCGAATCATAGATGCTTACCTTCCGCGCAGCCTCTCCTATGCCGGCGAAGCCGGGAAGGCGGCAGAATTGCGGGCACTTGCCTGACAGAGTTAGTTGTGGTCTTCCGACATGCAAATTCGGCCAGTGCAGACCCTTGGGGCTGGGTGCATTCGCCACTGCACGTGGGAGGTTGTCACTTTTGGGAAACTATCGACAGCGATGCATCTCAATTTGACGACTTGCATTAATTGAAAGTGAAGTTTTTTTCTCTTTAGACATGTTCTTCCCCTTTCACTTTGCATAGTCCCTCGCTTCCTTGTGCGGCCAGCCGCTGGCATGCCAACTATTTAGGCTGACCTCGATTGGAGCCCCTTACTATTAGAGGGGTGCCTCCTCTAGTGTGCTGACGCAGACAGACCTCATAATTATGTTGATCCACCTCATCGTCTTGATCAAATACACCGTTAGAAAATCGGCTCTCTCCTAAATCCGTACCACAAATCTAGATGAAGGTAGACTACCGAGGTAGCTTAGTCTCGGGTGCACTTGGATGGGGCGCCTCGTCTACCCAGGCGATCAGAAGAACCAGTGACGCGCCGAATCACAGAGAAAAAAAAAAAAAAAAGGGAAGGACGGACGACAAATCCGTACAAGTATGCGGAAATATTGAGGGTGACGAATGCATGTCTTCAAGGTAGGCTCAGAAAGGTTGACGTGCGAAGTGGTCGCTGATAATGGCGGCTCGCAAGGCTCAACCACTCGAGCACCCACCTTCGCTTGCTCCCCCTTTACTGGCTCCTATCAGGTCTTAAAACACTCCTGTCTGCCCAACTCCCAAACACACGCCCAAACCCTCCTTTTCTACCCGCGTGAGTGGTAGGCGTCTCGGGACCGCCAGCAACCTCCTTCTCCTGAGCGCCCCATCTCTCATCCTCGTAGATGGATATCTTGTGTACCTTGATCAGCAACCCTACACATACGGGGCCGATGATGGTGTTCAAGATGATGGCCCAGGCGGCCGTAATGAAGGCGGGCTGAGAGAGGTACGAGGTCTCGTTGAGCCCGACTTGGATGATGAGCAGGCCAATCTCCCCACGGGCGACCATGGCCATGCCGAGGAAGGTGGCGGGTTTCCAGGTGCGCTGGAGCAGACCGCCATCTGTAGTTTTGTCCGTGTTCTTCCTGCGACTCAGGGCATCGGATATGGGTACGACGACTCCCACGAGCATCTGTCATGCAGTGAGATTATCATATTAGCAACGATATGCATCGACAAAGGTGTTTTTTTTCCTACTATGCTCAAAGGGGAAGGTCAGTCTTACCTTTCCGACCACCATTAGTAGAGTGGTTACGATACCCTTCCAGATCGCCTCCCGGTCCACAGAGCTGTAAAGGGGATAGCGAAGCCGATGCTAGCGAAGAAGAGCGGCTGGAGGACATACGTCTGCGCGCCGCCCACATATTTTTCAAACGAGTGCGCAAACGTCGGCGCCTTTCCCTCAACCTGCTCAGCCTTCTCCACAGACTCGACAACGTAGGGCGCGTTCGGGTGCGTGCTCGGAAGCCCGCCGAGGAACGCGCCGGCCAAAAGGCACCGTAGAGGACAGAGGCGCCAGCGAAACCGGAAATGGCGACGAAAGCGCAGAGGACGAGCGTCATGAGAATGATGTTGGGCACGTGTCCGTACGGCGCAAGCCGCGGCTCCGCATAGCGCCTGAACAAGGGGCTGCAGAGATACTTGCACAGGAGCGGTGTGGCGACGGCCATGGCGGCGCTGGCGACGATGGGCCGGCCGATGATCCAGCCGACGCTAGGGGAGGATGAAGAGAAAGAGTTTTCATCGTCCCCGCGAGGGCGCCGAGCTTGTAGACGACGCTGACCATGACGAGGGCGGAGATGTCGTCGAGCAGGGCGGCGCTGAGGAGCACGATGCCGACGGTGGTCTGGGCAAAGTCGAGGCCGGTGTTGGCGGGGCTCATGACGACGAAGGTGGTGCCGAGGGAGGTCGCCGAGAGGGCGGCGCCGATGATGAAGGTCTCGATGGGGCCATACCCGAAGCCGAGGTAGAGGAGCAGGTAGCAAAAGGCGATGGGCGTCAGGATGCCGACGCAGGCTGCGCAGACGCTGAGGAGAAAGTTTTTCCTGAGCAGGTCTAGGCGCACGGTAAGACCGCCTAAAGGGGGAGCGATGTTAGCGGGCGTCTCTCTTACATGAGGAGTGGCGCTTGGTGAGGTTGGGCTTCTGGCACGAGAGGGGCGGCGCTATTTACCTTCAAACACGATGAGGATGAGCCCCAGGTAACCGAGGGCGATAAAGGTCTCCTGCCAGTCGAGGGGCAGGATATCACCAATGGGAACGCCGTAGATGAGGCCCACGATAATTTGTCCTATTAGGCCAGCTCTGAGGATGATGCCTGCAAGCCAGTCTGAGAAAGTCAAGAAGAATAGGAAGGAGATGAGCGTGAGCAGAGGGATAACTGGTGCGGTCGTTAGCATTTAGTCAAAACAAAAAACTCGTGGAAAGAAAGAGGCGCCCTCGCCCCTGTCGGGCCTGAGGAGATGAGAAAGTCCTACCGGTAGGCTCATGGTACGCGAGGAATCCATGGGCCGCAGCATCGTCGGTGCTCCCTACTCGTGCAAGAACGAGGCCTGGCACATTCTCCATATTCAACGCTCAAAGGGCGACTGGGCCTTTCGTCAAGAAACGAGACGTTCAGTTTGTGGGGCGCCTTGTATAGCAGGTAGGTGATCTATTTGGGGTATTCTTTGGAGACGTAAATCCATTGAAAGACTTCAGCACAGGTCGGGCGTTTGCGCGCTCGGCCTGACGATCAAGAGGAGGGGACAAGAGTGGATAAAAGAGGGTGCAAGACTACCGAGATAATTCGAATATGCAAGATTCGCACGCTTGGTAACTTAGGATACACTGCTGGGGGTTCGCGCACGCTCAGGGACTTATTGGTATGCTCAAATGTTGTTGCTGGTGATGAAAAGAGGAGTGCTGAAGTTTTAGATTTCAGGTCGACTGTGGATTTTGGTGCTCTTTTGGTGGCTTGGCGGATGGCTCCATCGTTTCCCTCGACCATGCCCAAACAAACACAAAACACAGACATAGGCGTCTTACAAGAAACTGCGACATGGGCTCTCGCATGCTCGATCACAAGATGATGGTAGCATCAAACCCCGGATTTTCACTAGCGATCCTTGATTTTAAACCTCATCAAGTTGGAGGTGCTTTCATTGATCCAGTAGCGGAACCCATGTTCATTGAGACTCTGTTTTGCCGAAAGGCGCAACTACGCGCCCGATAGATATCACTTCGCCAGCTCTAAAGAAGGAGCTCTCGCCGCTAGCGGTTATCCCGCAACAACGCCACCGTAGATTGGCTCGTAGTAATTGAGCCCTGCGTTTTCGCCGCCTCTCCCGTGAAGCTCCTAAAAGTTGACTGGCCCCTGGAAATTATTCCCCTGCACCATCTTGGACCCTGCATAGTTATTGACCGTTCCCGTTACTATGCTACCAACGTAACCCTGCGGCGGCCCCGGCCCTACACCGGGTGACTGCGCGGGTGGTGTGGGCATCGGCATCTGAACCATGCCCGGCATGCCTTGGTTATGCCAGCCCATCCCGCTAGGAGGGGTATCCCTGGTAGCCGTAGCCATAGGGCATCTGGCCAGGAGACGGTGTTAAGGCCGGCGTGATGGGCGCCGACTGACCGGGCCAGCCCGGAGGTGGCCCTCCGTAGTGCACCGACCCGGGAACCGGAGCCGGGCTTGGTTGGCCCGGGATTCCGTACGGTGGCTGCTGGACATTGGCCGCGGCGGCGGTGCTTTTTGGATCTCGCGTACCCACCGCAGTACCTCTGTGGAAACGGAGAGATAACCCGGATCCTCCTCACTGGTGAATTTGGGCATATCCATGTGATTGTTGTGGATTCCGATGGCGTTGTAGGCAGGGAGAATGGCCGAATGTTTGGGAACAATCTAGTCCAAAACGAGTTTGGGGTCAGTCTTTTCGAAATTCCTCCTCTCATTCTCCCGCTTACCCTTCAACAGGCAAGGGGGTGCATAGCTCAGCGACTTGGGAGGAACTCACCTCCCCAACACCTCTCACCGGCAACTCCTCGAAAAACAAGTGATCCGCAGCGGCAACTTGCCCTGGTCCTGCCGTCCCCTCACCATGTTATGAAAGTCTGTCTGGATCAGAGCCAACACCTCAGATTCAGGTTGTAGCGCCTGCAAGATCCCCGTGTCCGTCTTCTTCACTACGTTGGCGATTTGGCCCAGGATCGTCGCCCAGCTAGCAAGTGTGGATCCGCAGTGCGGCGTCGCAAGGAAGCAGACGCCGTACGTCGCCTCGTAGACTCGACGGATGTGAGGTTCGGCGCTGTTTCGGGACGCTATCATTGCCTAGGGCGCTCCAAGCCTTCATCAGTACAGCTCTGATGTATGGATTATTTTTCACCTTGACCCTCGCATGGGTATTACACCTCCAGCCCTTTTCGTTTTTCTTTTCTCTTTGGGCGAAAGACATTCTGCTTTGACCAGACTGATTCTCGAAAAAGCACTTACATCCTCAAAGACGAGCCCTCCCAGGCTGTGGGTGACGAATATGAGGGGTCGGTCCTCCGTGTCCGTCCTTTCGCGCAACTGGGCCAAAGCGTTGACGAGATTCGTCGCGTGGTTGCGAATTCGGTTCTGCGACGCCGCCGCCCAGAAGTGGACCACGTCGGCGTCGTACCCAAACGTCACGATGCGGGTGCGAGGCACATCGTTCTTGAGAAGATGGGCAGGCCAAAAGACACCGCTCGCTTTGTCGGTCCAGGTGGTCTCGCGGTTTCCAGTGAGGCCATGGACGAAGACGATACTACAGCGAGAAATTCCCCTTTAGCTGTCTTGCCCACACTGCGCGGCAGGGCCCATTGCGCGCATCAAAATACCCATGGGCCAGACACAGATGGGGGAAGGGCTTACTCGGTCATCGCATCCTCGGAATCGTGGCATTTTTTCAATCCGTAGGTTCCCTTGGTCGAATATCTGCGCAAACCACCGGTGGTCAGTTCATGTCGCCGCGGCCTCGTGATTTGGCTGCTGCGACGTCTTTCCGACAGCCGGCAGAATGTTCGGCATACCTTGCCGAGGACCCATCGCCGCTGGGAGTTGCCCCGTCCTCGATCGCGAGGGGCGTCCGTCGAGAAAACATGACGTCGAGAGTGTCTCGTTTGATATGCAAGGCTCTGGCTTCTTTTACTCTTTTACACGGTTGCGCAAAGTCGTTGGATGATCCAGGAGTTCTCAGACAAGAGGGTTCAAATCCCCAAAAAGCGAGAATTGCAGTGTAAGTCTTGGTGCGCTTTGGAAGCCTGAGGGAAACGGGAATGGGACGGGACCATTACCCCCAGCGACTCGACCCCCCTTTCTCCCCTTGCGCCGTATTCCGGCACATCTGCTTTGCCTCGTCCTACGCGGGCGTTCCAATACACCAGTCTGCGCGGACGAGTGACTTGTTCGCAAGCTGACTGTGTCCAGGAGGTGCATCTTGGGGTGTCCCCTTACGCCACCCTTTACCCCAGGGCTGAAAATGAAAAACGATATGCGAGACGCCGCCGTCCCCTGCATGTTCTGTCGTGCCGATTCCGTAGTGTAAGTACTAAAACAGAAGACCAGGCTGAGCTTATTGGCACACTTGTTGATGAGACCCCTTCCCAAATGGCCCTTGCATTTCTGGAAATGCCTGTGCGCTAAGCACCATCCCCATCAATATGGGGGAGAAAGCATGAAGAGGGACAACGCCCCCCTCCTTGTTTCCTCGCCGGGGCTGCGTTGTGTTTCGTGATGGGCAATGGCACCGCTCGTCGATGATTCGTTGGGCCTGGCTCAGGCCAGCCGCTGGACCCTGGTCGCTTTCGACGGTTCCCAGATTTCTGTCACTCGCACTACATCTTCAGCACTCTTCGCGCCCCGATTGGTTGCGCTGGCTAGAACTGGCAACACCCCGCGGCAACGTTTCCGTCCAAGGTGAGCAAGACGACTAAGACAGGCAAGACAATGGACGGCAGGGGGACACGGGGAGGGGCGATGAATGACCAGACAATGAATGTTGTCTGTATCTGAGGGGACGGGGTGGCAAGGGGGTCTCCCTGCATTGCGCTGTTCTCCCTTGTGCGTCTTTGTCTTGGCTCGGGCACCCGGCGCGATGGCCAGGCTGTCGGAATGCGTGCCCGGTTGAACATGGGGGTCCCGCCCTATGGAGAGAAGACGACCAAGCGCCATTATAGATGTTTCCTGACGGTCCGGATCGAAGCACTGCTGGTTACATGTAACGGTTGATGGATGCATGGTTTTGCTCATTGCTTTCTCCATCCCCGTCGCATGAGTCCCCCATCTCTTCTTCCTCTTTCCTCTTTTTCTTCCGGCTTTCTCCTCGTAGCTCGACAAAGGATCTCCTTATCTAATTCTTGACTCATTTCTCTCTTCGTATTATCATCATCCCTTGTTCTTTTGTTCCGATTCTGTTGTTCTTATTTTTAGCGACTTGATCCAGCCCTGCCTCTGGAGAGTTCGCGCAATCTCTCCGACTTTGCGCCTACTATGCGATTGATGCCCCGAGACCGTCGGCTCATCAACAAGTAGCCGCGATGGACAGCCTTTCCTCCAGGATGGGGCTCTCCCACGTGGGAAGTGTAATCACGGGCACCGTCAATAACCATGGTTTATACCTTTCCGGAAATAACTTCAACGGCCCCGTCAACTTAGTATCCGGTATGCCCGTCTAGACGAGGTGTCGTGGGACGCCCTCCCGCCTATCTAGGAAAGACAGCGATGGCTAACAAAGAGCAAAATGAATAACCCCCTCGTACAGGCAAAGGAGGCTCCGAAAAGTCCAAAGAGGAAGCCTGTGAAACAGCCCTCTACCTCACTTATCCCGTCGACGACAGAACGCGAATCCTCGACAACCTCGAGGGACCCTTGCTCCCCACCATTTGCCAATGGATCAACAACCACCCAAGCTTCCGCAGCTGGCACGACGGAGGCGAAGGCGCCGCCGAGCTGCTATGGATCTCGGGAGCCTTTGGCATGGGCAAGACAATGATGTCGCTCTTCCTCATTTCCGAGATTGAAGAGTCCCGCATGCGCTCCCGCGCCGGCGGCGTTGTCCTCTACTACTTTGTCGACTCATGTGACGACAAGCGCAACTCAGCCGTCTCCATCCTCCGCGGCCTCATCTACATGGTCATCCGCCGGTTCAAGGAGATGACCTCGTACCTCATGGACGATTTCGAGGGCCAGAGGAGAGCATGTTTGGCCCAAACTCCCTCGATGCCCTGTGGAGGATCTTCGAGGCGATGCTGACCAACACGCGCCTGGCCGGCGCGATTTGCGTCATCGACGGCCTTGACGAGTGCCGCAAGGCCTCCTCGCCCCGTTTTTGAAAAGGTAGTTCGCTTCTACGAGAAGCAGAGGCAGGTCCAGGAGCAGCTCCGCCACATCAACCCGGCGTTGTTGGGCCCCATGGCTTCCATGAAGATGGTTCTCCTCAGCCAAGAAGAGCCCAGCTGCCTCAAAGAGACCCTATCACACTTCCCGCGCGTCAGGCTAGAGGACGCCGCCTTGTACACTTCGGTAGCCAAGGTCCCAAAACCAAAGTCCTCCGCCACCGCGAAGAAGGCTGCCTCCGGCGAAGGTGCCAAGAAACTGACGTCGGCTGTGCAGCTCGCGCTCAAGAAAAAGAGGGTCGAGGACGCCAAGTTGGCCATTGCGAATGCGGAAGCTGCCCAATCCGCCGGCGCTGGCGCCGATGGGCAATCTCAGAATTCCGTGGGCCTAGAACAGGCGGTATCGCAACTCTCGGTCCAAACCAACCCCGAACAATCTGCAGAGGGTCAACAGGAGCCTCACGTCTCGAGTGCTACTGATGCTAGCGCCGTTGGAGAAACGGACGAGTACGTCTTTGACGAAGATGTCGCAGACGAGCAAGCCGAGACGCAGGACGAAGAAGTAGAGGAAGCGGAAGAAGAGTTCTCCGACCCCGTGCTTCCCGTCTCCTCTACATCGCCGCCAAGTTGACCGAGGGGACGCAAGTCTCCGGCCCCAACCCCGCCGAGGCCGCCATCGTCGAGGCCCTGCAAGCCCGCGGCGACGCACCTTTCTCTGGGTCGACCTGGCCCTGGTTGAGCTCAAGCGGTACGCCCCCGAGCACGCGCTCCAGGTAGCCCAGCAGCTGCCCCCGGACGTCAACGACATGTACTGCCGTTTCTTGCGCCAGATCCTCCAACATGGCGCAGCTCGTCGTCTCTGTGCTGCGGTGGGTGATTGCCGCCCGCCGCCCGCTGACGGTCAACGAGCTCTCGGCCGCGCTCATGCAGATGGGCTTCTCCACGCACGACCCGCTGGGCATGACGAAGCAGGGCATCGCCGCGTGCAGCCCCTCCTCAAGCTCAGCAAGGACGGCGTCGTCAACATCGCCCATACCTCCTTCAAGAACCTGCTGACCGCCTCCGAGGGCCCCCTGTGGAGCGACCCGGCTCTCACCCAGTTCCACGTCAACGTGCCCGACGTGGACGGTGACGTTGCGGCCGTGCTGTTGGCGTACCTCGAGCGCGGGTGCCTCGCCGAGGGCTCCGCCTCGACCGTCGAGGAGGCGTCCAAGTACAACCAGCGCTGCGTGCAGTACCCGCTCTTCTCGTACGCCGTGCTCTTCTGGCCGGATCACGCCCGCTCCGCGTCGCGGCCCTGCATCAACCTGGCCGCGCCCTTCTTTGCCAAGAAATCTGCCGCGCGCAAGAACTGGTGGCTCTCGTACTACCCGGAAACCACCAAGAAGGGCCCCATGATCGCCCCGAGGGACGTCAGCCTGCTGCACCTGGCCGCGCACCTCAACTTGCTCGTCTTGGCGCAGCATATTGAGCAAAAAGGCGAGATTGTGGGCCGCATCGATAACCGAGACAGCCACGGCAACACCCGCTCGCGCTGGCCGCCATGGCGGGAAGCCTGGAGATGCTCGTCTTCCTCATGCAACGCGGCGCCTCCCACGAGTGCCTGGGGAGAACGTCTTTGAGCTGGCGTGCCGCAAGGGCCAGACTAAGGTCGTCGAGTATCTGCTCAGCCTCGGATACAATCCAAACGTACCAGCACGAGACATTGGAGCCTTTGAATCGCTAGGAAAAGGAACGAGATGGTAAGAGCCCCTCTAACAAGAATTCCCGGGTTTACCAAGGCAAAGGAAGGCCACCTTGAACCACTCTATCTAACCTAAAACCGAAACATTAGGATCCACGGCATGATTAGCGAGGGCGTAGAACTAGACATCGACGTATGGAGGCTCATGGCCCGCGACACCGGCACCGGCGGCACCCCGCTCTACAACGCCTCCCTCGCCGGCCACCTCGAAGTCGTCAAGCTCCTCATCGAGCGCGGCGCCAACGTCCACGCCGCCACCACCAAGCGCTGGACGGCCCTGCACGCCGCCTCCTGGACCGGCCAGATGGACTGCGTCAAGCTCCTCCTGGACAGCGGGGCCCAGGCCCTCGCCGTCACCGACAACGGCTGGAACCCTATGCACTGCGCCGCCTCGCGCGGCAAGGCGTCCCTCGTCCAGTTCTTCGTCGGGCTCGAGATGCCCGTCGACGCCCTGACCATGAAGCGCAAGAGCGCGCTCCACCTTGCCGCCTATAACGGCAGCGCCGCCACACTAAAGATCCTCACCGCCGCGGGTGCCGCGGCGGACCTCCAGTCCCACAAGGGCGAAACTGCGCTGCACCTTGCCACGCGACGGGTCAAGCCAGAGGCCGTCGAGGCGTTGCTCGCCGGCGGCGCGAATAGGGAGATTCCAAATAACGCGGGGGCTACTCCGCTGGACATGATTAAGATGATCAAGGGTTCCCTGAGCGAGGATAATGCCGAGATCTTGAGAATTTTGGAAACCTTTGGCACCCCTGGATACGTAAGTCACACTTTCCGCGACGCGAATTTGTAAATAAGAACGTTTTCTAGCAGACAAAGAACTAACAAAACCGCGTGCACAGATCCCGTGGATGCCAAAGACGGACCCCAAGGCGGCAGCTACGGCAGCGCTCAGCCAAGCCGGGGCTCCCAGCGCAGCAGGCCCAGCCCAACCCCAACCTACCGTCCAGCAGAACTTTGCCGCGCAGCCGGGTATGGTGAGCACGGTCAATGGGCAGCCCACGCCCATTACGCCAATGTCCAACCTCTATGCCACACCTCAGCCATACGGAGCACCTCCCCTCCGTACACCCAGAACCCGGCGTTCCAAGCATCAGCACAGACAGGGTACTTTCCGGAAAAGCCCGCGTATGGAGTTGCCGCTAATACCCCGGCCGCGTATCCAACTACCCCCGGTAGCAGTTTTGGTGGCGTACAGAACACCGGCGCCTATGGTGTGCAGACACCCCCGTCGGCCGGGGTGCCGGGGCTACAAGGAGCACCAGTTAGCGCCGGATATCCCGGCGCCCAAGTACCGGCTACGGCGGGAGGTGTTACCAATCCTGTCTCCGTGTATCCTCAAGTTCAAGGAGCTATTTTGAACCACCCGCCGGTGGCGACCCCAGGCTACCAGCCCGTAGGTGCACCAAGTGTCGTTAACGGAGCGGCGGTATCTACCCCACCTCCAGCAACGGGCTACCAGGCCTCCAGTACTACAGGTGCTGTATACGCAAATGCACTAGACAATGCCAATTCTGGATACACGGCTTCACCGACGGCGCAGCAGTTACAAACCAACTTCCACGTTGCTACCTCAACCCAACCTCCCGCCTCCTCAGCGGCCACGACTACACATTACGCGCACATAACCTACGCTGGTACCGAGACTGGAATCTACACGCCTGCCGCCTCGCCACCAACTGTCGGCAGCCAGCCCGTCGAAGCCGTGTCACCAGAGAACCCCACCACCGCGCTGTATGCCCCCACCCCCGCGGTAGCAGCGCCAGCCATGGAAACGCAGCCGAACCCGGCCACGAACAATGCCGCCGATGCCACTGTGGCAGGTTATCCTACGCAGTTACAGCCAGCCCCCATCGAGCTACCGGTAAAGGGCCCTTGGACGATCGAAGCGCCGCCGCCCACTCTCGACAATCAGCCCCCGATCCAGGTCCAGCAGCCGGGCACGTACCAGGAGGCCCCCGCGACCCCGCGGCGCAACACCGGAAGGAGAGCATCTCCACTGTGCCAACGGCGACGCATCAGCCGGGGACGTCCCCGTCGAGCACGCAAATTGCCCACGCGGCTCCCTCGCCACAGCACGCCGGCGTTGCGTTCCAGATAACGGCTGAGTCTCCGGCCACTTCGGCACAACAACCGCAACAAGTCCAACAACCTGTGGCGCCGATGCCATCAGCCCCAACGGCGGCACAGCAGGTATACGCGCCAGCCGCGTCGGCCGCGCCCATGCCCACTTACCAGGCACCGCAGCAATCATTCACGCACCCGGAGCATCAGTACCAGCAGCAACAACAGTACCAGACATTCGCCCCGACCACGGCGATACCCGCTCCCGCATCTCAGGCTCCGCAGCAGGGATTCCCACCGCCACCACCACCCATGGCCCAGACAACCGTCCCGTCGGTAGTCACCCCACAGCCATGGATGGCGCCAGTCGTCGCGCCTACACCTACACACGCCACGACCCATTACCAGGCCCAGCCCGCGGCGCCGCAGCCACAGCAGTCTTGGATGGCACCATCGCAGCATGCAGTTACGCAAGCCCCGCCCTCGCAGGTATACACGCCGGCGCTAACACCCGTTCCGGTCCAGCAGCCTTGGGCGCAGCCCACCGCACAGACGGCAACTCCTTGCTACAGCCGACGAGCACAGGCTACCAACCCCAAGCCGCCTTCTCCGCGCCCTCGTCGGTGCCCGGCTACACCCCGGCAGGATTTTCCGCGCCGGCGCCGTCACAGGCCGGCCCGGTGGCCTTCACCCCTCCGGGTGCAGCGCTGCAGCAGCCGTGGCAGACTCCGCAGCAGATGGGGACACAAGCTGGCTACGGGCCACAGCAGTACGGACCGAGCCCGAACACACTCTCGGTAGGCTATGTGCCGGGCCAGTATGGCATGGGCGGGCAGATGCAGTTTGCGGGACCACCGACGGGGTATCCAGCGGTTCAGAAAAAGAGGAGCATCATGAACCTTGGAGGGCTGCTCAAGTGAGCCAATGATAGTTTTCGATTTCTAACATTTATTTCCAGTTTTCTTTCTTTCTTTTTGCGTCTACTGGGGAATATCAGGGCGAGCGGGTGGGTAATGATTATTGTTGTGGGAAGGTCTCGCTTGGAATACGTAAATAGGTGTTGTGGGAAGGATAGGAATGGGAGCTGGGCTACATCCTCGTCTAACATGATAAACGCATACAAGGATAAAAAGCGGTGTGTACGATTCTGCCATTACACTTGTCGATTGCTGTTGGTGAGACCTGCCAATTTGAGCTTCTTGGCTGGCCTTGGTCTGGCGTCACTTTGGTTTGGGTTGCTCTAGTGAGGTACCCTTGTACCTCGCCAGGTCCCAGGCTCCAGGGGTTTAACTGGCCCAATACTTTGGACGCTGCCACACTGCCGCACTGCAACCTGCACCTGCCACATGCTTGTCCAATAATTCTCGATTTGATATCGTGTTCTCTACGAAACGAACTGCCATCCTTCAGGCTTCGCTCTCCTCGACCTTTTATCGTCCTTTTTATATCTCGCAACCTACCAACACACTTCCAGACTAGAACATTTCTGTAGCTTCGGGATCTCTTTTATCTTTGCAGATCATATCTCCATATCTCGAATGTAGCCATTTTCGCATCCTCGAACCCCAAATCCTGCGCACAACCGCCGCCCACACCTGAACCAAACCCCGGCGAAACTCCCCTCCCCGACCCAACCTCTACTACTCCCGCGATTATACGATCCAACCGCCCGGTACACCTTTCCCTACACCGTGATACGGTATACCATACACCGAAACCAACCCACCCCACCTCCACCATGAACGTCGCCTACAACACTGCCCTCCGGCAGAGCAAAGCCCTCCGCCACGACCTCGACCGTCTCGACGGCGCCTCCGCAGGCGCCCTCACCGCCGCCGAGATCGGCAACGCATCCGCCTCCCTCGCCTCCTTCGGCAAGGCCATCGACGACTACGCCACCCTCGCCCGCCAAGAAATCGTCCCCAAGAAGCAGGAGGAGGCCCGCGAGCGCGCCCGCCGCTTCAAGGAGGACCTCGCCGACATGCGCACCCGCCTCGACACTGTCCGCCGCGCCCGCGAAGACGCCAACCAAGCCGCGAACCGGAGCGAGCTCCTCGGCCGCCGCGGCTTCGTCAACGCCACCCCGAAAACCCTTACTCCCACGCTTCGTCGTCGTCGGCCGGTGGAGGTGGCGCCGGTGCCCAGGGCGTCTTTGGCGAGGGCTCCCGGCGGCACGGCGGCGCGGCGGGCAGCCAGCTCACGTTTGGCAGCGGCGACGAGATGCGCGAGTCCCACGCCCTCCGCGAACAGAATTTCTTCTCCAACACCAACTCGGCGTTGGACGATTATATTGCGCGCGGGCAGGCCGTGCTGGGCGATCTCGGCCAGCAGCGGGAGATGCTCAAGAATACCCAGAAGCGGCTCTACTCGGTCGCCAATACCCTCGGTATCTCGGGCGACACCATCAAGATGATTGAGCGGCGCGCGAGGGAAGACAAGTGGATCTTTGCCGCGGGCGCCATCGTATTTTTCTTGTTCTGTTGGTTGTGCATCCACTTCCTGAGGTGAGGCGGAAACGAGTGTGAAGGCGGAGAGAAGGACTTTTCTTTTTCCAGGAGAGAAAGGAGGAGTTGTATGTGTACGTGTGGTGGGCGTGGCGGCGGACAGTAAATCTACGGGTGGCTCTTCTCTTTATTCGAGAGCCTACTCTCGCTCTGGCGAACACCCTTTGGGTCATCTTTGTAATGGATAACGATCGTTTCTGCAACAAAAAAGACTAGGACACGGAGTTTATGGAGTTTTCCGGACCCCCTTTATAGCTTAATCAAGAAAAACGTTGGACCCTCTTCCTCCCCAGCTAGTGAGGGAGGAAAGGTTCCAGCTTGCCCCATATCCAATCCTCGCCCGCGCATGTGATTCGCATCTCTTGTTCTTGTATGCCATTTACCCCGTCCCCTTGAGCGAAACTGTAAACAAAACGGCCTCGGTAGTTTCCACCGTCACCACCTTCGTCTCGGGCGGGAGGTGGTTGCTCGTGCTCATCTTCCCCAGGAAGCTCGTCGGCCAGTCGACGACGTCCCACCTTAGCCCCGTCGTCGTGAGCACGCTTGACCCCAGCATAGGCAGGATGCCCACGTATTTACCCCATACACCGCCGCCGCTCTCCTCGTTGTCGTCGCGCATGCGCAAAACGTGCTTGCCGGGTTGCAAAAGCACCGTCATGTTCTCCTCCGACAATAGGTATATCCGGCCCAAGTCGTATGCGGGCCCGGGCTGGAATAGGTACAGGTAGTGCAGGACGGAGATGCCTTGGTCAATACGTCCGCCCAGCCCACCGAGGGCAACGATACTCAACGGCGTCTTCCCCTCGTCCACACCCTTGACGTCTTGATTGTTGTCAACGCCGCTCGACGAAGCGGAAGCAGCAGAACTTCGGACCCAGTCGATGGCCTTTCCAAAGTCTGTGCTCTCTTGTTCCGTCTCATGAATGATGCGTGTCGGCCGAGCCGTTTGTGTTGTAAAGTACGCTCGTGAGTCGTCTTCCAAGGAGTCTAGATCCCCTATGATGACATCCAAGGAATCCTGAGCACGGTTTCAAATCAGACTTCCCATGCTCCCGCTCATCCCCGCTTACCCATCTTCGCTCCTATCCGAATCTTGAACGGTTAGGAAGTGGACTTACATATATACTTGGTCCTCCGCGTCTCTCACCCTTCTTCACGAGATCATAGAGGCGATTTGCCGCCCCGTCTGACGCTACTCGTATCCGCGCTAGCGCCGGGTCCCATTGACGAATTAGTAGCTGGACGCCAGGTACGGGGAAATCGAAACAAAAGCTGCGTAGAGGGGAAAAACCCAAACGGGAAAACAGCAAAAGGTTTCTTACCTCTTTTCCACAGCTCCTGCACGACCTCGGTCTCTTCAAGCGGTTGGTTCAACACAATCAGAGCGAAATCAACGTCCGGCTCTGTTCGTCGTAATATCGACTCAAGATGCCATTCGAATGGGCCAGCCATTTCTCAGATAAAGCTTTCAGCCTAGGACGCAGCCGCGACCTTCAAGAACGACCTCTTCTCCTGAGATGACGAAATGCGGCACAGCAGGAGCGAAAGCTGGGCGGATTCCACGTCCAATGCAGAGCGGGATGTGAGTTTGTAAAATATATTGATCGACCGTAGCTCCTTGTCTATAAGATATAGCCGACTGCCATACTCTCAGCTTAATTCTCAAAGCTTGGTCTCCTTCAAACAGGGACAAATTTCTTGGGTTTTGAGGGCGGGCACATTGTGTACTTCGCACTTGCCCCAAATGGCTCAAATTACGTCAGGCGCCCGGCCGCATTCCGCCCACTTTCAACAAGGGCTAAACTCCGGCTCCGTCCGATCTGACGGAAGGAGCTCCCCACCGCAGATGTCCGAATCCACTCTCCCGTCCGCGTCAACTACCCACAACTCTGGGGCGCGCGCTCATGGAGGCGGTCTGCACTCTCCAATACTATCACACCACTTTAATAACGTAATGTTTCCTGGTATATCTTATATCCATCTATACAAATACCTACGGAGGAACCTCGGCCGGGCGTTCATCCGATCCCAACTTGTAGAAGGTATTCCATGCCCTTGGCTGTGTACCCTCATGGTGGTGGGAGTGATCGCGAGCTACGTGTTCATGGCAGGGCACACCTCTAGCATTGATCCTTCTAGACTCAGCTGGATATGGACACGTTTGCGGTTTTCATTGATGGATATCGTATATTCTTTAAGTACAGGGAACGGTATGTGTGGAGAGATAAGTTAACCCCAGTGTAGCGAGGAAACCTCTTATGCTGCTCTTCGACACGATACACTTCGGAACCTACATGTAGCCACTTTGGCAGCGACTTTCAAGCACATACCCCTAGCTATCAGTAACCAGCCCAAGACACTCAAAAACACCCAAACCCCCACTTGCCTACCATCAACACGCCCGTACAAGGAACCCCTCAGTCAGTTCCCCGTCCGTAGCTCACAACAGCCGCACCCACAACCCCACGCTCTCATGCTCCGTGACGCACTGCCCGCATCCCTTCTTCACGGCCACGCGATCCCCGAGGTGTTCCCCCAACGGGTTATTCGGGTCCGCCGGCGGCTCAAAAACGCATCTAGCCCGCTCAGTCCCAATCGGTGCTCGCAGTGCGCCAGAATCTCCGCCACGAGGCCCGGGTCCTTGCCGCTCCCCTTGCCTTGCCTCAGCGCGAGGAGGGACGCTTTCCCTCGTTGACGCGCGTGCTTGAGAAGACTGTCCGTGGCGCGCGCGATGGTCGTCGTTCTAAAAGTGACTTTACGGCCGGGCAAGCCGTCGTCGCACGGTGTCGTCTCCACGCATTTGGCTACGATCAGCAGCAGCGCCGCTAGATAGACGGGCATGCGGAACCCCGGGTCAAGCGTCCCAACTTGGTCGCTCACGATCCAATACACGAGAATGGTTTCATCTAGATCCTCGGCCTCGAGCAACGCGCCGAAGCCTCGGTCCCCGCCGTCGGATCCCAGGTCCTTGGGGTCGGAGATTGCGGAGACGAGCAGGCTCAAATCGTCGCCGGCCGCCGCACGGATGCGCGACGGGTCGGCGGCCAGCTGCTCGAGGACGTAATCGTAGTGTTGGTTAGTGGCTAGGAAGTGGATAAAGGACATGGGGCGGTCGCTGCGGAGGCCAATGACGTCCTCGAGCCCGTGGAGCGGGAGGAAACGAGAGCGGGTTGTCGAAGTAGTGAGGACGAAGCGGGACAAGGAGTTAGTCCTCATCATCAGCTCCAATATGAGGTTGCTAGACATGTGAAACTTTTCCTTTCCGTAGCGGATAACACACCTCACCCCGCTTTCCACCGCTTCTTCGTACTCTTGGACTCCTTTGCACCGCCTCTCGACGGGGGCGGCCTCAAAGGCGGCGTCGTGGAGAGCGCGGAGCATATCGAGGAAGGGAACCCCCGCTTTCCCCAATGTTTCAAGGTCCCTCGCCGTGGCGCTTAGATGATTTTCGAGACCGTCCACGCCAACAGTGCCCCGGATCAAAAGGTGGTCCGCGGTGAAAATGTTGCCGTAGATGATGCCCTCGTCGAAGTGGGGGAAAGAAGCCTCGAGTTCTCGCATCCGCGCTTCGTTCTCCAAGAGATAGTCCTTGACAGTTCGGTGGAAGAAGCTCACCACATGCTGGGATATGAACATGACGGTTCCCCTGTTCGTCACGAACATGTGGTGCTTAGGATTGTAGTCCAAAAGCCCCTTGGTGAGGCTGTGTACTTGTATCTCCACCCTTGATAGTCTTCTCTTGGCCTCCATCCACGAGAACGGCTCACACAACAGACCGGAGAGAAAGTTTGGTTTCTCCAACTCGCCCTCGTCAAGCCACGAAAATCCCATCGCGCAGAGATCATTCCTGCCTGGGTTTTCACCGCCAAAAGGAGCATCCTGTCGCATCTTTTGCGATCAATCGGGCTCGAGATGGAGTTGCGCAGATTCGTGTAGAGCTCGTTGAGCTCCTTTGGAGTTTCATCGAGCTTTTTCCGTACGACGTGTAACGGGTCGCCCTGCCGCATAGCCTCGAGTAGCTTGTTCACGACGAGGAATGCCCAGAGAAAGATTCCTTCGGCCGACGACGAGATCTTTTCCACAATCGGGTCCAGCGACTTGCCCTCTCGGCAGGCTATCCGATCTTTAGCGAAGCGGGTTTTGCAATATGCCTCAATGTCCGGCTTATTGAGCGTGTGGAGGTGGATGGTGTTGTCTCGGCGCGCAAGGATGCCGTTGTATTCATGGTGAGGTCTCGCGGCAGTCAGGATTTTAACATTGTCCATTTCAGCCCACTGGACGAGACGTAGGGCTAGCTCCTCCTGCGCCATGATATCACCTTCATACTCATCCAGACCGTCGATGAAGAAGCAGAATTTGTAGCCAGACTCTTTCGTCTTTTCCACAAGTAAGTCGAAGGCGGCCCGTATCGACCCTTCGTCAAAGTCGAATCTCTCTACCGCCCTGTCACCCAGCTCCCCTGATACCGTGACCAGAGCCCGGGGAACACCTCGCCAATCAGGTCGGGAGCCGAGCGTAACACCTCAAACAAGAGGGACCTGAAGAAGCCCTGCTGAGACCGCTGCAACTCGGATCCGGAGTTCCAAAAATAAAAGTCAGCCTTGATGAGCGGCTTCTCGCCGGCCCAGGTTGCCAGCTCCTGCATCGTACGCTGCTGCTGGGCAATGTAGCGCACGAGCGTCGACTTTCCCGATCCCGCCTTGCCCGAGATGTGCAATACCCCATTGCTACCGCGCAGCCACTCCACGATTTCCTGGCTGGCTCTTGACCGGTTATCGCCCCGCGTCTCTGGGTCCAGCTTGTCCGTGTCGAATACCCACCCGCAAGTCTCGTCGTCCGCTCGGTATATCTGCTCTCGCCGACGCGGCAATTCGTCAAAGATGAGCTGCCGGAGAATTCGCTGCTTCACCGGCAGCGCCCGCGTTACGTGCTGAAGTTTGCGAAGGCTTGTTTTGACATCTTCTAAGCTGCCCATTTCATCCCCACCGGGCTCCTGTGGGACAGAATCGCCTTGTATCTCTTTGATGACATCGAGTTTGACCTTTTCCAGCTCGACTCCTAATTTATCCGCTGCGTTGTTAATGTTTGACAAGGCAGAATGTAGAGAGGACCAATCTTCTCTACATATCTCGCCCAAGTCGTCAGCCTCACAGATGTCTGCACGACAACGCGGAGAAAGCAAACTCACCTGAGCAGCAGCACCATATTCAACATGATTTCAGATCTATACTCTCCCAGCCTCTGTCTCAAGTCCTTGATTTCTTCCTTCTTCAGCAGCGCCTTCACTGCGCCGCCACGCTCCTCCACAGCGTCCTCTTCCCGGGCACTTTCAGCGACCTAAGGAGGCCGACGAGGAGTTCAGCGTCCGGCCGGCACTCCAGAGCAAGCTCCCGAATCGACCGCTCGGCACGCGTACCACCACTCGCCTGACACGCTAGCTCACCCGCGACCACGTCGAAGTCGCCGATGACGCGCTCGAGGCGGGCATTTTCCTCGAGCGTGCCGTCCGCGGAACGGTACACTTCGAGTGCGCCGGAGACGAGCTTAACGGAGAAATCGATGAATGTGAGGATGGACGATGCAAGTCCAACGGCCGAAGCAGGGTCCATGGCGGGGACTGGGAGCTCCGCGAGCTTAAACGTGGGGGTAGTTCGTTTAGTTTGCTATCCCCCACACATGAGGTTCTTGGTTCTAGCCGGCAGTATTACCAAACGCGAAAATTGCATCATGACCAACAATGCCATCTCACGAGGGATGAGGACAAAATATAAACCCAAGAGAACCCCAGATGATCTAAAACCCCATTCGATTGCCCATCAAAATTGAACCGCCCAGCGAAGGCCTGACTCCTCATCGCCCCGCGGCTTGCTGGAATCGTTCTCATTGGACCAACGCACGCAGCCTGCAGCCTCAGCCCCATGGCCATGGTCGAAAGTGTACGGCCAGGGGAAGGGGAGGCGCAGGCATGGTGGTGGTAATAATGATTCCCAGGGAAATAATGTGTATTATATCCTGGCGATGCCGTGCGAATTTCGCAACCCACTTCACGCCCGTTAGCACAGCGTCCATCATCAAAAACAAAATCCGACGAATCGGCATTCCTAGCAGTTAGTTCACGCATTTACACCTTCATAAGAATATAGGAAATATATACTTTGACTGAGGGCCCTCGTTGCAACATAGGATCAGAGGCCACGCTAAGATTTGTCTTGGCACCAATGTTAGTGAGGGGCCGTGAAATGAGTAGTTGGAAGCAACGTTGGCGATTCACAGCAAGGCACTTGTATTAGATCCTCGACAGCATCTCGAAATTGTGGATATGGTTGATCCGACAAAAAAGGCAGCAGTCGAGGTAGATATTGCAGCCTGGAGATGAACGTATTATTAACAAGAGATACCAGACAACAAGACAGCACCAATGCCCTTATATTAACACCAACAACCTCCCCATGGTGAGCCAAGCCGTAGGATGCCTAGAAAGCGAAAACAAAAGAAAATCCAATCCACCTCGGCACAAAATGAATTACACCCAGATCAGGTTCGCCAAAGTGCCCGATTTCGAGCAGGCCTACCGCCTCCTACCAAGCTTCGCCCACGACCAATCCCTCGGGGAGTCCGTCAAGCAGGTCTTTATCGATGTGAGCCTGAGACCGTTTCGGCTTCGGCCACGGTACAGTATACTAAGCAGAGATGTCGATGATGCAGCGCCGGCCATGGCGCGCGAAACCCACGAAGTCATCCGCAACCTGGCGCGGGGCCTCGAGCTGGGCGAAGAAAGCACACGAAAAATGGTGGCGGCGCTGACGTGGTGGGAAGGATGGATGGAGCGAGGAGCGGATAAGATAACCGATGCGGAGCGCGGCTTGCTGTATGATGCCGCGTACACCATCGCGGCTCTCACGCTGTCTCTCTGCCCGTGCATCGAGACCGTCTACATCGGCGAGCTCAACCCGGGACTGCTGGAAGAGTACCTTCTCAAGTCCAACTACGGATTGATACCGCGACCGGCTCTACAGCGCGTGACAAAGGTGGAATATCACCCCGGCGATTGGGGAACGGCGGGCGAGTCGACGTACGACACTATCGAGTTCATGGACCTGTTTCGGTACTTTCACCGGCTGCCCCGGGTGGAAAGCATCGAGGTGGCCGGCGCGGCGGAATATCAACCAGTGCGCAACTTATTCCCGCCGGCCACGTCCCCGGGCATCCGCCGCATCGACTTTGCGCACGTCGACGTCAGCAGCGACACCATGGCCGCCATGATTCGCATCCCCGTGGCGCTCGAGGAGCTCTCCGTGTCTTACGGCGGGTGCATGTACCCGGACTGCGGCTCGCCGAGCATAGACCTAGCGCTGATAGCCAAGGCGCTTCGCCAGCACAAGACAACGCTGCGGGTGTTGGACCTGGACTTGGGCCCCGCTATTATCTCTATATCGTCGAATGACCCGGACGAAGGAATCAATGGACTGGACAGGCACCGCGACGCGTATTTTCGCATCGACGAGGAAGCTAGCTCCGGCCCGCTGCTCGCGCGCGACTTGCCTGATGGAGATGGTGAGCATCCGGAGGCTGCCGCCGTGGGCGGGGAGGGTGGATTGAAGGCATTGAGGGACTTGGCGGCGCTGAAGAGGTTGAGCATTAGCTTTCGTGCTTTTACGGATGATCCCCTCGATCGGCGGTCGTCGTTGGGATCGAGATTCACGCCCCTGCAGTCGGTTCAGCTCGTGGACGCGCTGCCACCGGGTCTGGAGTACCTGTGTCTGTATGGGTACGTCAAAGGCAAGCATGCGGCGATGGACGAGATGGCGAACGATTTAGTGAGAGAGATAGGCCTCGGGCCGGCCGGTAGATTGCCGAGATTGGCGGAGGTGAAGGGTATCGATGAAACGGTGCCACCGGCGTTTGATATTGCTGAGCCCGACGACGATGAGGCATGGAAGCGCCCATCGCTTCACTTGGGTTGGTGCTAGAGTAGTCCTTTTTATATGCAGCATTGAAGATTACGAGTGCCGCGTGAAAGAGAATGTTGAGAACGACCCTAGTCACTTCATATTATTTTTATTTTTATGTAGGCACTCGATGGCTAACAAGGGATATATCTCTATGACTGCTGGCGTCGCGTAAGGCGAGAAGATCCAGCGGTGGAAGCCTATCTTCTGGAGCCACCTATCTAGAAGGTAGGCTCCTGTTGAATATGGGGCCTGATCATTGAGGCATTTGTATCATCCAAGATTGCTTTGTCCACCCGATAGGGTTTTCCTATAAAAATGATTCCACGAAAAGGGCACGCCCTTCGTTACAAGAACGATCACGGTTTTCATCACGAATCAAGCTCCGTTGCAAGTGACACCTTTCTGCATCTAACGGCTTTCATCCAATCGGGTATCCATTACTTTCATCCATTTCCAGTACCTTGAGTTACGATAGCTCCATCACGTAGCCCAAGTACATCTTATACCTGTAGCCGGTCCCAGGCATATGTGATGCTAAGCCTCCTACCGATGCCACAGTAGTAGGGGTGTTCTGGCGTCTTTTCCCGTCCACATTGGCATATGATGAGGGCGTCCTCATGGTTCAGCTTGCGATGGTAGCTGGCAAAGTCCCCGTGGCCAGACCGGCTAGCATATAGCTTTATAATTTACATAAGCCATATGGCCATATTTTTTGCCTTGATGTAGGCTTTGAATAAGGAGACAGGTATAAGAGAGAGAGAAGTGTACAAAGGAGAGGTATAAGAGAAAGAGAGAGAGTAGGAGGGAGAGGGAGGGAGAGGGTAGGTATTAGGGTCCAGCTGTAGGTATGGCCGCTGGTATGTCTGCTGCCGTGGCTGCCACCGCTGGCACGTTTGTGGGCATGGCTACTGGCTTCGCGTAAGGCGAGCAGATATGGCGGTAGAAGCCTGTCTTCTGCAGCCACTTGTCTAGAAGGTAGGCTCCATCGCGCTCCGTAAGTATGTCCTGTGCCTGCAGCAGGCCCCAGGCGAATGCTGCGCTATGCCGCCTTCCAATGCCGCAGTAGTAGAAGTGTTCCGGCGTCTTTTCCCGCCCACATTGGCATAGGGTGAGGGCGTCCTCATGGTTCATCCTGCGGTGGTAGCTGGCGAAGTCCCCGTGGCCTGACCGGCTAGCATATAGCTTTCCAAGGGTGAACCGTGGTAGCCGGAGCTCTAGCGGCTTCCGCTTGAGGACTATCTGCAGGTCCTTATACCTGCCTGTCACGCCCGCCCAGTGGCTATGGAAAGCCTGGTGGGCTTGTTCTTTCATCTGCCGTCGTGTGTAGGCCAGCGTTGCTGGGTGGGCTGGGTCATCTGGGATGTCCGCTGCCGCCAGCGCTGCTGCCTTCGCCTCGGTATCGGCGGCATCGTTGCCTTGTATGCCCATGTGTCCCGGCACCCATCGGATGATAACCTGTCCTGGCTGGGTATGTGGCTTCCTTGCCCTTTCTGGCCACCTCGCTGCTGCTTCCTTGAAGGCGGCAAAGGTTCCTTGGCTAGATGTTGTGGGAGTATGTAGTAGGGCGTGGGAAACCTCTGGGTTATCCAGACGTATGTAGATATCTGTAGCGAACTCAGCGCGGATGGTGCCTTGTGCTGCCAGGAGCCTATATAGGGCTGCTGTACCGTAGCTACCCAGTCCAGGAAGTCCCTGGCCGCCTGCTCCTTAGTGTCGCCGCTGTATCCGATGCGGGCGCTGTCGCCGTCGCCATCTCTGCTCCCCCATGGGGCTATGGAGATGGGGTCATGTGGCTCTGTCAGGCCGGCCTTCCTTGCCGTCCTTAGTAGCCGCGTGTCGTAGCGGTTTGCGTGGTCCTGTGTGGTCCTGCTGGCTAGTGGGTGCCTTCTATCCAGCTTCTTCATACGGGCTGCTAGCAGTGCTGACCTATGGTCCAGGGCTATCTGCATTGGGGGCATTGCTGCCTCCCGCTGTAGGGCAGCGATCGGCGTTGTCTTGTATACTGGTAGGGCCTTCGTGGCCATCTTGTCTACATGTATCTTGAAAGTGAGCTTGCGGTCGAACCATACTCCTAGCCAGCGGAGAGCCCCGTTTGCCTGTTTAGCGTCCATGTGTACATCGCCAGCGGTGGTAGCATGGATGTTGCTAGCGGCGGCGGCATGGGTATGGGCATCGTCAGCGCCGTCTGCCTGCGCGGCTGGCAGCCGTAGTGTGATGCTTGGGTTAGCTTCGTCCTTTCGCCGTGTGAAATGGATCAGCTCAGTCTTCTTTATATCGAAGGTTAGCCCTTCCTGTAGCCCTAGCTGGGTGATATCCTGGAAGTCCTGCTGTAGTATCCTGCAGTTTTCTTCTAAGGTGTGGCCTGCAGCGAGGAGGGCGATATCGTCAGCGTACCCTAGCCTTGCTCCTCTTCTATCTATGCTTCCAGTATGGAGTAGTGGCTGTATGAATAGCATGAAGAGGATAGGTGACGCTGGGGACCTTCTGGTATCCCTGCTGGAACCTGGAAGGATGTGCCTGTCTCGCCATCTAAGTGAAGGGATGCTGTAAGTATCGTTATACAGCTGGCCACCTATCTGACCACGTTTGTCGGCCAGCCCTGCTGTAGTAGCTTCCGTACCAGCATGCCTGGCAGCACAGCGTCGAAAGCGCCCTTTATATTTAAGGTCAGCATTGTGGCCACTCCAATGTGTAGTTCAATCGAGTTGCTCCCGTGGGCTCGAGGGTGATGTCACGTGAGACGATGTCGGGTGGCCCCGGTACCTGCATCGGCAACAATCATTGCAGCAATGCGAGCTTTTAGCCATGTGGTGATTTCTAAGCCGCAGGCCAAGCACGAAAACCTCACCCCCGGCTTCCCAAATCGACAAGCTTCCGAATTCTCCCACGACATTTCCGCGACGACGTGCGACCTACCGAATACCCGTACGTGCCCCCCTTTTGGACAGGAGATCAATTCCTGTTGGCACACGTTTATATCCATTCAGGATTAGGATTGGCGTAGTTTCTAACGATTTCGAACCTTGTAGGTCGATCTTTGCGACTCGCGATAATTTTTCTTTCCTCCCTTTTTTTTCCCGGGAGCTCCATCCGTGCAAGGAAAAAAATAATACGACCACGGACAAGGGGAAAAGAACGATATACGCCAATCCCGACCGCGCAGCATAGAACCGAGTCTATCGAGGCAACCTCCCTTTTCTTTCCACACACGATGTTTCGCGCTCCTCTTCGCCGGATACGGCCGGCTACTCTCAGCGCCGCGACGAGAAGAACGGTAGCCCTCCCGGGCAGGAGCATTTCCACAGGCGCGGGGCCCAAAAGGGAACGTGGAAGGGGTCTGCGGCGCGATGGGGTGCTGCGGCGGCGGCGCTGTACTGGTATAACACGAGTCCTCTTTTCGCGGACGATCCTGCGCGTGAGTCTTCTTTTTAACCCCGGATATATGTTTACGAGGAAGCGAGTGGGAAAATTATGGAAATTAGGGGAAAAAAAGAAGAGATGGAATATGCCAAAGAAGATGAACATGAATAGGGGTTCCAGCCCAAGGCACTTGAGGATAGTGGCTACGACGAGCAGGCACTAACGGAACATGACCACGCAGCACAAACGATCCCCGCGCCAACCTCGCTCGCGGAAGAAGAGCTAGTCACCGTCGACAAGGTCATTGACACGAAGCGCAAGGAAATCGAAGCCCGCACGAGGGAGAGGAAGCGCGCGAGGCCGCGGCGGCGAAGCAAGCGGAAGACGCGAAGAAGGCCGAGGAGGCCAAGAAGGCGAAGGAGGCGGCCGCGGTGGCCGCCGCCGCCGCTGCTGCTGCTTCTTCTGCTTCTTCTGCCGCGCCCGACACGGAAGAACCCGCGCTTGCCGAGGGCGGCGCCGCGCCCGAAAAGACCGAGGCCGCGAGCGGCGAGACGAGCGGACAGGCGGCGCCTGCGGGATCGCCGGCGGCGCTCCAGGAGGAGGCGGACCAGCAGGGCGCATTCAACCCGGAGACGGGCGAGATCAACTGGGACTGCCCCTGCCTCGGAGGCATGGCTCACGGGCCGTGCGGAGAGGAGTTCAGGGCGGCGTTCAGCTGCTTCGTGTACTCCAAGGAGGAGCCCAAGGGCATGGACTGCATTGATAAGTTCCAGTACGACCTCCCTTTCCCTTCTTTGAAAAACTTGACGTATTTCTTTTTGTCTCGATGTCATACTAACAAATCTATAGGGGCATGCAAGATTGCTTCAGGCTCCACCCTGAGGTGTACGGCGCCGAGCTCATGGATGACGAGGAGGGCGAGGGTGCCCTCGATGGCGCCTCTCCCCAGTCCGCCGTAGACGGCTCTACCCCGCGGAGCCCAAGAAGACTGCTCCCGTCGATGATAAGCCCCCGCTGACGACAAGGCTCCTGCCGACGACAAGGCCCCGTGGATGCCAAGGCCTCGAACGAGTTCAAGGCCGCCAAGGCCACTCCTCCAAGGCGATCCTCCAAGGCACCCATCTACGACGATGACGATGTCACCAACGTTACCCCCGCCAAGGCCGTCGATGCTACCGCTGTCAACGTGCCCGGTAGCCCGGAGCGCAAGCAGGCCGAGTCGAAGCCTACACCCAAGGAGGGTTAAAGACGTTTGCGGACACGGCGGAACAAACGGGACGGCGGCCCCCTGCGTGTGTGGAAGTAAGCGATTGAAGCTGCGGGAGGTGTCGGGAACAACCTCGCTTTGTGGCTGATGCCGAGAGAGAGGATGTAAAAAAGGAAAGAAAGAAAAACTGAAGTAGAAGAGACGACGGCGTGCGTGTAGGCCGGAGAAGGATTCAATGGTCCTCCCCGGTGTGCTGTACCATCTCCACCATCTCGATGCATGTGTATACTAGTGGCCCCTTTTAGATCTCCTTTCTAATGTAGTATTTTCTGGTGTGGTGTACACGAATTGAGGAAGAAATGCATGAAACAGAAACCAAGAAAAAAATAGCATGAATAGAATATAGTCTACTAGATCCTTCCCGGTCGGCTCAAAAGCCCTGCCATGTCGGACCAAGCAACTGTCCTCGTCCCCGCAAGCTACATTCAGCCCTCGGCGACAGTCCACCTGCATCCGCATATGCACCCGTATGAAATAGCTTGCGATTTGGCTTCTTTGGGTTGTTTCTTTTCTTCTTTTCTTCCCTGCCTCTTCAGCCCCGGGTCAAGGATTCCGCCTCTACCTACCCCAAAGGCCCGGTGCCAGTCCGTTCTTGGCCTCGACGGGCTACCACCGGTGCCACAGGTAGGACCGTCGTTGCCCCCTTGCAGCCTTTAGTATTTCTCAGCGAGGTATTGGCAAAAGCTTGAGTTTCGAAGAGGAAAGATCTTGGTCTCTCAATAGACGACGCGATGTCCTCACAACCTAGTTCGATATGGCTAGTCACGCTAGGCGAGGAACGCGCGAGGGTTGGTTGCACCGAATTCGTTTTAGGTGATACTTGAAGAGCCCGGTGTTTGAAGGCTCCCAAAGATTGATGGATTGGGACGAAAAAGGGGAATTGGCCGTTTAGTCTAGCGCAAGGCACCAGGGACAGTATTGCATTTCCCCTTGCTCCCGATTAGTAGGTTTCGCCTTAACCCCTCGCCAATCAATGTTTGTTCCTCTGTCTTCACGACTACTGGACGCCGCGGAGCATTCCGTCCATGAATGTATCTACGTCTTTTATGACATGTTGTCTCTCACTTTTATCTTCTCTTCCTTGTACAAAGAGGACCCCTTATCTTCTGTCCTTTCAATGTTCTTTTAATAGCACGTCTCTTAGCAGCTCAATCGAGCCATCGCTGACCATCTTACACACCCCTCGCAATCATCTCTTCCCCTGAGACTACATGTAGCTTGTATGAGTAGCGGCAATTTCTCTACAACAAATTTCCGAACCGTCCAGACTTGAATGAAGAAAATACCCGTGTCAAGAGAAGCAGCTTTTTTATTATGAGCGTACGGGTAAAAATCAAGTCACGGCCTCAATGTGTGCTCATACATTGCCCTCAGCACCCATCCGTTTCTGTGCCCTCGTTATTCTTGATCTCTCGTTTCCACTCAGGCGTTGCTACTATACCAAACGGAGGTTATACGCTCGACGTGCAACTCAGTCTTTGTGTGCTAGAGAATGGGTGGTGTGGATGCGTGCATGCAAGACGAACTCCAATCGAGTCTCCAGACTTGCAGTTGCTCACCCTCTCCCGCTGCAACACCCCGGTTCTTCCAAACAAGTCCCGAGAAGAGACCCTGCCCTTCCCTTCCACATCCCTGCTTCCCGGATCCTCATGCCGGAATAGCGGCTGATGACGGACGACATCTTTAAAAGTGATTGCTGAGAAAAACAAACCCCCGCATCACTCGTAGCATCGGTCGAAGCGAACAAAAAGCAACATGTTTTCTGCATGTGCGCGCTGGGAGGCAAGACCTGACGATACTCGGTCGAAGAAGGAAACAAAGGAAAAAGGAAGGGAAAACACCTAGATCGAGGGAAAAAAGCAAACAAGGTGAGAGACTCGTAAAAGACGGGGAAACATCTGAAAGCTAGTCAAAGATACTACCCGTCCCCTTCATTCCGATGTCCAAGTAGCCTGCGGAACAAAGCCTCATTCCTCGACCTCTTGCCTTTTTCTTTTTCTTCCTCTTCTCCTTTCTCGTGTCCACCGGTGGCTCTTCCACCTGATCAATAGAGAATAGATCCATCACTTTTTGTTGCTAGCGACAGGCGAAAAAGAAAATACGGACCACTCTGCGTTAGCATCAGCCGTGGCTTCCCCACCATTGATCCATCCATTCCCTCAGTCTCTCGTTCGACAGCGCCCCCTTCTCCTCCCTTTCTCCCTCCCTCTTCTTCTTCCTCCCCTCCGCGCTACCGGCGTCCTCTCCGTCCAATTTCCCAAAGTCGCGGATGTGGAACAAAAACCTAAACTGACCACGGCTGAGCGTCCCCACGTCCTCTCTCTCTCTCTCTCTCTCTATCGCTTCCGCTTTGTTCCCTCGCCCCTCTTCTCGCCTATTCCTGTTCCTATTTCCCCTTCCCCTCCCTTCCACCGCGGGCTTGGGCACTACACTAGACAGCGCCCGGTTTAGACTCCTAGTTCGTGCTCCGCCCGCCCCCTTCCGCGCCAAAGAGGAAAAGCGCGCCCGTCAGCCAATTCGGACCTGAAAGCTTCAATGCTTGTCCTAGCCCCAAAGTAGATTTGATGACCACTAGGTCCAACTGCCATTCTGCATCGGGGGTTTTTCTTGTGCCTGAATCTTGCCTACTTCGCATCAGGTCACGGCCCCCATCTTGCTTTCAAGACCAAAGATGGTCAAAAAGGCCAAACACCGTTCGAAAAGAGAAACCGATCCGTCCATCTGCGTAATTTTACCCAGCAGCGCTCGTCCTTCAGCCCTGGCCCCGCACGGATTTTTAATGAATGAAGGAAAAGCGCCATAAAATGGAATTAGCGGAGAAGGGGACAATGGACTCGGGACGCGGAACAGCGAAACGATACAACAGAAGACCAAAGGGGGACACGGCGGAAAACAAGTAACAAAAGACAACAATTCAGCACAAAGAATAAGAAAAGAAAGGCAAAAACAAAAAAGAAAAAGCAGCCTCGCCGGATGACACCCGCGCTATCGGCAAAGAAAACCCCGCGGGGATCCCGGTCAGTTCAAGGGGTCTCACCTCGAGGCCCGCTGAACCCTCCCCTTCTGACTGCACTCCTAGTGTATGTGGGCCGCGTGGAGGGTGCGACAAATGTCGATGGGATCAATCTCGATCGTTTTAGACGTGCATCCATCATATGTCGTCGACTGCCGAATGACCTGTCAAACCGTACCCTTGTCCCGCGCCTAACCTATATCGCTTCCCCCAAGTCTCTCTCTTCCCTCCTCGTACTTAACGGAACGAGGCCCCCCAGCCTGCGTAATGACGTCCGGGGTGCCTTTCCCACCTTTGCTTCTTCCTTCTTCCTCGCGTCCCTTCCCGTTCCTTCCATTCGTTCTCGTTCGTTCGTTTCGCACACTTTGGTTCACCAAGACCTGCCTTCCCGTCTGTCCCTCGTTTCGTTGTCTCGCTTCGTCACTCACTCGAGTCACTCGTTGTTTTAAAAGCCAGCTATTTTCGTCTACTCCATGTCAGTCGTTTCATTCGAGTAGCTTATATACGTTCTCTTCTCGGGATAAGCATCCAGTCTTTATCCATCCTCTCGTTCTCTCCTATACAGAAAGATAAGAAGCATCCAACTTTGCCTCTCAGAAAGCAACAACCGTGTGTGCACCACCACAACACCTTCTCTCTCCACCACACCAAGAACCAAAACCACCTGGCTCTCTCTCTCTCTCTCTCTCTCTCTCTATCTCTTTCCCCAACATGGCAGCCACCGCCCACCCTCAACCCCAATCCCTCAAACAACGCTTCTGGTCCCGCCAACCCGCCAACGTCTTCGATCCCCCTCCCTCCTCCTCCTCCTCCTCCGCTTCTACTCCCGCTTCCAGACAGCCCTACGTCCCCGCCACGCCGCCCGCGACTCCTCCCGCAAACCCTCCTCCACCCGCTCCACAACCTCCCTCTCCTCCTCCTCCACCTCCGCCGCCCCCAGCCACCGCTCCTCTCTCCGCTCCGTCCCCGACGGGCCCAGACACACCCCGCCTGCTCCCTCGCCGCCGGCTCCATCTTCACCGTCGAAGAAGACGCCGACGCCGACGCCGACGCCGACACCAACGACGACGACGACGACGACGCCTCCGAGGCCGCTAGCCGCAAACCCTCCCTCTCCCACCAGAGCCTGAGCCGCCACCGCCCCTGCTCCTGCGCGCTCTCCGACGCCCCCTCGGCCCCTTCCCTGACCACATACCCCTCGTACTCGTCGACCGCGAGCTCCGCCGCCGCTAGTCAGAGAGCTCGGCGCATCATGTCGCAACCCAAGCCCGAGAAACGCGGCCTTGGGAGGGCCATTGCCGACTACATCAAGCCCCCGAGGGATTAAAGCAGTCGCGGTGCTGGCGTCTCATATTTCTTTTTTCTTTCTTTTTTTCGTTTCCTTCTTCCATGGTTCTCTTGCAAATAGTGTTTGGTTTACGTACCAAACCCTCATGATTTTATCATCATACGTTGATCGATTCTGGCGTTTTCCAAAGGTGAGGGGGCAGGCAAGCACTTAATACATCGCACATATTAGTCGCGAACTGGAGATGACATCTTGGTGGGGTTTCTTGAGTATAAATGTAGTCACCGAAAGGCTTTTGGTTTTCATCGGATTGGGAGCTCATCTTTTTATTTGGTATCATGAACTGTAAACATATCCATTTCATCAATCATAACGACCAAGCTCGCTTGGCCCGGAATTGTCTGCTTTTAAACTACCAGCCCGTTACACCTTTTGTTCCATCTTTTGATCTCATTTTGCCTGTCCCTATTGACAGTTTCTCAAAGGAAAGGAAGGGCCTGAAAACGAAACCATCTTTAGTGACACCAAACCCGCTATCCAAAAGGGGATACCTGATGCCTTCACTATGCCCAAACCTCCCTAGTTCCATCTCAACCTGCCCGCCCCGGTCGCCCTCTCTCGCCAGGACAGCTCCTCCCACATGACCGAAGGGTCCGCGAAAAAGAAGGGATTCTTTCTCAAATCGCCCGTGACCACAGACGTCCGCAAGTTCGTCGAGATGGTGGCTAGCGGGCCCCGCGGCGACGATGAGGGCTCCATCGGCTCCAGCTTGCACAAGTCTGGCGATACAAGCTGCATGTGGCTCGCGATTGCCGGGGATAACGGCTGCCGTAGGGGAGGGAGTGCGAGTGATTCTGAAAGTTCGTCGCCCCGTGCCGCCAGTGGTGGCGGGGTGGTGGGAGGGACAGCGACGGGGGTAGAGGTAGGGACAATGATAGAGACTTGGGACGCGACGAGACCAAGCACGACGTCCCCGCAGCCCTTTGCTGCGCTGGGACCGACGACTTCATTGGCGTTGGCCGTGATGTATGGGGAACGTGGGGGATAGGGATCGGCGTCGTCGATATCCACCGCCCATTTTCCTTGCCGTCCGGTTGGTATAGGGTTCGGGCGCCAGCTCGGCGATGGCTCGAGGGCGTGCCAGCGGGGAGGACTTGGTGCGGACCCCCTGCTGTTGACGCAGGGTAGCACCACCTCCTCCCCGTCAATCACCTTGCGTTTGCGTCGCCTGGGATTCGACTTGACAGCGGCGAGAATCGATGCCTGTGGCTTGGGCAGCAGAATGGACGTTGGTGTGTGGAAAGTGATGGGGATGGGTGGTGAGGACTGGGTAACGGAAGGCGTGTGTCGCATAGGCGGCGTCGCGCAATCTCCGTCTGGTGCCACCGCTGTTGATACGTCTAATGAGGTAGAGGCTATAGTACTTGTGGATATGGCGGCCGGTACCATTGTTGCTTCAGTTTCTGGCCCGCCTTCGAGAACGGCGGGATCCGGTCGTGTGAGCGCAGCTGGAGCGGATTTTCTCTGGCGCCTGGCCTTGGCTGCTTCGTTGCGCTTGATCTTGGTGGCAGCAGCGGCGGCTGCATATGTTGCCGCCAATGAAGGCAACTCCATGAGTGGCGGGGTGGGTCTCCCGGATAACCGTCGAAGGCTATCCATAATCCTCCACGTTAGGTAGGCTCCATTGATCTTGTCCTCCTTGACGCCCTTGGCCGGTTTTGGGGATCGCTTCTGCGCTCCATGCTGCGTACCGGATGGATCCAACGCATCGCCCGGGGCTTTATCCGCTATTTCGGATATCGCGTTTAGTACGTCGGCTTCGGTCTTTTGTTCTCCAGGCGCTACGGCCTGGTAGGGTAGCCCACTTGCGATGATTGAATCCGAGGTTACTGGAGTATCTTGTAGTAGAGCACCCTCTCCGGTCTTTTCCTTCTTCAGAGACATTCTCTTGGTCGACGTCTTTTTCTTTTCGCCGCCCGCGCTCTCCCTCTTGCGTTTCTTCGGTGGCTCCGGTAACGCGGCACCGGGCGGCAGCCATAGCGCCGGGACTCGTTCCTTCAAGTTGTCCACCCATGCGTCGCAATCCCACTGGATCCAGTAGTCAATCACGTCTCCCCAGATACTCTCGGGAGGCTTGGTGAAGTTGATAAACACCACCTTGCCTCCTTTGCTGTGCACGGCCTTGGCGAACTGCCTAACCATGACTTTGAGACCATGGACCTTCAAGGACGTCCCGAGAATAAGCAAGAGGTCGGGACCAAGCCCGAGGTCATGAGTGATGACGGGAGAAATCAAATGGGCGTTAGGGTGGTCTTCGCCGTATAACACAATGTCAGGGCGGAGCTTCCCGACACCTAGAGCCCGCTTGCCCCTCTCTTGTCGCGCAGCCGCAGCACCGGCGCAGTGGGGACACTCTGGCTGGCGGCCGGATAGGGTCTCGATTTCCCGATCGTCCCCGTCCCACTGAGATAGTTTGCGGCAGAGGAAACATCGCAGCCACTCGAGTGAGCCGTGGAGTAGGACGCATTCAACGCCACTAGATGGGGAGAGCCGCGCGCCTGAGACAAGCAAGTGGGTTTGGCTGTTGCCTCGGTTTGGGATGCTTGGAGATCGGGTTCAGCAGGGTTCTGGCCTGTGCTGCCCGTCGATTCCGCTGGTCCAATTGTGGCTGGTTCTCGCGAGTCGACGCCTCCCTCGGTGGTGTCCTGAGATTGGCATATTGAAAGCTCGGCTACAACGTCGGGACCATCTATCGGAGCCTGTCCAGTGCCGACGCTCTCACCTTCTTTGTCAATCATCTGCTTAGACTCCCCTGTAGCTTCCAAACCGTCTTCGCTCAAGCTAGACGCCTCTTTGCTCACAACGGAGCTCAGGCGGGACAGGGTTGACCGTCGGTTTGAGAAGCGGCTCCTCTGCCCGGGACCACGGTCAAGGAGGTTGCCAGACCAACCTTCTCCTCGATTCGGTCGATATTTTGCGTGTAGCAGCGAACCAACTTCCCCGGTCACGCAAATGGCCAATGAAATGGTGCGAGGTGGTGGGCGAGACGTCGCGGGCTTTCTGGCGGAGGGTGGTGGCAAAGGTGTAAAAGACAGAGGTTCGGACGGGGCAGGCCCAGATTGACGCGTCAAATAAGTCGCGCCCCTTGATGTTGGGGATTGGTAATTTCGCCGATAGGGTGGAACCCTGCGAGGAGGTGCCAGGATCAGATGAGGGTGGGGTTTCGTCCGTCTCCGAGGGCGCGGTGCTGCTACCGAAACTAGATCCTCGGGGCGAGCAGGGCGATTCATCCCGGGGGTCAAAGAGTACGGGCGGCGGTGAGGAGAGGGGCGAGGAGCTGCAAAAGTGAGGAGGATCCCCCAGGGAACGGGATTCGGCGGCTAGGTCGGCGAGTACTCTACGGTGGTGGGGGTTCATAGGCCCTCGGGTCGTAGGGGTCGCCGGAAACGGGGCGACTGACGGCGGTGAGGAGGGCATGTCGCGGCCCGTGGCAGCCCAGTTTGCCCACCTTCCGCGGATCTCACTGAATAAGAAGCTTTGCCGAGTGTCAAGAGAGAGGCCGACGCTGACGGGGCGGCTCTGTCTGGAAAAGGGGAAGATCCGGTCCGAGTAGCGAGGAGGCGAGGACTGTGGTAGCGTGGAATACGTCTGGTTTCGGGGAGGAGATTCGAACTCGGGCGGGAGAGAGGCAGCTCGATTGCTCCGATCCAGAGCTTCTTGCGAAAGCTGGAATGAGGGGAGTCCGGAGCACCGTTCTGAGGAAGCTCGCACTCCTCGTCTTGGTCCTCCTGCTCCTCCTCCTCCTCCTCCTCCTCACGATTTCTTTGGCGACGAGCTTTCCGGTTGGTCGACGTGTCACAGGCCAGAGCAGGCTCCGGCTTGACAGTAATTGAGTCCTCGCTTCTGGGCTCCGTCGCGTCAATCTGGGAGAGTCTGCTGCTTTTCCTCCTCCCTCTGTTGCCGCGTCGCCCTTTTGTTCTCTGTTCGGCACTGGACAGCTCTGCCACGCCATCCAACGTGCTAGGTTCGTCGGATTCGACGCGTCCAAGTTTCCGGCGTTTACTGGCTCTGGCTGTGGGGAACTCGTCGTTATTTGACGCGTCATCTTGGGAACCGCGAGTGCTGGGAACCGACTCTACGGCGGACATAGGGAGCTGGGACTGGAACCGGGCGGCAGCTTCGTATTGAGCCTGGATAAGCTGGTAGAGACCATTTTCAGATCGGAAGTCCTAAACAGTCAAAAAAGTCAGAAAACGGAACGCCACCCTCTTTCCTCGCCCCTCCTCTTGTCGATAGTTGAAGGCGAACAAGAGGTCGTGAGGCAGGTTCGCGTGCTGGACTACTACTAACCGGAATGCCCGAGTTCGTGCTAATACCCGCGCCAGTCACGACAACGACCTTTTTGCCTTGACAAGGGCATTGGCAATGACCTGGAGAGCCTCGCCGTCTTCCGGCCGCACGTGGGCGGTCGGCATGGCGGGCAAAGACTGTGTGGAATATCAAAAGGGTGATTTATAGGCAAAAAGATGCAAAGATCAAAAGAAATCAAAATAGTTTAGAGGATTGCCTTTCAAAAGCCGACGCCGGGGAGATTTTGGCGGTCCAATACCGCGTTGTAAAAATGGGGTTGGTTTCGAACGCGCGAGAGCGTTGAATCATCTAGGATCGGTGATGAGGACGCATTGGTGTGGTTTGACGCGACGTGGACGGGTTTCCCAATGCGGCGGAGATGCGGTTGTTTGGCCCGGCTCGGAAAACGGTGGGAGCAGACAATTGGGAGAAGAGAGGGCAGTGAACTTGAATGGGACGAGAAAACTCGTGACCTTGGAATCGACAAGGAAAAGAATAAAAATTGACGCCTACACGTTCTCAAATGCAGGGATTGTCCAAGTCGAGGAAACAGGAACTGTCGTGCAAGCGGAAGAATTGAGGAAAGCACGACGCGGAGAGCAAAGCCGGGCACGGTGCAGCTGCACCACTGCTTCTTTCAGTCAGGAAGACCCGCAACAGGATAACGGGACCGCCACAAACTCGGAAGGCTCGACGCTGATGAGATAAGCTGATCTCAATGTCTGTCCAATGTCCCTTTTGTGACGCGATGACAGTTCTAGTGCTGTCTTTGTTTGGTCGTAGTGGGGTTACGCTCTGAGTCCGGAGAGAGACAGACAGACCAACTTTGATGGGGGAAATTAGGAGATGGAGAGCAAGAAGCAGTTTGAAGCCCCCTTTAGATCAATCAATTAAACCCGGGCGGCGTTTGTTTTCCCTCTTCTTATGCTAGTAGACACCATTCTGCACTTGGATCAATCAATTAACTGAATATCTTGACAATACAAAATACCGTACACGAGCAGCAATGGCGGCAGATCATAGATGTTATTGTTCGTTGGATGGCTTGGCGCACCATTCTTAGACGCGGGGATAACCTCGAGATACAGGTGGTACGTACCGACCGCTGCAAATACCCCGAGGGCTCATCGACATCGACGCGCCGCTCGCCAAGCCATTGAAGGCCTGAGCTGAATGAGATCAGCATTTTTACTTGCCCACCACGCGACTGTTTTCGGGAATTTTTCTTTCTGGCGTCTTGGTCAACTCAAGGTGGCAGACACATGGTGTCAACTGTGAGGCGACACACGCCTCTCCCGGACCCGATCTCGTCCCAAAAAAGGAAAGAGCGATCTCGCGATTTTACTGGTGGCAGGAGATTTTGGCTCTGCGACCCCTTGCAGCTCTGCGCGTGCTCCGTCACATTGGTGGGTGGGGCCTTGGGAAACCAGCCAAACAAAAGCAGGACCTGTCAGAGACAAGACGAAATGAAGCTTCGAGTGCTTCTCAAAAAGCTTCGGGAACACGCACATGTCGATAGAAACCCGATTCTACTGTTCACTGTTTCCCGAAATTTTCAAAGCCATCATTACTCGTCCCTTTTTTATTCTTCTACTAGTTTTCCCCAAAAATAGTGCTCAAGCATTTCTCGACGTCAGGCATTGAATTCTCCACGAGTCAAGGGATGGAGCCGCACTCCCCACCGTCGCATTCCATTCTTTGGTCCCCGCGCCCGTGAAACGCCACAGCGCCCAACCACGAGCGCCGAACGCTCCTTGAGACGACCCCGTTTGATCGGCTTCGGTTCGTCGTCGCATAACCACACTTCTCCCCATCCCCTCACACCTTTCACCACCAACCGCCCTGGAGCAAGGCACTCTGCTATTCCGTGGGTTCTGGTGCCCCTGCGACGCCGAAATGCTAGCTCAACAGGTTGCCGATACCCCCGGCTAACCCTGTCGTCATACTCGATGGCCTAACAATTCTTCTCTGTTCTTTTGACGGCAAGTTTAGCCTTGCCGTGCTTCCGGCGAAGTGGTGCAAGCCGACGCCATGATGAAAGAAGGACGAGACGTAAAACAAGAGAGCGTCGATGTCAGTGGCACGGGACATATAGACCCCAGCTGTTGTAAGGAAAATCCACTCTGCATTCCCAAGCGCGGGTCGAAGCATCGTATAAGATCCGACGAGGGTGATCGTCGCCATCAAGTCTTGGGGATTTTCCTCTCCTTCTCTCCCTCTCTTTTTTCTCTTGGAAGTTCTTGGTCTTGACGTGCGCATCGTAGTCTGTCGCTTTCTCAGCCTTTTTGCATTTTTATCATCTTTCGCTTCTAATCCTCTGGACAGGATCATTTTATTCTTGTACTTTTTTATACACTTCTTTCCTTCACTCTTACTCTTTTTCTCCTCTTCATTCCCCCAAAAGAATCAAAATGGCTCCCTCCCGATCCGCCCTCTTCTCCCTCCTCCTTTCCGCGCTGCCGCTGGTGTCGGCGCAGGAGTGCACTCTCCAGTTCGACGGCAGGACGCCCGATGACTTCGCCGCCGCCGACTTTGATGCCAACAACAACATCTTTAGCCCCGATAATGTCTTTGGCCAGGGTCTCTCCTTTGGCCAACTGATCAAGCTCCCCAACGCTGGCTTGTCCATTGTAAGTCTCTTTAGTTGCACTTCTCCGCGGCCTCTCAGAAACACCAATGAACCCCAAAAATGAAGACGAGTCGGGCACACATGAAGAGAAAACCTTGAATTCCTCCCTGTTTCTTCTACCTTTTTACCTAACACCCCATGCTTTCCCCTTCAGTTCGACGACGGCACCGCCCCCTTCGAAGTCACCATCTCCGACGACTCCATCTTCCCCCTCCCCCGACAACGTGCAAACGGGCTTCCGCCGCGCCGAGCTCATCCCGGCCTCCAACTCCGGCACCGACCCTCCACCACCGGCGTCAAGACCCTCCACTTTAGCCTCATGAAGGACGCCGCCCGGCCCCTCAACCTCTCCCACGAGTACCAACTCGTCTTCCTCGAGAGCAACGACTTCTCCACCAACCAGGTCGTGCTCAAGACCGGCACCATCCTCGGCGGCAACACCGCCGACCCCGACACCCTCCAGCTCTTTGGCAACGTCAACCAGGGCAACCTCTTGTTCAGCACCGCCTTCACCGCGGGCGTCTTCCACAACTTTGGCGTCCTCCTCGACTTTAATGCTCTGTAAGTACCGCATGGCTGGTTTTGCTCTTTTTCTTTTTTCCCCTGTCAACTTCGTTTACTAACACTGCTCCATAGCACCACCCAAGTCTTCTACTCCACCGGCTCCGACCCCTCGAGGAGCAGACCGACGCCATCGCCAACGACGTCAGCGGCCAGGGCCAGTTCCACTTTGGCGTCCTCAAGAAGCCCACCGACTCCGCCGGCGACATCACCAAGGATGGTTTCCAGGAGGCCGGCATCGACGAGGGCATCATCTTTGGAGGCATCTTCCAGGAGGACTCGTCCGACGGCTGCATCAGCCTTTCTCTGTAAATGGCGGAAACGCCGACCCTTTTGTCTACACCCAACCACCTAGTTCCACACCTTAGATCTCTGCTATCAAGGTTGCCCTGGGTAATGATGCCCATGTATTGTGGTAGATAATGCCTCTACTCGCCACAGGGCTTGGTGGAACGTCTTGGTGCACTTTTTCTCCTCTTGTCGTATTCGCATCGTATAAGCATCATGGGAAAGGCAAGCGCATAGGACAAGACTTTTTTGATAGTTTCTTTTTTTTCTTGGAGCAGGCGCCGTACATGAAATGTAAAAGAATTGATGAATCGCGAGAACAACGCAAAAACATGTGCTTTTAAACAGATATAAGTGGAAGAAAACAATTCAACCTCATCTCAGAGCCATGTCAATATGGGAGAAATGAAGAATAAAAAAAAAAAAGATGAAATTCACTATCAAACGGCATCCCTTTGCTCTATCTAGGGAGCCTCTTCTTCGCTTGTATCGTCTATCGTGTCCTCATCCCCCTCCTCTTCTCCACCAAGATCAATACCCAAATTCACATCCACATCCACATCCACATCCCCCGCCGCCCTCCCCATCCCTCAAAAAAACCTCCAGCAACTTCCCAAAATCCCCGGCACGCCCACCCCCGTCCCGCAATCCCACCCCTCCGTCGCCGGCCACCCGCCCGGCGCGTCCCCATCCCAGATACACCCCGCGCTCACACCCCCACCACGTCCTTCATCACGGCGCGCACCTCGTCCGAGTACAGCCGCGGGTTCAACCACCCCGTGCGCGACAACCCACGCCTCGCCCGCGCGTCGTTGACGAGCGCAAACATGGCCGCCAGCACGGGCGTGCTCGCGCTCGTCCCCATGGCGGCGCCGGGCCCCCGCCGTAGTAGAGCTGGTAGGCCACGCCAATGGCCGACACGTCGGGAATGGCGCGGCCCCCGGCCTCGTAGTGGCCCTCGAGACGGCCGTCGAGCGCCGCGATGTAGCCCTCCACCGCGTCGGCCTGCCACGCCGGGCGGTCAAAGTAGATGCTGAAGCCGCCGGTGGAAAAGGTGGCGACCTGGGGCGGGGCGACCTGGTTCACCGCGCCGATGGCGGTGACGTAGGGGCACGTGGCGGGGAAAGACGCCATGGTGATGGGGCGGTTGAGTCCGTCGTTGCTGCGGCAGTCGCCGTACCGCACGCCGCGCGATCCGCCGTCGCCCGTGGCCACGAGGATGGAGACGCCGCGGCTCGTCAGGGCGGCGAAGAGGTCGCATACCTTGAGGGCGTACTCGCGGGGCACGCCTTGCTCGTCGTCGGCGTACGAGATGGAGATGACGTGGGGCAGGTCCGCGTCGTCGTCCTTGGCGAGTAGGTACTCGAGGAACTCGAGGTACGGCTCGTTGTCGGACCGGCTCTCGGCCATGGGCTGCCCCGTGGCGTCGAGCTTCTCGCCCCGCCCGCCCGTGACCGAGTAGACGATGTTGGCCGGGTATCCGAGGGAGAGGGCGTACTGCACGTCCAGCGCGGCCTCCATGCCGGCCTTGGACATGATTTGCGGGTCCTGGCCACCGTTGATGAGCTCGATGGTGACGTTGCGTACGGATTCGGGAATGTACGGCGCGTACTCGTTCATGAAATCGTGGGTGTCTGGGTGAAAGAGGTTCTGCTCCAGGAAGCCAGCCACAAGTAGGAGCACGTCGGAGAACGTCCCGGCCTCGGCGTCACCATCATCTCCCGTCGTCGCGTTGTAGTAAAAGTTGTACAGCTCCCGCAGGCAGTCTGGCGTAGTCTGATCGGAACACGGGGGCTTCTCAGCCGGTACCGAACCCTCGGGAGGGTCAATAGGCTCGTCGGGCACCTGCCTCGCCTGGATCTCGGCAGCCTCTCGTCTCGCCTCAATCCTTGCCCTCGTAAGCTTGCTCTCCTCTTCACTTCTCCGGCCATCCCTCTTTCTGCTTTCTCTGCTCCTCCTCGATTCCGTCCTCGCGACCTTGTCTCCACCCTCCTCCACCCCTCGCTTCCCAGTAACAAAGTTGCTCAGCGGATGGATGAAGGCCACGGCATCCGCCACATCGCCCAAGGAACACCGTAGCCGGTAGATCGCATGACGGGCTGCTTCCCCGCCAAGGCAAAGTAGGCGATATTCGCTCCGAGAATGTCGTTGGCCTCCCGCACGGTCGAGTTGACCTTGATCCAGTCGTCGTGCACCTCGGCGCCTGCGAGGCCGCTCTTTGCAAGCCACGCGAGGACGGTGTCGGTCCGATCTTGCGGGGGCCGGCGTAGTGTACGGACCTCGGCAGCGGATAGGTGCTTGCCGAAATCCTTGTGCTTGGGGTCGGAGATCTGGGCCAGGCGTTGTTTCAGGGCGGCCATATTCTCGTCGTTCTTGATCGAGATGGAGAGAGGGAGGATGTCAGAGAGGTTGGGGACCTCGGGGAGCTGTGACCAGCCTTCGGCCAGCTCGGGGACATGTTCCACGGTGAATAGCTCGGTGAGGAGGGCGGCCAGGGAGGGGCCACGCCAACGCCCGAGAGAGCGAGAAGTAGGGTGGACCTCATAGCTGCGGCGCCCACGATAAACGGCTAAACTTGATATGCGTGTTCGTCTTCTTGGTGTTGTAGAGACCGAATGCCCAGTGGGGCAAGGGAAGGAAGAAAAGAGAGGAAGCCACCCAATGCCGAACGGGTGTAAAGAAGAAGATGAGCGAAAAGAGAGAAGAAGGTAAGGAGAACAGAAAAGAGAAGTTGTAAGAAGAACAGACCAGCAACCACAAGATTAAAAATAGAGAGCAAGGACGCGGGCTCGGCAAGACGGGAAAAAGAAAGAGGAATGACGGGCACGCGCGTATCCTATGTTGGTGCGACCCGCTCCGTGGCCGTCACGAGTGTCTAAAAGAGCTCTTTAAGCGGAAAAGACGGATGGGACCGAGATCCGGGCTTTTCCTCTTTCCTCCCCACAGAGAAGCGAACGGGTGGCGTAAAGAGGCTGCGAGGCCCAGGTAATAGGGCGGAGGAAGCGAAAAGAAAAAGAAAAGAGGCGAGGTAAGAAAATCAATAATAGCGCAAAGGGAAAAGTAGAGAGGTAGAAGCAGGCGATTGTAGCGCCGCTACTCTGAAATGTAGCCGCCACCGGGCCGGCGATGACCTTTGCTTCGATCTGAGAGGATTTCTTCCTTTTATGGGTGTCTCAGTCCCGGAGCCCCGATGCTGTCCTGCGGTTGGTACCACGCAGGCGCTAGCTTTTGGCGTCTTTCCTTTTTTGTTATTTTATCCCGAGATCCTCCCTCAAATGTCTCTCCGGTGGTCCCCTTGGCGGTTCCTTGTTTGTCGCTGCTCCTCTTATTTAAGTTTTTCTTTTCCTTCCCCTCCCGATCCGCTGCTCAGATGCCCTTCTTCGGGCTGTAGTGCAAGGTCCCGAGGATCCTTTGGGTGTTAGTGCGGCCCAGCAACGTAATAACGATGGGTCGGTCCCGGTTTAGTGGTCCAGATTGGAGTAACTCGGCCCACGGAAACGAAAGGAGTGGAGTAGGGAAAGGCGAAACCGTCGTGGTGAGCGACCGTAGATCATCAACGCCTTGGACCCAGGAAACCGCGAAGCGACTGTGTCAAATGCTCCGAGAGAGACACCTAGGCGATGGAGGAATGAGTCGTGAAGCCTCGGAGGTATCAGGCGAGCTTTAGGAAATATTTGTGAGGGAACCAGTTGAGGGAAAAGGAAAGGAGCTCAAAGTATCTCGGGGATGGGGAAGCCTATATATCATTAATATAACCATGTAGGGCAGGATGACCGAAGTTGGGGACGACAATATTGAAGCCGCACCCCCAATCGATCGCAATTGATCTTTCTCTTGCGTTCTTTTGTTAACATTCAGAGTTTCTCAAAAGCTATAGAGATCTAAATAGAGCACAGCGATATAGAGGAGGGATGAATTGAAAGAAAGGCGCAGGAAGGGGCCATAATTCAACCTTCAAAGAGCAAGCGGTTCGCTCCGTCCAGAGCTCTCGACAATGCGTCAGATACAGTACCTCGGTATATTTGGGTGCAGTCGTGATTGAGATCAACTCAATGGTCGTGCTGTGTTCTATACCTAATTGATAGCTCGAGCGAATATTAGAGAATCGATCTGGGGCATTCCTCGTGGATGCAAGGGAAGGTTTGCCAATTCCACGCATTCGCCGTGCCGAGGCCAGCATATTGCCGAATATACCCAGCTTACATTAAAAAAGAAGCAGAACGGAACCCAGGAAACTCTTCGATTGATGTGGGCGTCATCATGCGAAGGGATCTATTCAAACATTTGAAGCGAGCTTGAGATAGAAGCGTCCAAGACATTTGATTTGGATCAATCAATTCACGCTTGAGTACCCTACACACCCGTAACCACGCGCACCTTTTCTTTCTTTCATCTCCTTTTCTCTTTCCACTTCGCAACCTCGCTTGAGCAATCAATGGATCTTGGGGAGGAGCGGGTGGATAGATCGTCTCCATTCCCCATGTCCTAATCCTTGCCGACCGTTCCCCTCCATTCTTCCCCGGAAAATACCAAGCCCGGCATCAAATTTCACATGACCAAGCCAAGCGCAAAGGCGAAAGAACGGTCGCGGCCGAGCCGGGACGAGTCCCATCAGCCACCGCCAAGCAGTGGAGGAAGTATGAAATCGGGGGTCGTCAAGTCACTGTCAATCAGCTACAGACCACCTAGAGTTCGCCTACAATTCAGAGGGGTCCTATCAATTGATCACTCGCGATGCATGCTCAATCTACAATATCTCATCTGTTGTAGGTTATCCCGAGCAGGCCATAGTCTGCTCGTCATGCCAAACAAGAGAAACATGGATGCGTTGAAGAACCAACATATCACCCTCTTGGCCGTTGTCTTATTGTCTTGGTTCAAGTTTGGAGTATACACTAACAGATTGGTCACCTCCATTGCCAAGCTGCTTCCATCAATTGACCACTGTCGAACCTCCTCTCGTTGTCTTTTGCATTGACGTGCTTGATCTGAATCTGGATCCAGAGCTGGAGAGCTGGCGCGCCATTGGACCGAGGTGTCCAACCCGCTCCCGTCTCTTATTTTCCCAGTCCAGAAAGATGAAGCATGGATTCACTAATGGAACAACCAGGCCTTGTCTTCCCCAAGATCCCTCTTTGTCAATCTTTCCTGAGCTTACATGTACGACGTCCACGTACAAGGGTGATAAAGTGAAGGAGAAGGGGAAAGTAAAAACAACCCCCCACACTAGGTCACAAATGTCAAGACAGACGACCTTGACCTCCTTGAAGTCGTTGATCCCTTCAATTGATCGCGGATTACCCGAGGCGTATCTCATCGGCTCACTGGTGATCGAAGGACTCGTCCGAGTACCCCTGGCACCATTTGGTGTGCTCATCCTGGTTTGTCCTGGTTCCATGTTTCACCTCTCACGTCACTTGTCGCTTCATCGATGGTCTTTTTAACTCTGCTCATGCTCCCCGCATTACGATCGCCCGACACACAGCCCAGCACTCCAAAATCGAGCGAACCATGGAAAAAGAAAAAAAGAAAGTAAGAGAAAATAACAGAGAGCATTGGAGACTGCAACAAGAAGGGGTGCCGGAGTAGAAAATGAAAAGACTCCTGAGAGAAAAGCCTCTTCTTCACACCCGCACCTCAACCCGCCAAGTCCCATGCCAGCTCTTCTCTTTTGATTATGTGACTGTATTTCCCCATCCTTTTACAATATCTCCAATTCAGCCGCGGAACGAAGACGGCACCGCGCCGGAACACAGAAAGCGCATTGGAGCGCCCAGCCGCGGGACCACGCAGAAAAAGTCCAGATTGCGAACGGAAAAGAGGTGGTATAACTTTGTCCGGATTGAACCGCATGACGCATATTGACTGGGGCATGGAGGTCGATCGCTCTTTCTGGATTGCACCTCCCAATCTATTCAAGGGAAAAAGCTCAACACTCCGACCCGAATGTGGGGCAATTCACCACCATTGCAACTTCCCTTCTCCCCCACAATCGGCATGTCAGCTCACACACACTGCCTGTCTCTCTCTCTCTTTCGTGCGCGCTCTTTTCCCCTCCTCTCTGCTAATAACCGACGGACCTCATTCGATTATTCCACTCGATGCAGTGAACAGATACTCTGAGTCTTCTACTGAATTATGTAGCTCCATAGCTAACATTTACTTGCAGGTAAATCTAGTGTCTGCCCCAATCTCGAGTGAGAGCCACTGTGTAGAATTGCATTTTTGTTGCAGAACGGCAGCGTCAGGGCGACGGGGAAAGACTTTTGAAAGAGAGCAGAGCAATAAAGCCAGATACAAATGCTTACGACTCGCTACCTGGAAGCCTCTTATGAACCGCGATTGCTGCTTGAAACATATGCATATGCGACGACTCCAGCCTTTCCCTCCCTTATCACTTGCGATAGAGACTTTCTAAACCTCTCTTTGATATTCTGGTCGCGTGTAGCGGCAACTAGAATCATCGAGGAAATCACCCTCAGAGCTATATGGACAGTCGTGATTGCTGAGCCGCATCTCACCAAGAGAGCCGCCGGCAGTTTCAAACGCCATCTTCAGTTATAAAGATGACCATTGCTTACCTTCGTATTCCCGATCCCTATCTCATGATTGAATACGTACAGGACCTCGCTGTTGCTATCAAGGCGTGGGGCGGGCGAGGGGCTGGCTTCTCATCCATCTTCAGCCTAGCTTAGATGGGATCCGATCCAATGTCGGTAAAGCTGGCGACAGCTATTCAAATCGGTAGCGACATCTAACACCTCTGCCCTCTCTGAGGCAGGGCAGTCCAGTATAAGCATTACAGCGCCCAACTGCATCTGGAAAAGTAGGCCGCAAAGATCAAGGGCATTAGCTACTCAAAAGGAATCTTGGAGTAGGAATAACAAGACGTTGCGTTAGTACGTAGGCCACGCTGAGATGAAGTTCAAAATGTGAGGTCTCCGCTTCGTAGAAACCGACATCCATACATGTATAGAAAGGTCGAATCTGATGAACCGTTTGTCACACTTTTGCGACATCCAACAATGAGAGTCTTTCTGTCCGCCGCCCTAGCGCGAACTAGGTCAGAGTTCTATCCGCGCACCAAACACTAGAGAAAGCTGTCAAGAGGGTGTGGAGGCATCCATAGTTTGGCGATTCGGGCCCACGGAAAACGAAAATGTTGAAGAGGGTTCGAGCATCAATCTTGGTGCCCAACTCCCTCTTTGGCTCCGTAGCCCGACATCATGGATAGACAAGCTCTATATCTGAGATGTGCTGTTGACCATCAGCGGAGCACAGCGAACTTCACGCTTCCAATACATGCGAGCCCTGGTCTCTTCTCCGGGAACGGGCACCCATGCACGCTGCTTGCTATGAAGCGGCTTCTATTTGTAAGAATGCGGCCGGTCGAGAGTTAAGACCGTTGGCCCTTGGTAGGTATAATGCTGCGAAGCGTGTGTCCTTCTGGAAGATTAAACGCATACGCCGTGCCATGAAACAGGCGCTGGCTCCTAGACGACCAGGTCGAGAAGCGTCCGACAGGGACTCACCAGACGCGAGTTCGTTGCTAGCTCACCGACGATATTGCTTGTGCCTGCTACAGCATCTACAGCGCGCGGATACACGCTGGGAGACAGAATTCCCTTCATCCATTCTCATCCTCGTCTCGGATCCTTTTATGAGATCACCTCTCCGTGCCTAGATTCCCTTCAATTTTCTCGTCCTATTGCCATGAGACTGCGCCTTCAAATGCGAGCTATCTGGACTGGAGAGAGAGGAGTTTGGTGCGAGAGAGAGAGAGAGAGAGAGAGAGAGAGAGAGAGAGAGCCTTGCGCTCTTAGAATTCTTAAACTTTGCAGGAATCTAGACGAAACATAAAAAGGCAACAGAAGAAGAAATTTAAAATCGACACAGCTTCACTCCACCCTCCCATCCCATCGCACATCGTAGATATTCCACCTAAGGCGAGTGTCACAGATAGACCGTTCTCAAAATCCCAAATCCACATAAAAAAAAAAAAAAAAAGGACAATAATAGATAGCTCGAATCAGTGGCTGCCTTGAGAATCCAAGCAGAAAGGCTCCCTCGTTTCTGGTTCCATGACCTCATCTGACGCGCCGCACCCTTGTGACGCGGTGCCCACCTCGTGCCTCCCAACCTCACAAGCCCCGTATAAACCAAACGTGAGCACAAAATTTTCCCACGGGCTCCCACAGCAGGCGGGGCGCGTCAGCTCTACCTACAAAACTTCAATGTTGTCACGTCATGGGTTGAACGCGTCAAGAGTACTCGGAGACCCTCGCGAACAGTACACAAAGCCACAAAACCATCCATCGCACATCTCGGTGTCGTGCCCAGGGCTCTTGTTACTCCGACCGCCTCTTTCCCGGCACTTCTGCCTAGTTTGGCCGGTTTTGTCGACAAACCAAAAATGAGATTTAATCAAGAAGGCGGTAGAAGGTAATACGGACATCACGATAGGAGAGATAGTCAGGAATGTGGCACAAGATGTATGTGAGATATCAATATTTCGTCTGAGTACTCGTAGTAGTTGTAGTAGTAGTAATAGTGAGATAAAGACAAAACAGAAGTTAGAGTAACTACCGCATTCAGGTACAAAAGAAAGAAGGCGACAGAGGCCCAGTGAATCCAACCAAAGGAGAAAAAGCTTGAAAAAAAAAAAAACAAAGACCAAGCCAGAGACAAAATTCCCATAAACCGATTCCGAAGCAAAGGGTACCATTTACCGAAGACAAACCCCGACAAGAACAAGGCCAAGGCCACCACGCAAAAAGCCCAAAAATAGAAAATCCAAACCCAACAAATTCAGAGCAGACCTCGCCAAATAAATTCGGTAAGGGAAGAGGAGCCCTTCTAAGTCTACCTCCTGTGTGACCACCGTACCTGTCTATTGCCAAGACCCGTGTAAATTTCTTAATACAGAGTGAGAAACAAACAAGAAAAGAAAATGAAAAGGACAAAGAAAAAATTGAGAAATGGAAGAGTGAAAGAGGTGAAGGGAGAGGGACTAGGGTAAGTAAACAAGAAGTGAATCGAATCGAAAGCGAGGAGTGGGTGACTGAGGCGAAAGAGTACGAAAGCCCCCAACCAGAAAAAGGAAGTTGCCGCGAAGAGAGAAAAGGAAGAAATGGAAAATGACTGGCAAACAGGCAACTTCAAAAGGTGAGGGGGTCGTAGGGGGAAGGAGGGTGCACTGTAGGAACAACCGCATCCCAAGAATTCATGGTTCGAGGTTGGCCCCTGATGAAGAACCTCTTCCCGCCCCATCCCAGATAGGGAGGACGAATAGAATTAGAAATTAGGCGTCGTCATAAAGAAGGTCCAGGAACGCCAAAGAGATCCGGTACAGCAAACACGGGAGTATGCACTCGAGCACCAGGGTTGCGTGCACGATAAAAGAAAATAAACCAGGAGTAGAGGGTGTGAGATATGCGCGCCCATTCCATGTTGGGCTTGCGCGGAGACACTAGCCGTAGACTGGCCAAGAAGAAGAAGGCCCAGGTCAACGTGAGAAGGGAAGACGGCGAGGTGGAGGGCTTGAGTATTCGGCGGCCGTGGGGGTGGTGGTGTCTGTGTGTGTGTGTGTGTGTGTGTGTGTGCGTGTGTGTGTGTGACCCGGTCCGTTTGGCTTGCATCGTGACGGCGAAGGTGGGGCGGACGGTGACCAGCATTGCGGCGCCATGCATGCCGGGAAGGTGTGGCGGCGCCATCTTTGATTGGTTGCATCGCCGCTTCAGCTGACCTCGACGTCCCATCCTATCCCCTCTTCCTAGCCTCGCTGCTCACGCCCCGTCAAGGTGATGGGGCACTGCGAACAGAAGGAGAAAAAAAAAAAAGGGATGGGAACGATGTTCACGCGGTCACTTTTCCTAAGCAGCCTCTAGCAGCCTCCTTCTTGACAAAAGCCCTTTCTGCTGTATCGGCATGACAAGTGCCCCCATCCCACCCCTTATCACTCTCCACCGGCGCGGGAGGCATGACGCCATCATGAAACGGGCGCACCCGCTAGCTCTTGCACGAGTGCAAGATGTGGCTCCCTAATCTGTTTCGGATGCAAAATGGAGAGTGGAGGGGGGAGGTCATTATGACCTTTGCGACCCATCGTAAGGTCCGCTGCCGTACATCTGGTGATGCGTTGGCCCATGCTGGGTGCTGAGGCTGGGGTAGCTTTCAGCGTAGGTCGATGGCGTGCCATCCCATCTCGGTGCTGTTGCGACCGCTGTGGCTCCCACCGAGTGCAAGGCTGCGCTGTAGGGTCCCGCTCCCATCACCCTAGTATCGTAAGATGACACCGATGGAATCGACGACAACCTCAGCGATGATTGGGGTGAGGCCCCTCGCGCCGTCGGCGATAGCGTTCTGGTTCCCGCCACAGTCTGGAGCGGGGCGTGAGCGGACGTGTACGGACCCCAAGTGCTGGAGCTGCCCGACAATGACCGGGGAGATGCTAGGCTATCATGGTGGCCGTGATGAGCTGGAACCGCATACGCGCTGGGAGCTTCCGCCGCGCCCGCGCCCGCTGTGAGAGGAGGAGTCGGGAGAGGGGGTAAGGTCCGGACGTGAGCATATGCGTTGAGGAGACCATGGACGAAGGGCTCGCGCTGTATTTGCTGATGATCTTCTTGAGTGCCGACTCCAGCAACTTCCATCGGAACACCTTGACGTCCTTTTCAATGTTCCTGGGCTTGGGGTGGGGAAACCCATAATCACCTTGAAAAACTCTTCCGAGTCGGGCTTGGTCTTGCTGACCGTCAGCGGTCGGAATCCCTCGAGGTTTCTGCGGATTCTGTTCTTCTCCTCCACCGTGAATCGTGAAGGCGCCGCCACCAGCTGCTCCAGCAGGTAAATCGTATCCACCGACGTGACAAAGTGTTCTCGCTTCTCCTCCCACCAGATGCAGCTGATGCAGGTGTTGTTGTTCGGTTTCTCGGTTGGGCCTGCTGGCCGGAATTTGGTCGATAGGGTTGAGCCGTTCTGGCTCTTCTTGAATACCACGATACGGCGCCTGTTGGACCACTCTTCGGGTGACCACCCTCGGCCATCGAGTCCAACTTGCCCTCAATCTCTAGCACCGCCTTGTTGGAGTAGAGTGCGTAAGGGTTGAAGCCCTGGCCGTTGCTGTGTGCGCTGCTCTGGAGGGTGCTCGTGCGGATGAGCTGCGGCACCGATCCCTGGCCCATGGGCATCAAGTTGGGCCTAGACATGCCTCCATGATGCATACCCGCAGGGCTGCGGTGGTTGGTGTCGAGATGCGAGCTGTACGTGGGCCATCCTCCCGCAGGTGTGCGGAGCGCGGGAGGCGCCACCCGCGAATATTGGTCGGTAAAAGTGGTGCTAGCTCTGTAGGTGCTAATCATTGCGTTGTTACCAGCTTGGGGATATGCCGTGGCATACGGCGATTGGGTCGCCTGTTGCGGGGGCATGGGGTAGTCGTAACTATTTGTAGTCGCAGTCGAATCATGTCGGAGCTGAATGGGGGACTTGGGCGGGCTCTCAGTCTGCACTTGCCCAGGTGACTTGGACAGCTTCCTCGTGATATCCTCCGGTCCGCCACCTGCGCTGCCAACCTGAGCATCGCAATACACAAAGTGACCCAAATCTTCCCTCAGGATCTCTTCACCACTGGGGCCTTCGACCAGCAGGTACATTGGCACGTTTGCGGTATGACTCCTGGTCTCCATGTGCTGGGGCACAAGGCAGCTCAAGGCGTATATAGCTTCGCTGCCGTTGACCTTGTGCAAATCGACATGAGCCTGCACCCTGTGCGCGCCAAACAACACCGAAAAGTACGTGACGTTGGTGCTCACGGAAACATGAATCTGAACCTTGGTGTTGCGTGACCCGGACCTGGGCAACCATGAGCTTACTCTAAGGGCCGACACATAGTCCGCGGCCGTTGAGTCGAACGAGTCCTGGCTGAGTTGACTCGCTGCCTGGCTTGCTTGCGTCGGGTAAGCCTGCGCCGAATATTGGTGAGAATAAGGAGAATCTTGGAATCCCCGCGTCGAGTCAAAGCCTGCGATGCCGTACCAAACATGTTAGCCCCCTTCGACTTCATATCCGTTTGGCCGAGGCCGCGCGGGGCATGATGAGTTCATAGCGCACCTGCTCCCAACATACCGTGAATGGCCGCCGACGGAACCTTTGCGTACGTCGCCATCGAGATGAGGCCTGGCGGTGTTACTCCGCGAACGTCTCCGCCGTTTGCTCTGGCGATTGCTTCCTCGTACTTGAGAGCTGCAGTCTCTGGCGAGTCGAGTCTTTCGTCTACTCCCACGATGAACGGCCTCTCAGAGTGCACTTCCGGCTATATCCCTCACTGGTTAGCACGTTGGACAATGTGTTACAGCGTCGAAATATCGACCCAAGAAACGCAGTCGATAGTGAAGTCTGCAGTGATGGGTAGTGGGAAGGTTGATTAACCTTTGACATTGTCATACTAACCTCGAACAACTTGTACGAACCGTCGAACTTAACGGAAGACATCCAGGCAGTCTGATTTTGGAACAGTCTCTAGAAGGATTAAATGGTCGAAGGCACGACGTGATGGCCACTGTTTCGGGGCTGGTCTGGTGCGCTCAGAAGTCCAAGTTGAATGTTGTGAAAACGCGTTTTCAGACTTGAGTAAGGGGGTCTTGAAGGGGTCTTATTATCTCGAGATTACTCGGTCCTATGCTGACCTGTGATGAGCTTGTTGTCGTGTTGTTGCTATTGTTGTTGTCTCTCTTCGGATGTCTAAGGCGAATGACATAGACCGTGGCTATTGGGCCTAGGCAAGATGTGGAATGGGGGGCGAGAGTGTGTGGAACAGTTGAGGATACGATATCAGATCGTCAAGCCTGTTGATGGCCCGCCAGGCACGTCAGTTAGATCCCCTCCTTCTTCATATCCAGCTGAGACAGTCCTCGGTGATGTGACTTACCTGATGATATCGCGCCTAGAACAGCCCACTTGGTTTCGCTCAGCTGAAAGTGGGAATTGCTCTGGGAACTCTCAGCAATGCCGGGATGGATGATCCGAGCCGATTATTGGTGGTGTTGGGGCCAAGGTCGTAGTTTCACCCAGTCTTCAGCTCTCGGGATCAAGGTTGATGTTGGCTCGAAAAGGTTCAGGTGTGTGGTATGTATGATTAAGGCAGAGAGAGACGAGAGAAGTCCGTCAAGAAGTCTGATGCCAGCACTCGAAAGAGAGATAAATGAAAAATGAAAAAGATGACTAGTTGGAAGGATTAGTCCGAGATCCCCACGTTTGAGAAAACAATTTCTGGCAGAGGTCGCAGGCTATGTGTGCGGGTTTGCCTAGCTGCTGTTCAATCTCGTGTGGTAGTCACTTACATGAGTGATTACGCGTAAGGCCCTATCAGAAGGCTGCGGTAACGTATTGAAGAGAAGGACTATGGCTATGACTGAGCGAACTGAGGTTAGCAAAGAGCCCCGCGGTTTCGTTCGTCTGCAGGTAGCCCGAACCTGTTCGCATAAGCCGGGCAAGTGGTGCGCGAGAAAGAAAACGAGAGGAAAGGTGTTCTGCAATCAAAAGAATGTCGCGTCCCGTCAGCGGTTCGTCCAAGCACCTGGTGTTGGATGAAAGACAAGAGGAACAGAGTTATAGTCGCAAAGGAGAGAAATCAATGAAACAACATGTTTTGCAACACTGAGATAGATCAAGATGGTCTCTTATTCAGGTGCGAACTTGTTTGGGAGAGAAGGAGGCGAACGAAGGCTTATGAAGGAAGAGGAGGATATCGCCCATATGTGTATCATTCGCGGTTCTCGTCCTCATCCTACCTCACGTAAGTCAAGAGGCTTTCGGGGAACCATTTGGTGGGCTAGCTCCCCTATTGATCGTGTTGCTTCCTTTTTCCTGCCCGTTTTCCTTTTTTGGGATGCATAGAACTGATGAAAGCGGAGGTCAACTTTGCCATCAAGCTCCACTTGGAAAAGTGAGGGAGCTATGGCCAGCCCCATGACAAGCTGTTCTGGGTCGGTCTGGGGAGTGCGGCGAGGGTACAAGATGGCGAAGAGGGGGTGGGAGTATGGGGAGGGGTGGGATTGGGGGGGGTGAGTAACCTCCTCGCCGTTGGATTTGGATACAGGATTTTCTGCCCTTTCTTTCTTTTTCTTCTTTTCCCTCGTTTTCTCTTCTAGGTGTCTCAACGCAGCGATGGCTCACAGGTGACGGTCTCAGACAAGAGGGGGAATGGAGGGCTATCGCTAGGCTGCTGCTTACAGCCATGGGCCGCCCCCTTCCCGACATCCAGAGAGCGGCTTCAAAGAGCTTCTGCAAGCAACTTTGCTAGGTGCAGCCTCCATTCTAAGAACGAATTGGCGAGGCGCTTAGGAATAACACTTGATAGCCCTTTCTAATCTCGTTTTCGTTTTGACAGCAGTGGCCAGTAAATCGAGAGGGATGGCCTGTGTCGGTTGAGCGTCCCTAGGCGGACTGAGCCTGTCGGGTATCCGGTACAGGATTCCTGGTCTCTCAACGTACCCTCAGTGTTTGTAGTTCCTGAACTGTTGATCGAGTAATCGCACCCCCTGGTGTGGGCGTTCAGAAGGTCTGGGTTGCTTTAGCATGCCATCTGGTCGCCGAACCAATGATCAATTGATGCAACGGACGGGAAGGCCAGGGGCTCTTGTGGGGGATAGGTCGGGCTACCCTGAGTACTGTCCAGGGAGTCTACGCTACCACCACTTTGGTCGTAGCGCAGATCAACCAAGTCGGACGGCCAAGCACTAGCGCAGACAAGAGCTTGAGGGTGGAGCAGTATTGGAAATCCTCCAAACGCCCCAGGGCAGGCGTCTGCTTCTTGCTCAGTGAGCCAGCGGGACAGCAAGCCTCCGTCCCAGCTGCCCCTCAATTCAGAGGATTCTTCGGGCTCTTGTCTAGGGCCAATATGCCTCGAGAGACCCTTTTGTCACCAGAATGTTTCAACTCCGACCTCCACTCTATAGAGCCGTGATGGTCGTTGACTGAGAAGATCAAGACAGCTTGCCCACTCTATCCCAGCACATACGGGAGCGATTTGCGCTCCAACTTGGTCAGAACAACCCAATGAATATGGCTTTGAGTCAAGAGCAGAGTCGCGTTTGAACAATCGGCGAGGGTTTTAATGAACGACACGGTTCTGGTCAGATGCGCGCCAAAATCGCGTTCTCCGTGCCCGCTTTGGAGGCAAACCAGAACGAGGGAAAGGCGTTGGGCTGCCCAAAATGGCAGCAATGCAATGGCTGATATGAGGCACCTGGACCTCTAAAAAAAAAAAAGGATTCGACCTGGCCTGGACAGTCGCATTTGGGCACGTTAGCTCTCAAAGCTCTCGTCATTTTCCGACACTGATCAGAAGTTGTCTTCAATCGTCTCCCAGTGGCAGCATACTGCTGTGGCCGCTCGGCCCTCGCGAATAAGCACTGCACCTCAGCCGATGAAGGGTATCCGAAGACGCCAAATTCAAATGGGAATGCAGCTATCGGGTGGCTTCTTCGCACCAGGAGACCATGAACGAGGATACTAGAATGGCCAATGCGTTGGTGGGCCGATGCCCTGGTGCGCTGCTCGGTGCTCTACGAGAGTAGCTGGGTACTGCCGGCAAGCGCAGGGACGAATAGCAGACCACCGGCGCTGACGACTGACACGATTTGAGGCGATATCCCGCCAAGGGCATTTTCTTGGTGGCCCATTTGCTTTTCGAGCTTGACCTTACTTTTAGCTCTGCAGCCAGAAAGCACTCATGTCGGCGCTATTCGGGCACTTTGAATTGATCTTCCCGATTTCCTTGCTTGACGGGCTCCGCACTTGTTCATTTTCCCAGTCGTGCCATGCTTCCAGGTGCACAACCAAACCTCTGACTTCAAGCTGGTGATGGACCGGTGCATAGAGAAGCGCACAATTAACCAGATTCTTTTTGCCAACTTACATTCTAGATCCAGTCAAGGATGGACGTCAAGATAAGGCCCTCTAGTTCGCTCAAAGTAGAAGATGGCCGGTGTCGTAATCTAGTTTTCGGATTAACTTGAGCGGGATGCCAAAATAAAATTGGGCCGTGATGGGGTTCTCGGAAACCCCGTATCTTACCTTTCTTTCCCCCGTTCAACTTTTTTCTTTTTCTTTCCCAGCAAGTCAGCAATGTTTGCGGCGCTGTAGTTCCTGACGTTGCTTTATCCGTAACTGAAGGAGACAGTAGGCCAGCAGTGCTTGAGTTCCCTAGCGGGACGACGAAATGACTGATGAGCGCCGAGTAGTTCGACGAGTGCCGGTCGTGCCCACTTTCGCAGGGCCGTGTTGGGTTGATAAAAGCTAACGTTTTGAGGCTCAAATTCGCCGTGAGGATGGAGCTAATTACCGCGGCCGATAGAGATTCATGCAGTGGTGGGAAGCCTTGATATATTACAATATGAGAGAAAGAGATGGACAACAGAGCACAGGACAGCCTCGATCTGGGTTAAGCAGAAGGGTCTCCCTCACGTTATGAATAAAAAGTCGCCTGGGGCAGATATTGATGTGTTCGGGATTGGGGCAGCACAAAGCCTCCAGATATGTCACTCAAGGCTTGAGATCAGCAGGGAAAGGCGGACGTTGGCAGTCACGATGGGCAAGAGTGGACGTGAGGATGGGAAGGGGCGTTTCACTGTACACCGCGATGTATACGGGAGATGGAATTGCCGCTTCTTTTTATGTAAAAGTTACCTGGTTGGGTCACAGTCGGTACAATAAGTGTGATGATGTTGAGGCCGACAGGATCCATGCCTCGGGTCCAGCGCCTTCCCTTGCACCCTCTCACAATGTGGTCCTCCAATGGCCAACATGTGTGACCCGGTTACTGCGGGCGATCTCTGCGTTTCCCATGCTCATGCCGGCCTCGGAGAAGGAAGGAAGAAAACTCGACGAGAAGCTGGTAAAACGTGCATAGGTTGGCGATGTATACAAGTAAGCGCCAAGCCTTGGGACGACATAGAGTTCTCTCTTGCGGACGTGATTAGTACGCGCGAGTATCCACGCAAAATATGAAAGTACCAGAGCGAAGGAAGGCTTCGCCCTTGGCAATTGGGCGAGATGCGACTTCTTCTGTATTTCTTTACCATGTTCACTGCTTAGGGCTCGCTATCGCGATTTAGCAAGAAGTGGTGACCTGAGCAAATCTGTAGCTCATAGAGTGGTGACGGAGAATGAAGCAAACCATCAGACGTCGGTTTGGGTGATGTAGAGAGGTCAGTGATACATGGGGGACATGGTCTTATTTCCCCAGAATAGAGATGCTTTCTTTAATGTCGGCGTAAGTGGTCGTCCGGTTCTCGATGACCGAGTGCCCACTTGTGTCCCCCAAGATTGTCCGAGCAGCCGAATCAGTCCCTGCTTATATGAGACGGCCGCTGTCATAGGTGCACGCCCTTGGCTGGAGAGAAGTGGGCAGTTGCCGCCAGCGAGATTGGAGACCGGCTCATTTGCACATTGGCGCAGCCTTCAAACGAGCGACAGCCACCCCCAGAACT